TTCTGTGATGATAATTGCACCTGGGGTAAGCTTTCCCGTGATATCAAGATGAAATACATCATCATGTTGGAACGATTAGCCAAGAAAGGTAAAACAGACTTGGATAGATGCCAGAACTACTGGGGGGAGCAGAAAGGTTGTTGGCAAGTGTAGCTCACAACAGACTGGGAAAAAGGGTAATACAATGACTAAACAATCACACTTATTTTATTATGTTTCTAATGCGTTTTCTGTAGAACGTGTCAACCCGGGAAGCAGGATCTTTGTCGGATGACGAAGAGACTATTCCCTCTATTGCTGAACTAGAGGAAGAACGGATTAGTCCTCTGCACGGCGATGAGAATACTGGCGTAGAAGAGCTTGAACAGACTTTAGAAGATGACCGTATCCACCGCTCTAGAAGAAAAATAGCCAGAAGATAACTACTAAAAATTTCAAAGAATTCGCACTTTGAATAATCTAATGGATTAATAAACTTACTTTTTTTTTTTTTTTTTTTTTTTTCTTTCTCTTTCTTTCTCTTCGTAAATTCTTATTTGCACAACCTAAGTTTTGTAATATATGATATGATTACAATCTCGCAGGTTGTAGAAAAGACTAAACAATAAGAAAAGGTAGTAATATAGCATATAAATATTCATCCTATTCCTGGCTTATAAGTTTCGTAGAAAGTTTGTATATTCGCTTTGTGACATATGGTGAAGGCACTAGATAACATTACATCTTCATTACGTTTTTTAACTGTGTTGTATAGATTCAGAGCTTTTTCTGTGCTGATATTAAAGGCTTCAATATGTAGACAAGCTTCTTCCAGGCTGATGAAATGTTTTTTAGGCTATAGAAAATTTTTTTAGCCTGCATTTTTTTTTATTTAGTCTGTATTTTCTAATTTTAGGGCGATTTATTTTTATTTTAGGCTACATTTTTTATTTTATGTTGTATTTCTCAAGGAAGTCCAACTTTTTTCTTAGTCTTATATGCTGTTATACCTTATGATCCCTTGGCTCTTTATGATGTTTATTGAAAGACTTTTTCTTGCCGTTATATCTTGTTGATAGTAAGTTAATTAATATTTCCATTTAATTTTTTTCTGGTGATAATATGGATGCAAGTTCAGTAGCTTCGAAGTGAAAATACAAAATAAATACCAATAAAAACGTTTTCTATACCCCCATTTTTTCACAGTTTTTGTGTATTTATACGTAAATTTTTTTTCGATTATGTAATGCTTTAAAGTAATAAAAGTGCAACGGAATGAACAAAAAGACATTTTAAAGTGGTAAAAACAAACAACAGACGGAACAATATATCAATGTAAAGTGGTAAAAACATGCAACAGACGGAATAATACATCAGTTTAAAGTGGTAAAAAGATACAACTGTTGGAGTGTTTAAACCATTTAAAGTGGTATAATGATACCACTGGTGGATAAAAACGCACCCACCTCTGGTGGGTATAAATTTGTTCTTTTCTACACCACGCATGAGGTGGGTGAAATTCGGTACCACCTGTACCACATCTGGGATAAAAAAATCAAGGGTTTTTACCACCGCCAGGTGGTCTAAGTTGGTACTTTTTTACCAACCTTTACCACCGTAGTGCGCGGCTGTGAAGGGGTACAACCCTTTACGACCTGTCAGTGCCACACTTCCTGGGGATAGTTGGGGTATCGACTTAGCTGGTCCATTCACAATGTCAACTAAAGGTAATGAGTACTTGTTAGTAATGATCGACATTGCAAGTAAGTTTTATGTGTTACGTGCCATACCAGATAAAAGCATGGCCACGGTTGCGTTACAAGTGTTAGACATAATTGGTACATGGGGTCCAATGCGTAAGTTGCAAAGTGATGGAGGTCGTGAGTTCGTGAACTCTCTAATGAAGTGCATAAAAGAGAACGTTGGTTTTGAACACGCGTTAATTTCTCAGTATCACCCTAGAGCTAATGGTGCAAGTGAAAGAGCTGTACAGTCTGCAGTAAACACCATTAAGAAGCAAATAGTTGGTAACGTTGCTGACTGGGATTTAAAGGTGCCTTCTGCTCAATTGTTTTTGAATAGCAAGTATAACGCTAGAACTAAGAGTACTCCATTTTCGTTAATGTTTGGTAGGAATCCAAATGATTTTGTTGACTTTAGTCAAGAGAAGGATTATGAAACAGCTGAAAATACACGTAAAGAGTTACAGGAAAAGATAAAAAGAATGACTGAGATAGTCTACCCTGCAGTGTATGATAACGTAAAACAAGTCACTGAAAAGCAAAAGCAAAAGTTTGATACAAGTCACAAAATGCTCGACCTGAAGCCTGGATCGACAGTGATGATTTTGATTACAGAGAAACAGAATAAATTAGATCCAAAGTATAAGGGATTTTATACTGTTGTTAGAAAAACTGCTGCTAATACATATCTTCTTAAGAATGAAAAAGGTTTCTTAGAACCTAGAAACTATCCTCCTTCCTTACTAAAGAAAGTTTCTGATAAGATCTCAGAGCATCAAGATGAGTTTCTTGAAGTTGAAGCAATCATTGGTCATAAGAAAGATGACAATAACAAGTATTTGTATAGATGCAAATGGTTTGACTTTGATGAATCTTATGATTCTTGGGAACCAGAAGAAAACTTTACAGATCCAAAGTTTATCAAAGAATACTGGCAAAGAATTGGTGAAGTACCAGAAAGCATCAAAGAAATTAATAAGGCCAATAAAAGATTATTGAAGGATATAAATGTTGCGAACCAACCAAGTTCAGGTACAAAGAGAAAAAGAACGACAAGATCAGTTAGTCAAAACAAGAAGAAATATTGATTCTGAATAAGTAGTATTCATGAATCAAAGATTAGTATTTCTAAGGAGATAAGTAGTATCTATTTGTTTAAGTAAACAAAGACCAAGCTGATGTCAAATAAAAAAAAAAAAAAAAAAAAAAAAAAGAAGTACTTGAACGGTATTAGTTAATACCTGGGTGGGGATAATGTGGTGACCTAGCAAGGCTATAGCCATATTAGAGCTAACAAAGGTTTATCCATGCCGACACCATTTGTGATATAAGCTTAACAAGAAATGTCATAGTAAGAACTATAAGGAAATTACATCACAAGTCTAATTTAGTACGTCTGAGAAATACTTAAAATTTAGTTTAAAGCAAAGACAGTTAAGAAGACTTAACATTTATTAGAACAAGACTAAATTAGTGACTATGTAATAATCATATACATTTTTGGTTAATCAATGATAACTTCAAGATAGCACTAGAGATATGAACACAGCAGACAGTCTTTTATATAAATACTCGTACATTTCATTTATTAATAAAGGACAATCTTATAAACAGTCTCAAACTACTCCTATAGTCTTTTTATAATTTAAACCTTACCTTAAAACACAACAGTTGTGATCGAGCTTATATACAGATATAACTCTATCATCAATTGTTTCTTTCTTATTTGATAACCTTTCTATAAATCATTATTGCATTACTCTTTAAATCAAATACATGCTATTATACTCTATTTATTACGCATTGATTACTCATCAACATATAGAAAACAATAGTCATACGTTTATTCCAGATAATACAATCCAATGATATGATCGCTCGTCAATAACAAGATTCTCGAAGGTACCATGAGATGCTCGATCTTTAATTGACAATACGCCTATTGTATATTTGACAGGTTTCACTTTAATGATTGATATTCAGCCAGTTCTGAATATGTATATAAAGAACCCAATTTATTGTATAATAAAGACTTTAGTTTATTTTTGCAGTTTGATAATTTTACTTCATCAAATTCCTTTATTTTTATTCTTAATTCGTAGCTTTATCTCTCGAATTTCTCAGAGCCCTGACCATTTTAAAGTAAGTTCATCGTTGTTAAAAATTGTAGTTAATGTCGTATTTGACGCCTAAATAAATCGAATACAATTACTATTTAATCTGTCTTGAGTTATAATATACTTCATATATTATAACAGACACAGTACCAGTTCTCATAATCTTCTAACTGGAAATCATACCCTACATTGGACCCCGGTTAGCTGATTTACTGCGGTTCCTTCTAGCACCTACGATGAGTAATCAAGTAATCCAATCATCGCACATATTGCTAAATGGATAAATAATTTCTCTGCTGGAAATTCCGGACATACAACCATAGGCTTACATAACTATAAATTATAAGCTATGTTTCATGTCGTTACTGATTTATATTTCAAATCCAACAATTCCCAGTCTCTGGAAATGTTTATTCGATCTACGCAGAAATTAATTGAAGTAATAATTTAATATAAAAGGACCTCTATTTTTATCATGACAAACTCTCCAACTTATAATAAAGGATTAAAGAGTCTCATTTCTTTACTTGTTTATTTTTATCTTTTATTTTCTACCGTTTTATACTCAAATTATCACAGTTAAGATAAGAGACCAAGCTTCGTTCACAAAATCTTTTTCGGTAGCCTTCTTTCCTCTGTCAGTTTGTAGTATCGAATTTTTCTTGTTTAACAAACGAATCCTATTAAAGGCGTTAAATCTATAAGAATCATTTTTATATATTTTTTCAGTCTTACACATGGGCATAAATTTCGAAAAAAGATTCATTTAAAGTGACAGCATATCTGGCTTGGGCTTTTAAGCACAATTGATAGGCTCGCTTCAAATCTGTTTGGGCAATCTACCAACATACTCAACTTAATAGTAGTCCAAGTTAGTAATAGTAAATATACGTACCTTTTCAATATCTTTAAGCTCATTGGTGACGTCATCAGGAAGTGGAGGCATGTCCCGTGATTCATAGACTAAGTTTTTCAATTGTTGCCAAGATGTCTCTGAGAACAAGGACCTTTGAGAATCTGGATCAGTAGAATTATTAGAAAGATCCACAATTGAATTCAAGCCAAGAAAAACGGTGTTTTTAGCTTCATCGGTCAAGTTTGTGAAAGTTCTTGCATTTTTAGCTAAATGTACGGCTTTTGACTTGAGACTGGACCCAACGCTCTTTTCCGTTCCAAGAGTGATACCGTCGATTTCGAACACGTCATCCCTTGCCTCTACCGATTGCATTACATTGGCTCTGTTGATATTAGCCTCCAACAATTCATTGCCCAACTGTGAGCTAGCACTGTCTTGTAAAGCGAATGCATTTTGGTCAGATCGGTACTTCAATCGCAGAACATTCCAGTAATTGTTGACGGAAATGTCAAGACCTCCGTATTATTTCCAAACAATTCAGGATAAGACCAGAAGACCAGTATAATTACAACTATTTAGAGCCCAATCGCAGCCATTTACAGTCTGTGAGCTCAAAACTCAAAAACCCTGCCTGGGAGGTCGCCCCTCCTATAGCAAAGACTAGCCTCAGCCGCAATATCGCGATATATCTATTTTTTTTTTTTTCAATTTAGCGTCTTTTTCAAAGAAACAAGAGTCAATTACTAACTAACCTTTTTTGCGTTATCCGTTACTTTTATTTATGATAGAAAAAAATATGTAAAGGGAAAAGAAAAGGGGAGGAATAAAGTGTGAACCAGCTTTATTTGTAGGCTGATAAACAAGCTTATGTCAGGATGATTTAATTGATTGTTTCATCATCCATAATGTTTGGGCCTTTACTTAAAATAGAAACCTTGGCAAAAACCCCCCCCCCCCAAACAAATCGGAACTCGGTAGTTGTATATATGCGTTCCAGTAGTAGCTTGTAATGACAGTGAAGCAGATTTTATGGAAAACAGAAATCAATCATCCTATGAAGTTTAGACGATATGGCATGTTAATTGACGTGTAAACCTTCACGTGATTCTAAAAAATACGTTTGAAAAAAAAATATGCTTGAAAAAAATACGGAGTTCTAGACATTTCCATTGTTGACGGAAAATCTAAAAAAAAATATCTTAATAAAAAATGCATTACACGACAGTGCTTTAATGATAAAGATGTTACTTCTTAAGACTGTCAAGGTTGGGTTAGTTCTATGCTGAGACCTTCTGGGACAGGAACAACTAATATCTACCTGTGTGATTATATGAGATTGTGTCCTCATTGGATCATCCCCGATAGGCATGTTATTATGTTATTCTCAACACGAATAACGTATGGCTGTTAATGATGGTATATCTGGTGAAGAGTCAGCGGCATAATAAAAAAGACTCCGTGTAAAGATGGATATTCCTTTGGACAAACTACGCAAGTTGATATCCCAAGAAGATTGAATATTGTAGTGGCCATCGTGCATACGCATATGTACTTTTTTTTCAATGAAACCCATAAAAAAATAGCCTTCTTTGTTTGGTCTTAGTGTATGTCTTTAACACCTGATGTGCTCTAAATATGATACGTTTACTGAATGCTAACAGCTGCGTTGTGTAAATGAACTGTGGTTGAAGTAAATGTAAATGGGTTAGTTATTTCCGATTTGACTGTAGTCACTTCTTATCAATTCATACCTGAGCTGGAGTTAATTTTCTGTGTTTTTTCAGGAATAAACGCAAAGGCTATTCTCAAGGTCCCCCCTCTTTTTGTAAAAATTTAATACCCCATAAGGCAATTATAACCTTATATTTCTATACTCTTCAGCCAAAAAAAAAACGATGTAAATTCTTACTCTTCCAATGGTATAGCGCACTATCTCATTATTTCTGCTTGAGAGCAGCCCACTGATATTGTTTGTGGAACACACATTTAAAGAAATACAAGGAAGTTATTTTGGAACTAGAAAAAGGGATTGACGCTTGCAAAATTAACACGAACGTCCTTCTTGCAACCAAACAGGTGAGTTGATTGACGTGATTCGAGAATTCAGGAGGACAACGAGAAATTGTTGGTAGCCGTCCAAAGCAGAGACCAGGATATTGCAGCTTTAAAAACTGAAGTGGAAAAGCTTAGTGGTAGCTGCAGTAATATTTCTACCCTTTTGACTCTTTGTTCTAAACCTTATTTGTTAGCTTATTTCACATTTGGAGGAAAGTGGTATGGATGGACCAACGAATGAATATGTATCCATGATGCAAAAGAGAAAGATGAAGAGGTCAGTACTCTCAATAAAGAACTCATGACAGTAAGAGAGTCACTCGATTAAGGTATTGGAGACTTTGGAAAGCACATGGCCAAATCTCAAGCTGAACTCAACGAGAAAAAACAGTTGAACCGAGTTAATTGAGGAGCTTAAAGATACCAAGAAGCGTTGCCAAGATGACCTTACGAAACAATGTAAGGACATGATTGTCTCTATCCAACACCGAGATGTGCGTATTGCGATTTTACAAGGTAACCTTGAAAAACAAACAGACACTGTGAATAGACTAAAGGATTTGTTCCTTGAAAAAATAGTAAAGTTGAAGCACAATTCACGCCGTATTCGACGCATTGAATAAACGAAAAGAGACCGTAATTGAATTACGAAACGAAGCAAGAAGCAAAGAAGAAGCAGTCCGTACATCTCCTACCTCCGAAGAATACACAAGCACAATTCAAGGACACAAAGAAGAATTAGATTTAGTTCAAAGAGAAATGAATGAATCGAGACAAAAGAATGAAAATTTTCCAATATTTCATGACCAGACTCCAAATAATAAAGTGTGCATGATTTTTTTGGGTTTTCTATTTTAGATTTTTTTTAAGTACAATTTTGAAGTTAAGAAAAACAAAAAAGCAGCTTTAGCGAAAGCCTGAACACCAGAAAGAGAGAATATAAGCTATCCTCTTTTTTTTTTTTTTTTTTTTTTTTTGAATTTGGCCATTAATCCTTCCTTATTTCAGAAGGGTTTCTTTGCTGAGGGATTCCCGCATTTGCTGCAGGCAGAAAAGACGGATAAGACGGTCACAAAATGTTTTCATTTAAAGCTCGACGTTTTAACTTTTTTTTTTAGTTTTTTAGATCTCTTTTACGCTTTCAAGAATGCTTCGATCAAAGGCCTTTGTTAAACGTACCCGTAAAGGAAATGTTGTAAAAGTTGTTAAAGAACATTACTTGAGAGACGATATTCCTTGTTCTTCTCCTATTTGTAAACATTGTACACATAATTCAGCACCCGTTTTATCCGCAGAACCTAGATCTACCAGCACACTCAAACCCCATTATCTTATCCCTGACACCAATGTATTTATTAGTCAGGTAAAAGAAACACCAAACGATTCCACAAGGTGATTTTTTTTTTGTTTAACCAAGTTGTTACTATAGCTCGATATTATGGAACACCCCGCCATTAAGGACGTTATTGTTTTACAAACTGTCAGAGAAGAAATTCGTCATTTAAGTCTTCCCGTTTATAACAGACTTAACGCTATTTTGGCTGATAAGACCAAGCGTTTCTACATGTTTGCCAATGAACATCAACGGTAAGCTGTTGAAATTCACTTTTTTTCTTCGAGAGTCCGTGTAGCTTATTTTGTTTTTTCCTTCGCGTAGTGATACCTTTATTGAAAAATTAAAGGATGAAACACCTAATGATAGAAACGACAGAGGTAAAAGAAAAAGAAAGTAGGTTTTAAAAAGATCACGGCTGAACTAAACTCGAAATTTTAGCCATCCGTGTGTCATCAAAATGGTATAAGGATCATTTAAAGACAAATGGTTCAGGTGAAGATATCGAGATTGTTTTATTGACAGACGATCGTGGAAATAGAGAAAAGGCCAATGCCACTGGTATTAAAAGCAGCGATGGTAAGACACATAGTTGAAAGCATGAATCCTGTAAGCTTAAATAAGATTATAGTTGCATCATACGTCGAAAGCATTAAGGATGTTCCAGAATTACTCGATATGTTATCTGCACCTAAGGCTGCAGCTGGTGACAAGATCGTCTATGAAGAGCATTTAAGTCCCGCTCAAATCCAAAATGGTATCAAGAAGGGTAACCTCATCCAGGCTCCCTTCAACATTAGTATGCACAACGTTCTCGAGGTAATTTTTAGTGTATTATAATTATTTGGGTTCGTGCTTATTTTGTTATATAGGCCACTGTTGTAGGTGAAGTTGAGGGAGAAGTGAAGACCGTTTATATTTTAGGTCGTAAAAATTTCAATCGTTGTATTCAAGGTGATATTGTCGCTGTTGAATTATTACCCAAGAGTGAATGGAAGCGTGGAGCATCAGTAGCTATGGAAGATGATGAAGATGAGGAAAAGATGTTTGGTGAAGAAGAGATGGATGAAATCAACAAAAAGAACGCCGCTATGTCTGAACAAGATGGTGAGGCTGAACCCACTGGTAAAGTTGTTGGTATCATCAGAAAGAAGTGGAGACCGTAAGTGCAGTACTGTTGTGATGGCATGAGAATAGAAACTGATATGTTTCTATAGTTACTGTGGTTTCATTGTGAAGAACACTGCTCCTTCTCAAAAAGATGCTCAAACAGCAACCAATGTCATTTTCCGTGCCATCGATCGTCGTATCCCACCCATCAGAATTAGAACTGCTCAAGCTAGTACCTTGCTCGGTAATCGTATCGTTGTTGCAATTGATAGCTGGCCCGTCACTTCCGGGTATGTATTGTATCATTTATTTTAAGAAGGGTCTAGTTAATATAAAATTATAGTATTCCTATGGGTCATTTCGTCAAGACTTTAGGTTCATCTGGTGACAGAGAAACTGAGACTGAAGTTTTGCTATTGGAACACGATGTGCCTTATCAGGAGTTCTCCAAACGAGTCCTTGAAGATCTTCCTATTGAAGGTGAACGCTGGGTCGTCCTTGATAAGCATTTAAACAATGAAAACAGACAAGATTTCAGAGATTTGAACGTCTGCAGTATTGATCCTCCAGGTAAGCTTTTTTTATTATATTTGCTGGTATCGATTGAAAACATGATTTATTAAATGCATGAATAGGATGTACTGATATTGATGATGCCCTTCATGTCCGTACTCTTTCCAATGGTAACTACGAGATTGGTGTTCGTAAGTATTAATGCCCACCCATAATGCTATAAAAATCTCATCTAACCCAATACTGCAGATATTGCCGATGTTACTTACTTTGTCAAGTACGGTATGCCTATGGACACTGAGGCCGCTGCGCGTGGTACTTCAGTCTATCTCGTTGATAAGCGTATTGATATGTTGCCTTCTCTTTTGGGTACCAGTAAGTATAAAGGTTTTGGTTTTTCTGTTTTTGATGATTATATTAAACTTTTTTTTTTTTTTGACAGATCTCTGTTCTTTAAGATCAAATGTTGAACGTTTAGCCTTCTCTTGTATTTGGGAAATGAATGAGGACGCTGAGATTGTTAACGTGAAGTTTACCAAGAGTGTTATCAAGTCCAAGTTTTCCTTTACCTACGAGGAAGCACAAACACGTATTGACGATGAACGTATGCAAGATGATGTGACTAAGGGTATTCGTGTCCTGAACAAGTTTGCCAAAATCCTTCGCCAAAAGCGTATGGAAGCTGGTGCCTTGACTTTATCATCACCCGAAGTTCGTTTCAACCTTGAGAATGATTCCCAAGATCCTGTTGATGTTGAAATGAAAGAATTAAAGGAAACAAATGCTCTTGTTGAAGAATTCATGTTGTTGGCAAATATCTCGGTCGCTAAAATGATCTACTCCAAATTCCCTAGCTCTGCAATGCTTCGTAAGCATGCTGCTCCTCCTACAAACAATTTTGATCAACTCCGCAAAACTCTTGCCGAAAAGGGGTTCACCTTGGAAACCGAAAACTCCAAGGCTTTGGCTGATTCACTTGACAGAGCTGTGGTAAGTGAATACTTGTTATGCGTAATGAACATATAAATTAATTTTTTTTTCTGCTGTAGTTACCTGATGATCCTTATTTCAACAAATTGGTTCGTATCATGACTACACGTTGTATGATGCAAGCCCAATATTTCTGTTCTGGTACTGAGCCTGAATCTGACTTCATGCATTATGGTTTAGCCAGTCCCATTTATACTCATTTCACATCGCCCATCCGTCGTTATGCGGGTAAGTTAGTTAATTTTATTTCTAAAGATTTTAAGCTAAACATAATTGGTATAGATGTTGTTGTTCATCGTTTATTACAGGCTTGTATCGAAGCCGATCTTTCTTACGGTGAAGAGCTTACAGATATGACCAAGATGAAGGAGTTATGTGATAATCTTAATTTCCGTAACAGAATGGCACAACAAGCCAGTCGTAGTTCAGTTGAATTATTTACAAGTCTTTATTTCAAGAACAAGATCGAAGTGGAGGAAGGTCGTATTCTTCGTGTTTTAAAGAACGGTATCATTGTGCTCGTGCCCAAATATGGTATTGAATCCATTGTTTATACCAGCGAAAAGGCTGGAGGACCATCACCCTTCACATACGACGATGACGATAAGAGTTTGGTTGCTGGTGATATCAAGTTAAAGACATTTGATAGTGTCAAGGTTGAAATCACGGTTGAAGGTGACGAGCATGGTATGCGTCAAAAGATGAACATGAGCTTGGTTGAGCCATTTGTTGAAGGTATCAGTGTGGTACCTACTGTTAAGAAGAGAGTGATTGAAGAGGATGAACCAAAATCTGATAAAAAAGCCAAAAAAACTAAAAAATAAGCACTGTTACATTTGAAAGATATAATATTTATTCTGAATAATCTGTTTTAATAAAAAAAAAACTAAAAAAAAAGTTTGCATAATATGAGACTATGAGGAAATCATGATCTACCGTTTCCTGATGACGAGACTATGGAAAAATGTTCTTCCCCACACAGTTTTTCTTCTACGACATACCTGGAAAAGTTTAAAGAAAAGAAAAAAAAGCGAGGGGAAACGAAAGGGGATGATGCAAAGAAGGAATGTTTAATATAGACACAGGAGCTATTTTTATAAAAGGGGTGGGGGAATAAAAGGGGGGGGGGGGATTGAAAGCGTGAATTTTTTTAGATGTGTTTATGAAAGGCTGGTTAAGAAAAAAGATATGGGCATAATGAGATATAGCAATAAAAAAAATGTTTTCATACAGCTTGAGGTATATAGTATAGTTGAATCAGCATGAAATAATGAATGGAAAGATGTGTGCGACCTGGATCTTCTTTTTAAACAAAATTGGGAATCATATCCGTGACCAAATTTGTTGTAGAAAATGGTGATGATAAATTATTGCTATTGCTGTTACCATAATATACATTATTGTTATGAGGGACGACAACAGGGTCGTTGTATAAATTGTCTAACGAAATAGGCGAGCCAGCGACTGTTGATGCAGAACAGGAAGCTGTCAATGGAGGCGTTAATTGTTGATGATTGGAGGCATAGTTAATATTTATATCTTGCATAGAATAATACTCCATAGCTTGGTTAGCTGTGTTGGCATCATAAGAAAAATTTCTCTTGTAGTTATTGAGCATTGGCATAGGTGAAGAATTTTCTGGTTCTTCATATTTTTTGTTCTATGAAAATAATATATATGTAAGTTATTGTTCGTACATGTTTTATGTGCATTATATTTACCCGAGCCATCATAGAGTTTGACCAAGATGGAGAGAGGTATGCAGCGTGTTGATGGTTATAATGCATATCTGACATGACCATTGTATTCTTTGGTGCAGGGCATGATTTTCTTCTCAAAGACTGTGAATGGAACATTTCTTCGTTATTTTCATGGCTAAGCCAATTTCTTGCTCCACCCAGAGAAAAAATGGAAGGGTCATAATGATGAGATGCTGCTGGTGTTACTGAAGTTGCTACAGCAGTTGCTGCAGCGACAGTTGCAACAGTGCGCACATTGTCGCTGATTGAATTTTGCTGATTTTGCCATGCAGACCAATTCATGGTGTCTCTAGCATGTTGATGAGAATGATTGATGTCATTTGTTGGCATAAAGGACTGAAAGACCGAGTGATCGTCCAATTCATGAGTATTCTGGACATTTGCAAAGAATTGAGAGAATAAGACTGATGACTGATTGAGATCAGAGGTAGAAGAGTCCTTTGGTGATTTATTCTCCATCGATCTGTTACTATCACTGTTATATTCTTCTTCGTAGTCTTCATCGTCATTCTCGTCAGAGCTCTGCTGATTTAATTGTTGATGGTGACGTTGTTGCTGAACATTTGATTTTCGTCTCAGCAACTTTGCCTTGGCACGTCTGTTCTGGAACCAAATTTGGACACCGCGGGGCGTCATGTCAAGTTTCTGGGCGAGAATGCGACGGATGGTTGCACTAGGTTTAGGATTTTCAGAAAATGATTTTTCCAGAACCTTAAGTTGAGCACGAGAAGTACGACGTCTGTGTTTTATCTCAAAGGGGTTGTAGAATGTAGGACGGAAGTCTCCATGAGGGTACTGATGGAAAGTTTCGAGAAGGTAGTTTTCTGATTCGGCAACGGGTGATGGTGCGAACATGCAGTTCGGACGATTCTCCTCGTCGTGATCTTGTTTTAAAGTAAATGATTGTTCAAAAGGTTGCATCGTTTCCAATGTCATTGCGTAAAGAAGTGTGGGAGAGAAATAGTTTGTAGAAAAGAAAAAAAGTTAATCCAAAGATAGAAAGTATTCAAGTTTATATAGAGTCTAGAAGATGTTTATAGCCTTGGGGGCATAAAATTCCAGTGGTAAGGGGCTATAATAGACTACCTCGCTTTGTTAACAGCACACGCTAAAATAATGGAATGATTGCTTTTTTTTTTTTTTTTTTTTTTTTTGAAAACTATTGTATACGCAAACATTGAGAAATTCAGGGTAGAATTGATCCCTCAAAGGAGTTTATTTTGTTTGATGAGCCGTAGTTCCGATATAATGCTTTACCGTTAATGCATACATACGTACATACATAGCAGACCCACAAAAATAATCAAGCATTTAAAGTATATGCATTTCACAGTTTTTTAGTTAGTGCGATACTTTATTCAAATCTAGTGTCGAAAATGTAGTTGTCATTACTTTCTTTTCATCATTTATATTCAAGCGAAATACCAATGTAATTTTACTAACTAGGCTAATACTATTATGTTCTAAGTCTACTATCACTACGATTTCGACGTATCGATCTCATTTGGTCGTAAATTGTCGATGACGATTTGATAATCGCCAAATTACACCATTCAGTTGGTTATTTCCTATTAGAACTTCAGGCGAAAAAAAATCATTGGTATGCGATTTTTCCTTTTTTTTTTTTTGTGATTATGCGCGCCAGTTGACGATCCAACCTTCTTGATATAGATCGATTTACTTTCATCAGGATAATTTATTAGAACGATATGTTTTACAATTGGTACAATAATAGCCACATGTATGCACCAAATTTTGGTCCAGTGTGTGTGCTCGTTTGTTTCTAAAAATATAAGAAAGGAGTCTAGGATATTTAAAGGATAGTGACTAAATTGAAAAATACCCATCACAGTAGTAATAATTCTTCTGACACATGTTCAAATCGTTAATGAAATTAATATACAAACAAAGGAAGAAAAAAAAACATCGCACTCGCATTTTATCTCGTTTGCTTAGGGGGTTAATGATGTGTTCTAGATGTAGATCTGAATAATAATAAAAAAAAAAAAACTTGACATTGTGTAGAATAGTGAGAGCCCGGTAAAAAAGAACTGGTGTAAAAAGCCCGTGAATTATCCCTGCAGATCACTTCAGATGATAGAGATCACAAAAAGTATAGCTTACATTTTAAAAAAAATATATATATATTTTTACGCCCGTTTATTGTAGCGGAAAAAGTAATAATTTCGGCCGCAGTAATAATATAGAGAAAGCAATAAAGAATAAAGAATATCAGGGAATTAGGTCAAATTCTTTTATATGGTTTAATACAGAATATAATAGTCATAGTAATAGTGAAAAGGTAAAGTTCATTTCACCATTTTCAGAATTTTTTTTTTATTATTATTTACACAAATATTAGAGGAAAACTAATCTATTCGTCGTTGCCGTCCTCCTTCTCATAAACATATCCTCTTGCGATACCTGAAAGACCCTCTTGAATATCTGCTGCTTCGTCTTCACCGACATTAGCTTCCAAACCTCTGTAAGTTCTATTCTTAAGGTACTCTCCTATGTCATTAGGAATGCGGTTAATATGAATCCAGGAGAAATATAAAAATACATGTGACACTATTTATAAACTTTACCTGCAGTACTATTTAAAAGCATGGATATGCTTGTTTCCTTGTTTCTTAATGTCAAATCTGTCAATGTACTTGTTAAGACTTCACCTGAATCTATTTTAATTTTTTTGTGAGAAATGTAAGTTCTTCGTTTTCGGGTGTATTTTATTGTACTTACCATCTTTAGCAGCCCCTCCAGCTTTGTGGAAAGGACCTGTTTTGTACTGTCCTGTAATCAAGGAGAAATGAGCCTCTTCATCACTGGATGCATTGTCATCTTTCTCCTGGAACAGTGCAAGGATGTTAGTACATAAATACGTCCCATTAATCCTGATTTCTTTACCTCGTCATAAGTGAAATCGTCAGAACGCAATTGAGGTAGAAGCTTAGAGAAATCAGTTATATAGTTTCCGGTCCATTCCATATCCCTATAAACGTTAAGTCGATGTTAATTATATGTACGGATGTGCATGCATCTTCTTTTTTAATCATACCTGATAAGAGCAATTTCTAATTCAAAAGGTGTTATAATTGGGCGGTAAAACTCCTGCTCGTAAATGATCAGTAAACAAATCTTTATTTCTCTCTTTCTTTCTCTTCTCTCTCTCCTGCCTTGTACATACCTTGGAATCAATCAAACTATTTTCAGGACATGACACTAACACGTAACAGTCTACTTCCATGAAGTTGGCCATTTTGGCCACGTTTAGTTTTCCCATGACAAAAAAATACGATTTACGGCCAGAAGCTTTGATGACCTTCTTCAAATGCTCGATAATATTTAAATACGAAGCTATGAATTATAATATATTAAAATCACTAGCCTGGAAAAATATAAAAAAAAAAAAAAAAAAAAAAAAAAAAAACTATAACTTACCGACACCTAAAGTACCGACAACAATACCAATAGTATCTGCATCCTTTGCCTTTTGTACGAGGACATATCTCTTCATTAACATTCTATTCACTTGGACAGATTCTTGTCTTGCTATTTTAGATTTCGGGTCATATGTAAAAAGCTAAAATATGAGAAGTTTTGTCAGTATAGCAATGCTTTATAAAAAAAAAAGGGAATAATTCGATCATTTACAGGGCATTTGTTGTGCACCATCATAATATTTGTCAAAGTCAAACTTTCGGTTCCGATGAAAAATATGGAACAATCTTCCATTGAAATATTTTCAGGCAACTCAAAGTAACGGCCGCCTCGCTTCATTTCTGCCTTTAATTCGTCGACGTTTTCTATAGGTGCAGATGGAGGAATGATGGTTGACTCTTCTTCACTGTCCATATCCTCCTCCTCCTCCTCCTCCTCCTCTGTCTGGTCGCAATTGTTTTGACCACAACATTTCTCTTTGATTTCGACCTTTTGGCTGCTACAGCAAGATCTGTTGTTTGTATCATCCCGGCTACAACATCCGCCAGCTGCAGGTCTTTTCGTTGTCTTATCTAATGTTGTCTGTAACTTTGACTCGGTTTGGATAATGGTTGGTATAATATGTTGGTAGGTTTTTGCTAATTCAGCTGTCAAACTTTCGGTAGCATAAGAGTATTCAACGTCACACATGATAATAACGGGTGTTGATTTGTCAGGAAACATCATTTTAAATTCATTCTTACAGTGTTCCAGATCAACAGGCTGCTGACCAAATACATATAACACTGGTAAACGAGAAGTACTATGTTCAAGAAATTAGAGTGTGTATAATAAAATGAGCTCCCTCTCAGATCACTTACGGACTTAAACAAGATCTTCCGTAATGAACAATCAAGTCTGCGCTAATATGTTCAGCTGCAACTTCGTCAACACAACAGCTACCGTATGAGGTATCAGCCAGAATAAATATATCGTTTCCGGTCTTTTCTCCCAATTCCTTGGAGACAGCGGCTGCGTCTGCCAAAAACTCATCCGGGAATTGTAGGGCAATGCGCTTAAAGCCCCCTTCCAAGATTCGAGTAACAGTACGATCGATCTCATACAATTCTGTAATGTTTTTATGTTTTTCACTCTTGACTTCAATTTGTCTTTCGATGACATCTCTTCCGTCGTCGGCAAAGTTGGTAGGTCCGTTTGCTGCCATAATTATTCAAATAAGGAAAAAGGGAGAGAGAAAACATTTTTAAGCAGGGTGACTGGCTTCATTACACGCATTAGAGCTTGATGCACCACTTTGAAAAAGAAGCGGTTGAATGGACTAGCAAATGAAGTGTTTAATCGGGTAGACACAATATGAATATTGTATCATGCATTAAATTCGGCCGGTCAATATTGCACGGTTTAAAATCTAATTTCTTAAATAATAAAAAGTTTCCTAACGGTCTTAAGGTTCACAGACTTAATACCACTCGAAAAATAATAAATGTCATTGGCATGACGTAGCTGATAGGCCCAAAAAATCAAATATTGATGCTTTTCTTTATCAAGGCAATAATATTTGCTTAAGTGAAAAAAGATAAGGCGAGTTTCTAGTGGTAGTTATTACTTTATAAATATTACGACATTTTCTTCCAGATTGTATAATTTGTGGCGTACACCCAAACTAAAATTTTGATTTCGCTGGGTATTGGCTGCTTCTAACGATCCTTTATATTCTGGATAAGATATATTTATATTTTTTGGTGATTTTGGTTTTATTTAAATGGATATAAATAAGTGGGCTATGTAAATTATTAGATACTTTTTTTTTATAAAAAAAAAATAAAAAACAAGTTATGTACAATAGAAATTACATGTATATAAATCATTCTCCTGCACAAACATATTCTCGATTAGGTAAAGGTGTTCCTAATCCTACGCTCGATGCACGACTCAAAGTACCATTTAAAGGACTAAGTTTCTCCACCACCGTTCGAAGCCCATCCCAAATCATGGAACATCTTACCAAGAAACCATAATACGAGAGTAGCTTGAGCCCATCCATATTTTCTCCATGCATACCAATTTTAACCGTCTGCCTTAATTCCCTCTGAATATGTAAATTTCCTGCAGTAACCATGCGATCGATTTCGAGCCAATCGTCCGGGAACTCACTTAAAGGTCTATTGTAATCTTTGAGTATCCTTCCCAAACGGAGCATAACTTGTAGACTATCGCCAAAACTTTCTAGTGTTTCCCTTGTTGGCGTGATTCTTTCTTTAAGTGTAAGTGCGTCTGATGCATGGGGGGTACGGTCGGTAGCTCCAGTGACCTCTTCTAACCTAGTTGCAGTTTGACTTAGGCTGATTAAAGGCAAAAGTAAACGGAAGGAAACTAGAGGCCAAACAACCCGCTTCATTGCTTCAATTGCCTCATTGTACCTTTTCGCTCTTCTTAAGTCTCTTTTACAGCGATCTTTGCCACCGCCAATGATATGGAAAATGATTTGTACATAGTATTCATTAGAAACATTTCGCAGCCGTGTTGACTCCGTCTGAAGTTTTGACAAGACACCAAATGCTTGGTTGCTAATGTTTGTAATAGCATCATGAGTCCAGAACTTGCTACTATCTTCTATTTGTTGACGCATTTGATCAGGCCCCAGTGCACGCGAAGAAAATGTTCGGGAAATTGCTTCGGTAATGGATATTTCTCCTTCTACTGGTAATTTTCGTGTGATCTTTTGCGAGAGAGATTCATCCACTGCTCCACTACCGCTAAAATCCAGGTAGTATTCCGATGATTTCTCGTATAATTCAGCTGCATCTTCCATGGCCTTCCCTAAATTTTTTCGCATGACGCTGCTTGCTTTTAATGGAAAAACAAATATAGAAACAATCCTACAAACAAATTAATAAGTCTTATTTTCTCGAAAGGACTTTTTTTTTGTCTACTTACAGCGATATAACAATACCGATGATAAGATTTAATGTTCTCCACGCACCCAATTCTGCTGTGTATGACATTCGATCGTGAATCAAATCAGAATAGCCGGACAATAAAATAATCACAGTTGTCAATAAACCCTGTGTTCAAAGTAAGAATTTATATGTGTGTGTAACGTTTTTTGTTTACTCACAATGCTACCAGCATAGGCATATTTAGGCAGGACTTTTAATTTAGCAATAAAAAAGACTTGGATAAACATGAAGCAACACAGCATCACTGCTGCTTGCCATTCCCAATTTGGATGGAATATTGCTCTTGTTATTGTCATGATGACTATACTTGCTGCACCTCCAATCAATGTCCCCATCAATCGTTGAACACTTAGGTTTAGAAACCCACCTACAGTATTATCCAAAACGGTAACCACAGATACACCTAAGTAAACAAATAAGCTTAATATTTAAAAACGAAGGATAAAAAAAATAAATAGAAAAAAATAAAATATCCGCCCCTTCTTACCGACCCAAAACACATTAGGAAATATTTCAGATATAGGATCGATAACTACTAACAAAGCCGCAATGGTAAATGCAGTAGCCATCTGAAATGCATATCTATTGTCAGGACTTATAGCTTGCTTATGGATCCAAGTATAGAAAGTTGATTGTCTTAAATTTTCAACCCAAGGGTGAGTTTTTTTTGTAATGGAAACAGGAGAAGGAGGGCCGTATTCTGATCTAGGAAAAGGAACATCCTCGACAATTGTAATTCGTTCCTGGCCAGGTATTTTCTGTACTTGTTGTGGATGGATAGTTATTACTTCCGGTATTTTTTCTGTGTATTTGAACTGAAATGCTCTTTGTGTTGAATCTGATAACCGAAAAAATAAAATAAAGTTACTATTGTTGACAGGCAGAAAAAAAAAAAAAAAAAAAAGCTAAATGTTACCAAGTGATTTAAATGATAAATTATCTTCTTCCTCTTTAATAATCAGAATATCTTTCAAGTTCATAATGGTATCCTCATCTTTTGGGAATTCTCGTACTGTAGAACTTTGGCTTTCTGCATTTGAAGGTCGATGAGATTCATCATAATAAATCATGATAAAATTAAACAGTAACAGAAAAAAAAAAAAAAAAAAAAAAAAGAAAAAAAAAAAAGAATCTAAATTAACAATGATATATATATATATAAACTTCCTACACTACATAAATGAGCTCATTCGAGCAAAAAGAAAGGTCCATATCAAAACTAATAACCTTTATGTATAACCCGTTATAGGAAATATAAAGTTTGTGTCACTTTAACAATCTATAAAAAAAATGCAACGTCATCAGACAACAAGAGATCTCATCTTTTTCGCCCCTTCTTTTGTTTGAAAAAAGCATGTTCAGACAAGCAATTAAGAAATCCAGTGAGTGCCAATGAAGTCAATGAGCATGCCTGTACTGACAATATTTTCAAAGCAATGTCACTTCAACAACGTTCCTTCTCGAGTCTTGTCACAGCCAAGGAGCTGCAAGCGGCTTTGGGCAGTGTCAAAGTGTTGGATGGTTCGTGGCATATGCCGAATACAAACCGTGATCCATATCAAGAATATTTGGATAAAAGAATTGTCGGTAGTCAATTTTTCGGCATTGATACCATCAAAGACACAAGTATCGATCTTCCCCACATGCTTCCTTTACCAGATAAATTTGCTGATGCCGTTGGTAATTTAAAAATATCCCATATACTTTCAACTTAATTTTAGTAACACACAAGCAAGGTAAAATGGGTATTGATGAAAATGACCATGTCGTGGTGTATGATACAGCCGGTGTATTTTCCGCCTGTAGAGTCTATTGGACATTTAAAGTATGTGAATACCAGCCCAAATAAGCATATTTACATTTAGAAAAACTATGTAGGCATTTGGTCACAACTCTATTTCTGTGCTAAATGGTGGATTACCATTATGGGAAAAATCTAATGGCCCTATCGAAAGCGGTACACCAGAGCCCGTTGCAGCTAAACATTATAAGACACCAAAGCTCAACCATGACTTGGTGCGTGATTATCAACAAGTTCTGAATAATGCTCGTAACATTCAAAATGGACAATCCGGTGCTCAAGTTATTGATGCTCGCCCTCATCCAAGATTTACTGGTGAGGCTCCTGAACCACGCGAAGGCTTATCATCTGGCGCAATGCCCGGCTCGATTAATATTCCATTTGGACAGGTCATCCAATCAGGTCAGATGCTGGATGATGACAAGTTGCGTCATGTATTTGAATCCAACGGTGTTGATATTTCAAAGGATATCATTACTAGTTGTGGAAGTGGAATCACCGCTTCCATCCTATATTTAGCTCTCGAAAGAATAGGTGCTCGTCATTTGGCTGTCTACGACGGAAGTTGGACCGAATATGCTTCTAAAGATGATTGCATTATCGTTAAAAAGCAATGATCTTCTCATCTGACTTTTGGACCCTTAAATCTATCTTGATTTGGCACAAACAGTTATAAATAAACGTGTGGCATTTTGTTTATTAAATTTAATAGAATATCGTCATAAATTAATATTCAAGCTACGGTTGAAGAGCTTATATTTTTCTTTACAACGATTGCAAAAAAAAAAAAAAAAAAAAAAAAAAAAAAAATGTTTGATACTCATTTAGAAAGAGGGTGAATGGATTCAATAGTTTACAAGAGAGCCGATACAATTTATCTCCAACAAAACCCTCACAGGAAACCTATGATTGACTTTTATTTCAACGCCATTCTGCTACCGTCAGCTTCCTTCAGGTTTTCAATTTAATCATTTAGCATAAATACAACAGCCTCGAGTCATAACTTTTATATTAGAGTTTATGCAGCCGTCAGTTTTTGATGTATTTCTATTACCACAAGAAGCTACTAGCGTCTGATGAAACACTTTTTTTTTTCAATTGGGCTTTCAGCAAGTAAGGCAATGCTGAATCAGGTCAACCGTGAACTGTAATTGAATGCTGTTAATTCCTCGTACAAGGAATGAAGTGTTATGGTTTGCATAAACAAGAAGAAAGAAAGGGCTTTTGAATGATTAAGAACAGGGTGCTCTTCCAACGCGTGTTATCTCTGTGGATTCAATTTCCAATAATTAGTATCTAAATGATCATTCTTGAGTAAAAAAGAGCTTCAAGCAAGCGTATAGCCAGCTAGCCAATCAATCCTCAGCTTTCCCTCATAACAGGTGCTCGAACAGGATGATCAAAGTCCGACTCAAAGATCGACACTTACACAAAAAATAAATCTGTATGCAAATTTTTTTGAATCCTAACGATTATTTTAGCGCCAAGTGTCATAAGTGTCGTATGTGTCATAAGTCCTGTTAATGTCACCCAATCTTGGAGGTCTGCTAATATACAATAAAAAAAAATTTTACATGGGAGGGGGGAGGGGCATACAGCCACAGCACCTTTTTCTGTTGTTGTTATTACAATTCGAATGCAAAACTATACCGAAGAAAGTAGACAACTCATCGTTGATCTTAACGCTCGAATGAGAGACATGGTCTGAGAGACGGTAGGAAAGTTAGTGGTGGCAGAAAACATTTCTGAGGCTGAGGCTGAAGATGCCATTGATTTTAATCGTGAATCAACGGATATACTCTTAGGTAAACGTAAAAGCCCTTACAACGCTTTTACGGAAAAGTTGGCAGCAACTAAGAAAAGGGATGCTACTGCAGGTGTTCAGTCCAAAGGTATACTACAACCACAGTAGATGCTTATTATATCTGATCGTTTGTACAAATCATAGGTTCAATCGCTTTTCAAAAAGATGCATCCAAGCTATATAAAGCATTGAACCCTGCAGAAAAAGCGGCGTTGGCAAGGGATCATCCACCCGTGAATAAGCTTACTGGGAAACAAAAATCATTTCTTCATTGTAGAGGAGTCCAGAAGATGGAAAAAATGATGGATATCTACAATGCTCATTGTGATTCGGAGTTCTTCTTGATCAGTATGTTTGAAGGAATCAACGAATCCACTGGTAAAGGTCGTGTTGTATTGTATTCGAACTCTGTTGGAGGTAAGCCAAACACATTGGGGAGTGTATAGAACAAGCAGCTTATATTATTTTTAAACAAAAGAGCACTGTTTTAGTCTGAAAAACAAGATGGGCAGCGAGTTGGCGGCTTTCTTGCATAAGAGCAGGTATGATGCGAACGAGAGAAGTATGTTTTCGTTTAAATTAGATTACTAAAATTATTACTTACATGTTAAAATAAGTATCTAAGCCATATAATCAGAAGGGCAATCTCTTGAGAAAAGAGTATAGTCAAAGAATTTCGGAGCTGTATTGTTAGTATCCCCTACCGCACAACATTGGCACTCTTACTGACATTTTACATTAGATACTCACCCAAGCGCGAAATTTGCTAAAGCATTTCCATTCCGGAAGTTCAAGGATCAAACTGCTGATCGGAAGATGTTAGGGTGGCCCGAAAATGTCCTAGTTAGAAGGGCCGATGAGCAAACATCTGGCCAAATGCACCTCGTCCTTGAGGCAATCAAAGAAAATAAAATTTATTTTGCAGAAGCAGTTGATACAACTCCAGCCACGCTGGAAGTTTCTTCGCCTGACCTTACCCATTAACAAAGGTACTTATATCCTTTCTTTTTCCTCGTTTAAATAAATTTAAATACATTAAATACTTGTTTTGTTGGGATACTTTTTATTTTGCGTTTTACGTCTTGAATCCCATAAAGAATAAACTGAAATAAAGAATAAACTGAAATAAAGAACAGACTGTGGAAATAAAGAACAAACTGACATAAATTTAAGATTTTATTATGTAATCTTTCCACTTATAATTTTTTTGTTAAAATGCTGCTATGTACAATAACGTTGCTTTATATGTTGGTTGAGGCTGTGATAGCAGTTTTTTAACGTTTTTCTTAAACAACAATATTTTATTTGACAATAGGGAATCCCCGTCTGGCCAGGGCGCATTTACCTCGCCTACCTACTTTTGTTTTGCTTTTCTGTCAAAAAGTTACCAAAACATATAATAAAGTATTAAAAAATTTAGAAAAAGTGTTTAGAGCCGATATTTGTATGTACTTTTAATCTTGTTTTACTTAAGAAGCTGCCCGTGTGTACAAATAAAAAAAAATCTAAAAAAACATTTTGAAATAGTAATGACTTTACTTCAGATTTTTAGATTTCCGAGAGACATACGGAACAGATTTATGGACTGTATACATGTAAAAAGTATGAGAACAATACTTCTCAAAATTATGAGTATTATTTTTATAAATTGCAGCGTACCACTTAAAGAAACCCCATCTAGGGAACCTTCAGTGCATTTTACAAAAGCAGTGATGTCTCGAGATACTTTATCTGCACTATAGATAGCTTTGTCACCAATGGCTCAGCCTATATTTCATCAGTAAACTTCTGCTTTTAATTAAAGAATCAAAAATACAGCCCTGACTTTCTTGAAGGAAGCTTAACGAGCAGTGATTAAGTCGATAGTGCTTTATTTATTACTGTGACCATCAATTTTTAGGGGAAGGTTTGAACTTTTGGTGCAATGCTTTTGTCGACTAAACCAGTGTTTTCTTTTATTCCGCAATGCAACCTTTTAATAAATACTACGCACCTGATTGGACCCCAGAGAAGGTAGTTGATGATTATAGCAATGCAAAGAATGGGTAGCTGATTAATTTTATTAGGGATCTATTAACAAATTCAACGGGACACATGCCTACGGAGCAAGAGCCAAGAAGATTGATCAAGGCATTTTAGTTGTCAGGTATTGTTGCTCAAGATTGTTGAAATGAAATGTCCTAACAGGGTAAAAGATTCGAGTTGCCTTACAATATCTGGTGCTTGGGCTGTAATAATCATGTTGGGCAAGGTAAGGCATATTACTCCCCATACTGCGGTGTACAAGACTAATTTTTGCTTTTTGATTAGGTGTAAGATATAACGCAGAAAAAAAGACAGTGGGCAAATACTACAGTACACCCATCATACAATTTCGAATGAAATGCCATTTATGCGACAATTATATCGAAATTCAAACTGATCCCAAGGTACGGATATTTGTGTGTGTATGATTCTATGTGAGCTAAAAAAAAAGTAGAATTCTGCATATGTTGTTGTGAGTGGCGCACAAAAGAAAATGGAGGAATGGAAGGCAGAGGATACAGAGGTCATTCAATTGCAGGATCCAGAAGTCAAGGAGAAATTGGAATCCGATCCAATGTACCGACTTGAACACGGTATCAATGACAAAAAGACGATTGATAAAGCAGCACCGCATATAACACAGCTACAGGATTTAAATCAAAGCCAATGGTCTGACCCATACTTAAAATCACAACAACTCAGGAAACAGTTTAGACAAGTCAAGAAAAAAGATAAGAGTGAATTTGAAGAGACCGAGAAAGTGAGGGATAAGCACTCGCTTGGTATTGCACTGTTACCAGAATCAACGAGTGATGTGATTGGAGCCAAGTCAGTTGAATACAAGACCTCGCATTTACTGGATAAAAAGAGGTTAGAGACAGCTGTTGCTCCATTATTTAATCAAATCAAACCAACCGAAAAGGAACTGAATAATTTGGGTCATATTGCAAAAATACACACACGCATGAAAACGGATCCATTTTACAATCCAAAGCGGGCAAATGCTATCAAATTGAATGATGTGGTAGTCAAACCAAGCAAGAAAAAGTCTAGGAGTAACGATGGTAAAGGGTTGGTGTGTTATACCGACTCTGAATCCGATTGAATTTTTTTTTATTTGATTAAAATAAGATGAAGAAAGCTATATATATGTACAGGGTATTGTGTGTGTGTTTGATTAAATGTTGTTTAAGCTACGAGTTGTAGATCTTCCTTAATATGATATGGATCGGATGGATTTACAGTGATATTTTCGACAGCCAATAATAGTTGAACATCATCTGATGATTGATCTTCCTTTGGCATGGTGTGAATAATGATTTCAACGAATAAGGGAAATTGCTGGAAAAAGTCTTCCATGTCGGCAGTGATTAAAGGTTGACCATCTTCTAATTGATGATATGTATAAACATGTCCAGTTCTGATTTTTATGAAAATGCGGGAAAGACCGGTTAGACCCCGAACTGAATTTCTTGACTTTAATTTGTTGACAATATCCTCCGCTAATAGTTCAACCGAATCCTCTAAAATAGGTAACCTTTCCAGCCCGTCATTGCTTTGATGGTACAATTTATTCTGGAGCCAGTCCTCGAACACTCGGGAAATATGAGAAGCTGCTTTTGTACTCGTGTTACCAAGCGTAGGTAACTATAATTAATGTGAGAAAAACTGATAATGTAATCGTCATTACATTACAACTAACTTACAGAGATAAATCGATTGCCACCATCCATAAAGTATGTATTTTGGTATCGAGATACTTGGCCGTTATCTGGATCTTTCATCATCTTTTCAATAAAAGAAATTGATTCCTCGTCTTCGTTTACATTCATAAATGGCGGAGAATCATGGTGATCCGCAACACTGCTTAACGTTCTACCGGTGTCTGTTACAGTATCATCATCCTCTGAATAATGATCCAAGCTTTGAATCACTACCTCTCTGTCTTTCTCTGTGCTTGTTTCTAATAAATCAAAATAAGTACTCTATCATCCCTTTGACTAAACGCTCTTTCTTTTTTACCAAATGAAGTGATAGTATTTTCAGTCCACATATTAATAAAAAAAATTTAAAGAGAGAAAAAAGAAAAAAGAAAAAAAATTGAATTTAGGCTTTTTGTACCCCCTTGAACAAAAAAAACGTGAAAAATAAAACCTGGGGGAAAATTCAGTCTAATAGGTGCTTATGTTTTTTTTTCTATTTTTCGTGCACCTGTCATTGTGAAGGAACCCAAATTACCAAAACAAGAACCTGATTAATCCGATGTATCAACTGTTCATATCACATGTGCTCGACCTTGCCCTTGATGCTCTCATAACTACGGCATGGAGCGTTACACCTACATATTGGTAATTAGCGGGTTGTGTCTTTATAATTAATCAGTCCCGAGAAACACAAGCTGTCCTTTACTTAGATGAGCTCATTAGCTTTCCCTAGCATAGCAAAGATTAATTCAACGTCCAAGCCTTTAATACCAACACTACCTCCAACACTACCTCCAACTATACACTCAAGACTGTCCTGCACTCATATATGTATCCATGGCTACTAGCAACCTGTTACGAACATGTAACCGGTTGACATGACACATGATATTTGAACATTTCACCAGGAGTAAAAATGTCACAAGACGAAAGGCAATACTATGATGACAAGCAAGAACTTGTTAATCAATGGAATGTTTGATTAGAACTGAGGTGTACAAAAGTCCTATTAAGTATTGTACAGAAATTTCGTACACCGACTGAGGACAGTTTGTGGGGACACTTTATTAAGAAAAAAACTTTGCACACGTATTTCGTACAGTTTACAATGGCTCTCCATCTAAGCAAGCTTGAAATTTCGATACAGAGTATCTGCAGAAATCTTGAAGATCACTTAAGATGATGATATTACATGCTTCACCGATTCTCGATGATAAAGTTTCTTCTCTTAGCAGCTTCTGTTGCTTTAACTTGCTCTTGCATACTGACCAAAACTGTTCGACAGGATTTAGCTCAGGAGAATATGGTGGAAGATAAATACAACCATAACCTCTCTGTTCGATGTACTTCTGAATGTCTAAATAAGTATGGATTGGTGCTTTGTCCATAACGATATAATGTCCTTTAAATTGCTCATGCTTATTTAGTACATCTAATGTTGCAGCCACAAAGTCGAAATAATGACCAGTAACGGTACCACCTTTTCCTTTGTTTACGACCTGTATAGACCCTCCTCCAGCTTTTCTTCATATACGGTTGAGTTGTCTTCGTTGAAATTGAAAATATTGATTTCAGAGCATTTCTGTAAACGAGCCATTAAACTAGAAACGGCCGGTTTTGCCCAAACCTTAAAGTAGATAGCGACATGATATGCTCAAATAATGAACATCTATCGTAGCAAGGTGAGGGCGAAATAACTAGCTTAAACGCACGAAGTTGTATTTGAGAAGCTTCAAACTCCTTTACCCATGGATATAAGCACTGCCAAAATGAAGTGGTCATTTTAGTGGAATCACCCAAAGACCGTTAGGAGCCTTCATTTAATACACTCGAAGAGCGTATCCAGGTCGCCATGCGCTGGAGCAGTTAGTTATTTCGTTCACCTTGCTGATGAAAGCCGTTTTTAACAAAAAAGAGAAAATTAGTAACGTTTGCATACTGTTGAATATTATATAGCTAACCGTGAGTATTCACTAATATTGACAAAATAGTATGTGGTTTGTAGTTTAGCAATAGCTGATTTTAATCTCACTTGAGGAATCTGAAATATGTGTAATAATGCTCTTTCTTTAGATAACCTGCTTACATATAAATGAATTCTAACGTTGAGTATCTAAAGCAAAACTACAACCATTTCAATGTTAAGAAGTTTGCGAAAACAACCAAAATTGAAAGTTTAACCTCATTTAAGAAAGAATTTGCAAAACGTTTTGCGGAAATGTCTAGAACTCCGTATTTTTTTCAGACGTATTTTTTAGAATCACGTGAAGATCTACACTTGACATGCCATATCGTCTAAACTTCATAGGATGATTGATTTCTTATTTCCATAAAATCTGCTTCAATGTCATTACAAGCTACTACTGGAACGCAGATATACAACAACCAAGTTTTGATTTGCTTGGGGGTTTTTGCCAATGTTTCTATTTTAAGTAAAGGCCCAAACATTATGGATGATGAAACAATCAATTAAATCATCCTGACATAAGCTTGTTTATCAGCCTATAAATAAAGCTGGTTCACACACTTAATTCCTCCCCTTTTCTTTTCCCGTAACATATTTTTTTTTCTATCGTAAATGAAAGTAGCGGATAACGCAAAAAAGGTTAGTTAGTAATTGACTCTTGTTTCTTTGAAAAAGACGCTAAATTGAAAAAAAAAATAGATATATTGCGATATTGCGGCTGAGGCTAGTCTTTGCTATAGGAGGGGCGACCTCCCAGGCAGGGTTCTTGAGTTTTTGAACTCACAGACTGTGAATGTCTGGGATTGGACTCTAAATAGTTGTAATGATACTGGTCTTCTGGTCTTATCCAGAACTGTTTGTAAATAATACGGAGGTCTTGACATTTCCGTCAACAATTACTGGAATGTCTTGCAATTAAAGTACCGATCTGACCAGAATGAATTCTCTTTGCAAGACAGTGCTAGCTCACAGTTGGGCAATGAATTGTTGGAGGCCAATAGCAACAGAGCCAATGCAGAACAATCGGTAGAGGCAAGGGACGAAGACGTGCTAGAAATCGACGGTATAACTCTGAATGGAATGGAAAAGAGTGTTGGATCCACTCTCAAGTCCAAGGCCATACATCTAGCTAAAACTGCAAGAGCATTTTCAAACTTGACCGGTGAAGCGAAAAACACCGTTTTTCTTGGCTTGAACTCTATTGTCGATCTTTCAAATAGTTACACTGGTCCAGATTCCCAGAGGTCGTTGTTCTCAGAGTCATCCTGGCAACAATTGAAAAACCTAGTCTATGAATCACGGGACATGCCTCCACTTCCCGACGACGTCACCAATGAGCTCAAGGATATTGAAAAGGTACGTATATTTACAATTACTAACTTGGACTACTATTAACTTGTTTATATTGGTAGATTGCCCAAACAGATTTGAAGCGAGCTTATCAATTGTGTTTAAGGTCTCTCTCAAATCGAATCATTGAAATATAATCGTCCATATACAGACGATTGAAGGAAGCTTCAATGTTTTTTCAGTGCGAATCGTTTTGACTTTTCCAAATGTGGAATTAAAATCTGGCGGGTCCAAAAATCTTCTAGCCCAAGCCAGATATGCCTTCACTCCAAATGAATCTTTTTTTTTTTTTTGAGATTTATGCCCATGTGTAAGACTGAAAAAACATATAAATATTCTTATATATCTAACACTTTTAATAGGATTCGTTTGTTGAACAAAAAAATTCGATATTACAAACTGACAGAGGAAAGAAGGCTACCGAACAAGATTTTGTTAACGAAGCTTGGACTCCTATCTTGGCTACAAATTCAACGATGATGAACTTACCTTAAAATGGTGAGGGCTTCTTATCAAAATTTAATCATATCTTGCTGCTAACCTATATATTTAGGGGCGATTCCGTTTCTCAGATTTCAGCCGTCGCAAAGAAAAGGTCATTACCTGAAGAAGATGTCTTAGGTGATAGGGTTGATTTAAGAGTATTGAGCAAAAATAACGATATGTTAGCTGATGAATTTGCTAACAGTAAGCTTGGACCTTTCAAATTTTCTTCTGACCATTTGAAATTATTGAGAGAATCCAAGATTATCTTTGACAATATCGCCAATCAAAAGTACATCAGTGACAAGGAAGTACGTAGAAGCATTTTGGGTATAGGGTTGTCTAAGTGAAAGTTTAATATCCAGGGACCTCACTTTGACAGGGAAATTATAAAATGTCATTTTTGATCAAATCGTCTTAAGAAAAGCGAGTCTACCATGGTTCTGAACAGCCCAATCTCGATCAAGGACAACTCCTGGAATATGTCTACGGTCTCGCTTTTCAAGTCAAAGAACACTCTACTATTTTGAAAGAAATGGCGCTTCTGAAAGAAAAAGTTTCTACTCTGGAAAAAGAAAATATGATTCTCACCTTGGAAAAAAAAATTTGAAAGAAAAATTTGTTTCTGTTTCAACCAACCCCGGTGCATCCAAGACCACCGTTCCATCTCTGGTTTCAAATCAACCCACCAAGGATGGTAACCGAGGCTCATCTAGCAAAGATTCGATATGGGCTACTAAGGCTGCTGAAACACGCCCTTAAAAACCTAGACGTACTTCCCCTGCCACTTCTTTAAAGAAGCGTATCGCCGCCGCTCGTCCCTTTCAAAGTGCTAAAGATAAGGGTCCCCAAGGCTTCCAATATGTATATATTGGTCGCTCTCGCAAGATCATTAGATCCGAAGCTCGCTCTCGCCTCCGACGTTCAGGTGTCGACACTGGTCGTATACTTGTAGTACCTAGATTTCAGGCTAACGGTTTGAATGGGGAGGTAAAGATTATGAAGCTTTTTTCTCCTGGGTTATATACTGTACAACACTTAGGCTCCATTGATATACCTACCAACGTTAATCATTTGAAAGATTTAAGAAAAAGAGTGATTCCTCGATTAAGTTACGTCAAGGTAAGTCTTTGTCTTTGCAAATTTTTATAAAAGAAAATATTTTAAAATTCCATGATAATTATTAGAATCACATATTAAAAAATGCGAATATATTATTCAATTCTTTGGATAAAGAAGCAAGGAAGAAGAGGAAAAGAAGCAACTCATACCAAACATCACCATCGTATGATGATGTTGAAGTAGGTGTGGTATTAAGCCATATTTACCGTAGTCGAATTAGGTTACACGATTATAATCCACAATAATTGTCATTATTGTGGCTACTAATAACCTCATATAGAAGCAAAAATTAACTATTCAACTAGACGGATCCTTCATGTCTTTTTATTACTCATAAAAAAACAATAAAGTTATCAAAAGTTTCATTTAATTCTCTTGTCCCATAATTATCACTGTAGGAACTGTTTTGCATGGAGAATAAAATTAAAGTAAAACCAAAAGTAATACTGTTAGAACTTGGATACCACTTTATTATGGACGAAAAAGATAAATTAATTAAAAAACGTATGATCGTCTACGAGAAAAAACTATGGATATTTATATAAAGAACTGGGATAGTTCAGAGAGAATATTAAGCGCTTTATTGGATCATGATGTAATAATATGGTGATAGTAAATAATCAACATGTCTTTAAATTTAACCCTTCCATACTGAGTATATAAATATTAGTTAGAGGGATCAGCAGTTATAACATCAAATGACAAGAGTAATATTTGTGCTCAGGATCTATAATTCCATAGTCCAGGCCAATTCGATTGCATTGCTTTTTGAAGAACAAATATTTACTCGCCGCAGGGTTATGCCCTATGTACAGACTTCAACGGTAGGATGAGAACAAGCGGGGTAATGTGCGGTTCATGATTAACTTTTATATTATTATCCATTGTTAATGTGATGTGACAATTAACTTTATTATTATATCTATGACATCCTCAACAAAGATAACCCAGATAAAGACATAGATTGTGTCAATTATACTGTGTACGGTTTATTACGCGAATACGAAAGTGGGAATATGAAAAAACATCACTCCGAAATATGGTGCCAAACGCACATCTGGAGAATGATAGAAGTATGTTTTGACATGTTTGAAGATTTGGAGGCAGCCATCGGATCACTTAAAAGACGCGCTCTACAAATTACCAATAACCCTTAAGGATATGCTTGGTGACCTCATTGAAACCAAACCAGAATTGACAGGATCTTTGCAAACGGTCGGCTTTATTCACTCTGGCTTAACCAATACCATGCTCCGAGTAGACAGACCCACGGAATACGTAACTCGTGTTACTAGGCACAAAACTATCGAAATCAGCAACTCTATTGAAAACTTTGGGGCTACTGTTTTACCGTCCATGTTGTCAGCTTAGATATGCGCAGAAATTGTGAACGCTTTTCTTAGGGACAACCAATTTTTCCTTAGGGACAGCCAGAATGCACGTAGTCGCAACGTAAGATCTGTGATTTGGATGTTTTATAGACCTGGGAACAAGAATATACAATCAAAAGCAATGTAATAATTACAAATAAATGTATATTAAACGATTTATACTTATTTTGACAATTCTATAATCACTCTTTTGCCTTTGAGCTCGGTTAATCTTAACCTTACGCAGAAATATTAAGGTTAAGTCTAAACAAGAAGCTGAAAGTAAGCTGTAACACACATATACTGGTTTAAACTATGCTGGTTGTGATAAATGTGTATATATTTCAAGTTGTTATTTATATTGACCTCTTGATGTCATAATTCCAACATTACGACTACGCGCACCCTGGCTGTCCCTAAGAAAAATGGCTGTTTTTAAGAAAGTTTGGCTGTCCCTAAGAGACCCGTTCTATTAATGCTCCAGTTTTTCGAAAGTCATGCTTCAAATAATACAATAAATAAGACATAACAATACCAAGTTTTGAAATAAGAAAAAATCATTTTCCTAAGCGAAAGTCTTATTTAAAAATAAATAAAAAAATCACACGAGACAAGTAAATTTGGCTGTAACTGATAAAATAAGAGTTTCTACATGAAAGATACTATATTTCGTTTTACTTTTTTTTTGAAAAAAAGTGTACCACCACAACTTGGCGCTGTAGAAAAGAAAAGATCGCAGAAAAATATTCTCCGTTTTTACAGCACAAATATACGCGCAAACGTGGTAGAACTTTGTCTCGGGACATGAATATATTTCTTTTTCGGAAGAAATCGATTTTCGTGTAGGCTTGAATAAAGAGTTTTTCTTTCGTCTTGCTTTTGCCTGAACTTTTACTGCAAACGTGCCAGACTAAATAAATGGAGTTACTTCCATGGTCATCATAGTACATTGGGTGTCGTTTTTCTCGAAAAACAGTTTTACCACTCAGAGTCTCCAATCGGCTGAACATTTTTCCTTCCTTTCTAAAATTATTCAAATAAAAATGAACAAAAAAAAAAAAGTTCAAATTCAGATGAGCCATATCATGGTTGCGTTACGAAGTAACGACTTCACTCTCTCTTCATATGGAAAGAGAGGGGCTAAGTTACTAAGTCGCTACTCGGAAAAGCAAGTGTTCTAACTTATATAGACGGCTGAACTTATAGGTAGTAATTGATCGTCTCACGAAATATTAGAAACAAATTGTCTATTTTTCTATGAGGACCTTTCACTATGCCATCAGCATGATCATGATTTAGACATGGCCCTTGTGCATCGATTTTATTTAAGGTTTGTAAATAACGAGGCTCTTGATTTTAATTTATTTGGTACTTTTTTTACCAAGCGTAAACAATAATACACAACTTATCACAATCAATGAACCACATCCCTTGGATATCGTAAAACCTATAATACAAGTTAAAAAACGGACATCCACTTGCGTATAAAATCAATGTGAATACTTGCATTGGGCTGAGTCTTCGTGACAGTACCAAACATGGCTGATTGCATATACAAGGATAGCTCTCAGTCCCTGTAAAATTCCCGTCGCCACCTAAACAAAAATTGTTATTGTCTCCATTTATAGTAAAACAAGCAAATATTTACATTTCCAGTGAGCTCGATCAATTCATAATAGCTCCAAGAGTGTAATGCATTCGCCACAGTCACAACAAAATAGACTATCAGAACCTGTGTGGTCGAGACTTGTTTGTCAATTTGAATAATGGTATTGAACTGAGGAAGCGTATACACTGAAATCCAAATCAAAGTAAATAGCGACGTGTAGACGCCCATCCAACAACACACCCTTGCTGGTAAAGGCTGAGCTTTACTTTTAGAGAGAATGGTATCTGCATATACGTAGATGCATGCTATAATACATATATAAATAAAAACGTTGTAAAAAGGGAATCTTCTTTACTTTCTCCTTTTTTGCGTACCTGAAATAAAGGTTCCACACAACGTCATTAAGGTTCCATTAAATAAGACATTTGTTGATTCTACTCTAGTTTGTTATTTATATTACGTCTGCATATCTTCTTTTGTTTTTGTTGTCATTACCTGTGCTAAAGTCATTTTCAAGCGGTGATCCTTGAAGGCTATCAAAGGAGCTCACACCCAGTCCAACACTCGTACCTATAATAGCAACCCATTGTATCTTTGCTAACGCTCTTCCCATAAACAACCATGTCAAAATAGCACACCAAACAACAATACTGCTATAGATGACTTGATACATCTTTTTGAAGTAAAAAACAATTAGTTGTTAAGGTATTTAGTAAGACTCAAAAATTATACATTACTCCGCTTCCGATAATAGAAAACCCAATTGTCAGGGCAAAGCTGGCAATAATGTCCAACGATGCCAATTTAATAATGGCTAAATGCTCGATAGGGCCTTCTTCTAGAGGCTCTATTGTGGGAAGGTTATCTATCATGGTTTGTTCGCTTCTGATAGAGCACGATGACGATAATACTGGCGACTAATAAATTAAGGGGGTTAGATTAATTATTTTTATAACGTTGTATTATAGCGTACATCGTCTCCTTGCTGAATAAGTTTGTAACTCATTTTTCTCTTGAGTAACATGGGTATAAAGAAACCAACAAGCAACATGCCAATATAATTTGATAGTTGAGGCAAAAGACTCATAGAAGCTATGAAATTAATAAAAATAAAAGACGAATCAGCATTCTCATAAACCTCTATTATGAAAAATGGCATTCATACTTGCTGCTCCTCTGTAAAACAGCCATTGTACTCCCAAGGTAGTACATAATCCAGTCAATAAAAATCCAGCTTGATGAAGTATAACATACATGATACACGTAAAATATATATGTGTGGATGCGAGGTAAACAAAAGCAAAAACAAAAAAAGAGGTACTGAATTTGCAGAATGAAAAAGGGAGTCCCTTTTGATCAAAAGTCCTTTTCGGGACTTGAAATGAATGAATGCAGTGTTTACTACTTGACATTTCTGCCCCGTGTAAAATATAACAGTCTTTCTTCCTTTCGCAACGACATTTAGAGGGCTTTAAATTAAGGCCGAACCCGCTCACTTACAAACAAAAAGAAATGGTTGACGTTTTCAATAATTGGTTTGTCTTTTAAGGGCACTAGTTCTTTCAGATTGTTTTTACGCAATAGTATTCTACTATTAAAATAGCCAGCTAATCATATAAGTTATTTTTAGCTTGAGATGGTTGATTTTCATCGACATATGCAATGGAAGCTCTCAACAACGTTTTGTTTTCAATTATCAACTGTAGTGCTTCAACTGTTCTCTTATTGACTAGAGCATGAAACTATTCAATCGAGGTCAGCTTTTAATGAAAAAAGGGGTATTTTTTACGTTCAATACTTCACTGTTGAAAAAAATTTGTTTAGACAAAACCACGAAATTTCTAACCCGAGATCGTAGAGAAACATACTCTCGGCACATGATAGATATTCAATTTCTACTAATTTTTAATGGTAATACTCGTGCTAACTAAGGAGTAAATTAGCTAGTTGGATCTACCGAGATTTCTCGACGATTTTCTGTAAATCGCCTCTCCTGTTTTGTGGTAAATATATTCTTTCAGTTTCAGGATCATTAGCATATAAAGCTATTCCCCCCTTTCATGGCTTTGCTTATTTAAGCAACAAATGCCTTCATGATTACTGTTGTCTTTCTAGGTGTAAATGCTTATGGTCCTTCTACACATCTTCTTTTTTTTAATTAATCATGTTTTCTTGTAACATGCACTGTAATGCTTCTATCAATAAGAAGCCAAAATGATTTCATACACTGATTTTTATTGTTTAATAAAGACCTTTTCGGGCTGTCTTGATTCATATGTTCTTTATATTCTAGTGCTGATTCATTACAGTTGTTTTATTTTTTAAAAAAAATGGCTAACATCAGATTGTATAATACTTGCTACCTAATAGTTAATAATCACAATCCTTATTTAATAAATTATATAATTACGGGCACCAAAGCACCAGAACCGAAATGGGATGTCCCGCAGTGGAAAGATGCTTTAGGGGAAGAATCTGCAGGAGTGTTACCGTTAATAAAAGTCAGCTATATGCAATTAAAGAAAATTTGGAATAATGATGTATCATTGTAAAGATAATCAGGCAATTAATCACTTAATTGTGCTCTCTCCGGTAGAGACATTTTGTATTATGCTTAAAACGTTTTCAACTTTTTCTCGATATAAAAAATGCCTCTAATCGTTAGTTGCATCTTAAACTAAAAGAAGAAATAAAAGAAGCTATTCCCAAAATAAGCAGGCCATGTCACTTTCCGTGTAGTTCAAACACACATCCAGAGATTCAAGTCATGCTAGTACTGAAATTTGATCGGCGATAGCTTTTTAGTGCATATTTTTTTGTGGTTTTCGTAGTATTCATCCTCTGGATTGGATACATAACAAAGAATGCTGCAAAACTAATCTAATATAGCAGTTGATTCGTCGTCATTGTATTTGTGGGGGTCAATGTTTGTAATTTATAATGTAAAAGGAGCCGAGAAATCAATGAATTGGTCTTTTTGTTCCTCCATTTTTAATTCGTTGATTAAAAACGTCCTTCCTTTTTTTGTTATTTTTATTTTTTTGTTATTCCACTTTCTTTCTTATATTTACAATAAAAGCATGCAAGCTTCGGATATACCAACATTAGACAAGGATTACTTTAATAATGCTTACTGTAACATGGACGATTGGCGTTATGAAATGAGAAGAGAATTACAAGAGATTGTTGTAAGGTTTAGGATTTAAGGAAAAGAAAGAATTATGAATAATTAAACGTGTGAATTAGCCTGGAGTTTTCTTAGGCCCATTTTCAGCGTGTCGACAATTCGAGGAATTAAAAGCGACCGGAATTACACACGTCGTTTGCTTTGTAGATCAGAATGAAGCAAGGCTGTTTAGGACCGAGAATTTAGCGCAGTATTTCCATTACCAGCAATTTATTGTGAGCGATTCCAATTTACAGAACCTGATTCAGTACTTTCCTAATACCTCTGAATACATTCACAACGTGATATCTCAACAAGGTAAAGTAGTTGTCTGCTGCAATGGTGGCATGTCAAGAAGTCCCACTTTTGTCATTGCTTATGTTATGGAAGTATTCAAAATTGATGCTTCTCAAGCATACCATTTTGTACAGGGACGACGTCTTTGTATCAATCCAAATGATGGTTTTAAAAGCCAGCTTAAAGTAAGCTCCATTGTGTCTGCTCTTTGTCATTTTATCTGATTTATTGAATAGGAATATGAACCAATATATAAAGCACGCCAGAGCAATACACACAATGACGACAGACAGAGTAACCGAAGACGACGTAGATCAGATCCTGATGAAGAAACACAAGAACACAGTCAACAGCCTGATCGTTCAGATTCAAAAAGGCTTTCGAGATTACAGGATCAAAATTCACAACAAAATGTCAATCCAGGTTATACCTCCATGTTATTGTAGATTTACTCTTTTTTATATGCACCTTTTTCTTACACTGCGAATGATAAAATGTATACACACGAGAGAAGAAGTTTGGAAAAGAATTCGTGTACTTTTCAAATGGAATTTCGTACACTTTTTTAAAATAAATTCGTACAAAGTAGTGGGAGCGCTTTTTTAAAAAAAAAAATGAATTGGGGGTGATCGAAATAAAATGATAGGTACAAGGATCATGGATAGTCTTGTTCATACACGGTTTTTATTCTGGTACTAGAATGTATCGTATCTTCTAACACAGCCTATGTTTCAATGATGCTAGAATTAATTTTTACTATGTAGTTGATGTCGTAGTTTGTAATATAACAGGCATGTTCAGGAACACAACTGTATCCAAAACCTTTCAACTCCTTGTAGAAATTTACTTTCGATGAAAAATAAGCACTGGTTTCCGAAATAAAGAGACATGCTTTTGTAGACGATAACATAAGGTATTTATTATGTTTTATAAATACTTATACATCGGACTGTCTATAGTATGGACAACGTAAAGTTGCACAATCGATGATTTACTTATACTGTTTGATTTGAGTCGTAAAAGGTACGTGGTTACCCCGTGATACCAATATTAGCCTTCTGCAGGTAGATTTGCTACTCTTTTTGCGAAACAGGTAAAGTGTTTCTTTTGGAGATGCCATTTTATATCTCAAACAGACACAATTTACTGGATTAATTGTATTCCCATCACATAAAAACATTTATTAAGCATTAGATGATGTTGCGATTCTATGAATCTTCAAAGTCTGAATCTCATCATCATTATCATCTTCAAAGGATGTTTTTAAAAGAACTTCACTATCATTATCCTGTAGTAAGGGCATGATGCCTTGTTCTGCAAAATCATTGGAATCCTTTCGTTTTACCATACTATCTCTTTGCTGCAAATAAGCAACTGATATCATGAAACCAATAAACAAAATAATTAAAAATGCACTTGTTGTAAATCCTCTGTCTATCAAACAAATATATTAGCACCTATGTATCCGTGGAAACAATCAATACTTTACGATAGAAAGGTGCGTCTGTTACTGGCCATAGCACAAGTGGAGTCCAAATCCACATCAAAGAAGACGAGGTATTCATGATTGCAATCGCCATCGCTCTTATCTCTCCGTTTGATGATATCACTTCACTTGCCCAAGTCATCACAATCTAATGTGTGTGTGTGTATTAGTATGCATAAATACTATATTTGTTTCATAAACATACTGAGGTAAGAGACCCTAAGCCTGCATGGACTAGTAAAAATCCAGCGTACAGAATTGGAAACGGTTGTACAAAAGCGGATAACAAACTAGGACAAAGTAAGAAATTCTTTCGCCCTCTCTCTCTTTTTTTTTTTTTTTTTTTTTTTTTTTACCTCATTCCAACCAACCCAAAGAGTGCGGGGATTACAATACACCTAAATGAAAATATTACATAAAAGCACAAATAAACATGTATTTAAATAGTTACCAAATACGTGTACGGAATTTGTCGCTCAAAAACCCGTTACATAGTCCAGCCATCATTGTAAGAATAGTGTCAGGCTAAACAAAAAAATATTAGAAAGGATAATGAAAACAAAGAACCCCAAACATACAGTGGTCAACAAGTTGGCGGTGATGGCATCAAAACCTAATTTCTTTGCTACTATTCCCAAAACGTGTGGGGCGCCCAAAGCAATATGAACAGAAGCCCAGCTGATCATAAATGGATAGAGATACTTGTTCTTTAGTAAGAGCTTTATTTTGTCTATTCTTTTGCTTTTCGAAACTCTTTTTCCTTCAGCGGAATCATCTGTACCGAGTCGTTGTACTGCAAGCTCTCTTTCAGAAGTATTCAGCCACGTTGTATTATGAGGATAATCAGGTAAATAGTGATATCCTAAAACAGCCAGGATAATTGTAATTGATGCATCAAATAAAAACATCCATCTCCATCTAAATTTCCGCAACGTGTTTAATAAAGAAGAGAGATAAGAAGGTATGACACTGTAATTACCCACTGACACCAAAAACTCCATCCATTGTTTTTAGCATGACGGCTTGTACGACGCCACTTAGTCCACTCCCAAAAGATCCACATATGGTCAATAACGCCAATCTTTTTCCCAATTCTTTTTTCGTGTACCATGTACCAATCAAAAATACAATCTAATTATGGCAATGGTTAAAAATATAAACCCAAACATTCGACACCAATAACATTTCTTACGCCAGGGTAGAAGCCTGCTTCAGCCAATCCAAGTAAAAATCGTATCACATAGACTCCTTTTACAGACTGTACACACGCCATGGCGATAGTCAATATGCACCATATTATCTCAAGCGCAGGTAAATACCTCGATGGCCTCATATTTGATAATAATATATTTGAAGGAATTTGCATACTAAAGAAAATGATGTAAGATGGCAAGTTTGAAAAAAGATAAATGATATGATATATTTTACTTGCGTTAGATAGCCTATCATAAATAGTACGCCCATCCAATTATACTGTAATCCAGTAATATGCAGTTCTTCTTCCATACCGCTGATAAAGGCGCTTGCTACGTGATGAATATATTAATATAGTACAATCAAAAACTCAATTATGCTACCTTGTATTACCTAAATTTGTGTTATCTAATGCTTTTACTAAATTACCAAACATTGCAAAGACTAGTAGCCTTTTATCAAGCCTATGCACAAGTTCAATTTCGTCTGTTCTGTTTATTGGTTTTGGCTCATTGTCTGTCATGGCGTTTAGTTCAATGGAGGAACTGTGTTGGGACCAGTCGTTTATAATGTCTTCCGCAACTTTGGGGCTCATTTTCAGAAATAATAAAGAAGGGATAAATAAGGCACAAAGGGGATATATGTATAATATATATTGAGAGAGAGAGAGAGAGAGAGGAAGGGGTATAATTAAAATAGAATTGATTCTTTAAGGCATATGGGGCGGGGAGAAGAAGGGGTAGTTGGTGACACCTGTGACACACAATCAAATATGGCTACTCCGAACTGAAACTCAAAAGAAAATTAAAGATTCAGGTTTTTCCTTTGTGAAAACAAACATGATGAAAGATTATCGTCGCACTTAGAGTTGTTGACATTTTAAACACCCCGCGTTTTTTTTTTATTATTTTTGACATAAACAATAAATATGTTTCTACTATATAAGCTTCTTCTTTTTTTTATTTTCATTTTCCTTCTTCCTTCTACATTCTTTCTTACATTAAAAAATAAACATGCCTACAGTCAAACCAGTCAACTTAACAGGAGGTCAATGGTAAATATACTGATTTCAAATAATTCTGATTTGTTTTGACTAAATCATTTGTATCGTTAGTGAACATTGTGGACAGGTAAAAAAATAGATTTACTATTTTGTTTGTAATGTGTGTATTCAATAATCTTGTTGTATGTATTATAGTATGGTCATAGTAAAAAAGGTTGCAGTCTCTTAAGGTCAAAATAATATTCAAAAAAAAAAAGACAAAAAGCATATACCCCGCACTCCCACACCCTTTATAATAATAATAAAAAAATAACTTTATTTTAAACAAGTTCCATGTAACGTTTCAACTCATAGTCAGTTACAGCATTCTGCCATAAATTCCACTCATGGTTTCTAGTGCTAACATAGTGATCAACAAATTCATCGCCTAATACTTTACGAGCCACTGAATCCTTCTTGTCCATAACTAAAGTAGCTTCTTGTAATGTGCGTGATAATCGCTCGTTGCTACTGACATCGGTTGCTGAGTTACTTGGGCCTGAAGGGAGCTCCTGCTTAGTTTGAATACCCCAATAACCACACTTGAGCACAGCCGCCAAGGCTAAATGGGGATTAATATCTGCTCCGGATACCCTCTAAATAATGACATTAGTATAATATCTGTGCACATACATATAAACAAACATACCATTTCTAATCGAGTTGCACTAGCTGAGGTCGAAGGAGGTGCGATGACACGAACTGCACTGTGACGCGAATCAATACCCCATGAAACACTCACAGGAGCCCAATAATTCTCGACCAATCTCTTGTAACTGCAATAAAAGTTTTAATATTTTGATTTTAATTATAAATATTTAGTATAAACATTTACCTGTTGATGGTTGGAGCTAAAATAGCCAGAATACTTGGCAACCCTCTCAAAACACCGGCTAAAAACCAAACCATTGTTTTTGTCATGTTGGGTATATCACTTGGTTCACCCACGGCAAACAAGTTATCGCCATTTGTGTCCTTCAAACTGAAATGCATATGACCAGAACAGCCAGGTTGATCGCCATAGGGTTTGGCCATAAATGATGGCATCACTTTATGCTTTAACCCGATTTGTTTCATTGAGGTTTTGAATAAGGTTGCACGATCACCCATCTCCTTTGCATCCTTGTATAAGATTGCAGCTTCAAACACTCCTGGACCTGTTTCGGTGTGCCAACTCTCAACATCTACCTGAAATTGCTTTAACCAGTCAAATGAGTTGTAATAAAAGTCTTGATTATGCAATGGACGTAGTACAGAATATCCACACATGCCCACGGTAAGTGGAACTAGTTGGCTATGACCTTTGTCAGCTAAACTTTCACTCGTCTCTATTTGGTTGGTTGGTCTGAGTTTGCTTTCCGCGTTTATAAAAAAAATGTAGATTATATTACCTTTAAAACAGAAAAACTCGAACTCTACACCACAGTAAGCCGTAATACCCATTTCAGCAAACTCGTCCACGGCGCCTTTCAACACGTTACGTGGACAACAGTAGAGTGGCTTACCTGTCGTTGGATGAAACAAACTTACAAAGAAAAAGGGAATGTTATCTTCCCACGGGATACGACGATAAGAAGATAAATCGATTTTTGCAACCAAGTCAAAGTACTGACACTCCTTGCCAGAAAACTCCATAGGAGTGGTGTAGTTTTTATCTTGGATATCCCATCCAAATATAACAGAACAGAAGCCTACATAATTTTAGTCAACACAGTGTACACCGTTTGACAAAAATACAATATATATTACCAAATCCGCTTTTTGCAACTTGCAGGAATTTCTCTTTGTGTATAATCTTGCCGCGTAACAAACCATCAATATCAACAGCAGCTACTTTGATTCTGCTATCATTGACTAATGCATCTGCAAGGTTATCAAGGTTAAGTATAGATTGGGTCATTGTGTAAGAAAAAAAAAGATAAAGAGGAAAAGAGAAAGAGGATTAGCAAATCAATATTTATAACCAAGCTAAAATAAATATGTGCTCGTCGTCATTGAACTAGACCGGACCTTCAATAAATCCGATTATGGTAAATTCAAGCTGACGACACGAACGTGGTATAAAAACAAAGTTCATCTTTTTTTTTTAATTTCTTTATTCCTTTTCCTCTAATTTTTCTCCCCAACTCTTACCATGTCCACTATTTTTACTGCTGAAGAAGTGTCAAAACACAAAACCAAGAATGATTTATGGATGACTATTCACAACAAAGTCTATAACATTACCGAATTTATTATCGAGGTAACGATCACATAACCTATTTTGTCACATAGCCATATTAATGATTTAGTAGCATCCTGGTGGTAAGTTCCTTCAACTTTACACGTGATTTCAGTTCCCTTCTAAATAATGACCCCATTACTTTCCGTAGGAGAGGAAGTTTTGTTGGATGAAGCAGGTAAAGTGGAATGGATGTAAGGGTTGTAGTATTGTGGCTGACACAACTTTGTAAATTGGAAAAATAGGTAGAGATGCCACTGAATCGTTCGAGGATATTGGACATTCAGACGAGGCTCGTGAGATCCTGGAGAAATATCTTGTTGGCGAATTAAACGAAATTGTAAGTAGATTGATAATTGGTAAATGATATATAGGTTGACATTATTCGATAGTCCAAGGCCAAATATCGTCAATACCCAACAACTCGTGCCGGAGAACTTCCTGAAGAAAAGAAGAGTGGATCGTAAGTAAAAAAAAAATTATTTGTGCTTACTTATTAAAACCCCTCTATTTAGCGTCCTTCGTGTCGTTTTGCCTACACTTATAGCCATTGGCTTCTTGGCCTATAAATATGTTCTTGCCCCCAAGCAACACTAATAATTGAGTTATTTTATCTCTAATTTTGTAAAGACTACAGCTTCTACATTCCACCTTTAGCTAAATTATTATGATGAATGAATAAAAAGATCGAAGTTACACAGTCTCATCTAAATATAATAACAGCAATCTGTATCCCCGATTTCCCAAAAAAAAAAAAAAAAATCTATTATGCCTCAATTGACATCTCATCGTAGGGACAATCAGGTTTTTAGGATAGAACTTTAGTCGCTAGAGTGTTTATACTATTGTGAATAAGTGTCAGAAATGTATGCATTGCAGAATTTGTTATTATCAGTACCATCAGTAAGATGCTACCTCCAATGAATAAATCATCGTATGATTATTCAGTGTTTGTCCATTGGTATCACAATAATCTTTTGATGGAAAAAGCATTTTCTCTACAGTTCAAACTATCGATTCATAATTGTTCCAGATTAAGCGAACTGGTGATGTAGAATGCAGATCTTGTTTTTAACGATTAAACCGTCGTATTGTGGTCAAAGCACGAATTTGCGTTAGGACTGTTAGCTATCTTCGCTAGTACAGCTGGCACTAGGCTGGAGTCATGGTTTATCATAATAAGTCGTTCTTTTTAAAGTAATTTTATTATAATTATCGTTATTTAGTACAGACGTTATTTACTTTCATCATTAATTAATTGTGCATCAAGGTAGCAATTATGGATATATGTATATGGGTTGATTGTTGTTCGGAAGAGACAAAGTTTTGGTTTAAAAGTGAAAAAATTTATCTTCTGAAGCCATTTCTAAATGAAACAGACAAATGATCCAGTTCCTGAAGATTAGGGCAGCTGTTAATTATATAATCTCGATAAATGTTTCTTCTTCTAAGCAAGTCATTCGATAGGTAATCGCAATAAACCAAGTTTTTTGTTTCCCATTTTGGGTCATGTGCAATGTCAATATAGGGAAAAAGTGAGCCGTGTTTAGGCCTTTTCACCGGTGGGTAATAGCCTGTATTGACAGGATTTTTCCTATAAAAATGGTTAGTTTTCCCGACATGTTTGCATACACATCAGCATATGATTACCTTAAATCTAATACAACCAATTTTTCTAAATGCTTAACCACCGAAATAATATCTAGTATACTAACAAGATTGTTTCCCAACAGAACCAATTGCTTCAACTCTTTAAGAGGCTTCAATGGACTAATATCTTGCAAGCGATTCATGCTGAGATGCAGACGACTAAGATTAGGTGCTCGATTGCTGAAATCCGCAGGTAGTTCGTCCAACTCAACCGAACACAATTCCAAGTGTTTAAGAGTGAAAAAATCAAAAAATTGTGTCATTCTTCGAAAAGGATAACCCGACAGATACAATTTACGGGTACTTCGTAAATAGTACAAGTCAAAATTGCTGTTCATTTACGTTAGGTTATTAGCTTATTTATGAGCTGAGAGAGCTACTTACTATAAATCTTCCTGGTTTCTGAGTGAGAATGAAGTCACTCGAGGAGTACTTGTTAATTCATAAACTCGTGTAATAATGTTCTCGTCGAGGTAAACTATTCTTGCATTAGGAAACCACCTAGCATCAAATTCTGTCAATCGGTTAAAGCTTAGGTTTAAGTTACAGAGTCGATTAATTGTACGAGTAAGACTTATGGATATCGCGTTGTTGCTGCTCATATTGAACTCCACTAGATTTTGTAGGGTCTCAATTGAGGTCAAACGTTCGATTAGATTAAATGATACGTCCAAAATTTCTAACATGGACATGTTTGCTATGAGTAGTCCATTCAATCTTCTGATTTTGTTATGTGTTAAGTTTAGACTGATCAAACCGGGTAAGTTTTCAAAAATACTACACGTTTCAATGTTGTTGTAACCAGCATCCAATGTGCGCAGTGACTTTAATCGACTCATGTCTTTAAAGTTCATAATCTTATTTTTTGATATGTCAAGAATTTCTAGCCGCTCCAAATGATTAATATCTATTTCTGTCAACCTAATAAATCCTATTAATATAAATTCTATGCTCATCTTTTCCGTTTTGAACATACTTGTTATTGGCAGCATATAGATACTGCAAGGAGTTTGGTAGTCCGCTTATAGAAATGAGTTCATTGTGTGATCTAAAAATCAAAAGAAATGAGTGAAATAATCAATATTCATACTTGAGATATTTACACATTGAGGGTTTCTAACATTGGAAAGTTGATGTCAAAATAATTCAGTTTGGAGATATTTTGGTATCGAAGATCTAAAAATGTCAGCTTGTACCATTGGGTTACATCACAAATTTCACTTCCAATCGAGTAGTAAAGCTTGGCTAATTGGGAGTTATCGGCTAAGAATTTAAAACACATCGATATTGTTTCACTGATACTGTTATCATTTGCTTGAAGTGATGCCTCTTCATTTGTATCATTCCCAGTTGTAGGATGTTCGTCTCCGAGTGCTTCATCTGCAAGTGGCTCGTCCGTGGGTATTCTATTTACGATTGGTTCATCTGTAGTTTGATTGGATGTAGATTGTTCAGTTACGAGTGGTTTAGTAGGCTGTCCAACTATTGATGTATCGGTTGTATGTTCCTCAAATGTAGCTTGTGCATCTGAAGATTGGTTATTTAAAGTTTCTGTTCCGTCTTGTTCTTTAGTGGGCTGTTCAGGTTCAAGCTGGTCAGCTGTTTGAATTGATACATCGATGAAACAGCTTCGGTTTGAATCATCTTTTCCTGTTGAAAGATTTTCATCTAATTGCCCATGCATATTTTATATCCAAAAGAAAGAGGCGATATATGCCATTGATTGTATGATAACTTATTTATGGTCATTGCTGATTAATGTGTTACAGTTATTTATTATCTAAATACGCGGTGTCATTGTTTATTGATAAATTTGTTGGTTAAAATGTAAGAACAATGTATTTTTTGAGCTATTATTATAATAGTGAATTAAATACTACATTGTTCCGAATTGGTAAGTGTAAAATCTTGCCATTTTTTTCAGTTAATTGATTGCCCAAATAGACCATGTAATTGAAAAAATGGTATTTTAGTTGCAGGCTTACTGAAACTTTGCAAAATTTAAAACGTTGATTCATCAAGCTGTTAATTTTAGACCCTTCAAAGTGATTTACTTATGAATTCCTTTGGAACTAAACTCATTACATTAGTTAAGACATACAAAAATTTTGATAAAGAACCCACCAATAACATTCTGTAACGCCGGTTTTACAGAGAAGCTCAATGTTAAGATAAGTCGTAGCTTCGGATTTTTAGCAGCTAAATCGGCGATATGTATAACATATAAAGTCTATACTGACAGGTGCAAATTTGTCTTTTACTACATTCACAAGTCAATCTGTAGGATATTACTTTTTTTCTAGATATCAATAAAGCCCAGATCAAATTTGCATGGTACAAAGATGGGAAAATGACCCAAAGATTCTATTTACGAAAGACAAGCAACTACAGTCAACTGACTGCGCTCACAGTTTCTGGAAGAATACAAATGTCATTTTATTATCCTTCTTGGTGGATAGCTTCGATTAACGGGACAATATCTGGTGAGTTGCTTAATGGATACTTTCAAGATATCTAATTTAAAGACGACTTCTGTCAAGAGCTTATTTTTTTGCAATCGTGACCTGACTTTAAAAGATTAACCTAAGCGTATCCATGAGTGTGTAAAATCGGTACTCAGATCAGCCTTTAACAAGAAACGAATAAAGAAATGTTACGTCTGAGCAAAGAGATGATATATTTAGGGGTACTGTTGAGTCATCACCTTGTCTCTTCGATGATACCAAAGCCATATAATTCTATTAGAGAGACAAGGTGTTACAATTATTGGATAGATATGCGAGAAAGTCTGTCAGAAGAAACCAGACAATGGCTGTTAAAATGACATGGTTAATTGCTTGAAGGAATGGTCTCTGTGTGACCGGATGTTTGTGTCCTGGTCATGTTTATCTGGAAACACTTTTGCTTTAAGAGACATGAAATAACATCGCATGGTGATAGACATTTATGGTGATACTCAGTGTAAGGCATATTATACTTGTAAATGCGTGAATATCTCTTAACAACAGGTTAAACATTAATATTATTTGAAGCACTTCTTTCTTTTGTCTGATCATCGAAGTCAGAAGTTGGCTCGTGGCGATCGATTTCGCTGAACTGATTACCAACGTCAATGATACTGTATAGACAACAAATGTATCATACAACATCATAAAACAAGCAAAATCACCATAAAATATTAAATAAAAAAGAACAATTGTTTATTGAACATCGTTTCCTTTGTGATACTCTGAAAACATACGACGCTTTTAAACCCAACGTTTTCTTTTTTTTTCTTGAAAAGGATCATTTAGTATTTCTTCCTGTGAAACCATGAATGTATATATAGGTTAGTTTGTGCGGTATCCACGTACTTTTATTTTATTTGCCTGGTTTGTATGTACCCTATAAGTTTTAGATCCAAAAAAAAAAAACAGTATACCAAACATCGTTCCTCATTTATCAATTTTACGTTGATTTTCTAAAAATACAGTAGATAGAATTAAGGGCTTATATCTTTAACTATTTTTAATTATTTGTTCCGAAAGTAAATCAAGTCTATACTTTTTGTAGCTTCAAGGCGTAGTAAAATTGTGAGACGCAGATAAAATATACCCACATACACTCATTTATAGCAGATCGCGTGTTAATTTTTATGACGATTATAATTAGATACCATTTTTTTGATATTGTTTTTTTTTCTTGTATACGGCAGAAATTGAAGGCAAAATAAATACAGGGTCTCCTTTAAAAGTAATTAATCAAACACCCCTTTAAGTTTCCATATAATATTATTCTAAGTTTTAGATTTTATTCATAACAATATATGTAGTTATTTAATATTATTTCCAAATTGTTGAATTGGGCAGTTGCCGCCATCTGTAAATTTAGCTTCCGTGTCACTTGAGATTCATTTTTCTGTAAAAAAGGTTTTGTGGAGCACATGAGACTCTATTTATAGTGCGCTCAGTCAATGTGACGACAATGACATCAATGCATTTTGAACCTTTGTTGTTATGTTTGGCTAACGGACTGTGTGAAGTTTTCGGATACGGATTAGTTTTACTACCGAAATTATCTGTAATAAATTACAGTGGATTTTAAAAGGGTATAATTTTGGGACACTTTGTTCTTTCTTTAATCTTTACTTTATATCTCAATATGGCGCCCTTAAAAGTAATTGGAGCAGGCTATGGAAGAACAGGCACGGATAGTCTCCGTATTGCCTTGAATACACTGGGGTAAGAAAAATAGTTGCATTCTAAAATATGTATGTCTAATATTTTTTCTCTTGAAGATATAACACATATCACACGAGGGTATTGTTTTCAGATCCTACAACCGACACGGACGATTTTCTGAATGCCTTCCATCACAGGGAAGAGGCTGACTGGGACAAGATATATGAAAATTACAGTGCTGCTGTTGACTGGCCTTCTTGCACTTTTTATCAAGATTTGATAATGAAGTATCCTGAAGCCAAAATCATTTTAACTGAACGTAGTGCCGAAAGCTGGTATAAATCTGTCAAAAACACCGTTCATGCTGCTCTTATTGCCTCTGCTTCCGATCCCAAACATGACAAATTCAGAAGGATGGTAACTGATGTTTGTGTTGATGGTGTTCTGAATGATCCCATCAGGTTTGAAGACGAAGAAGCAGTCAAGGCGATGTTTGTTAAACACAATGAGGGAGTCAAGAAATTTGTACCCAAAGAAAATCTTTTGATCATGCAATTGGGGGAAGGATGGGAGAGGCTATGCGAGTTTCTCGGAAAAGAAGTACCTGATATACCATACCCAAGAGTTAACTCTACGCAAGAGTTTCAAGACAGTAATCTTCTTATAGATAAATAAAATATTTTTGTTTGTGTCAATCCAAATTTTTGCACCAGCTACAATTGCGTCTTTCGATTACGTCTTGCCTATTTTTATTAGAGACAAACCAATTTGGCTAGGCTTATAAGTAAAAATAGCTATTAGTCATTCATATCTGTAAGTCTGTTTATTTATTTTAAGAAGAAACGGGATCATCGTCGTTGTTTTGAAATTCTTCTCATACAGACATGTTATTTTGGTATTCTTATACTTTAGCAACTTGTTTCTATGGGTTTATTTTTTGTCTTGTAATATTTAATAGCCAATACATCTAGTATCTATATAAAGGACCTTTAGACTTTTCAAGTTTCCAAACAGCTGAATAAATACTTTCAGTGAAATGTTAAAAGCACTCAGACTCTGAAGATACTACAGAGCAAACTTCGCACATTTATTTACGGCGATTAGAAGTTTTCTAGCCTTTGAGAATCTTTCGGTGACTGAAAAGTTCGTTACTTTGCGATCCAGTTTTATCGTTTCATACACATGATGGGTACGCAAATCATTTATTGCCGCTAAGCTTATTCGCCTCTTGTTTTAATGCAAAGCTAAGATGTATATTGTACACTATTGAGGAAAAAAGCTACATAGCTACTAAGGGTTTATAATGTTTAAGATCGAAGCTGTGAAAAACTTAATTTAAAAATTAGTTATGCTGTCAGTTCGTCATTTAAAACTTGGGTCTGGGAATCATTTTAAGTAACGCGTTTCTTTTTCCGTTTTATTATAAAATGACCAGTTCACAAGATTTGCAGTTATTTTTAAATTCGAATATAACGACAGATGGAGACTTAAACTTAGATAAGATTACAGGTTTGCTTGCTCTGAAGAGAGCAGAACAATCGAAACTCGATGCCAAGGTAATTCATACATGTAATATCTTACCTTGACTTAACAATCTTTACTCATAGCTTCAAACATTGACTGATAGTACAAGATCTCTGTTGAACACTTCCTTGAAGGAATCCCAAACACACCGCACATCACTCATACAGCTTGAAAATTCTTTCGCAGAAACCGTAAAGAATATCGACCAATTTGTTGAGTCTAGTAAATCACCCTTACTTGATACTTTGAGTACGCTGGAACAAAATTTAAGGACAATTGAAAATGCAAAGAGCTACGTTAAGGCACTTCTGATTGTCTCGGAGCTAAGGTAAAAAAAAAAGTACATCAAATATGAATGGAGTACTGATATAGGTATAGCTCGCAGGCATTAACGCTCGTACAAACCGAACCAGATAAAGCGATGACACCTTACACCCAACTTGTGAAATTTGAGCAACACGTCAATCAGCAATCAATGGATCAGTACAATGATTTATCACTGCATTTGAAAAAAAGCCGAATTCGTCTTAAGGAAGAACTTGATGCGGTTTTAGCAAAGTAAGCGTATATAAAAAGTGGGAAATATTGACTAGCAAGATTAAAATGATCGAAAAATTAGGAACTTTAAAGAGAGTTTGGACGCATTGTCTTGGCCAACACCTATAAAACCACCTTACGGACCACAACTTAAACCAAAACTGAAGGTATTTGAAAAGGCTTTCCGAAATTTATTGATTTTACAACAATCGTAAGTAAAAACACATTTGTTTTTGAAATCATCCGCTTATATTGAATTTTTATACAGATCTCAAGATTTTAAAATAGAAGGCGAGTTTATATTATCGCCTCTGTCTATTATGTTAGAAGGACTATCACTGAGGTTTAGATTTCATTTCGAGACATCCAAGCCCACAAACCGTATTGACAAGGTAAAAAAAAAAAAAAAGAGAGAGAGATAAAGAAGAAGAAGAAGAAGAAAAAAGAAAGGGGGGGGGGAGATTCGCATCAACACTAAATGATTTAATAGCCTGAATGGTACTTACAACATGTCAAAAACACGATTTCAACCCATTTACCATTTTTGATGACAACCATTCAACCCATTCTAGAATCAAGCAAAGAATATTTACCTCATAAAGTCTTTATCAAGGATCAATTTATTTCTGGTTTATTAAAAGATGTGACCAGAAAATTGCAACATACAACACCCCAATTATTAAATCAACCCAGCTGGCTCAGCCATACGATCAGTCAAGTTTTGCAGTTTGATAAAAGTCTTCTGGATGATTTTGCTTATGACCAGCCGATTTCCAATGTTGTGTTAAGTAACCCAGCCTGGTTTAATGCATGGTTTGGAGCAGAAAAGTCATGTCAGTATAGCTTGATTTGAATTAAGACTCTGTCATTAACATTTCCTCCCTTTGTTTTTCTTTAGTTGCTCAAGCAAGATACGATGAAATCATGTTGGATGGAAAAGCATTTGAAATTTATGCGGAGGATGATCTAGAGAAACCCACTGCTGATTCAAAATCGATTAAGCGCACTAAATCAGCCGTTCGTCTCATCAACTTATTGGAGAATATCACAAGTGCTTACAATTTGGTCCCTGATATCGCACAAAAGTTCAAATTTTTAGTGGAAATTCAATTGGATTTATTGGGTCAATATCAAAAACGTTTGTCAACAGCGATTGATTCATTTGAAGCGTTGAGTTTAATAAGATCTGTGCCTGTACCCGGTGCACTCCCCGATTCAGTAACGGGTGTCATGACCTCTACGGAGACAGGTGGTATTGTTTCTGCTTTACATCGTTTATATAAATGGTGGACTAGTGCTAGATCAATTATGGATGTACTGAAAGATTGGACGGAAGATGATGTTAGTATGGATACATTGACTGCTTTAGAAAATGCTGACATTTGATGTTTAGTTCTTCCTTGATATGCAATATCAAATTAGTCAGGAACCCAGTTGTATTAAAGAGGTCTCACAAGAAAATGAAAGAAGCAACATGTTACGCTTATCGCGTCTAGGACACAATCAATATGAAGGATTATTTGATGATGCTATCACTGCTTATGAACAGTTAATCAAGCGCACTGAGAAAATTATTGTTAAAATGGCCATTAAAGAATGGATGATGGATGCAAGGAAATATGCCAAAAAGTAAGCTTTAGATTATAAATAAGACGGTTTGTCCTAACGAGAAATTAGGGATACATGGTGGCAAACATCTACTGATACACCGACAGAAATTTCGGATGAGCTCTATGAGCCACTTCAAGACTTGAGAGTGACATGGAATTATTTACATGGTATTTTACCAGAATACGATTTCTTGAATGTGTTTCGTCAAAGTCTTTTAGAAATCGAGGACTGGTATTGGAAAAACATTATTACACAAAGTCAATTTTCGAGCGTGGGGGCATTACAGTTGGAGACAGATTTGAAGTTGGGTTTATGGAAGATCGGGCAGCGCTGGGTCCTCAAGCCAGAAAATTTAACCAAGAAGTACTTACAAAGAATTTTTTTTTATTCGAAGGAGGGCTAACATTCTTTTTTTAAACTATCTAGACTCAAAGAGGCCATTCAACTGTTGACATTGCCATTTTCTTCCGAGAAGGATTCGCTTTCTTGTGATGTTTTGATGAAGGCACTGGCCGATACTAATCAGTTAGAATTTGTTCAAAAGACACTAGAAAAACTGGGTATCGAAACTCTCAGCAACGGACAAATCCGTGATGTGTTGAGAAGAAGAAATGATATGCTTTATAGCTGGAATTAAATAAAAATATCTTTGGAGTACTTTTTAAGGATTTCGTGATAGAGATTATAATAATTAGGTTTGAGGCGATTTAACGATCGGTCATGAAACTCTGAAACTGCAAGTGTGGGTGGAGACAAACCTGGGAATGTAAAAACCAATTACACCTCTTTCTTTAAGAGATATTGATGCAACTAAAAGCGTGTTTCAGTAAGTTATCAACAGCTTAAACGAAACGGGATATCCTAGCAACAAGCTTATTTCAAAAAGTAAATTTTTATGTAAGGCAGATCATGAAATGAGATATACTTCTTACTGGGACACCTTACATAATCCAGTTCATACCAGTTTTAATATCTTTCCATAATTCCCACCATATCTATCATATCTATCCCTATGTGTTCCCCCTTTGGAGAGGGAAATGAACAACTGGTCCGGACAATACCTAAGCACGCCCTACAATATTTTGGCCTCCGACCAGCTGCGCAGTACAGCAGCCACGGATTTTTTTTAAAAAATTGAGGGCGTAGTCTTTTTTTTTTTTTATCCATCTCTTTTTTGCTTCATTAATTACCCATCCGTTTGCGAATGCCAGTACCGAAAGCAGTATTGAAAGCCAGTGCGAGCCAGTGCGAGCCAGAGTCATGCCAAAGCCTAAACCTGTGTCGAAGCGAGTGTCTGTTAGTACCCAAACGCGTTTTGAGGTGAGTGCACCCGCCAGTGTCTCAACCAGTGTCGAAGGGAATACAGCACGAGTATCGACGCCAGTGCAGAAGCCCTCAAGTGGTAGACGCCAGTGCCGAAAGCAGTGTTGAAAGCGAAATTGCAAGCCAATGCGGAACCGAGTTGCCATGCTAGTGCTCTAAATCTGTGTCGAAGCGAGTGTCTGTAAGTACCCAAACAAGTGTTGAAAGCGACTGCGCCCTCCATGGGGCCTTCATCCGTGTTAGAGCGAGTACATCACAAGCATCGACGCCAGTGCAGAAGCCCCTCAATAGGTAGACGCCAGTGCGAAAGCAGTTTTGAAAAGCGAGTGCAACCGTGCCAGTGCCTACCAAATCTGTGTCGAAGCTTGTGTCCATGTCAGTGCCAAAACACGTGTCGGAGCCAGTACAGCACAAGTATCGACGCCAGTGCAGAAGCCCCTCAAGTGGTAGACGCCAGTGCGAAAGCAGTTTTGAAAAGCGAGTGCAAACATGCCAGTGCCTAAACTTGTGTCGAAGCGAATGTCCATGTCAGTGCCCACACTCCAGTGTTGAAGGAAGTGCATCGCCAATATAGCGCCCTACTTTAAGTCAGGGTTTCAACCAGTGTCGAAGTGAATACAGCGCGAGTATCGACGTGAGTGCAGACGCTACGTGTTGGGAAAAGTGAAGGAGTCGGACTGTCAGTGTAGAAGTTACTTGGTGTTTCGATGATGTCTATGTACGCATTGTGCTAATATCTCTAATACATAACATGAATCATTCATAATATTCGATGATGTCTATTTATTTACTCATCTTTTTGATGTCTCAAGTATATAACACATATCATTTATAATTAAAGATACCAAATTAAATAAACACCAAAGTCATTTATGTAGTAAATAAAGGATTATCTTACATTTGATTGAAATTATTGTCTTATTCATGATATTACAACAATATCGAATTGGGCAATTTTGGAGTAAAAGCTTTACATTTTTCATAAAATATACAATATGCATATGTGAACCTCCTTTATTTAAAGTAATAATTTTATGAAGGCCTATTAGATTGAATAATGAGGATTCTGAAGAAAAAGTATTACTGACATCAAACTCTACCAATCAAACCGTGTTTCTCCTTAGTGCAAGAAAGGGGGCCTTTCTAATGAAATGGCGCAAGGATTTTGGAAAAATTGTACTTTTTCTCTAAGGGACAGCCAAAGTGCTCGTAGTCATAATGTAAGATCAAAACCAGAAAAGGTTGACTCATCATTAAAAACCAGGAGAGTTGTGCAATATAAAAAGGATGAATTATTTCATAACAGCAGAGTTCGTTTAGTCCGCTAAAAAAGTCAATTATCTAAAGAGTACATTTTAACATGTACAGTTAGTTTGAATAATGGTAAAAGAGCTTCATTGCTGAACATTATCTTACATCATAAACTTGACATCCTGACATTTATTTGCTCCTCAAACATAGATTTTAATGAGCGACTATCGGCTGAATTCAGCCCTAAGTTTTCTTCCATCAGTTTTTGTAGCAAATGATGAGTATCGCAAATGTCATCCTACATGTAGATAAAAATTAGAAATTGAAATTATTTAGGGTTGGGTGGGGTTTAAACGTACGAAAATGGTGGCTATCAATTCTAAATATTTAACAAGAATGATTATATTATCCCAGGAAGATGGAAGTGTGGCGATTCGTTTTTCAACAGAATTCCATCTTGTGACATTGTTAAAGTACAGCTTAGACAAAGCTACTTGGTTTAAGATGGATTTTAGACCAAAAACCTTAAGCTTCTTGAAAGTCGCTATGGAAGAATTTTTGTTTAAAATTGCTTCTTTTCTCAAGGATGAAATGCCACACACCAACAGCTTGAGACAATCTTCAATGGTGTGTACTGTGCTCTCTTGGATTTTCCCACTATTCAAAAAAAGAAACAAATTAGAGCCGCAATAAGTCGTATCTGTGATTATAAACTACCTTGATGCTTCGACAATAATGACTTCCATGTTATTAAACAATTTGAAGTAATCGAGAGCGTCATTGTACTTGACTGAATTAGTGGTATAGTCAGATTTGCGATAGTCAAGGTACTTTCCGGAGGTGAATTGCGTCTCACACCTGGGAATTTTTTTAGTATCCAGAAGTTTTTCTTTTTTATTCTTTTGTTTTACCACTTACATTCGACAAAGTCCACGATCTTTGAGACAGCAAGGAAAGATTTTATTACACTCTCAATAAAAATAAGTCCTCTCATGGTTTTGTACCAAGAGAGGACCATTCTTGAGTGTAGGGTGGAACGAGATCCATGTATATCGTATGATATTTAACAGAGCTACTGCTTTATCCGTTAAACCTTCAATCTTCGATGCCCATATATTCTGAACAAATGATTCGACATCATTATGTCTTAGGAGAGCGATGGTATGATCGAATATATTGTGTTTACGAAGTGAGGTATAGTTGGCTTGATCTTGTTCATGGGCATGGTATATATCAGAAATAAGGGAATTACTAAGTGCAAAAGAAGTCCCAAAGTTTACCAAGTCATTTAGAACTTCCACATGACATTTGCGAAGCTTGGGCATATGTCGATCATCTGATTGAAAGTTTGGAGTAACTAGCTGATACTTTTTTATGCCCTCCGTAATTACAACAGCAGCCTATATGTAAGAAAGTATGAGCACTATGATTGAAATAAGATAAGGGAATCACAAACCTTTGGGCAAGGCTGGTGCTCAGAGTCCACGAATTTATTCGGGCGCCTGTTGTTTTTATAAAATAAACAACAGGCAAGCAATACAGGTTCGTTTTTGCTGTACGTTTCACATGTCGAACTACCTCCATTCGTAAAGTTTCCAGAAAACTTATTCCGAATGCTTCCATAGTAGTTGGAGCTTTGGGGTTAGAAAAAGCACAAAAATCCCACTTGGGAATCTTGATGCTTTTTCGCGGGATTTTTGTGCACTTGTCCGAAGTGGTTTACATCTTCTTCAAGGTTTTCTACGTCTTTTTTAGACTCACGTATAGTTTTTTTGGACATAAAAATTATATGACTTACAGCAATCCCGGCCAAACCCTGAGAACCCGACTTGGGAGGTCGCCATCATACAGCAATCCTGGCCAAAACCTGAGAACCCAACCTAGGAGGTCGCCATCATACAGCAAAGACTGCTCTCAGCCGAAATATCGCAAAAGTTGCAAGGTATTTTTTAAAAAAGAGAAATAAGTCTGTTAAAGTTAAAAAAAAAAGAGGTGTGTGAACGAGTCTTATTTATAGGCTAATAAACAAGAACTGGTTTATGTCATGATGATCTAATCAAAAAAGTGTTTATTTGTAAACTGATAAACAAGATTTAATTGCTTATATAATTATCCAAAATGTTTGGGCCTTTACTTTTATTAGAAATATCTGCAAATACGTAATCTCTAACCTACATACAAGCAATTTTCATTCTGAATTTGGCAATTGTCTATCAGTTTAGTAGTAGCATAAACCAATATTGAATCATATAGGTATTTGGAAGAGGATATCTTTGAGAATTTTAGTTATTCCAGTGCAAAATTACAAGCATGGGATATATTTTCTTCGTCAAGAAATTCATTCGACACGGGGGACATGTCTGGGGGGAGAATAAATCGTAAATATTACAATTTTTTTTTTTTTTTTTTTTTTGAATTAAATATATTGACTTACCGAACTATCAACATATGTTTACGATATGGATGATTGGGGGTCTGTTGCAGGTCTTTGGAATCTACTTGGACGTAAGTTGTTGTTTTTTTGCATAAAACTTGCAATAGAGTAAATATTTCGAGCCGCATTGGTATCTCTATTCCATAATTTGTTACAACTTTTGCAAGTCAACAAATTGTGGATCTTTCCGACATCAGGGATTCGAACATTTTCCAGTGTTTTCAGCAAGCAGGAAGGATTGGAACACATCTAAATTAAAGTATTAATATCTAGTACAACAATCCGAATCGTTCATTATTTTACCTGTGAAGTAAGGTACTCGTCGGTATACACCAGAATTAGCCTTTCATCTGCACTTGCTTCTTCCATCTTTTTCCTTAACCTACGAAGCATACCAGATTGCTTTCCTTTCATTGTCACGTTAAATACTGCATTTCCTAAGGCGATCAAAGGCACTTTCTTCTCGTTCTTGAAGGGAGCTTTCTTCCATTTCTGATTTTGAGTCTCGGTTGAAGGGCCGCTCGTTGTTACAGATACAGTAGTGTAAGCTGTTGTTGGCGCCGATAGTGAGCTTTTTCCCACCTGCAAAGTCAATTTTTTCTTATTCTTCTTTTTCTTTTTCTTTTGGCGCCTTTGCTTGTAATCTGCCTTATTTCTGCGCGGATGGGTTTTATTGTCCGGATTATATTTTTTACCGCCTGAACAAAATATGTTTACAAGTTCATTATCCATTCTTTGCTGACCACGGTAATTAGAGAAACGAAGATCCGTAAATCGACCATCATAGAATTGTAATAGCGTGTCTAAATGGGTGAAGTAATATTGTAAATGTTGTTCAAAGATTGATAGCTTTGAAGTTCGATGGGTTGGAATATTCGTTTCAATTGTAGTAATCCCTTCTTCTTGCTTGAGCGAATTCATTGTTACCTGATTTTTTTTATAGCCAGCTTTAACGTAGTACTCCGCTGTCGATATGGACCTTATTTCATGCGCATCATTTCCATTTCCATCGCTCGCAACAAAGATGTCAGTGACACCCGGATCAGCACCCCACAATCTGACTACGTCTTGCATCTCCCATGTTTCAAAATCGTTCATTTCAAGCTTTATATCTTCATTGTCCTTGGGAACTGCAGGTCTGGTAAACAAAAAGTCAGCCGAACGCCCGTCCGTACAAAGTATATTACGCATCATGACTTTTCTTCTATTAAGCATTTCAGTGACACTGCAATAATATAAAATGTTATTTTTTTATATGAACCAAAATTATAAGACAGAATCGTTACCTTCCAGATTGTCCTAGTTTTTTCAAATCAAATAGACTCATGAAGTAAGTCGAATCTCGGGCATATGCATCCAGCGATTGATCATAAATTGCAATACGTTTGATATTGTCAGATCTATTAACAAGAATTTTTAAAGTAGCAATATCAATTGTTACGTATTGGCGTTTCAGTCCGTAGTGAGGCATCATGGAAAACGTTTTACGGGAATGGTGAATAGAGAAATTTTCTGGTATAAAACAATCTTTTCTTTCGGGTATAATAACATCTGGGTCTCTGGTTTCAGGATCGGAGAGGTATATTCTTGACTGTGCTAACTGCAGACGTGTTGCTCCAACGTTTTCTTGTACTTTGTTAAAGTTCACTTCAGACAGGAATGATGGTTTACTTAAAGCAACAGGTGTTGTTGAATTAATAGCGTTTCGAATCTTCCTTGCCAAAGCTGACCGTCTTCTTTTGTTGATATCTTCAACTTCATTTTCACAGGTTATGCTCAACATATTGTAAACCCAAGGTAAAGATACAGAATCTTGAGGCTCCTCCGCAGCAACAGTTTGAGCCACATTGGACATTTCCGTAGCTCTTAAGATTTTAAACAAGCTTGTAATGACAATACCGGGATTTTCAGAAATTTTAGAGACCGTCAAAGGTGTATGGACGCTGCTAACCTTGAACATCATTATTAATGCCAGCAAGTATTCCGTGAGTGCAGGAGAGGACACCATATTTGTTGGCCAAACAGGTGTTTTGAGCATTGTACATTTATTAAACAAGTACTCCGCTAGAGCAACTTTTTCCGGTTTTGTGAACTTAAACTAAATACAATAATAATGTAAGTATATGATTAAGTAATTAACACAGTGGGTCATTTACGTTGGCCAGACAAAATATAAAATATGACTTCATTCTTTTTTCAAAACTTTCTACTACATGATTTGAGAAAATTGTGGCGCTCTGTGTTGCTAAACTAGATTGGGCACTGCCGTAAAATATTCCGCCAGTATCGGTAGAAACTTGTGAGCCCCCGGATACAGTAATTTGTACTGTCTGAAACTTTCAATTATATCGGCTTTATCAAACATTGTGTTATTGCTGCTCATATTACGCCCACAAACCAGTTGCTGACAGGATTTGAAAAATACAGGAGAAAAAAATATCATTGGCAGCACCCAGTCTTCGTCAGCCTTGTTCTTTTGTAATAGCTTTAAAATATAGGAATTTGCGAATAACATTGATTTTATTGCAGTCTCGCGCATAAAGTTGACGAGCGTCAAAACGTTGTCACAAAAGATGGTCTTTGTTTCCTCATCCATATTGGAAGTAAGTGATGCCTCCAACCCAATTTTTCTGGTAAATGTTGAAGTGATTTTTGTCTCTAATGCAGCAGTTATTGCCTCTTGCTTCGTAGTCTGATGAAAAGGACACAATGGGGATCTAGTCGTGGTATGAGCTATTTCCTCATTATAAACGCCTGCCTCTGTACATCGTTTACACTTCTTTGCGCCATCACCAGCAACAACTTTAGATTTCTTTTGAAGTCTTCCCGCTTCCTTCTCCATTTTTTCTCAAAAAGTTCTTGGTATTTTCTGTTTCTGCTTTGCCTTCTTCTTTTAACTGGTGTACTCGGGCCAGGATCTTCAGCATATTCTAAAAAAAAAAGGGGTAAGTGTCATCACCAAAAAGTTTTAAATTTTGAGACATGTAATTTACCTTCGTATTCTCCTTCGTTATCCTCCTCTTTGTTTTCTTCTTCGCCTTCCTCCTTTGCTTGAATGGCCCTTTTCTTTCGCTCCTTCATCATTTGTATGATTTCATGCACCGATTTGTTTTTGTAGGTATCGTTTAAGCTCATAAGCAAAAAGTCAGTCAATTCAAAACAAAAAAAGTATGTAAAAGTGGAAAGGAGGGATGCTTACCTCCGTTAAGTAACGTACTTCTTAAATACTTTTCCAAAGAGCCAACGGGTTCTTGGTATTTTTAAAAACGGTTCATTTTCTAAAAATAAATATCATGCACATGTATTTTATTGTTCTATAACATTTAATTATGTTTTTTTGATTATGTTTTATTTTGATTGTGTTTTTTTTGATTGTGTTTTTTTTTTGTTTATGTCTCCTTTTTGACTCCGTTTTTTTTTATCATGATTTTTTTTTATTGATGCAATAAATTCAACAAGTCTTTATCTTGATACAGCTAATTTCAGAGAGCCCATTGTTTAAATGAGGAGACAGAACTGTATTCAATTGTCGAATAACTTTCAACAGTTAAATTAATTAATAGAAAGAAAAGTATATAATGAGCCCTTTTATATAACATTGTTGTCATAAAGAAATCATATCAAATATTACCCCATTGGCCAAATTTCTTATTGAAGTTCGATAACTGTGGTCGGCTCCACTGAATTTTATTAACCACCCATTATAAAGATGGTGTACTGAATATGTCCTTACATTCATGCCAAGTTAACAGCAACTGTCGAACTTTGAACTGCAGCCTTTGGATTCAGAAACTATTGGTCGATGTATTTAATAACAGCCTTTGGATCAAAAATATATTGGCTGCTGAGTGTCACTTTTAAATTCAATATCCAATCACTGAAGGATCCAAAGGTCTGAGTAACCCCCAGATATGTTATAGTAATATAGGCAGGATCTTTGACGGTGATTATTCAGAGGAGTTAGAATAAACACAAAATATACGGGATTAGAATTGGCAGTGAAACAATGACAATAAATCCAATACTATTGAAAGAGACTACAATAACACGCGTATGAAGATATACAGATGATATAAGAGACAGATATTCAATTATAAATTACAGTGATTAAACGAAGCTTATCCAACAAAAGCTTAATAACCCAAACTAAAATATAACAGAAAGAACGATGATTTATTTAAGATTCAGTCCGAAAAGGATCAAAATTCAAAACTCTTCAGTCACACAGGGCAAATATACCCGTCTTCACTACTTTATCCCAGCCTAACTTTCACGCGTCAATCGGAGACTGAAAACATTCATGTAAAAAGCAAGAAAAAAGCAACTTTTTTTTTTGTTCTCCTCCAAACAATAAAATGACTCATTTGTATCATTTTTACGAAGCCATTGATCACGAAGAAAAAGAAGCCGATATATTTTACGTGCAATGTGAATGGTTTAACAAGACCATTGATTTAGACACAGAACAAGCCAGTAATGAAGATTATTGTCTAATTACCGTGACGAACCTTGAGGATTACTGGCAACACACAAGTAACAGTTTAAAAGTAGAAAAAAAAAAGAAGGATAAAGACTCACTATCTTTCAAAAAAAAAATGTAGTTACTCGAGACTTGTTAATTGAAAAGTTTAAACCAAGTAATTGTTTGGTACAAAAAACTCGTAGTAAGGTATTAGCACTTAGTTTACGAGGTTCCAAGTGGATCAAGAATCATCAAATTCAATGGGCCTATATCAAGTGTGAAAATGGTCAACTCGAGGTAAGAAAGAAAAATTAGTGGCAAAAAAATCATGCCTCTTCAACTTTTTAGATGATGATATAGATGAAATTACGAATCCATTATTTCGATATCATTTATGGAGTCGCAGGTTCTTTCACCATGGAAAAGCTTCCTGGCGAAAAGAATCAGGACTTACTGACATCATGGTTTAAGAATTGTGCGACAGCTTCTGTGAAGTCTAATGTAAATGGAATAATCACATTCTATTTTTTTTTATTTTTCTTATTAATTTATCATGCAGGAAACTGAGGAAGCATTGACCTTGCGTCATGATGATATGAAGTCCTTAAACGATGATTTAAAATCAGCTCTTCAAGCCATGAAAACCGAATCCATCGAATACCGGTTCACCATGTTTTCTAATTTTACCAAAGTGTTGAATGCCAAAAAAGAAAAAATCGCAGAACTTATTAGCGAAATCGACTACTTAAAAAAACGAACCAGAGATGATACCGACGAAGAAGACATGCCTGTAAAGATACAAAAGACAAAGCGTGGTTCAAAGAAACAAATAAAAAATGAGGCCTTTTCAACTGTCAAAACGGAAACGTCCTCGTTGCAAGGACTTGTTCGAAAAGAGGCATCATCATCACGAGAGACTAGAAAGTTATCGCCTAACGTGAAACAAGAGCCAACCGGTGCCACGGAGGAAGAATCGTTAGTTACAGTGAAGGAAGAACCGCTATGGCCTGAAGAAGAACCTATTCCACGAAAGACAAAAGATAAAGGGAAGGCCGTGGATAGAGGAGAGACCATGGGTAGGGGAAAGGATAAAGCGCAAAAGAAGCCAGATCGACAAACTGTGAATCTGGATTCAACTAGCGATGATGAATCAGAGGATGAATCAGAGGATGAATTGGGTGATCTATTGGATAAAAGGACCAAGAAATTCGATCTGTAAAATAATATTTTGAAAATATGGACTACATATACAACACAACAGTTCAGAGGGTTTGGGGGAAGAAGGCTGATTTATACCAAAAATAAATATGATTTTTCATGGATTAACTTTATTGTGAATATAATGCAGATACTCGTTTAGCTTCTAGCAGGAGGGGCACCAGCTGGGGGAGGTTCGGTAGCAACCATGCTCATCAACAAGAAAGCGCCACCGATAATCATATACCAATACTTTTGGAAAAATGTCTTTTCTTCGATCTCCTTGTTTTCAGGGATTTCATCGTTAATGGAAACTGTAGCCTTCTTGGTCTTGGGTGGTGATTGTTTAGACATAAAATTACCGAGCAAAGGCCTATGCAATTGGTTAGTGCGCTCCCCTTCTACATGCTTATCCCAATTTCCTTACTTGGGCCCGGTGACAGGAGTCACTACGTTGACAGTTGTGTTGAAAGGTTGTGTTGTGATATCAGACTATATATATATATTAATACATATTTATAAGACTTCTTTCGCGCTTTTTGTTTCGAGCTTACCTTCGAGGACACACAATAATTGGATTCTGGGTAATAGGAAAGGTAATAAAAGTGATTGCTTTCATCCAAATGTAAAGTAATTTCATCGTGCCATTCGCTTCCTACCATTTGACACTATGACCCCAATTATTAGTCTTTTATCATAAAAATTCTTTTTTGTTGGCAACAATAAATAAATGAAAAACGTACTTTACCATTTTGACTGATGATAAAAAGACGTTGCCTGTACGCTCATCTTTGACCTTGATTTGATAAAATGGGTCTTTTGCAGCATTAAAATGAACAATTTCGTTATCGGAGGGGATGTAGGTGGGTACACCAGGAAGTCCAACGATGTCTCCCCGTTTAATATACTCGCCGTCTTTTTGATGATAGATGGTCAATTTCGTCTAAAGTGGGTAGGGTCAGTTTCAGGGCCGTATTTATTTCATCAGTAATTTTTTTCACCTCCTCAGTTGCTTGCACAAAAACCAATGCCCATGCAATAGCTAGACAAGTGAGCAGCACTTTTATAGATGAACGCGACATGGATACTATAAATGAGAAAACAATGATATTTTACTTACAGAGACCCTTTTTTATTTGAAAAAAAAAAAAAAAAAAAAAAAGCTTATCTCCGCTGCAAAGAACAAAAACTATGCGAGAGGCGCACAAAAACTATGTTTTTATCTGTATTTAAATCATGTCGTTTAGCGATTTGGCCTTAACTGACGATGATCCCTTATTTCGTGAGACACATTATGCACGTTACGGTTATGAAAGAACGTAGGTACCCCTTTTTTTTTTCATGCCGAGTTTTCTTACTAAACGCCTTCTTAGGAATATATTTGGTCTTGTGACGTTAGATTCGAGATTATTGACCTACATGGACCGACCTGATGAATTTCCTTCTACACGTTTTGAAAAGTTACCAGAAGCACCTGTACCTGATTATACCCAACGTAATTTATTTTTTCTTACTGTAAATAATGAAAAACTCAACGTGCATTTATTATTTTAGCGTTATCAAAACCAGTTCGTCATTTTATCGCAGCTTCTTCTTCTGAACTCACGGCATTTATATCTCGAGACGGTTACTGGAACTGTCTTTGCATTACGTTGGGATTAGAAGCAGGTAAATCCGAAGTGATTGCCATTGATGCTGTAGAAGAAAACCAGGACAAAATCAAGTTACTTGTTGCTTTAGCTGTAGCCGAGGTATATTAGACGGAGGAGGAGGAATAGGGCCATATCTAAATATATTTAACTGGGTATAGAAAGTGGACGAGGAAAGTGAAGAATTAGCTTATAGCTTACGTATTTACGGAAATCACACGAATACAAAACCCTTTTTGGAACAAGCTTTATTTGCGATTGGCGATTCCAGTCAGATTATACCCTTGATGGACGCTCCTATGCAAATATCCCACGTGCAGTAAAGTAGTCCTATATATATATATGTGTAAAAAGATGAAAAAAGAGGAAACAAAAAACTGACATGGTTTATAAATAAGAATTCAGCATGAGGATAGGTTACAAACGGCATTTTTATTAACTTCGATGGATGGCATCATTCATTTATACGTACAAGTAAGTATAGATCACACCATTACCATCATTAGACGAATTTTAAATTATAATTATAGAGTTCTGAAACGGGCCAATTCATAGAGTTACCATCTTCCACGTTTTTTCCATTGATGGGAGGCATATCCAACCATCGCACAAAGTAAATCAAAAAGAAAAGAAAAAATCGGCATTTATATATTCATGTAAACTAACCAAAAAAAATTTACACCCAGGATTTTATTCATGCATTTATTCGATCAACCCAATGGAAAAAGAGTGATTTGTGCAGGCGGACAAAATGGGGAATTATTTCTTGCATTTTATAATAAACGTAAGTGGTTTTCTTTGTGTATACCTTTATCTATCTCTTATCCCCCCCCCCCCCCTTTGTTTGTAGACGGCAAAGAAATTAAATCCCATGCGATTCGAATCTTTAGTCCAATTACATCTGTCTTGGTATTTCAACCAAGGACGTCCAGTCATCCAGATGATGAACTGCACTTGGTTGTGACCTGTGCTATTGAACAAGCCATTGTTTATAGGTCGATCCAAACCGATGGATTATCCACCAGTCGAACGCTTCCATTGTCTGGCAACTTTGATAGTGTTCTGTGTTCGCATGTAATGGATGTGGATTGGGATGGAGAAAAGGAGATTTTGATTGGAACTTATGGTAGACAAGTCTTGATTTATAAACAAGGTAAAGAAAAGAGAAATGCATGCATATACAAGCACACAATTAACACGCGCAATAAAAAAAAGTGGCGGGTACACAGGTTTATACGGTGTTATGGCGTAGACAATTTGCATATCCTATTTATCGCATGACGCATCTGGATCTCAACCGAGACGGATTGGATGAACTGATTGTGACTACCATGTATGGTGTACACATATTCCAGGTACATCACTGATTTATACATGAGATGCATTAAACACTGATAAATTATATTTATAGCCGAACATGAAAAAGGCTAGAGAGAGATTACTTGAGGTACTTCAATACGTAGAAGCCTCTAAACGACAAAAATACGAACTATTAGTTGAATGGCAACGACAGAAAGAGCTTGAAAAATCCATTGTTTTTGAATCCCAATAATAATTTATGTTTTTTTTTTAATGTGTTTAACAGCAAGTGAAATAGGTTCTACTTTTCACGAGCTGTATGGTTTCAATAATGACGGTGACCCTTTTTAACTTGGGTTCTTCTTCTTCCTCTTCTTCTTCTTCATCGGATAAATCGCCGTCACTATCAAAAGCACGGTATCGATTGGAAGTACGTTTTGTCTTGTTTTTTTGTCCGAATAAACCACGCCCACCTAAATCCATGGAAAGACCATTTTTGATCTTATCTTGCCAGCGTTTTTGTTGTTTTTGTTGCTTCTGTAGTTTGTGTAATTGTTGCACACGTTGATCTAGTTCTTCCTCATCATCATCGTCCAAAAATGGAGAACTCATAGTGGAACTCACATCAAACGAGGTGGATCGTTGTGTTCTTAATCTTCTATTTTTAGGTAGAGCATCTGTGATATCCAGAGCCAAAGTGGGACTACGCACCGTAGTTTGTGGCGAATGTAAATCACGACTGGCTAATTTTTTAAGATCGTATTCGATCAGGATTTCCTCTTGGTTGATCACGACCCTTTGCATCCCTACCAGATCCACAGGACCTGCAGAGGGGTCCTTTAATGTACGCAAGATATTATAACCTTGGCCTTTCAACACAGCCATTTGTTTTTGAAACATTTTTTCATCAAAATCGTCATCCATTTCAAAAAGAGATCGCATTTCTCGTACGGTTTCTCGCCACCAGAGTGGATCAGAAAGAACCTCCAAAAATTGTCGACGCGTGGCTTCGGTGAAGGGACGGTTAACAAGTGCATCGGGCATGGCCATCCAGCCATACGGATAAGAACGCCATTGATCGGGATGTTTATAAGGGAAAGCCAGCCCGTTATCAATGGCAGCTACATGAATATGTCCTGCTTGCATTGTTCCATCCACTTCTTTGGGAGGGCAATATTTAACCATCCAATTATCCAACCCACGATCTATAAAATATTTATAAATAACCCTTTTTCATATCATTTTGACATGCAACTTTCTATTTTTAAAAGAAAGAAATTGCCACTGGGGACAGTACCTTATTTACCTGTGTTACGGATAAGATAGTCCAAGATGATCAATTGCTCAAACTCTCTTCTAAATTGATTTTGAAGTTCGAAAGTCCATTTGAACGATGTATCCGTCGTTGTTGTTCCTGTTGCCGTGCCATTCGCTCTCTTCGGTGGATAGTGGTGTTGCTGTTCTTCATTGTCTTGATGATACAGATCTTCATGTCCTCCTAAACATCCACCCCACACGGATTTTCGATTGTTCTCATCATAATGCGAAGAATGAGGATCTGTGAAAGTGGGAAATGGATGATCTCGAAAGAAAACAGTAGCATCTTTATAATCTGTCAAGAAGCATTGAAAACTACCGATTTTGGGAGGTAATCCGTTGGTGGAACGTCTATCTAAATAATCATAATGAAAGGAAGAGGATGACAGGTGAATGACGTCTGTATAGGGTACCACGTGTGTACCCAGTCTACGGTCGATGGAGGATGCTGCGGCTTCGGAGAGATAACCCAAGTTGGGGATCAGGCAGGAACGACCAAAAAAACATGGAAATAAATGACGATGGATCCATTTAGTCCATTTTGGGTTGAGACGACCGTAAGGTTCCTCATTCTTTGGCTTGAAAACACCCACAATCTTTCCGGAACTATTACGGCAAAAATAAGAACCACTTGAACCTTGACTAATACGTGTGGGCTGCATATTACTGTCGATAGCTGTACGTACAGTATGTACAATATCGTTGAATTTCTCTTCTGTTTCGGGTATAGGATCATAGAATACCTTATAAAAAAAAGTTAATATGCAAAAGGTGAGTCTCGTTCCCGTCTTCCAATTACCCGCTCATCCGTGTCGGGCTTTTGGTTGTCATACAGTGGTGACATGGTCATGGTATATTGAGGCTGTACTTGTTGTTCTTCGCATTTTACAAAGACCGAACAAGTGACTTGGTCGGAAGGATCGATTTCTTCATCCAGGATGGCATTATTGACAGGCGACTGGATATTGGCAGGATGACGAGTTTCTCCAATACCATGTTTACCACGGAAACGACGACGGTGGACAATAGTCCAGCCTTGATCGCCAATGGTTGACTCTGCATCGTCCATAATGGGTAGATTACCGTTTTGAAGATCGGCAATGATGACAGCTGGCAAAGAAGCGAAAGAAGCTGTGGAAGCCATGTCTTTACGAAAGACGATGGGTAGCTTAGTTTGAAAGAAACGACGCGTGGCGTCTGGTATGGCAGAGAATGATGCTCGTGGTGAATGAGGTGGGGATTGAGCGGTGTGGAATGTCTGAGAAAGAAGTGGGACAACATTACATTCTCCATGATGGTTGGCTACGAGTACGGAATTAGAGTGATGTTGTAATAACTCTTGCGGTGTATCCTCATCATCGTCATGTTGTTCAATACGACTATAGGTCGTTGCTTGTTGACTTTTAAACATTTAAAGAAGAGAGGAAAAGAACAATAAATGTATTTTTAGTTTTTTTTTTACTTATTTGTTTATTATGATGACGAACAACAATAAAAAAAAAAATTAATGCGTATAAATAGGTGGTGGTTTTAACAAGGTACGATAAGGATGGGTATGATCCTTGTTATCGTATTGAATCTCAAAGAAATGACCTGTTGGTAAAAGATTTAATCTTCGTCGAGTGCGTTCAGCCAAGACTTGTCGTTCCAATTGATCAATGCGTATCGCACGTTTATGCCTTTGTTTAAATAGGAAGAAAGCAAGGATCATGTAGAGTGCAAGCGGGATCCACAATGCTTGAGCGCCCTGAGGTAAATGAGTAAACACAGACAATGCACCTAGGCATATCAGGACGGTGATCCAAAACGCCATCAAGACGCCCTGGAATTGGCTTAGTAAACAGGACTGACATGCGTCTCTGTAGTTGGTGTCACTGGAACGGCACAAGAGAACCTTGAGGAACCCTTGTTCTCGTTGGTGGTAATATTCACCCAACTCATGGAGAATCTCTAAATGGGCTTGTTCTCGCTCAGCATCTAAAAGCATGGCATCGTTAACTACGTAGGAAGGTGGTCTTGACAAGGTCCTTGTAATCGTCATTGGGGTATATATTAGAGTGTTGTCATTCTCACTCATGAATTTGGGCGCTAGGGGAGAAAAAAAAGCAGTACGAAAAAAAAACTTTTTTTTTTTTTTTCTTTTCCTTCAAAATGGATCCAATAGACCAACAGAATCAAGGTAAATAAAATGGAAGGACGAGTTACTGAGCTTTAAAATATCATGAAATAGATGCTATATCCAAAGTATCGTTGAAGCATACGGTAGAAGCAAATGCACATGCAATAGAAGTCTTTCGAAGAGAGTCTGCAGAAATATGGTGATGTCGTGATTTGGGTTATTTGTTTGTTTGTGTGTATTAACCCAACTTTCCATAGTCTGAAAATGAAGGAACATATCCACCAACATCAGCAAGCTCTTTCTCAGTTCTTTTCAACCTTGTTGGAGATTGATAAAAATGAAAACAATTTCGAGCAAGGTTGATATATATATACTGTTTATTGCTTTGTATGCATGCTCATAGTTTGTATAGTCAGGACAGAGTTGGATAATATGCTACTGGCCACAAACGAATTCTATGATAAAGAACACATAAAATGTTGTCACAGGTAAATAACAGGCAGAAGGGAAAAGGGTTCGGGCATCAATATTTATACTCACACTTTTCTGTACATAGTTTGAAAGAAACTTCTTTTATCAATACAGAAGAACATCACCCAAGGTAATATTTATCACATAAAATATAGAATATAAAAAAAAAGGTCCTAAATAGTATATATTTACCGATAAGGCTTGAAGATGCATTGGATCAGCAAATAAAGAGATATCTATAAGTTAGAATAGTGTTCCATCAATCGCACTAATTGTTGCGGAATAAGCGTTGTATTATTTCTATATAAAACCATAATTTGCATAATCTCACTGGGTGGAATGATATGCTCCCTCATGTCCTTTTCCAAATCCGGATAGACATCGTCTAATGTAGACGTATCATCCTCGTCCATCACCATGCGATAGATACACCGCATCTGGTAGAATGTGGCATATGTGAGTACAAGGTGAACATCCATGCGGCCTAATTGTGTATATCATCATCATCATCATCATCATATGTTTATGTGTATATGTGTTTACTTTTTATTTACCTGGTCGAATGATGGCGGGATCTAACCGTTCTGGATGGTTTGTCGTCATGATAAATATTATGCCATCTTCCAACGTATGTCCATCCAAGATAGACAAGAAAGCACCCAAATTAAACTTGGCCTCTTCCTCTTGTACCTGCTGTCTTGGTGAAAGAGCAGAGGACATGGTATCAATATCTTCAAATACAACAATGGCATGGGCAGGTACGTTTGAAAAGGCCTGAAACAATTCAGCGTCTGAATCCAGATAAGCCAGGTTAATGAAATACAAGTCTCGCTTTAGCTGCGACGCCACCGCAAAGACCAAACTGGTTTTACCGGTGCCTGGAGGACCAAACAAGGCAATTCCTCGCTTATACGGGAACCCCACACGCTTATAAAACGCTTTATTGTTCAAGAAACTATCGAGATCCTCTTTGATACGAACTTCATTGGCAGGGCTTAAGGCGACGGTGTCTAAGCCTTGTAAAGGGTAAAGAGCGCAAAGACGGACCCATTTCCCAGAGGCAGCATACTCGAAACGTGATTGGGTTTTCTTTTGTTGCAACGAGCACATGTAGTCTCGTGTGATTGAGTGTAGAAAGTCGCTTACGGTGGATACGGTTTGTTGATTGTTTGTGGATTCGAGAGTTACACAAATAAAAGGTTCATCTGTCCGGGATGAACGGATCCCAGGCTTGGAGAATTCACTTCCGGGTAAGACCACATCACCATGATTGTAATTCCCCTTCTTTTCTGTACTCTGAAATGTAAGTTTGAAACTATTTTCACCATGACGAATTGTATGCGCTATTTATTATTAAGTTGTTATAAATCTCTCTAGTTCTATGTCTTGATTACTTGGGGGGCTTACCTTGGTCAGGCTGAGGAACCAGATGAAAGGAAGGTGGCTCCTTTTCCTCATGATCCGATTCCGTGTTTGATTTTAGTTTGAAAAGGCCATGTTTATTTTCTTGTGCATGAATAGAAATTAAACGAGAGAGTGCCTGATGATAAATATTTGGTGCTGCAAAACAGAGTTATATCAAACTATATATTTCATTCATGCATATACAACATACTGGAATGGTAATCATCGTAATGTGTTGCTTCTACCATGACGGAAATCTCATTGTGAGACATGAGGTTGTTTTTTCGTCCCATGGTTGACATCAGGGTCATCATCAGTTTAAACAAGACGAGTAACAAGGTGACGGAAGCTGTTACCACAAAGGTATCAATGGCATAAATTCCTGTTTTATAAGCCTCTAATCGTACGGGTAAAAATGCGTATAACAAAGATTCCATCTGGCTGGCCGAAAATAAGCTGGCGATCGGTGCCACCGTCTCTGCATAGGATTGCATAGAATATGATAATTTTTTTTTTTTAGAAAAAAAGTGTTGGGGGAAGCGGGGTACGATTATGATAAAAAGGAAAAGATATATATTACAATGTGACTCTGTTTAAAGCTTGGCTTCCACTTCCGTTGTTTGAAAGAAGCGGTGGATTTCTTGCACAAGTGTATCAACTTGTTGTAGAGTGTTGTGACCATGAATACAAATACGTACACGTTCTTGGCCAATGGGCACAGTGGGTGAGCAGATGGGTTTGACAATCAAACCTTTGCTGTTGAGATAAGTGGCTAGTGCTCTGACAGGTGCATTTCCGTTTAGCACTACGCCCTGGATTGGACTGGAGGAAGGCAGTAATGTGCCCGATGGCAGTCGAATAGTATCTCTGAATCGCTGAGTCATGGCATGCACATGAGACTGGATCTAGGTTTAGGATAGATGTTAGTCATCTGATTTGCTTATGTAATTGTATAAAAAAAATTACAGGCATGGTATCGCCGTTCTCGAGTATATCATAGGCACATTTGATGGATGCCAAAGAACTGAATGACATGAAAGTAGAGTAAATCAAGGGTCTTGCATAATTAACCAGGTAATTGCGAAGTATGTCAGAGCCAAGCACAGCAGCTGATAATGATGATGAGAAGGTTAAATTAAAATGATGATGATGTGTATTTTAAATAAGACTTTTTCACCTCCGTTACTAGCCAAGGCTTTTCCAAAGGTATGAAGACGAGCAAAGATTTCGTTTTCCAGACCCAATTGAGATACCACGCCACGCCCACTATCACCAAACACGCCAGTGCCATGCGCCTATGATCGTATTAGAATAAGAACTTGGACCTTAATTTAATCCTATTTTTACCTCGTCTACTATCACATAGCCATTTTCTCGTTGGGGGAAATATTTGCGCAAGATGTCAATGATTTGTTTTAAAGGAGCGATATCCCCATCCATAGAATATACGGATTCGACGGCGATAAAAATATTTTGGCCAGGGAACTGGACAATAACGGACTGTAAGAGTTGCTCAAAGTGGACCAAGTCTGAGTGGTTGAAGGGAATGTACTTGGCGCAACGCGACATGCGCATGCCTTCATGAACACTGGCATGAATGAATTCGTCATACAAAATGACATCCCCACGTTGAGGAACCGTACTGAATAAACCGACATTGGCGTCGAACCCCGAGTTGAAGATGAGTGCGGCGGGAGCTTGGTGAAAGAGAGCGATACGTTGTTCGAGCATTTCAGCATAAGACGAGTTTCCGTCCAACAGTCTAGAGCCTGTAGAACCCATGATAGAGGGCATGGCGTTTAATTCAGCCAGATAGGCTTTTCGAAAAGATGAAGAATGAGAGAGACCTAGAAAATCGTTCGAAGAAAAGTCGATGCCATTGGTTGGGTTTATAACTAATCTACGCATTTTCGATATTTGACGTCGTTTGATTAAGGTTTCCGCTAATTGTTTTTCCAGTGTCATTTTTTTAATTTTGTTGCCAAGAGAAAAAGAAAGGAGAAAAAGATGATGAATTAAGTTGGAAATGATATTAAAACATTCATCATCCACCTTTTTGTAAAGCCGTTTTTTTTTTTAAAAAAAATTTGAATATCCGCTATTTTCTATCATTTCACTTCTCTTTTTTTCTCAAACGGAAATGGTTTGGTGAAACAAGTGTGGGAAGGGGTTCCGAATAATAAAGTTTTTAATATGCATATTATTTCTGCAAGACCCATTTGAACAGGAAAAATAGGGCAAACAAATCATGAGATGCAACAAACAAAACAAAAAGGACTGGAAGCAAAAACGGTTCCAATGGCATCAGCACGAAAATTCATTTCGATCATTTCATCATTTTATCTCCATGGTGAATGATGTAGCGGCATAACTACCGGAATAAGTTTATCGATTTGCGAAAAATAAAGATGAAATCATCTGAATAAGAATGTTTCAAGGGCGACAAATAAGAAAAATTTACCCTAATCTGGAGCATTTCCTTATTGTTTGTTTATCCATCTCGACTATATAAAGGGGACCTGAATTTTCCCTTTTTTTTTTTTTTTTTTTTTATATTTATATATACTTATAATTCCTTACTACCAATACTAATACACACACACACATACACACACAAAATGATGATGATCACTGAACTTGCCTCTCCTACCTTGACATTTCGTTCAAGTCCTGAGCCTTTGCTTTCATACATGGTCTCCAACATCGACGACCTTGTACAATGCTCTAAAGAACGTCGATACTACCAACATATGCTTTTACCTGATCTTCCCACCTTCATCAAACTCGTCTATCAAAAATGCCGCCTCACCCCTACTGTCTTGGTCATTGGCTTAATATATCTTCAACGTCTCAAAAAGAACTTGCCAGAACAGTCTCAAGGTGAATATGACACCCCTTACAAGTTGTTCTTAGCTGCTATGATTGTCGCTACCAAATACATCGAAGACTATTCGTCCCATGCATTGTCGATCTATCGAATTGTAGCTCCGCTCTATACCGCAAGAGAGCTTAATGAGATGGAACGCAGTTTCTTAGGCGTGCTAAAGGTAAAATAAAAGACTTTGTGTGAAATATTGTGAGTGTAGCTGTTTACTAATATGTTATAAATCTTTTTTTTAGTTTGAGCTGTATGTGAATATCACTGAAATGGATCAATTCGTGGAAGAACATCAAGACTCACTTGAACTTGAATTATTACGCATGGTCTAAAAAAAACGCATAACATTTCTTTCCTTTTTTCCTGTATATATATATTTGCATTATTATTTATTAAATAAAAAGTGTCATACGCTTATTTCGAAACAAACCAACTGATATTCTAATAATATTTCTATTAAAAGGTCTTTTTTTTTATGTTTATTATTTATACAGTAGTTCCTTCGCATTGGATTATTTTTTGATTGGGTAGTTTAAGTGATATACTCATCAGCAGACATGGAGAACTTATTTTCTATCTAGAATACATTTTTTTTGCATCGATTAGCTTCTACAGAGAAAACTATATCATGTGCTTATAAAACTAGTGGCTATCAAAAGAAAAAAAAAGACAGCTCTTATTCTCTTTTAAGAACGTATCCTATCTAACGGAATTATGGTTCAGTGTAACCTAATTGAAGTTGTCACATTTTTTTGGCTTTTTAAATATATCACAAGATTTGGTTTTACGTATAATCGATTCCTATAATCCGTTTTGTGAAACAACGCGTCAAACATAGAATATTATTATTTTTTGTGTGAGGATCATGGGGTTTGATGAGGCGTTTAGTATATATATATATGCATGTGTGTTGTCTACTGTGAGACGTGTCCTTCTTCACCAGCTATTCTACGATTCAATGAAAATTTTGAAAGTTCATCAGCTAGACTTACATTTCTTATGCATGTCCAACGTGTATATATGGCATGAAGAAGCATATTTAACAGTCAGCTACAAAATAATAATTAGTTCTAAATCTACGGTCTACTGAATCTGACGAATTGAGTGTTTCCTCATTATTAGATTATTAAAAAAAACTTTGGCTGCTGACTTTTTAACGAAAGACCGTATCCTATTTTCACTTAACATTGTGTCCACGTTTAGGATGTGTAGCGGTAGTTACATTAGCTTTTTTTATAGCAGTATCTCTGGTGAGAGTTCCGGTTGCTGTTGATAAAACCATCCGGATTTTTGTGGTAAAGAATTGTTTAAAGTACTTACGTTTGAAGGGGTGATGCTATTTTTTATTCTAATGCAAATTGCTATCACCGGCATGCAAACAATAGTATATCTTCCATGATGCTGTTGAGGAATCCATATTTCTTATTATCTCTGATGTTATCCAGGAGAAATGAGAGATTCATTTGGTCACAATGAATAAGACAATGATTTTCGATGAAAAATGTTTGTCCATTTGAGGCCGATTTTTCCAAAATAGTACATTTTAATCCATCATCTTAATCCTGACATAAATTAAACCTTGTTTATCGCTCTTCTCATAATCAAGATAACGAATTACCTTATTCTGACATAAACTGATCCTTGTTTATCATTCTTTTTGTAAATAACATGCGCTCATCCGCATTAATATGAGACGTCTATTTCAAAAACTTTATTTTTTACATAACCACTTTAGATTGAATATGTTAGGTATTTAACATACTTGTGAGATCTTTTGTGTTTATAGTGAATAAGACAATTCAGAAGCAGGACGCCTTAAAGAGAGCTTTCTTCGGACTTACTGCTAACTTTAAAAATATTTGCCCCATCACGCATTTCTTAAAACTTGTATGTCTAATCTAAATCAATAAGGATAAACTTTTTCTTTTAAATAAACATAATCTTAATATTACAACAATTAAAAATAACCCAAATTCCAGCAGTCAAAAGTTACGTCCTGGACCACCAAAGTCTCGTTTCTAATAGTATTGGGTATTTTGACAAGAAAAGTGATGCGTATAGAAACTTAAACGGCGGATAGAGGCATCTATTGAATAAAGTTCACTTTCAATCCGTTGAAATTAAGTATTTATTCCAACAGAATACGAAAAAGACAAAAGAGAAAGAGATGGTAGAGAACGAAAGTGAACAGTCCAGTCTAACAGAAAGCTCTTGTTTGAGTGAGAAAGAAGATGAAACAGTGAAAAATGCCGCTTACAAGCTGAATGATAATAATGTGACTCAATTTAAGCAAACCATACTTTCTAATCCTGCTCGCCACATATACTGGATAACAGGATGTTATACATAGTATAAACACGTTGCCTGGTAATATTTTTATAGATGGAGAGGCCAAAGTGAATTCACACTAATGGATGACTATTATGATATGGTCCTCAGTTCTATACTTCATAATCCCCAAAAGAGACCGATTTAAAGATGGTGGATACAAACGCAAATAGTGTCTAATAATCATACCAAAAACTATATACGTCTGTTGTATTTCAGATGCATTAAATCATTGAAACAATAGAAATACCTACAATAAAATCAATAATGTTAGTATACATCAAGACTTACTCAGTTTATCTATATCTGGCAAGGACACTATTGATTATGAAGACGTGGGGAATGTTGTTCTACTGAAAGTTATTGGTAGATTTAGTGGTTGTTATCTTCTATTGCAAAGTGTATTTACATATATATTTCTATGGTATAGGGTACAGCGTAGTTGCATATCTATACTAGTGCTCGAAACTATCGATTGCGTATCATTCGAACAGGCGCATATTCGCACCAAAACCGAAAGGTTGGAACGCTACTCCATACGAACAAGATGCAGTGGTTTTTATGTTGCTTTTGAAGTTTATGCTATCGCCGTTTAATAAAAAGATAAATTGCATTCACACATATTTTACAAGCGGATACAAATGATAATGTATCTTTGAAAGGATATCAATTCCAAAATAATTAAAAAGGACTTTTATGAAAAAAGTCGATAATAAATTTATTACAATATTAATGTCATGGATTAGAGGGGGGTATATTTTATAAAAATTAAGCGTAAACATCAACGCCGGTCCAGTTAGCAGTAGCTAAAGGACAATTGTCCACACTATCAGGATTGTTTCCCCACCAAGTTGGGAAATGAATTTCTGAGTTCTGGAACGCAAAGAAAATCACAATGGCACAAATCGCCACACCAGAGTCAAGCGCGGCAGACAAGACATAATTATATTTTCTCCACCATGCATTAGCTTTGCGTTTAATCACATAATTGAAGATGAATCCAATGAAGGCCCAACAGGGAGCTACATTGGTAGGCGCGGGTGGGTAAGGTGTAGGTCCCAACATAAAGACGGGAATACTGATGTGACGAACCCAAGACTTGGGATACTTTTTCGTCAACAAAAAGAAGGGCACGGGCAATAAGAATCCAGCCAACATAAAGTAAGGAAGTGCGGCATATAAGGATGAGCTAGCCAAGAATTTACCCGGACCAATCAGACCCCAAATTACGGAGGAAGCACCAAATAAGCCTGCATTAGGACACGTCCAAGGATATGCAGCACGCGTACAGACTTCAGGAATAGAGTTCATCAAATAGTTGGTTGTACCAAGTGATACAAATGAGGCGATGATGGTACCGACAATCTGGAAAGAAAACATGTGACGAGGTGGGATCTTCATGTAATGTCCCAACTTTAAATCTTGGGCAAACAGCAATGCTTGACGCACTGTGATATAACCGTACGTCTTGAAAATCATGTTGCCGATAGGATGACCAGGTCGAATGGCACCATACACCCATTCGGTGATCATGGAGATAGTAGGGGATTGAGATGTAATAGCTGTAATGATACCAATAGGCAATAACCAGACAAAGGCAAGCACCACAGCAATAATTAAAGCCCACCAAGGCATATCAGAGGGGTAAACCACGACAGTAGCAAAACTCATGCCTAATGCGACCAAAAACAAGATAAAATACCAAATATCGGGAACCTCCTTGTAGTGATCCATCAAACGAGCATGGATATCATCACCGGATTGACGAGCATTCTTGATACGATTATAAATATCCTTACCATTATACAAGAGGGTATGTGTAATGATGGCACCTAAAGCAGCTAAACCTTGACCATAACAGATAGCAAAGAAACCGGTGATACGAATAGGAGAGTAATTGGCATAAGCTTCTTCGTCTAAGTATTGGCCAGGTGTAAGCACACGATCACGATCGAATTTGGCACCGTAGATATCATACTGGTTGGTGTTATAAAAGGGGAATTTCATACTTTCCCAGGTATTCGTATAATAAATGATGGGTACAAGGAACCAGATAAAGAACACAAAACCAGCGAACATGTTTGCTTGTACAACCCAAGGGATAGCAAGAGGACTGGGATACCAAGCAGCGAGTTGACTCCAATCCAAGGTAAAACTACCGATACCTAAACCATTAATACCTGAACCGATCTGTGAAACCAGCACAGAATCCTTTTTGATCCAGCAAATCCAAGAAATAGAAGTCAAGACAGGAATGATGTAACCGGGGAAGAAATACCAAACAAAAGAACAAGTAAAAGCAATCAAGAAAAACTTGTTACGAGACAAACCAAGACCGGGTGAAGTGGCTTCAGCATCTTGTACGTCCTTAGGAGTTTCCTTGTGCAAAGTATGGAAAAGTGTAGCATTGACAAGATTGATAGGCCATACCATCTGTGCAGGACGTACAAGGAATCGACGCAAAATACCAGCAAAACCAAAGCCCAAAAGACTGGTGGTTAAGACTAAGAGAATACCTCCACCGAAACCCCAATCCTGACCGTAATAGATCTTTTGTACAACGATAATATCAATGGCATCAAAGGAGGTAGCAGCAGCGTTAGCCATGACAGTAATCAATACATGCTCTTTGACATTGAAGCGACCAGGATTCAGGTTAAAGCTGAAACGACCCAAAGGAACAGTGTAATTAGGAAGGATCTTTTCGGTAAGTCTTCCTGCAGGGAAAGCCACCAGTTGTACAACAATGACTTTGATAGTTAAAGGATTAGCACGGAACCAGAAAAACTGAGATGAGTGTGCGTTAGTATTGAATTTAAAAAATTTTACATGTAATCATAAACATGTATTTACCTGGTTGGAAAAGGAGATGGCACAAGAGAAGATGATACCCCAGAACCATGCACGGAAAGTGGCGGTGGGTAAGGTGGGATCATCGGTAGGTGGGATAGCTGATCGAACCTCTTCAATAGGTGAATCTTCCAAAGGATCAATCTCATGTACAGAATTGCTCAAGGATTCACCAAGGACATACTTGTTTGATTCCTGATCCGGATCAAACTTTTTATCCATAATAGTATATTAATAAAGTTTTTTTTTTTTTTTTTTTTTTTTTTGTTGTTGTTTCGTATTTATATAAAAGCGCGGGAAATAGAATTGAAAAAATTTGTGTATCCAATCATTGCATAAATATACCTCTAATTATGAAAGCACGCCATCATTCTCGAATGAAAATGCTTTTTACCCAAAAAAAGCGTTAAATTTTTTTTTGTTCTTTTATAACCTAGTCTTGCGTTATCCACACATGCGATTGCGTATTATTTTTCTTTTTGTAACCTAGTACGGTTTCATTTTTTTGTGGGATGTTGTTATACTTTTCAAACATGTAAACTATGTTCTGTAATTTCTGTTTTGCTGAATAATAAAATTCGTGAGAATGAAGCTGGGATTCTTATTGGCTTAAAGCAGAGTTGGCGGAGTGGCGTCATTTAACAATTTTTTTTTTTGGACCCTTCTCCATATTCTGCGCGACAATTTTAAGTTTTTACGCATCCATCAAACTATGTTTTTATAAGGTGTACCTTTAAAAAGGAGAAAGTATTTACTGACCGTGTGCCACAAATGAAAAAGTTAATCTGGTCAATTTTAAACCTCAAGCGATGACACATTCCGCGTTTACGGACGATCTTTTATAGCACCTTATTATTTATTTATAATCAGCTTTTACTGTTGCCCCCAATTAAATGGCAACCAGGCCCGTTCACAATATATACAAAGTGGGAGGTTTGGCTGACTGTTAACATCATGGTCATAAGTGCTGTAAAAATTTAATGGGGATAATCAATCCAGGTGTATGTCTACAGAAAGTTACTCTAAGGATTTGCTGACTGATTGTAGCCAATCATTCCGAGATAAATAGCATGTTTACCGAATCTTATCTTAACGTTCACCCGTGGGACATAAATTAATGTGAAACATAAACCTTGATCTTGTTACTGTTGATTACACAATATCAGTAACATAATACGTCTTTTTTATTTTTATGGTTGCATCATATCTATGCTGCGTGACAGAATCTTGTATGACACTATTTAAATAGCCTGATGTACCCGAAATGTCGGGTAGAAGATCATTATGAACCCTCCCCTGGTATAGGTTTAAGTTATGAATGGAAGAAGGCCAAGTAATTACAACCTTTTTTATTCCCGTTCATAAAAAAGGAATTGGTCTTCATCAGGATCACACATTTATTCCATCATTTTAAATTTAGGGAGAAAGCAAAAAAAATCTGCATAAATTTGCATAGTATAAAAGAAGGCTTGCAATGCGAATTTTAGAACATGCTTTTTTTTTTTTTTTAAAAAAAAAAAAAAGAGTTGATGTTGTTATTCTAGTTGTAATAAAACTCTCCAAGTAGTCGAGTTCTACCGCTTCTTACTTCTTCCCCCCTTTGCTTCAAAAAAAAATTTTTTTGTTTATTCAGGATACTTATTTTGCAGCTTTTTTCAGAAAAGGGAAAATAACGCTTTTTGTTGGAAAAAGAGGGGGAAACCCCATTTCCAATAAAAGAAAAAGTAAGATAGGAAAAAGAAAGACAGAGAGAGAGGGAAAAAAAAAAAGGCCATGATTGTGCTCTTCTAATGTTGTGAGAAAACAATAAGGGGAATCATTTGTTTTGAGGAGTTGTGGCATTACCTTGCATGTAGACTGCACACTCCTGGCTATATACAATACCATCTTGATATTGTAGCCAAACAGAAGAGTATATCAACCTACATTTCTTTCTGTTTTTTCTTATTCTCTCTTATTTTTTTCAACTTTTTCTCTTATTTCTTCTTTTTTCTTGCTTCATGGTCTTGATTCGACGGGAAAGTAATACTGAGGACTACTCCAGTAATACTAACAAACATGGGTCTACGCCCACCAATACTAATGGTAATGGGGGTCAAGACAACAACTACAACAGCAATACGAATCCCCTTCCTGTTGCCGTCAATTATCCTGTGGTTGTGGGAACAAACGTAAATGGATACCCTATTGTTGGCACCGGCAATAGTAACAATCTTCCTGTCGTTGTCGGTAAAGACAGCAGCGGGCAGCTGATTGGTACGAACGGTAATGTCATCCCCGTCACACCCGTTATACCTAGCAACAATGGTGGTGGAAACACTGCAAGTAATGGTAACACTGCAAGTACTGGAAACTCTGCGGGCAATGGCAACACTGCAGGTACTGTTGCTACTGGCGGAAATAATAGTCCTGTGGTTGCGAATGTACCTTACAACAACAACAATGTCCCTTACACCAACAATGGATATTCTAATACGAATACAGGCTATAGTAACAATAGCGAAATTGAGAGTGGACAACACATGCCTACGAAAATCATCATCATTGTTTCGGTCATTGGCGCTGTAGCGGTTCTATCTGCCATTGGATTATTCTTCTTTTGTAAGAAACGAAGAGAAAAGAAGAAGGAAAACATGGCAAATGCATTCTTTGAATTTTCGGTGGATAAAACAAGTGATAAACCATCAAGGGTAGGGCCACTGAAGAAGAAGTTTCAATCTAATACTCCTGACAGTACAATTTGAAATTGCCTTTTTTAAACAAAAAACCAAAATAATGACCAGACAATGTATTTATATATAATAGTGCTACACTCCCCCCCAATTATTTCTCTCTCTCTAATTTTCTCTCTTTTTTTTTCTTTTATTATTATTATTCGCCCCAACAGTCATTACCTCTCTTTTTTTAACTATTTTTTATACATGTTGCAGAGAAAAGCACAAAATTAAGCAGATTGATAAATGCAGATTTATTTGTAAATATCGGAGATTGATTCTTCTCCTTTATCATTTGGGGGGAGGGGGTTACTATGGAAAGGGGGATTGCTTTGGGGGGAGTCCACTTAGTCACAAAAAACCGTAGATAGCATCGAAATATAATAAAATCAATTATAGACGGTTTTTAGATAACCAAAAAAAAAGTTGTATAGTTATGGTCATTGGATGCGTCGATTTTTTTTATATATTTGAGAGTGCTTAGTTAAACGTACATTGGCTCTTTAGCTTATTCGTCTCATTGTTATTTCTTACACTGCCAACCAACGTCAGAATTCTTCTCGATACAAGAAGATTACCAAACTACCTTCCGATAGCTGACAATGCGTGTAACTTTAATGTCTAGTCTTGTTTTATTAGATAAAAGTCTATGACTTTATTTCCAACACCTCATTATTAGGTCATTACATATATAAAACCGTGCTTGATAACAAGATTTAATCAAGCTCATGACAGCATGTCTTTCCGGGTCTAAGCATGTATATATCGGGCTTCCTGGTTGGTGCTAACTACTTTTTTGAATGACAATGGTTTTTCGCAAGATTTTAAGGAGCTTCTATAATTATTTATTCACAATATATATCTTTGTCGCCCTTGACTGCGTTTAGTTAGTAAAATATATATTTTTATAATAGTCTTTTTTATTCATTTACTTCCACATGTCATAAAGTTTTTTTTTTGTCTCTTTTCACCTGGTGAGGAACTTCCATATCTAATGCTTGCACTCATCATTTGTAGAGCTGTAATTAAGAAGTTGGTATCAGTAGTCAGGCTCATTTCATAATGACAACTCAAGCAAGCATGTAGTTCGAAAATAGATGACGTAAAACAAGTTATCATGTGAAAAATCACAGAATTTAGACTTGATGTTTAAATGTTTATGGTTGGGAATGCTACGTATATACATTGAGCGATTAGCTTTTAAAATTTGTAGCACTGTATGTGTAACCCCCTACAATCCTTTCCTTGGCTATTTTTAATACAGCAATAATTTATTATACATAATATTTATCTAACTATAGATAGAATTACAAGAACAATTGAATAATACAAACTAAAAGCACAAGTGTAACGGAACTTGCTACTTTACCAGCGCCAGATTCTGTAGCTTCTGCTGCCTTTACATCATTCTTATTGACAGGTTCCTTTTCATAGTTATTAGGATCCCAGACACTTTGGGAGATATAGGGGCCCAAGACGGGTAAATCATCTACATCCGTGATATTTAACAAAGCCTGTAATGATGTAGATCTTGTTTCTACCCATTCGGCAACGCCCATACTTTCACCGTCGGTGAATTTCATGTTATTGTCAAAGTTCCAGAGAGTCCACTGTGTCAAAATACCAGGTGATTTGGGGGTAATAGTTAAATCCCATTCAACCTCTTGACGCAACATTTGTGTCCATGCTTCAAGACGGGGTAAAATGACGCTTGATTTGAAGACGCGCTTGACTAAAGTGGTAAGCACTTGCTCAAATTCGGCACGATAATAAGGAGAGTTGATAAATGCCTCAACAAGAGGTCGTTTTGAATCAGGTCTTGAGAAGTTGGAATAAGGTGTGGTAGACATGTAGCGAGGAGCACCTGTACCGAAGGTTTCATCAAAATCATACGAGATTAATGTCCAGATATTAGAGCTGGTTTCAAGTGTCAAATAATAGTTACTGGCTTGATGCCAAATACCGTCCCAAGAACCAGACAGGTAACTCCAGGCCAAGTGAATCATGGTGTGTTGAGGGTGTACCAATTTCTCGATATTGCCTTTGCTAGCTTCATCTACAGCGGTAGCAGGATTAATCAAACTGAGGTCACGGATGAACTGGATGAGAGGATCCTTTTCGGTGGTCTTGTTAAAGGTTTTCTTGTAGTTTCCTTCATCAGCAACTTCATAGATAGTATCGTTGTAAGAGGCAGGCAAGTCATCGGTATAGACAAGGTTTCCTTCAACCTCGGGAGTCATGGCATTGCCCTTGTAGGTAGGACCGGTGTATTGGAACTTTTGGTTACCAGCACGCAAGACATTGTTGATAAAGTTATCAGTAGCATCATCAATCATCAGATAAAGACCAAAGGCCTCTCCATTAATAAAGAGACGTACAAAACTACCTTCTAAAGAAGCAGCACCAGAAGCAGCCAAAAGATCAAGCATCAACTTTTCACGGCTAATGATTGGAAAGAAAAAAATTAGGTTTTTTTTTGTTTCACGTCAGTTCATAAAAAGGGGGAGAGGAAAGCTTACACGAAAGTGGGATCCGTTTCATGGGCTCTTAATTTAACGACAGATCGGCCAAACAAGAGTTGTTTATCGCCAGTTTGTAAAAACTCATTTAATTTGAGCTTATAAGATTGCTTGGCAAACTCCTTGGTCGATTTACCGCTATTCTTGAGACCTGCCATCGAGAACGAAAAGATTTCTCCGTGAGAGATGTATGTCATATTGTAAACTTCGGTATACTCATAATCACCAAGTGGGTTTGTCAAAATCTCGCCCAAGCCTGTAGCGTTGGTGTTCATAATAATGGTAGCAACTTCGTTAGACCGATTCATATTACTCATAAGGGCTAGTGATATTTAAAGTAAGTATACAATGAAATAGATATTACAAAAATAAGGACCTTACGGTGGTAAATAGGGTGGTAGGCTTGAGGAAGAGAAGGTACATTGAAAAGAGTTTGTGTTCTGTTAAAGAATTCGTTACCAGTAGAGGCAATTCCTTGTGCTTGAGTACGAGGAGTTTCGGTCACATCACCTAGTGCGTAGGCATATTGGTCGCCAGAGGGAGCAATGCCTTTGAAAAGATTAGGGTGTTCAGCAGAAGGGGATAAAGGATATGCCTGTCCTGCAATCACTACTGTAACGCTTTGTTGGGCTTGGGGAAAAGCAACCACTGCGTACTCAATATCTGCAGCCTTGACTAGCTGTAAGGAAAGTATAGCTAAACCAAAGTAGCTAACAAAAGACCTCATTGTATAAAATAAAATAGCGAGAGGGGGATAGAGAAAGGAACGTATGTAAAGAAGAAGAAATAAGACATGATACAAGATGAGTATTTATAATTCCATTTTTTAGAATATTGAGAATCGATATTTTCTCTACCTTCCCTTTTGTTAAATGCAAATCTTTTTATAGAATTTGTATATCACCATGCAATTTAATACACTTCATTAAGATAGCCAATTATCTTTCTTTTTTTAACACGTTAATTTCTTATGAAACAATACGCCCTCATCTATGGTACGTCTGTAAAGGGGTATCGTCATTTTTACTGGTAAAGAAAAAAAAAAAGAGCGAGTGCAGAAAAACCGGATCGAGAGATTTACAGAAAGTCTCGGTTTTCCGCGACTTCTAACAACTCTATGTATTAAATTATCAACAAATAAAAAAAACGATCGCTAATTAACATTTCCACATCGTTGGCACACTCCTTTCTCTCTATACGCGGATTGGTTGATTAGTGAAAAGAAAACGTCAGCAAAATCGCCGATTCCTTTTGTAAACAAGGCTTGCTTCTTCAAGGCACAGACCACTTAATACTGTTCAAACGCTCATAGCGATTAGCTTTTATCCGGTCAATATGTTTCTGTGTAACTTGTGTTGCTTTGGAAAACCTAGTCTTCATCTTTCAATAGTGCCGTGTAACATATACAGCACATGAAGCGCAACTGAACATTGGCGCTTTTTTTTTTCGATGGCTTCGTGTGACTCGCTTTTATTTTTATGTCTTTCTGCTTGTATGCGCTGGGTGTCAAATAGAGTGTTCCCAAACGAGCGAAAAAAAAAGCCAGGGGATCTTTTTTTTTTTAAGAGTGTGAGGTAGTCATGTTTCGACGTTTATTAGTACAAACAATCCGACAACGTAGTGCAAACTTTAACGCTCGAAAAGTTATCCCTTTGAAATCACTCATTACACCCATTAGCAGCATGAACGTTCAACCTTTCTCAACTAGCAAACCTGTTGAACGAGGCATTCAACAGCTCTCGAAAATCGAAAACTATGACTCGAGTACATACAAGACACTTGCATTTTACAAGTTTCACAAGTTTACGAAACCTGAATTAGAAGCCTTTCGTACCCAATTATTGACCGATCTTGGTGAATTTGGCATTGTGGGCCGAATTTATATTTCGACCGAAGGTGTCAATGCACAAATTGCCTGTCCCGAGGAATGTTTAGAAAAACTCGAAGAATATCGCAAGAATGTGTTGAATCCCATGTTTGACAACAACTTGATGGAATTAAATATCGGTACTGAGCATGGTAAGCGTTCTTTCCGTGCCTTGCATGTTCGTATTCGTAAACAGGTAAGAAAATATGTCTTGAAAAAAAAAATCGTACGTTAAAATTTTCATTTACAGCTTATTGTGGATGGATTGGATTCTAGCACCTATGATTTAGATAATGAACCATCCCACTTATCACCTGCAGAATGGCATGAAAGATTAAGCACATATGAGACACAGCACGGGGAGAAACCTATTTTGATCGACATGCGTAATCATTACGAGAGCAAGATTGGATATTTCGATGGTGCGATCTGTCCTGATGCCGATACTTACAAGGACAGTATTGACGCTATGAACGAAATTTGTGAAAATTTACCTCGCGATCAAGAAATCTTCATGTATTGTACTGGCGGTATTCGTTGTACCAAAGCAGGCGCTATTCTTCAGTCGGCCTCCAAGTTTAATACAGTGCATTTGGTAGAAGGAGGCATCACTTCTTATGGAAGATGGGTTTCAGAACAAGAAGATAAAGAATCTTTGTTTCGCGGAAAGAATTTTACCTTTGATGCTCGTATGGGAGAAAAGATTACAGATGAGGTCATTGGTGAATGTCATTTATGTGGTACTCCCAGTAACAGATACCAAAACTGCTCTCATGCATCCTGTAATATTCTCATGTTGTGCTGTCCTTCTTGTGCAAGCCAATTTTTAAATACCTGTGCTCGTCTTCCATGTTATGATACAGTGAACGAATTTATTCAAACGGGCGCAGAACATTTTGAACCCTCTGGCGCTGTCATGGTAGATGGCGTACGTGTCTTTATGAAGCAAGGTGAAAAGGATATGGATGCCAGTTCCAAACGTGTCGTGATTGGTAAAAAAGGTGTTCGCTGTGACCATGAACACACACGTCGTACACGTGCAATTGAAATCTTGGGACAACCTGGTGAGATCCTGAAAGAATGGGCCAAGGCGGGTAGAGATCTCCCACCTAAGCCTGTTCAATTGTAAATAAAAAATAAAAATTATTATTAGACCTAATGCAATCGTACCCTTTTTTTTTTTTTTTTTTTTTTGAAAATACACATGGTGATTATAGATCATCGTATGTCAACGGATAAACTGATCAGATTGATACAACTTGTGATAATTACAAAATATCATCTTATAGTAAATCATCAGATCATCATTTTCAGAAAGGCATCAAATCCGTGCATGAAAAAAGCCATGTGTTAAAGATCCATTTTTGTTCACCCGATAAATGACAACTAACCCCACACGTGTGTGTACACACAGAAAGAAACGCGCTTTTTTTTTTGATATGATACATTTTATTTATTTATTATTATATTTATTTATTCTTTTTGACGGTATGAACTTTTGCGACTTAAAGGACCAGTGCTACGTCTTTTTGGTGCCTCGTTATAATCCTCGGGATGAATGAATGAACATCTCTTTCCAAACAAACAGCCATCGCCCACTCTAATTAAAACATGTATATTAATAAACCGCACATCATAAACAATCCAATTTTTTCTGCTTCTATTTTACCTGCATGGTGCTGTGGGATGAGAGAATTTACAGTGTTTGTTGGTACAATTGGGCCAATAATCACAACGGTTCTTCATCTTAGGCATATGTGATTGAGTTTGTTTACAAATCTTTTCTTCTCTCGTCCATTCTCTCTTCTCGTTATTTCCTACTTCTTCCATTTTTGGAGGCTCGCCTGTTAAAATACCTTCATTTAAAATCTTGTTCCATGTCGAGTTATAATTGAGGTTATCGAAAACTTGGGGTGATGTTGTTTTGGCAGCGGCAGCAGCAGCAGCGGCGGCGGTGGCTGCAACCGTAGCAGCCGCTGATTTAGCGGCAATCTCGGCAAATTTGTTCTTTTCCGAATGCAAAGAGGATGTGCTGGTGGAAGGGGTGGTGGCAGGGGATGTGTGATTCTCTTCCTCAATCTCTACTTCCACATCGGAATCACTGGCTTCCGTACCTCCTTGGATATGACTGTTTAATAATTGGGATGCAGTGGTTGCTTCTATTAATGCTAATTTCGAGTATGGCGTGGGGTTTTTTACGGATTTGGATTGCTCGGGTAAAGTGCTGATATGTTGACTTGTTTCTTTAGGTGTCTCGCTGATAGAACCGTTTACTTCTTTTTCCTCCACTGCGATAGATCTAGAGTTATCTGTGATGATGGTTGATTTGGGTTCCTTTTCTAATCCTGCAATATAACGTTGTGCTTCAGATGCCACGATGGATTCTGTGCTGTTATACTTGGCAAGGGAAGGTCTAGGCTCCTTAGCTAAATAGACAATATGTGTATGCGCTTCATCTACAACGGCAGCTTCGTCATCGACATGAGGTTCTGCTTCGTGATAGGATGCAAGGAAAGGCTTGGGAGTTTCGGCTAAAGAAGCAACGTGTGTAAGCGCTTCAGCGGCAATTGCAGCTTCGGTTTGGTTATATGTAGCAAGGAAAGGTTTAGGTTCCTTGGCTAATGTTGAGATATAGGCCTGAGATTCAGAAGCAATACTGGATTCGGTCATGTTGTATGCGGCAAGGAAAGGTTTGGGCTCCTTGGGCAAGGCCTTGACAAAATTGTGCGCTTCAACAGTCACTGTGGATTCGGTGCTGTTATAAGCAGCAAGGAATGGCTTGGGTTGCTTAGCTAAAGATTGCACATAGCGTTGACTCTCGACAGCGACAGTAGATTCAGTGCTGTTGTAAACAGCAAGGAAAGGTTTGGGTTGCTTAGCTAAAGCTTGCACATAGTGGCGGCTTTCAGCAGCAATGATGGATTCAGTATTGTTATATACAGCAAGGAAAGGCTTAGGCTGCTTGGGTAAGGCCTGTACGTATTGTTGGCTTTCAGCAGCAGTAGTGGATTCAGTATTATTATAAGCAGCAATAAAAGGCTTGGGTTGCTTGGGCAAAGAAGCAATGTATTGTTGTGCCTCAACGGCAATCGCAGATTCGGTACTATTATAAGTAGCAAGGAAAGGCTTGGGTTGCTTAGGCAAAGCCTTGACGTAGCTCTGGGCTTCAACAGCAGTGACGGATTCTGTGTTGTTGTAAGTAGCAAGGAAAGGCTTGGGTTGCTTTGGTAAAGCCTTGACGTAGCTCTGGGCTTCAACAGCAGCGACGGATTCTGTGTTGTTGTAAGTAGCAAGGAAAGGCTTGGGTTGCTTGGGTAAAGCCTTGATATAGTTCTGAGCTTCGACAGCAGTGGTGGATTCAGTGTTGTTGTAAACAGCAATGAAGGGCTTGGGTTGCTTGGGTAAAGCAGAGATATAGTGTTGAGCTTCTAAAGCTGTTGTGGATTCGGTGCTATTATAGCTAGCGATGAAGGGCTTGGGTTGCTTGGGAAGAGCAGAAATATAATGTTTAGCTTCAGCAGCGGTGGTGGATTCTGTATTGTTATAGGCAGCAATGAAAGGCTTGGGTTGTTTGGGCAACACGGAGACGTATTGTTGATTTTCTAAGGCAATTGAAGCTTCGGTGTTGTTATAGGCAGCAATGAAAGGCTTGGGTTGTTTGGGCAAAGCAGAGATATATTGCTGGGCTTCTGCGGTCACCATGGATTCGGTGTTGTTATAAACAGCAAGGAAAGGCTTGGGTTGCTTAGGTAAGGCATGAATGTATTGGTGGGCATCAGCGGCGATGATGGATTCAGTAGCGTTGTAGTTGGCGAGGAAAGGCTTGGGTTGTTGTTCAGGGACAGTAGCAGTCTCGAGAGGTTTAAGATCAGCAGCAATATCAATGGGATTACAAGGGGCGGCCAATGAGTCGGAGACTTGAGGTTGTTGGATAGCAGGAGCAACCTTAGCGGCGACAATTTTACTACGAGGCTTTGTCAGATGATCGATTTGCTTATCAGCAACGAGTTCTTCCAAAAAGGACTTTGGTTGTGGCTTGACCAATAAAGGCAATGATTTAATAAAAGATTGGGCAACCATAGTGGAGACAGCTACAGTCTCTTCATAACGTGCAAGTGAAGCTTGTGCAACCTAACATTAAAATCAGGAGAGTGGGACCAAAAGGTTAGAAAAAAAAATGTTGTTTCAAAAGGATGGCTTCATAATTTTTAGGTTACCTTGATAGCGGAAGCATCCGTTTTTTTTGCAATAGTGGTTTGATCTTTTGCATGCTCGATTTTATCAGTAGAAACAACTGCTAATTTTAGAATTTACGTGTTTAGTTGCTTATAGTAAAAAAAGAAGGGTCATAACTCACCATTCTTGGGTTTAATATCCCTGCTTTTAACTTGGGCCTGTTCAGGCTTCTTTGCCTTTGCTAATAAAAAACTAATGTTAAGTATTTCTGAAATGTGTCAAAAAAAAATTATAGATCTCTATTACCAAACACGAAAAAATAGAGAATTGCAAGACCTGCGACGACAGCCAGGGTGGTATTGATGATAACGTAATCGTAAGATTGGATCAAGTTATTCATTTTTGTTTAATAGTTTTAAATTTTTTGTTGAAAGGGGAAAAGCCCAAAAAAAATTGCTCAAAGGCTATTTATTAAAAAATCTTTCTCTTTGAAAAAAAAAAAAAAAAGAATATTTGGGACCCGATCCAATCACATTCTAATACGAGATTTTGTTCATGGATCACATTTTGAAACAAGGCCCAAATAAAACAAGTATTATTCTCAAACCTAGTCTACCATGTATCATCTTTTATTGTTAAAATACCCTTCTTATTGATTATCATACACTTTTTTCTTATTCATTTTGGCATACGCGTGGCACAAAAAGTGATTCTCATTTTTAGCACACATAATTTAAGCGCTCGTTCTTAATTATGAAAATGCCCGTTCACTTTATGGGGATTTGTGCGAGGTTACATTACCCAAAAGTGTATGTTTTGATCAAATGCTTCACTATAATTGGAGTAAATAACATCTTGCTTCCAGACAAGGATCTATACTTGCAATTGCAAATACAAAGAGTAGGACCCATTCGCCCAAGGAGTACATATACGGATCATGCGATCATGTAGTCACTACTGACCTTTATCAATTCAGGAATATCGCTAGATTTGTGTCTGTTGTTGTTGTTTATACCCCTGAGAATTACTACGAGTGTTGGAGCAATTTATACGTGTGTTTCCGGGCTGGGATATTGATAATGTTAACCAATTGGTTTAGTTACCAGAAATATAATTAAATGATTATATCTGCGACACATTAATTTATATTTACATGGGCAGTGGCGTAAATGAACGAATATTTCGACGCCAGCATATATGTTGATTCTTCGGACGCGATATTTGCAATTATTAAACTGAAGCAGCTTCGGCATTGCTTTCCAATATCACTTCTAAGTCGTTTGTTACCACACAACCTTCAGATATCAACCCATATACTTGATTAGCTATATAAATCAGTTCATCACACTATTGGTTTTTTCGTTATAACTGGATTGATCAAAGAATTATAGCAAGTTGTTTATCAGTTACATGATTTGGGCTACCGCGCGTTTTTTCTATTGCTTTAAAAAAGAGTTGATGTTTATGCAAAGTAAAAAGTTCTTTTCAATATTTAATTTAATCATGTAGTTAGCCTACCTCTTTCTTAATTATTAATGTATCGTAGTGATTTACGTAAGACAGCAATGTCCTCAGTTTAAACATGACGCATATATATTTAGTAGTTCTACCATTTCCGTTTAAAGACAGTGTGAAATTAACTTATTGGCAACTTTAACTCTCTCAAAAGCTATACCGAGGTCTTATATTCTACAATAAGCCAAAAACTGACAAATCAAGCGCTTCCTGTACGCTACTGATTGATTGATAGAATTTCCAAAAAAAAACGTTTGGCGATCAGTTTTATCAGTCACAGTCTCGTTGTCAGAAGGTATAATTCGAGAAGTATTTCTTCGATATCTCACAAGTAAAGCATCTGTTGAGAAAGGGTGTACGATGACACCATTTCTAGATTCAAACTTTGTGTTGCACAAGACGGCTTTTGAATGTATGGTGTGACGTAAAATACAAAAACCTTTCCGGTTGTCCGTTACTGAACTCTAAATTTTTTTTTTTTGTCTTTCTCGGTTCCTTCTTTTTCTTTTAGTTTACTTTACAACATAAAAATGAGTAGAGACGATGAATACGATTATCTCTTTAAGGGTAATAACAACTGTAATTTATGCTTGTGTTTGTTTTTTTAATATTGACTTTTTTTCATGTCTAGTTGTCCTTATTGGTGACTCGGGCGTAGGAAAGACGAATCTCTTGTCCAGATTTACTCGAAATGAATTCAACTTAGATTCCAAAAGCACCATTGGTGTTGAATTTGCAACCCGTAGTGTACAAGTCGACAACAAAACTGTAAAGGCTCAAATTTGGGATACAGGTAAAAAAAACTTATTGTTCTTCCGATACAATCTCCGGGTAATTATAAACAACTATTTACTTTTGAATAGCTGGTCAAGAAAGATATCGTGCCATTACTAGTGCGTAAGTACTCTGGATTATTTACAGAAAAAGGATTGCATATCAAACATCTTGTTATTAGTTACTATAGAGGCGCCGTGGGTGCATTGTTAGTTTACGATATTGCAAAATATGCGACCTACGAAAATGTAATGCGTTGGTTGAAAGAGCTTCGCGATCATGCTGACTCCAACATAGTTGTGATGCTGGTTGGAAATAAGAGTGATTTGCGACATCTACGTGCAGTACCTACAGAAGAAGCAAAGCAATTTGCAGGTAAATAAATCAACCCTCCCCCCCCCCTTTTTTTTCTATGATGATAAAAGCCCCCTTACTCATCCCTTGTTTATATCTAGCTGATAATGGTCTTTCTTTTATTGAGACATCTGCTTTGGATTCAAGTAACGTCGAACTTGCCTTTCAAAGAATCTTGACAGGTAATCCAATCAATTTATAAAATTATGGGTTTTTCCCCCAATAACTCATATAAATTCACATCAGAAATCTACCGCATTGTTTCCAACAAGGCTTTGGAATCATCAAACGATGTTATTAGACCAACAGCGGGAGAAAAAATTACAGTGACCCAACCAGCCGAAGAGACAAAAGGAGGAGGGGGAGGCTGTTGCTAAAAACCCAAATAAAAATCACTGTCTAGGACGGAATATACACCTTTTATTTTAATATCATAATTTATATTATATACATCCACAAAAACATGAATAAAGCCCATGTGTACCACATTAAGCACATGATATCCTCATGCAGTGGAAAACAGATAACATTGAAACTGAAAATAGTTTAAATGACACCCGTACCAGGTACAGGTACCTCCCCCTTTCTTTTTTTCTTCACACTTTCTATGGGAAGGGATTTTCTTTTCTTCTCATCATCAAGGTCATACACAGCATGTTATATTCTAAAAAGAGCGAAAAGAATCATGCTATGACAAACAAAGTTTTTGTCAAGAGATCCCAGTTGTAAATAATAAAAAAGACCCTTATCATCGTATATACCCAGAAGTCTATGTAACTACTAAACCTGCAATTACTACACTAGTCCCACCGTCAAAGTTTCTTCTTCAGTCAACTGGATTCATCAATTCTAGGAAAGTCTGTTTTAGCTATTATAATGTTCACTCTATAAATACGAGTTGAAGTCTTGACCTTCCTGAAGGTCACTCAAGCGGTTCTTTATCAAAGTGCTATTAAAACTTGTTAGAAGGAAGATGAACAAGATTATATAAGCTCTTCCTACTAACAATTCACTAGCTTGATACAGAACTTCCCTTTCTCGGTCAAAAAACCGAAAAAGAATGTAAGTATTGACTCTGGTAGTTGGGGCTTTAGTTATTGTTGACATACCCCTTAACTGAACGGACATGGTGACTTGGTTTGTTTTTATTGAAACCAGCTTCGTCATTGAAGATACAAATATCAAGATAGTAGTTCATATACGCAATTTTGAACTATCTATTAACCCAATCACAACCAGCGTTCTCTAAACTTTCTGTTGCTATCAATTGGTACAAGTGTGCCTTTTACACGGTCAAAATGCACTTAGGACGGAGGAAGTTTCCAACAGAGGCTTACTTCTAACTTGAATTTTCATTTCAAAAAAAAAAAAATTAATCGTCTCGTCTTGCTCTACCATAATAAGCCCTAAATAGTCATATGAGAGTGTTTACCAAAAAAAAAATTGGTAGCTTAATTCAAGAGAACAAAAGTAGAACAAAATACATTAATACATTAATATGTTTAGATTTCCTTTATAATTTTTATGACTCAGATGTAACAATAAAAGAACGGGGTCTATTAATACTGAATGATGATGTCGACCCGTCAATAAATTTGTTCTTTAACTGTTAAATACTTCAGTCGAAGTCGTGTTACTATGCCGGAATAAAATGATGTCAGTCCAGTGATATTACCAAAGCATTTAAATAATTGAAATACGATTTCAGTTTATATGGTTCTATCATCCATGGAGAGAGTGACAGTTATCCGCTTCGAATCTTCAACAAAGTTAATTAAGGAAAACTTTAACAATCCCTTTAATAATCATCATACTTTATGCCGGTAATACTACTCCAGAGATTTTCGTCGTTCGTTTTTAAAACTTTATGAAAAAAATTCAAAGCATTATCCACTTTATTCTTCAACTAATGTGAAAATAGTGAGTAAAACACTTAATTTGCATGTCGATATGTTAGCTCTCGTTTTTCAACTTTGTCCCAAAAATGTTTACTAACAACTTCATTGCCGACAATTTTCAATTGAAATTGCTTCTTGTTATTGAGCTATTGAAGATAGTCCAAAAAATCTGCGACGAAATTCCTTTCGACTTTTGTGTTCTTTTTGCTGCCAATAAAATTCTGTATGATTACTCGTATTACTTCAATAATACATGGTAAAAATAGCTAAATTTTTGATTTAGTTAAATAAAGTACTCACCCGTATGACCGAAAATTAAAAATGGGTTGGAGTTGGGCCGAGTGTAATCGAACAAAAGTTAACTCCTGTTTCATTGGGTTCTGAAGGCACGGGATTCAATTGCAGTGATATGAACGAAATTTATGGCGCGGATAATCTAACTTCACAGCTTGTAGAAAAATTAATCGAGTATATCACAGCTTTAACTAATATAGTTGTGTTTGTCTATCTGCCTTAACATAGTAATTGGGTTATCTGGGTAAGTTATTTTGACAATGAATATTTAAAAATCTGATCCATACTTCTTAATTTGAGAGTACTAGTTAACTTTGCCCATACACTTGAGGACTTCATCAAGAATATCAAAAAGTGGACAGATGTACTAAGAAGAATTATAAGCAAGTACATGAGCGTATCTAAGAAGTCAATGCAAAGGGTCCATGTATACTTTTATTGTATTGTACAAAAATCTATAATTTATTGACGCGATAATCTATGGAAATGGCAATTTCTGGAAAGCTATCGAATGTTAATCTATCAACACTTGTGCTATTCATGTATTTTTAGACTTAAGTATATATCCAACTGTATAGAAACCCAGAGGCTAACGATCTGTCATACGGTCTAACAGATAACAAATGTATGTACCCATATTTTGTCATTCACATCACCATGTACACTCACAGATAGCAAACCCTTAAACATTCATAAATTTTTATTACTAAAAAGAATGCCTAGCTTTAATCTCAAATATTACATCTGTTTATATTCACATATTATTTCATTTTAACAAGAAGAAATCCCATGTAAATTCTTTTCTTAGCGATATTAGACAAAATGATTATGTTATGACAAGAAGTTTAACTTAAGTACAAAAATTGCCGCATCACGTCAAGCTATTTATCTTGTCAATAAATACATACATCTACGTTTTTAGGATTGATGATGATACGTTTAGGAAGGGAATTATCTACATCGTTAGGACTGACTTATTTTTTAGCGTTAAAGTCGTAGAGAGAGTATTGACCAAATCATCAATAAAAAATATGTAATCTGGCGTATGGATATAAACAGGCTTTGGCCTCTTCGTAAGTTTCAATTTTTGTGAACCACGTTTAAACTATAAATCTTGTAATGTATAATGAGCAATACTAAGAGGTTAATGTAGTAACTAATTTATTCTTGCTTGTACATCTCACTGCTTCATACGCAGATCATGCTTCTTAATCAGTCTTAAAAAAATAAAAAAAACCGGTTATTGACGACAGCCACTAGTATTCATATTACTTTATGTGCTGGATAAAGCTTAAGGGATTGAGGCGGTTAAGCCGAATTTCAGTTAAATTGATGTACTATACTATTAGGCCTAACTGATTTTCGTTTTTTTGTTTTTTTTTTGTTTTTGTTTTTGTATGCGTGGGCAATAACCAGATTGTATTTTTTACTGATTAAGGGTTACTCGCGCATACCTACCATTGGTTTCATGGCATCATGACGAAATAATTTATTTCCAAATTAAACAAAACAATTCATTGTCACATCATACGGCACTAACGAATATCTTTTAAACAAAATAGTAAGTGCAGACGGCCCTACCATCATGACACAAAAAATAGCGGGTCGTACAAATAATTATTTAGGTTGGCCACAGTAGTAGTAAGAGTTAGTCATTACATTCATTTTAAAAGGAGAATTGTCCGGAACTGCCTTCCACTTTTTTTATTGAGGGATATTACATCTTTTCAAGCGTCCATGTCATAATAGACTGCAATACGTAATGAGTGTTCCGAATTATAAGTTGCTTACCATGTATTCTTGACAAGGGAACACCTGATTATATTCTTATGACGGGTGGCTGCGCTACATCAAATGATGTCGTAATGAAGCTTAAACTAATGTTACTATCTTTCACAGACCCATAAGTGCGGTATCTGGGTTCTGAAAATTTATAAGGAATCAAAACAACAAGGGTTACTTAAATATTTAGGGACGTGATTTTTTCTTCTTTCAATATTACTGCGCAAAATAGGATGTATACCGCGGTTGGTGTGCAGGAAATTAACTGGTGCTACCCTATGTATTTTATCTTGATGTTGCAGATCCAGCAGTAAATGGGTCTTGTCGATCTAGAATTTCTGACCTATGACAAATGATTTAGTAGAGAAAAGGTATACGATCCTGACCCAACGAGCATGTGGACATTTTTTTTATACCCAACAAAAAAAAAAAGTTTAAAAAAAAATATCATTCTATTCTACAAATACAGAACCCTATATGATCAATAACAAATAATGCTTACATCGTACATCAAAAGCAAACATCAAATATAAATTTAAGTTGAGATGATCCGATTTAAACCTCAAAAGTTGGATAAATTTAAAAATGACAATCACAATACATGCAAGCGGATGAAATAATAATAAATAGAAGAAGTGACAACGGACTTTTTAGATTGGTACGAGAAAAACCGGTTCTATATGGGACAGACGCCTGTCTGCAGTGAATGCACCATTCACATAAGACGTGAGAAGACTTTATGATTTTATTTTTATCTCCTTACTCCCCTATTATTGATCCCCCGTTCAAAGTTTATAATCCAGGTGTATGCTTTATGCTTTAGAAACAGATCGGGCTTGATCAACCTATTCGGGGTGTCTGTCCTGAAGACAGCTTTATTTTTATTGGTTTGGAAAACAATTTGGCTGAATTTCAAGTGCAGGCTTTATGTGATAATCATTTCTCCGCCCCAACAAAAAAAAAAGTACATATATTCTTCTGATCATTTAATCATCAGCCCTTCCTTTTTTTCTTAGTTCCTCTTTTTCTTTAAATAAATATTTCATGAGTGTCAAAAGTGAAAATGATGCAATGCTGAATCACTATCCAGATATTGTCTATACACTAGAACCAACAATGCAACATGTTATACGATTCTTACGTATCCTAAGATGGAAGAAAGATTACACACATCAATCAATCCTCTTAACGCTAATATGGACATTTTTCTGGTTCCATACATTGATTGTTTCTTACACCATACCAATTTGGATAGCATTGATATTATATCATTGCTCTGTCGATCAACAACAACCAAAAGACAAAGAAAGCACCACAAACTCTTTTGAAAAATTGACAGACGAGTTAAAGGAGATCCAATTGGAATTATCTTTAATACTACCAGGCCCAGAATCAAAAGACCGATTCCGTCAGTGGTGTTGTCGTAGATCTTTATTTGTATTAGATCAAAATTATTATTACCAGCTATCGGTCTTCGTTTCATTGTATTTCGCATGGATTGGAGCACTGACGGCGTTAGGTGCAGACAAAATTATTTGGCTTATTGGCTGCTTAATTTTAACTTGGAACAGTCCTTTATTCAAAGTCATTCGATATTCATATCACAGGGCCTCATCCATCATCAAACAATCCAAAAAACCAGCCACCGAAAAAAAATTACCTACTTCCATCAATACCAATCATTATGATCGGTTTTATCGGTTTGTTGTAATCGAGCATCAACGTTGGTGGTTACATAGTGGTTGGACCGCATTATTATTACCAAATGAGAGACCAGAATGGTAATTTATTTGCTAAATGTCACATGAATCATAGCGCTAAACTTTTTTTTTTTCAAGGTCTGACGAATATTTGTCGAAGGTACCATCAATTGCATTATTTCATTTACCCCCACCTACTACCAGGCTTGACAAAAAAACTCTCAATGTAACCAAAATCAGTTGGGAGTGGGTTTCACAAGACTGGCAAATGGATGAGAATCGTAACGTGGATAAAAATGGATGGGAATATGGTAGCTGGGACTGGACGGCATGGAGTACCAAGTCTTCTGGCTTACGCGTGCTCACACGACGCAGACATTGGATTAGAAATGCACGTCTTATTGAAGAGTCAGTTAGTAATGATATCACGTTGCCTATAAACATCGTCACCAAAAGATCAAATACGTGCGCTTCTAGTTCGACATCACTATCTTCGGAGGACTCATTCTTGTGTTCTACACCTACCAATTGCACTTTGCTTCAAAGGTCATCATCCACAAGCACGAGTAAATATTCCGTGGAACCATCTATTTTCTCCGACCATTCAAATATGGAAAATCAACTGTGGTTACGCCGCTAATGAAAACACGTTTTTTCCCTGTATAATACTTTATTTTATTTATTTTTTCTTGTACCTTATTACAAAAACTGTATTTTCTATTATTACTATTACTAATTTATATACCTTCTAATATTTACTCTACCTCCCCTTGTAACGTTTGCACCTGCAACAGTTACATCTAATCACCTTTGTTTAAAATAAAAAATGATTTATTGTAATCCTACGTCATGCAGCACTTTTTGTATACACGTTGTTGTGTCACCACAAATGTTATGTTTTATACATGTAGAATACAAAAAAAAAAAAAAAAAAAAAAAAAAAAAGTACAGATTATTTATGAGAAAGCCTCAGCGATCCAAATTTTCTAATAGATGATTGTTCGGGCGACGAAAAATCCAAGTTGGCCTCAGACATTCTCCATTTTTTCTTTTGTCGAATAGTAGATGGAGGTGCGGTCTCTAGCAGTAATGATAGCCTCTTATTTTTTGCATTTAATGTTTTATTGTTTCTTGGTTGTGGAACGACAGTAGCAGTTTCTTCATCTTTCAATAAATCGTTCAAGGACTAGAATTTTATGTCAATCTTTGCAATTTCCTGTTTTTCTCTGCGCCGCCTCCCCCGTAAATAACATACCTGTACCCATTTCTCATGTGAGTCTTTATTGATGCATTGTAATCTAATATCACGAACAGAAGACTTTATCACTATCACGGGTTGAACTCTATTTTCTAATTGTTGTTGGTCAACATAAAATGAATCAATTGATACTAGCAAAGCATATTAGTTAATTTTCTTATGGATATGACCATGTTTGTTTGTTTTTACCACTCTTGGCCTTGTACTCTCCACCTTTTACACCTGGCTCCTGCTCACTCCAGTATAACGTTTTTGTATAAGGGTGAAGCCAAAAGAATCTTTGGTGGGACTTACTGGATATACCATAACCCATTTTGTTTCTTGTGTATTTTAAGAGCCATTCGCCAATCATTGTGTGCATGACAAATGGCAAGACCTTTTCGAAACCGTTTGGTGAAGGAGGAAGAATTGGCAACGGTTCCTGATGATTACATTCCTCTTTAGGAACTACTAATTGAGCCGGCGTATTTGTTGCTGAATCTCTCATAATAACCGAGCCAAATCGTTCAGTTATGATGCGACCTTCTGCTGACTCGATTTCTTGCTCTAAGGACGATAGCTCACTGTCGGATGTAGGTACCAAAACGGTTACACTACTTTGGGCTGCGTGTGCATCTTGACACCATGTATTCGGTGCAGATGATGTTTTTTGCATAGACTCTATCGTTTCTTGAGACTCCCTTAATAATGCATCTACCTCACTTTTCTTTTGCTTTTCCTTTTCGAGATCTAATTGTAAGCTCTCCACAACAGAATGTGCTTGACCGAGAGATACTTGAAGGGCTTTAATTTCTTGTTCGGATATCTTCCTTAATTTATGCTCGTCTTGCTCTTCTTCCTGCTTGGCATCCCTTTGTGCTTTTGAAAGTTGCTCCAGTTGTAATGCAATGACGTCTTTTTCCTTTTTGAGATTTGCCAGTTGGCTATTCAAAGAGGATAAAGTGGATTCATATTCGGTCTGTGTATTGTTCATCATCTCTTGCCAATTTAATTGAGATGCTTTTAATAGTTCCAGTTCTTGATTAACCAGGCTAGATTGTCTTTCGCGTCTCACCTGTTCCATTTGAGTTCTGGCAATGCTTTGTGATAGTTGACGAATCTGATGAGACAAGTCTTGCTTTGTTAATTCCAAATTCCAGATATCTTCTTTTAATTTTTCTTCCGTTTCGTTTTTATAACGTAACTGCTTTATTAAATCATCCATTCTTCGTTGATTGTCGATTCTTTCTGTTTCTAATAGAATTAACGAATCTTGTCTTTCTTGAAGAATGCTTTGCATTCGTCTTACTTCGCTTAGCAACCCTTGACCGATTTCGGTGGCTAATTCAATGTCGGAAGTAGCATTGCTTCTATTAGGCGCATCGGTTGCCGAAGAGACCACCAACATTCGCTTGTCTATAATTTTTACTGGTGTGGGTGTCTGGAACAGTTGATCAGAAGAGTTTCCAGTGATAGAGGCTCTTAGTAACAATCGTTTCTTTTTCTTTTTTATACTTGAAGAGTTCGAGCCTGTTAATATAGGAGGTGCTGGTAAGGTAATTGAATTTGCGTATGAAGAAGAAGAGAAATAAGAGGATGAATTGGAAGAAGAAACGGAAGAAAAAGGTGGCGAATATCGTGTTTCTGAAAAAGAGCGAAGGAAGCGTGTATTTGTAATATTATTATTATTATTATCAAAAGGAGTGATCGGAGGAGAAGGAGGGGATGTATTTAATACAGCTTTGTTGTTGTGCTGGTTTTTTTTTTGTTTAGTGAAAATGATAACAATTTTTTTTAGTTACATGTAGTTTACCAAGGGATGCTTATTACTATTGAACACCTCTTTGAATGACTGCTTTCTCGATCGAATCCAATTTGATGTGTCCTGATCTCTATTGTCGTCTTTTTGCTTCTATAAATTAAATTTTTAGTTATAGGGAGTGATTTAAAATCATTAAAAAAACGCACTAAAATAGGAGTCGATACACTACTTGTAGCAAAAAACTGGTGGATGATGTAGTGGCAGTTGATCTGAAAGGAAAAAAGCATTCAGGGGATGACTTTCTTCGCTGATCTGTAATTGAAATAGCGGGACTTTTATCTCTATCAAATTCCAGCATGGTCTATAGAATACAAGTAGAAGATACGAAAGAAAAGAAAGATACAAGAAAGTAAAAAACAAACTAAAAAAACAAAAGAAACGAAAAAAAAAAGGGAGAAAGAAGAGGGAAAAGCAACTTTATATATTTTTAAACATATTGTAATATCCCAGAAATACGAATTTTAAAATTGACACGGCCATACAAGACCTTTTTTTTTTTACTGTGAAAAAGCATCTTTGACAAAAATAGCCTTTGACAAAATAATAATAATAATAATAATAGGCGATCATAGGGACAGTTAGGGGTCCCGCATGCACTTTTTTTAAAAAAAAACAGATCGTAAGGATTCTATATTGGTTTAGTGTTATGCAAGGCATTTTGGATCCTTTATCAAAAGCAATTATACGAACAGTTTATATTCGGTTTTTCAAAAATTTAATGTGAGCTTGTTTTTTTAAAAAGCAAAAAATCCATTCAACAAAGAGAATACTCCCCCCAAGAGCTACTGACAGTGCACTAACAACTATTAAGCTTGTCATCTTATGCTTCACTCAGAGTATGCAGCAACGAACACTTACTAGCAACTTATACAACAAACACTAAAGAGCCAACAATTACTAACGTTGCTGTAATCATTATTGTTGATGCTCAAGTGAAACACTTGCATTTCATTTTGGACATTTGCAGATTGCTGGCATTAGGATCTGCAAGAGCACGATGACCAAGTTTTTAAAAAGAAAAGGGGGGTACGTTACTTGGGCTTTAGGTAAGAATACTTCTTCAGAACAATAACCTTATAGGCTTTAATTAAGCAAGCAATATAGAACAGCAATACCTGTGTTGTAAAGAACCCAATTCTTTTTCTAGGCATAGTAAGCTTAAAGGAATAGCAGAGAATTTTATTCATTATTGAAGTATCCAGAAACAACAAAGGACTGTTGAATTGTCCTAATGATCATTGTTGACTGTAAGATATTTGTCAATTGCTTGTCAGCAGATACCAGACAAGTTGAAAATGAAAGTTCAAATTATAAGAAGGCAATGCGGCTTGCCACTGTACTGACTATGCGTCTTAGTAGAAGCATCACTTCTAAATCCCGGTTTGGGCAAATGTCTGCTGTATGGACCAATTGAGAAACGCGAATATTTTGGAAAGCGAAATCGACACGTCATATCTTATATTTCAAAGTTTTTGTCAAGACGTGAATCGGCAATAGACAAAAGTTTATCAAAGCTAACATTATAAGGCAAGTGATGTCAGGTTTTGGCTTGGCTAAATGTAGCAGTACAAGATGATCGTTTAATATGCTATTATTAGGAACAGTTCAAGACTTAATACTATTATGCAAAAAAGAAAAGAAAAAAGAGAGAGCAATATCATAACAGAACAAACTGCATAATAATTAACTAATTTTCTATTAGCATAAATCACCCTTGCCTATTTTGGTTTCGCAATATGAGACTAGTTAGAATGGAAAACTTGGCAATTTTGTTACATTGGAGTTGTCCGTAATATAAACTGAGGGGAGTTGCCATAGTAAAAAAGTGGTGTACATCATTATCCCTTAATTGCTGTCTAAAACCAACCCACAGACCTAGATATTCGAGCCATAATTTTTTTTTATCACCTTCAGAAAACTGTTTCGTTATCTGCCCCTCATTTACTTTCTAGTCATATCTATGTTATCGAATGCGTTTGTCCAAAAATCAGGCTTAAACAATTATCCTTCATAAACCGAAACAAACGGCGATTTTCATAAAAAAATAGCCATACAAAAGTCTTACGGATGAATGAATAGGCAATCCGTTTTAGTAGTGTATTACTACGGACGCGGATGTGAATTAAGCCTGCCAAAATATCGGCATATGAGTTTTGCTCCGGTTGTAGGTCTGCATAATTAGGTCACAAAATGTACCGATTGGTTTTATCCGTAGAGTTAAGTGATGAGTGAAATACCCGGTGTTTGAGTTGAAACGGCATCTTACAAAGTGTATTAGTTATATTAATACAATTGTAGACATACACACACTTTATCTATCCAATCGAATACAACGCATTTAAAAAAAATTTAAAATACGAAAAGTCTGCTGGAGGTCCATATGTTTAAGGGTATTTTTGCAAGTCTTTTATTTATTATGAATAGAATAAGCAAAGTTCTGTAGTTCTTTGTCTATATCTCGCGAATGACATATGAAGCCTTAGAAATCACATTTATTGGAGTTAAAAACTAAATCAGGATGTCATTGTTCACAAAGTAGCTATGGTAATGGCAGAAAATGGGCCTGATAGATCATTTTGGAAGGCATAATGGGAGCTTAAGACACACAAAGAATTTGTGATTGCTACTTATTTTACTGAATTTCCTTTCTGGAAGTGTGTTACCTTCGATAAATAACCGACAGAATGGAACTGGCAAGATATGTTGTAAATGTGCTAGATTACATGTGACGTTATATACATCCAAATCATTGGTAATCGATATTAAAGAAATGTCTAAGATTAAGTTCTGTCGTATTGAAGATTAATGGCCGAGAGCCGGTAGAAAATACGCTAGGCTACTCTGCTACCGGTTTCACAGTAACTAAAATGAATACATATATACAACGGGAGAGTAACACTTTATTTCGATTTCGTAGAGCTAATTCGGATTACAGCCAGCTTTCAATTCGTAATGAAACCTTGTTAATAAAATAGCAAAAGAGTACATCATGTTATAAGTTGAATAGGCAGGAAAGTTTATATATGATGATAGCATTACGTTATTATAAAAGATGCAGGTATTGCATTATGCACTAAAGCAACCCCTTTTATTTATATTTCAACTCCCTTAGCCTAAGGCATGGTATCAAGTATGTATAAGGATACATGTTCTAAAAATATAATTACTGTGTAAAATCTGGGTTTTTATTTAAGCAAGGCCGACCGAAAGTTCTTTAATTTTAAGTAATAGGCTAGGAAAATCTTCCCGCTTGTTACTGTGTGGATAAGGAGTGTTGATTGGAACATCCTTTCCCAAGAACTGACAAAGCTCTTCCCAACCATGCTTTCCCAAATCAAGAATCAATAGATTTTCAGGTTTGACAATAGACTTGATATGCTCAATGTGATCCGTGAATTTTTGTATTAATGCTGCCTTTCTCTTTTCGGTATCAGCTCCACCCAATTCACCATCCCGAACAATGACACGTGCCATTTTTCTAGCCTTCACAATATTTTGAGGCCAACTTTCGTCTACATTGGGCCACTCATGTATAGTACTCGAGACAGATTTAAACCAAGATTCGGGATCCCGTATAGTAAGAATAACCTTAGCATCAGCGTTAAGAGCGTAAATTTTGTCAAAAAAAGCTACAGCAGGCCAATCTACCGCAGCAGTATATCCCCGGAAAGCTTTTTCCCAGTCGACAATGTCATTAGGATTTTTATATGCATCTTCAAAAATTTGGGGATCTTGAGTTGGGTCAAGAATAGTGTCTTTCATATGATGGGTTTTGTACCTATTAAATGTCAGTGTGCATCATAAGTCATCATGCAATTTTTTATTACCCCAAGATATTAAGGGCATCTCGAAGACTCATTGTTCCTGTACGTCCATAACCTGCACCCAAAATGTGCAAAAAAGAAGAAGATTGTTTTGTCATAATTGCGAAATAATAAATTAGGAACGGAAGGCTTTTTTATATCTTTCTTTTTTTTTAGGTTCATAGTTTTAATAATGCCGTGATGCCATTAACTTCGGCAAGATATAGACTAGAAAACAGCTAACATTGCAAAAAATCTATTGATCATTCAAAAACTGAATAGTGTTCGATTGTGAAAAACGTTTAATCGAACCCCCTTCCCCTTCTTAAATATGCCGAACTACCACATGCTTTGATAAAAACTTGTTATCGACTATTTGATCCAGGCAATCATTTATCTGCAAGTTTAATAGACAAATATCGGGTAATAATCTTTATCAGAACCATCAAACTTCCTCTGCAGTAAATGGCGTCATTTCTTTTGCGGGTAATAATTTAAGAAGCCATTGTTCCTCACTACCCCCTTTAACTATAGATGACGCCCTTACCATCACTTAGCATAAGCTCATTATAACAATGACTGCCGCACTTGTATTATACAATTTTCTATCAGAAGGGGTACAATAGAAATAAGCGTAAAACTTGCATGCCAATGTATTGATATAGTTGCCTGGATCGACAATCATTTTAATGATAGTTAAAAGGTTCCAAGTCTACGTTAAAACTTCGTAAGCGATAAATACCTTCATGGTATATCCCTTTTGATATAACGAATGCTGCAAGGATGACACTTTTCAAATTTTTTAATGATATGTTGAATTTATTATGAGAATAAGAGAAAAATATATATAAAAGAGTTTTATATAAGAAAAAAAAGGGTACAAGATAATTGACATTCAATTTGGTGTAATTAATGCAACAGCGAAGATTTAAAGTATTGCACATTTGATATCTTTCTTGGCGTTTTTTCTTCCTTTAGTCGTGTTACCGTCTTTAAATCCTTCGCGTGCATGTCGTATAAGTCGAACGACCGAGTAAAATGATCGTTCGACGTTAACACAGGTCTTTGCAGATGTCTCAACGAAATCACAATGTAGAGCTCTTGCTTTTGCCGCGCCTTCTTCTCTTGAAACCTCTCTGTCTGTAACTTTATCGCTCTTATTGCCAACAAGAATGAGGGGGACCTTGTCGAGATCTTTGACACGAAATATTTGATCTCTAAACCTATTAACGCGATCGTATGTTGAACGAGAAGTAATTGAGTAAACGATCAAAAAACCTTCACCATCTCGAATCCACTGATCACGTAAAGCTGTGTATTCCTCTATATACGTTTTTGTGTATTATTAATATGCTCCTTTTTTTTTTAGTAACACCTTCTTATTTAATTACCTTGTCCTGCTGTATCTAATACTTCTAATATGCACGGATTATCATCAATTACTACCTGTTTACGATACGAATCTTCTATTGTAGGGTCGTATGTCTATTATAAAACGAGATAAATATGTACTGCCTTTTTTTTTTTTTTTTTTTTTTTTTTTTGTATTCATTTGTACCTCTAAAAAAAATTAAGGTTATCTAAAGTCAGAATTGAAAATGTTTTATTTATTTACCAACAAAATGATTTAAGCAAAGCTAATTTAAGCAGTAAAAATATTAAAAGGCTGGATCTTTTATTTGTTGAGTTCTTTTTGCTACATACCTGGATAGTTAATGCTGTCTATAAAAAATAAGAATAAAACGCTTTAGCGCATAAAGACAGCCTCAAGTAGTCCTTTATTATACCTTTCCAACACCACCATCACCAAGTACCACAATCTTGAAAAGCATCATGTTGAGAAATGAGAGAAAGGGGAAGAGCCGAAAAAATAGTAAAACAGGAAAAAGAGAAAGAAATAGAAGGAAACACTAATAATGTATATTGGTGTGTGTATAACATCTTGTGTATACTTTGGATAGAATTGATCGTTAGTTTAGTATACAAAAAAAGGCAGAACTTGGAAACTAACATTTATTATACATATGCACTTTTGCTTTGTTTTAGTCTTTAATATATAATCCTCTATCCGTAGCAGAAGCATTGTATCTTCCCCAAGGATCAGTATGGTCTAATCCAAGGGTATCATCGGATTTAAAATGGTGATCGCTAAGCCTATAAGTATCTAAATAGCGTGGGAGATGTTACATTTTAATGGGCCGTGCACACCGAAAATGTTGTAAATGCACTTACCTTCTTTTAAAGTTGTAATATTAAACCTTGTTATAATATTGATCTTTACTTTATCCCATTCTTGGTCAGGCAAGCCACATCTTTCCTGTAATCTAAGTTTGGTCTCATGAAGTCTTTCATCCTGTTATAATAATATTAAAAAAAAAAAAATGAGGTTATCAGCAGACAATATTTAAACTTTTAATCTGTGATACTTTACCTTTATTACCAAAAACGTGAAGGGAACAGAATGTGTTTGCTTCAATTCCTTTTGATAATGAAAAACTGAAATATAGAAATCATCTTCACCCATGTTCGATTCTTCCTCAGGTATAGTTTCTGCAAACAAGTCTGATTCGTCGTCAGGAATAATATCAGTACCGGTAAAAACTTTTACTAGTTTATGATCAACCACCTGAAATATACGCATAGGGTTTTGTGTTTCCATCGCTGAATATAAACTGGAGATCCTAGCAAGTTTTGGCAGATAAAACTTCATCACTTGAATTTGATTTAGTGCTGATGAGCAAAAATTAAGCCTGATCAGTTTCTTGGTTTCATACTCCGTCCGACTTATAGGAAGCAATTCATAGTATAATCGAGGTACATACAGATCGTCATTTGTATTCTTCTGCTGAGGAATGAGCATCAGTAAATCTGACAATGTAGTAAATTTTGTTTGTCTATGAGCTTTTTTTGGGTGTCCATAACAATCCGGTAAGACCAATAATAAATAATTTGGATCACATTCCAGAATAAGCGCAAGTTGTCTAGTCACATCATCATAGAGCATATCCTGACGCAAAGCAACAGGAAAAGCATTGAATGGATCATCTTTCGACGCAAAAAACACAGTGATACGATTGTACAAATATAATAAATAATCCGGAGCATTGGAATACATGTCATTAGCGTGGAAATATTCAATTCTATAAAAACGGGGTTTTAGTCCTCAGAGATTGATAAAAGAGATAACACATGTTTACCTTTCTTGACTTAGTTTTTCTTGAAAGCATAATATATCACCATTTCCTATCTTGTAGTCATCGAAAGTCCAGTTCAAACCTAACTTCTCAGCTGTATGAGGTTGAGCTTCCTAGGATACAGTAGAAAAGAAAAAAAAATTAAAAACATGTCGTACAACCAATGTTTCTAGATAAATTACTTCATAAACATCCAGGACTGTTCCTGTCTGGAAGCCAACCATTTGATTCAAGCTATCCACAATAGTCCCTATTTGACTATTTCTTGTCACGTATAATCTTCCTACGCCTCTAATATATTGTTTAGTGAGAAAATAAACAAATAAACCAATATAGTATATAAAAATACCTTAACGACTGAGATATCGGATCAAATAATTTAATAAACACTAATACTGCATTTGAATTTGGTAACGGAAACAAAGGAAATCCATTACTTGCAGTTTCGACATAAACTCTTAAAAAAGGATAATTAGGAACTGGACGGCAGACGTCTTCGATAGCTATATAAAATATACAGGCGATTTAAACAAGGTGTTTCTTTTGAAAATAATCGTTACTTACAAAGATCAAGGTCTGCATCTGAAAATAAACTATCAAGTTGCACATTGCCATTTTTTCTATTTGCGACATTCCATAACCTTAAATGCTCGGGTCTCGCGCCAAATTCCGTTGCATATTCTTCTAACAGTTGTCTCAATGTTTGTGTTTTGAGAGCAACTTTACTCTGTACAGCTGGTATCGACTCGTGGTCGACAGCGGAAATCCATTGAGCTCCAGTATTTGATAAAAAGCTTGCATCGCTCACAATAAACACTTGGACGTATAAATGCTGCTCTTCGCGTTGTTTTAGGAGCATTTTTAATGCCTCCTGTTCTTGACAGATCCGCTCCACTGTTTATAAAAGAAAAATCAGATCCATAAATTTTATCCCTTTCATTATGCGGCTTTTACCTAAATGAGCAGGTATATCTTTTTGTGTCACATCTTCCAGTATTTGATCTTGCCGAGTTTCTCGAATGTAAACCAGCATGTATGCATTTGTAAATCTTTTCACAGGCTTGTAGTTTGGATGCACGTTTTTTGTTTCTCCACCAAAATTATCTTCAAAAACTTCGTTTAAAGACGCTGGCGTTACACGATCATCATCAAATTTAAACCTAACAGCATGTCAGCAAATTATTTACCAATTTTTTTCAAGGACCTTGATGCTTACCATTTATTTTCTTTGGTAGGTCGAACAAATGCAAAATAATGACCACCGCTGAGATCTCCTGTATGTACTAATACACTTAAAAAAAAAAAATTAATTATTTAATGCATGTCCAATATAAATAATTCGTCTTACCCGTGTAATGCATATTTATGGGACTCAGATCTATCTGCAGAATCTGATAAAAAGGGTTCTAAATCGATTTCGGCAGGAAATTCATGTCGATCATTTATCTATTGACTTTGTCAATTTTTTTTTTGGTGATATTTTTTATTATTATTATTCGTTCTGTTACCTTGACCATACTATCCTTCATCATATCATATTCAAATCGTTTTAATTGTAGATGAATCACAGGAGGAAAACTTTCGAAAATGACACCCTTTTTAGCATCCTGCAATCCATGCACCGAAGCCATGTATTTGTTATCCCCTTCTAATATTTCCTCGGATATGTATGTTTTAAACGACTCCAGTAAATCTTTACATCCTTTCACATTCAACTGAATATCTAATTCCCGTTTAATTAACTGCCAAAAACCTAAGTTTGATTCCGTTAAGTCTTACCATAGAAATCCTCAGATCTTGAAGACTCGTAATCCACATTCAAACACTTTATATAACTTTTCATCCTACCTACGAATAGTTGTTTTATAGAATCATTGGCTGGGGTTCCTCTCATTTTCTTTTCGATATTGTCTTGTAGTAATCTGTTGAATTCTTGCACATCATGCTGCATAAAAGAGTCAATTGAATTCCATCCAAACGATGTTGTTAGTTCTATGGTGGCTAGAATACCCTATTAGTCTTTTGTGAGGAATAAATCTCAAGGACATACAAACTGCGGTTTTCGAGAATTGTAGGTTGTAAAATAGTCTTTGGAGTGCTAGTGCAATGCTGTTATGCGGGTCATCATTTTCTGTCGGTATTTGGTACACAGCTTTTCGATAGAAATTGGTGAAGAAAAGAGATTGGAATAATGAATTCATATAGCATGTAGCACCCTGATTGAACAATCCTACGTATCCTGTTACCTCCTTGGAGTCATAACTAAAAATATATATATAAATATACATACATTAATAATTCAACATTTACTGCTATTGGTTTCCACTCACTCGTTAAAGTTGTGCCATAATACACCTGTAGGATCTTCAAAAAGGCGAACGATCACTACGATTTTTACCGCATCATCTATGACAAGCGGCCCACCTTTTTCCGTACCCGACATCAACATCTTCAAATCAAGAAAATTTAAATAGCCACGATCCGGTTCATTTTTACTAAACCTATGTTGGAAAACTGGATACAAAAAGTGTTAATTCTTTTACCTTACGTTAAGCATAATGTGCAATAATACCCTGTCGAACAAACTTTGTAGGGTCTGTTGGATGTACAATACACAACATGACTTGCGCACATATATCGTTTTCTCGAGTTTCATTCTTCATGTCTGCATTTTCTAGATATAAAGAGATCTGATCTGGGGCATCATTGCCATTTGGATATAATAATACATTCCTACAGAAAAAAGTGTCAATTTTAGTTTTGCTAAGCCTGTCAAAAAACTAAAGCTACCATGCACAATCGCCTGTTTGAAAGGTAGGTCCTAATAATTTAGTATGTTGAGTAATCGTAGACCAATTGTCGATCTCCCAAGTGTGCTGGAATGTGCCGATCGCCTTTTCTATCGTAAAAGGCATGAACTCGTCTGCCATTAACAGATCTACGTTAAAACAAAAAAGGGGGAGAAGATTTACGTGTTACTTTTTTATTGTAATCATTGTTCTCAAATAGTGCTTACAATCGTCAGGTAATCGATACTCTTCCGCCATTAGAAATATCTCTTTTTTTCCCTCTTTTTTAGGTCAATAAAAAGAAAAGAATACCCTTTGCCAAAATGATGTCGCAAAAACGAAAAAAAAGGTTAAGGTGTCGTACTTTAAAATAATTGTACAACATCTCACTTAGGCTTTAGGATCTGCAGCTAGCAATCCTCACTCCTGTCTAATATATCAGACAATTATAGATCTAAAGACTTTTATGAAGTATCTTTAGAAAATCTTTATAAAAATTGATTGTTAATGCCCGGTTAACTTTTTATGATCAGCAGAAAACGAAATAAACATAAAATTTATTAAATTTATTACTCTTAGCAAAATCACCAAATTTATTGAAAATCATACATATCTAACAAAGCTAGCTTATTTACGCTTTCAAAAAAGAGTTTTTATGAAGCCTCATTGATGGGTCAAACATCTCTCTGTAATGACCAGTTTTTCCTTTGTTGTTTTCAGTAATTTCTGAAGTTACTTTAACTCAAATTTTTATAATCAAACGGCCGTCTTTTTATGGAAAGGAAACGGGGAGCGGTCTACCGTCGATGAAGAGTTATACCTCTAATAACTAGGGCTGGTCTCAAATTTTATTATTCATATCATGTTTTTATTACCCCAACTGACAGGATACTTTTTCATGGTCAATTTTACTACTCATCCCCTAAAAACCAGAACTTTAACTTTTACGATCATGTCACACAATTGATGCAGTCATGACTAAAGTCGGGAGACTGGGTCAAACCAATTTCACCTTTGTAAGCATGTCATCATTTAATTTGCTAATATGAAGGTCTGTTTCTATGCATTATCAAAATATTAATAGCAAAATATACCAACTGCAACGTCAGGAACCGTTCCCCTCACACACACACACGCACAGACGTTCTAGACCCACTATTCAGTCTATTCTGAAGTAAAATAACTGATTGTGAAATTGTTATTTTCATGTGGTAGTTAAAATTATCTCGGAGGTTGTGATCTGTAAATCGTTCGTTTACTCATTTGGTGAATGTGCCGTCATATCAACAAAAAGTGCATGTAAGTATTATGCCTTAGAAATTTACAGCTTTTTTCATGTGTCTAAAACTAAAGGATGTGATTGAGGTATTCAAGCAAAGTAGCAACCTTATCGGATCAATATCCCCATTTAGTCTGACCTGCAGAATTGGGGCCCGTATGACATGTCTGGGGGGACAGGACTTAATTAAATTTTTTTTTTGGCGAAGCCAAAAAAAAAAAAAAAATGCGTTTATTTAGACAAAAGTAATTATATAAATCTATCAAGAATATCCAATGCATGTGTTTCTAGGGTTTTAGAACTTTTATTAAATGGAACATTTCTCAGGGTTTTGTTTCATTTTTTAAGAAGAGGGAGATCTACATTTATTTCTGTTATTGCGACCAGGACATGTCTCAGTATCTCCGCAAATCTGGCATGTCCGGATACGTTTGCGCTTGAAAGGATTGCTTGCAGTTTGATAAGGGACGTTGTAAGCCACCTGCAAAGGAATACGTTCCTGTTGTATGCGGGAAATATAAATTGGGCTTAAAACGTTACTTTGAATTTGTTGATTTTTTACAGGAATTCTGTTGAACGGTACAGTTGTATTGTTGGAACGTCCTGGTAGATTAATTGCTGGAGGTACAGATTGCGGAATCATGGTTTCTGAAATTACAGATCTGACTTTTTGAATAATTGTGCTATGCTTTGCTTTGGCTTTAGCAACAATTTTGTTCTCTTGACAAATGTTATAATATAGCTTTAAATGTTCTGGCGTCTTGTAAAATATAGCCACACCGTCAGCAGATGAGTTCCAACGAGAGGCGAATTGGCTCCAATTTGGCTCTGCTGATGATTGACAGTTATCGACCAGAATGTCTTCAAAGAGTGCTTTTTCTTCAGAAGTATGAACAGGAAGGATTGCATACTTGGTATGTTGCTTGCATGCGATATATTCAAATCTACTGTTGTTTGCACGCTTTGTAGACGGCAGCAGTAATAATGCTACGTCTGACAAGCATGTGTCACCAGTATTTATCAGATCGCTTGTACCCGGAGCCAAAGTATTGATCTTTTCAACACACAAGGTTTCCATCAGATCATTTGAAATAGGGCAAATGCCGAACACTTCGTCAGAACCACAAAAATCCAAGGCGTTTGGCATACATGCAGTTTGTTGCGTAGCTGAGAGATGTAAACTCGCCCGGAGTTTTTCGATTACTTGATTAAGCCAAGGGTCATAATGACCCTTATGTTCGTAGCCAAGTCTGTTAAGCGTACCGGCCTATTAAAAAATTAGTTACTGTTTTTTAGTAATGTTTTGATACAATAATTACATCAGTGTTATGTCTAAGCCTGTATTCTGTTAAAGCGCAGTCAGTCAATTCTGGTCCAGCTCCAAAAGATCCAAACTTTCTTATAATGTTCTGATGAACACCGCCTTCCAAAGAATTGGTACCACGAACACATCTATACAAGGTTAGCCCATCTCGATCCTTACCACGAACATGGTACAATGACAAATCCGGAGGATCGGACACATGCCCATCTTTCACAGCCACAAGGACATTGACTGCACTCTTCCAGGCAACCTTATCAAAGAGAGGTAATCCAGATTTTACGCATTTCAAGGAACCAAATGACAAGAATAAATTGTACAGGCCTGTATACAGAATGTGGGGAGGAGGTATAGTTCGCTTCACCCTTTTCCAAATCCAAGCAGAATTTTTTGCCATTTTTTCTTCGTAACTTGTCCCTTTGTTTGACAAAACAGCAGAGACGTTTTCTTGGTCATCAGCATCTAGTATAAACAAACAGTTTCTGAAATTTTTTACGAATTCCAGTTTTAAAGAATGCTTTGACCCGATTTTGATGGAATCCATTAGATGGAAGACATCTTTAACAACCCTAGTATAAAGCCTTGTTTCAGTCGATTCAGTGATTGAGGCAGTGAGACGATTCTTGAACTGGCCATATCCATACTCAAAGTTCGCCTTATCAATATCTTCGATATCATCTCCGAACAAAGTCCGAGCAAAGTCTAAGGCAGAGACTCTTACATTATTTTCTTCATGTTCGGCTTCGTGCCCATCACCAGTAATATCCATGTCACCATTATTTGAAACGTTTGATGGAGTAGTTGTCTTAACAATTTCTAGTTCAACATGTCTTTTGTTATCGTTGCGCAAAAGTGACTTGTGAACAGAAACCGTTTTTGGGAGGTCATTTTTAATTGATTCCAGTATAATTTCTGTTTGATGACCATCTATTGAAGGCAATACAAAACTAGTACGAACAATGTGAATAATTGACACTTGAACAATACCATTGCTTGAAAATCCAGAAGATGCTTCAACAATTCCATAACCTGCTACACCCATTGGAGACCACAAGGATAGATATTGACCTACTGTTGGTGTGCTGATCAATTCTTCGCAGATATTGTTTATAACATTATAAATCTCCAAAGAAGCCCATGCGTCAAGCGCAGCGTAATGAATTTGGCTTGAGCTGAGCTCATGGGAGTACGACCAGTCACTGATTCTTAAATCTTTAGACAGTCCCCTCCCAATCACTTCTTTACAGATGGCCGAAAGAGACAGCCTACCAGACTTCACAACCTTCTTCAGCTTGCAAAACCTTCCAAGTTCGAAAGCTCCCTCACAGTCAATGCCGAAGGAATCCTTTACTTGCTTAAAGTCCCCACCAACCTGACGTCCAATCTTCAAAATGACGGGGGATTTTAAAAAGTGAATCAGGGAGGATGGTAAAACATTCCAAGTAGGATCCAGATGTAATACCAGCACGGATGAGGCATAGGCAATCTGGACTACTGAAAGCTTTCCTTTAACATTAGTGGTGATGTTGTATGGCCACTCACAATCAAATCCTGTGACCACGGATGTTGAACAGCTTTCCAATACACCATTGGTTTCTACAAAATGAAACTTTTCGACCAGTAAAATTTTCATTTCATTTTCAATCTCGTCATATCCTCGCAAATATTGAATTTGAATGCTTTCAGGCAATTCAAGAGTTTCAGAATCTCCAGTGTTACCATCGTCCTCTCTACTGCCTCTTGAACGTACACCAACTTTCAGAGAAGGTATGACATTTTCCAAAAACTTGCGGTCACCTCGCACATTGTCCGTATAAAAAATTACAGGACTGTCGTGACCATAACCTTCATATGCTTGCATCATTTTTTGGAAGGACCACTTCAGATGCTCAAGTGATTTAGAAGGTACTAACAGCATCATTCTAATCTCTTCAAACTCGTTACAGATCGTGTACAGTGCATTGAACATATTTGTTCCATCAATACTCGCCATGTGCTTGATGATTTTAAAAGAATGATCTCCTTTCAAAACCTTTCCACCTAGAAGCATCATCTGCTTGTCCATGTAAGGCCTAAGTTTACTAATGATTGCAGTGTAAATGGTCCTTATATACGTCTGAGTAGGCGTATAACCTGCGTATCCTTTTTGGTTATCAAAAGGCGAAAACGGCTCGATAACTGTTGGCATAGTAAAGAACCGAGTAATGCTTTGATCCCCATATTTAGCCTTCAGAAAGATATTAATATTAAAATATTAAAAAGAGAGGGGGGGATTGCTACCTTCATAGCAGTGAGATATTGCAGCTCACTGCGATCGTGCTTTAATGTATGGAGCTCACGCAAAACTTTTGATATTCTTTCAGGTCCCATGGAGTTTTGGATGCATGGCCTTAAAAGATCACCCACTTGCTTCGAAACAGCACCTCTATGACTAAGATAGGCCGGAAATTCAGCCTGTAATTGAACGGGCAATTGGCGCATTATTTTGGAATCATATCCATTAAACGTACTGCCACAAATACTACTCAGACACCTGTATCTTTTTGTCAAGATGTAAAAGCATCTATTAAGTGCAACAATGGTTAATTCAATACTTCAAACTACAAAAATAGGATCACAAATTCAACTGACCTATCAAGATCAACAATGCGGCGAGCGTGGGGCTTTTTGTTAAACCCTTTGGTTTCGATAGATGAATTGCATGTTGGACAATGCAAATCGTTGATCTGATTATTCAATAACAGATGTGGAATCCATAAAAAAATATCTGGGCGATACAGATACTCTACTGGCTTCTTTTTTAATAATGCAAAAAAAGGCTGCATGGGACGAATCCAAAAAGTGCCATTATTGTATTCAGCCGGCATTGCTTCTTCTGTCAGTCGTTTTTGTACTTCTTCGAAATAGTGGTACAATACACCATTTTGAACCTCGCCCGACAAGAATTCCTGTTCATCAGTCACACTTTCATCAGCATCACCGTCATCTATTTCAGGTAGTATACGGTTGTTCAGTTCTTCTTCTTCATCCAACGTGATAAAAATATTTTGATCTTCTACAACAGGTAATTGCTCTTCACGGATGTCTGAAATATCTATTTCATTTTCTTGCATACTTGATTCCTCAACTACAGCCTATAAATTTTTGTTAATAATTTAAATATCATGCAAAAAAAAAATCCAGTTTTACCTCATCAGCCTGGCTCGAGCTTTCACCATTTTGATTGATTTTTTTCATAGTTTGAAACAAAGTGGTTTGTCGAGGGTCATCTTTTTTTTGGATAGATGGTCGACCGGCGCTATGACCTACAGAATTTTTTTTCCCAGGTGGTCTTCCTGTTCTAGCCATATTTTTAAAAGAGTTAACTGTGAAAGAAGTTTCTAAAAAAAAATTGCACTCCCTGTATATATATAAACAAAACTAATCCCCGCTATGAGATCCAAGTTTTATAAGTTATTCAATGTCAGGAAAAAGGTACAATATAAAAATAACATACTGTTCATCCCAGTTAGACACCTCAACATGTGAATGTGTGACAAAAATCTGTTCCTGTTTAGAAAATCTATCACTTTTGGTATATTTATTAAAGTAGACAAAAAGAAGATCTAACATAATAATAACATGTCTCAAATTATAGTATGTGTGTTACCCATTTCAAATTACTCTTTTATCAAAATTTTAAAATAGGTAATAGCATATCTACGTAGAATAAGACACCATACTATGCTATTGTATTTATATCGTATAAATCTTTACTGCTCAATACCATTTTAAGCTCTTCATGTCTTTCGTATTAGCCAATCAGATTCATACTTAGTGATCGGAAGAAACACTAAATCGTAAAGCTATTGGCTACTTTTCAAAATCAGGGCCAATAGAATTAAAAGTTAGTGATCGGAGTGCCCCCCAGACTTGTCAGCCAGGCCAGAATTGGATCCACTTTGGCAATTTTCGGGCTTTTATTGTTCCTTAGAAATTGCTTGCTGTCTGTCAAATTTATCAAGCTCCGGTACGATGCTACCGCCATCTTCATCCAATCAAACAATTTCATTAGGTAATGAATATTGGGTAGCAAATGTTACAAGTATAAAAATTGGGCTTGCTGCGGCACTTTTCCCTTTATTTTCAGAAAATGTCGGATATTATTGTTAAACCCATTGATCAAAGTTACGCTCAAGTTCTTTCTGATTTGGGTAGAAGATTATTTGCAGATACATTTTCAGCAGAAAATGATCCTGCTAATATCGAAGCGTTTTTAAACGATGCCTATACTTTAGAGCACCAGCAAAGAGAGTTAAATGATGCCAGCATGCACTCATTTATGGCGTTTGACAAGGATACTCCTATTGGATTTGCCCAATTAAGAGAGAACAAGGATGTCTATGATTTTGTTGGCGACAAGGAAGCTATTGAATTACAGCGTATTTACGTCGATAAAGCTTATGCAGGTAAGGGCATCGGTAAGGCTCTTTATAATGCCTGTCTTCAAAAAGCCAATGAGCTTAACAAAAAGACCATGTGGCTCGGTGTCTGGGAGTTTAACCCTGTTGCTATCAAGTTTTATGAACGCCAAGGATTCTACAAGGTCGGCTCTCATATTTTTAAGGTGGGAGAGCAAGAGGACACTGATCACGTTATGGTCAAGAAGTTATAAATGTGTGGTGCATATAGATTTTTACGCAATAAAAAGTTAAAGCTTGGTTTATTCAGCTGCAAATATTACAAATCACTTTTCCCACCAATTTTTCCTTTTTTTTTTTTAAAAAAAAAAAACTTGTTCAATGACAGAGGTACTTGCAAACATTCCAAAGTTTTCTCAATTGTCTTCAAGAGTATGGAGAGTTCTTGGTTTGAATCCGGGAAAATTCACTCTTCAAGGTAAATTGAGGTCGGAAGCGAATGACTATACTCTAACTTCTTAAAAAAAAAAAAAAAAAAATGCAGGCACAAACACGTATCTTTTAGGAGCAGGTGCACAAAAAATTCTGTTAGATTGTGGGGAAGGCAAAGCCGAATATTTGGGGCTCTTGGAAACATCTATTCAAGACACACATCCTGATGCTTATATCTCTGATATCATCATCAGTCATGGACACGGTGATCATTGGGGAGGATTGAACGATATTTTAAATTCAACTAGACTCAACCCTCATAAAAATATAAAGGTGCATAAGTTTCCTTTGCCTCTTGGGTGTCACATGGATCATTTAGATCGTTTTCCGAAGGACATTCAGGTCAATGATTTGACGGACAATCAAATATTTAAGGCACAAGACGTTACTTTAAAAGTCGTGTATACTCCAGGACATACAAAGGATCATTGCACATTTTGGTTAGATGAAGAGAAAAGTATCTTTACTGCTGACTGTGTTCTTGGGCAAGGAACTGCTGTTTTTGAAGATCTCTCGGAATACATTGATGGTCTTTCAAAATTAGTCACACTAAAACCCACTCAGCTTTATCCTGGTCATGGCCCATTGATCGAAAATGGTATCGAAAAGATCAAGGAATATATTCATCATCGTTTGGAGAGAGAAAACCAAATTATCCAGTTATTCACTAGCACAAAACACAGTTGGACACCCATGGGAATTGTTGAGGAATTGTATAAAGATTACCCTGAATCACTTCATCTACCTGCTGCCAGAGGCATTGTACTGCATTTACAAAAATTACAGAGAGATGGCAAAGTTGATACACCCGAGAAAATTGAATTTTCTTTTGAAAACTTTAGTCGAATCCTAAGCAGTCAATGGCACTGGATACAGAAGAACAGCCTATAGTTTATTTATTTATATTTAAAAATAAAATAAAAAAAGACTATTATGCTAATGCAGTCGGTAATGTTGCTAATACATCATCGGCTTTTAACATGTATACATGGATTCTTTCATTGGCAGCACAGCTCCAGAATAAAGACTTGAAGACAGCCTTATTTTTTTTACCTTCTCTAGGTAAATATTCATCCCATCTACCCAAAAATTTCACAGGTACACCGTGCATCACACGTTGTACGGTTTGTGCTGTTTTGATATGAATAATCTCTATGGTTTCTTGACCAAATCCTACTACACACCAATCATTGATGTTACTGTCTAATTGAATGAACTCTATATGCGTGGGCACTTCAGACCATTTATAGACTTGTGTAGAGAATAAAGAACCACTTAAATCAATCATATAACTTTGTTTTAAAAGCGTTGCAAAAAATAACTGAGGAGCAGCAGCTGAAGGTAAAGCCACTGGGTCAGGTGGAGCGGAAGAAGGTAATGATGTGATGACGGTTGAATAGGAAGGCGGGATAGAGTATTCAGTGGTCAAGGTTGTGGCAGGAAGTGTGTCAGGATAAAAAGGCAATTGAATAAGTGAGGTCCATTGGATAGGAGGTACAGAAAGACTGGCCGGCAGTGTTGGATATGTATTGGATGGATCGTTTTGTTCTGCTTGATATCTAACAAATAATGAAGTGGACATTGAGCTAGAGGTGGGTATAGGTGAATTGGGTGAACGAGGTGAAGCCAGTTGATGTTCATATTGTTCTCTCACCCAAGTGGTTTGATAAATTCTCTCTAAAATAGGATCGATTGGTACAGTCGTTACTTTACTATCTCTTAATTCGATGGCAGTGGCTTCACTGGCAAAGACCACCAAAATATGTCGTAGAGTACTTCTGTCATCTGCAAAAGAAATACATTTGGATTCTGTTGGAATCCAAAAGACTTTCAAGCGATAAAAGGGTCTTAATGGATGATCGCGCTTTCTTTGCCATAAAACAATTTTATCACGATGTCGGATTGCAGCAAAGACGTATGTACTTGTTTGGTAAGTTTGAATAGCCAATGCGTCTTTGGATTCGGGTAACTTGTAATACAAGCTTTGTAAAGTAATACTGTTCACCACATAATAAGGCTTTGTCAAACCCGACAATGTCAGCTGATCCACTAAAGTGACATGATTTGAGGATGGCGCCTTGTTTGTAGAACGTACAGTGGTGGGTGGAGGAGAATCTTCGGATGAATCATCGTCCCGTACTTTGCCTGATAATGAGGCTACACTTTCCCAGCATTTTAAGGTGGGCACTTCATGCGATGGATTCTTTCGGGTGTCCCAATCCAATGAAAGTACACCATAAATTAATCGTAACAATCCATCATAGGAATAACATCTCACTTGTTTATATCGACCTGCCAGGATTAAGACCACTCTACATGACTCAATGGCTGTCATGACTCTGGCCCTGATCCAGATAATGGTCTTGGGCTTGGCTTCCAAGTTTTGTAAATCCACTAATTGTATCCCGTCGTGATAACCTAATAAGAGAAACCGGTCTTCCAGCACACAGCAACATTCGTACGGTGTTGATTGCCAATTGTCAGAGCAAGAGGCAATCAGTCGAAGTTGAAGTGATGACACATTGGAGGGCTAACCAGATATTTTTTTTTTTTTTAAAAAAAAAAGGAAATGTGACAGATGGGCTAACCATAAACTTACTGGATTAATGTGTTGAATTGTTTCTTCTGCCAATCTACTCAAGACAAGATTATTGGGAAGTCGTATAGGGTGAGGAGGATATTCATCAGAGTAGGGAGGTGGTGGAGGCCCAGACAAAGAGTCTGGCCTTGTCTTTTGCAGGGTCAAAGGAACATCATTTGGCATCTTTTTTTTTTTTTTTGTAGGTTAACAGAAAGAAGAACAAAAAAAAAAGTCAATCAATTGTTCAAGCTCAGTGTTTTACACAAACAAAAAAATAAAGGGGGAAACACATTTGTTTAATTATAGATTGGCTGGCACGTTTTTTATTTTATTTTTTTATTTATTTATTATTGCCATCGGCTAGGTTTCTGTTGTTGTGTAGCTCTTTGGAAGTTTATAGGCTCTCTGTTGGCACTTGAGGCGTCTCTATCGCCTCTACCTCCACCGTTACCGCCTCTTCCACCTCTTCCACCTCTACCACGTCCTCCTCCTCCTCTGCCTCCTCTTCGGTTGGATCTGGCATCTTTAAACCTTGGGTTTTTCATGGCTAAACTTAATAAATCGGGTGGCACCACTTGACCCGATGTTTCCAGGTGTCTTACCAATTCGCCAGCAAATCTGTCTTCTTTTTGTGTGATTAATGTATACGCTGTACCTTTTTCGCCCGCACGCCCTGTACGACCCACACGATGTGTATGAGAATCAATATCACGAGCAACGTCAAAGTTAATGACGTTTTTAACAGATTTAATATCTAATCCTCGGGCAGCAACATCAGTCGAAACAAGCACTTTAACTTTGTTCGCCTTGAAATCCCGAAGCACCTTTTCACGTTCAAATTGTTGTAAATCACCATGCAAAGCAATACAATCAAACTGAGATTTCAATAAATTGGAAGATAATAAATCAACAGCGTCTTTTCTGCCAACAAAGATAATAACGCTGCCCTCTAGTATTACAATAATATAGAAAAAAAAAAGAATTCATACATACACACACACACACATACACATACATCTTTCTAATTTTTTTTTTTTTTCTCCGTTTGGAAAACTTACCTGAGCAAAATCCAGCTAATTTTCGGATAAGCCAGTCCCATTTCATTTCTTCTTCGTCAAACACTTGAACAATTTGTGTGATATCTTCATTGGCCTGTCCTGTGGTTCCAACATTGACACGAATCGGATCGGTGGTGACACTGCGTGCTAAAAATTCTATACGTTTTTGAAAAGTTGCACTGAAAAGCAACGCTTTAAAGAGGAGATCATGTAAGCATCGTCATGGTACTGTAGTTAGTAAACTAAATTTTTTTTTTTCAAAACATACTTTGTCTATCTGGTCGAATGTTATCACAAACAGATCGAACTTGAGGCTCTATAATCAATAAAGTATCAATATCATCTGTAGCATTTTTCTTTTATACCTTCTTTTTTTTTTTTACGGACCAAAACCAAGATCAAACATGCGATCTGCCTCATCGAGCACAAGATAACTAACACGTCTCAAGTTAGTAGCCTTCATCTTGATCATATCGATAAGACGACCAGGTGTTGCCACAAGTATTTCTACAGTGCCACTACGAAGGTCTTTAAATTGTTCTAATTTTGAAGCACCACCATAGACTGCAGCGACCCTATAATAAACTTTTTTCTTTAGTTTGCCGAATTACAAATAATAAATGTTGATTAAAAAAAAAATTACTTGAGCCCATAAGCCTTTGCAAACTTTCTTGTTTCTTGATAAATTTGTACAGCCAATTCGCGAGTAGGAGCCAACACCAAGCCAATAGGACCATCGCCCTTCACCAGTTCTTCCTGGTCCATAATATGAACCAACATTGGCAAGACGAACGCAGCGGTTTTACCGGATCCTGTCTTTGCAATGCCAATGATATCACGGCCTTCCAAAGCAATGGGAATAGCCTGTCTTTGAATGGCGGATGGTTCGGTATATCCTGCTTTAATAATACCGCTTAATAAATCTTCATCAAAACCGAAATGAGCAAACGATAGGCATGGTTTAGCAATACTGTGACCGGTGACATGCAGACCAAGCTCCTTTCGAATTTCCTCAACTCGTTTATCGTCTAATGCCGCAATATCCTCATGCTCCTCATAAAAATTCTTTTCGATCTCTGGGTAACTAATCGTATCGTGATCTACACGCGCTAAAGGCTCAATTTCTTTCTTTACAGGTGCAGAAGCATTGATTTCGTTGTCTGAGTCGTATCCCCCGTCCAGACGTGCATCCACTGCTGCAGCTGTGGCGTATACTTCATCGTCTGAATTAGCATTCTAAAATATAAGATGTATCAGTATAATTATATGTATATTTAGGTTTTTGTTTAATTACCTCGTCCCTCTCAGGCATGGGTTGGTTTGAGGCACCCACACTGACCCCCTTTTCCTTCATATGTCGCACATAACTTTCAAGATCATCTTCTTCCTCAATATCATCTCTACGTATCTACGTATAACTTTGATCAACATCACAAGAAAAAAAAAATATGTGTGTGTTTCTTTTACTTTAGGTTCTGCCTTTGCACTTTTGGCCTTCTCACTAATATCTGCCATGAATGCGTCCAAGGGATCTTCTTGATCCTCGTCCAGGTCTGCCTTTTTTATTATCTCTTTGGCTATTTCCGTTGTATTAGATACGAATGATAAAATAACCCACTGCCTCCCCCCGCGTCGTTTGTATAAAAAAAAAAAGAGGCTTACCGATGCCAGCACTGGCTAAAAGTTCGTCTTCATCGTCAAAGGTAGCAACGGATCGAGTCTTTTTAGAAGCATCTTCAACTAAAGTTTCCTGGGCTTTTCTTTTAGGAGCTTCAGAGGAAACTTTTTTGGAAGGAAATCCAAAACTGAATTTCTTGGGTCCACCTTTATTTTGTAACGACATTTTGCGATAAAAAAAATAAAAATAAAAATTAAGTTTTTTTTTTTTTGGGCCTAGCATAGTGACTTTAACTAGCGCCCAATCAAATCAATTTACTTTCCCCCCCCCACCCCTTTCATTTAGCTAAAAAAAAAAAGTTTTCTTTTTTACTTTGGCTCCAAAGAATTACAAAAGAGTACCTTACAGGTTGAGCTTCCTTAGGTACAGTTTTACTGCTAGCAACTGTCATGGTTAACATGGCAACGCGAAAATCAGTTTACCCCCTCATGTTTAATGACTCAAAAAATACCCACTGCTTATTATACTAACATGACCCGTCTATAGTTATTCCAAACGTAGAAACGAAAACTATGAAGGACTTTGCACATTGTCTTTTAATGGAAATGCAAGGCCAGACTCTTCTCCAGGTACATGCCATTTTTCCCAACATGACTGAGCTTGGCCTTAACTTGGACAGTGACTCCATGGCTCTCCAACCTTCTATGCAAAAACTTTTCGTTGACAAGTTGTTTTTGCCTGCTTGTAAGGTCGTTCTCCCGGAGAGCGTTTATAACCGCTGTGGAGGATCTTATGCTGAGTCTGTCTCCCGTGGGTTGTTTAAGTCACGCGCCAATAATTCAATTCCTTCAAACTCTTTGTCCGCTGTGGTGGCAATAATGCGTGAGTTGGTCCGTGAGGACCAATCCTTGGCCATGTTCCGCCATTTTCGGTTCAAAATGACATCTTTCGGGTTCAAGGCGCCTTTTGATGGTGACAATTATTCCGATATACTGCCGAACATGTTGGATTGGAGTAGATTAAGTCCCAACAAGGTCAAAGTCGACGTTGGGGTGAACTTTTTTGTTCGTGGTGCCGGGCCACTTGGTCCACTTAAATTGGTAACTTTCCTGAAGGAGGAGTTCGTAACGTTTGCTGGGGAGCTGGTGGGTGGAGACACGACGGTGTCAAAGCCTATGGACATGGGTCTTGGTCGGTTCAGAGGCCTAGAAGGCAAAAATAAATCCCCTGGTGTTGGTGAGGCCTCAAAGGTCATTTTTTACAATGACATCAAGGCACCCTTTTCCATGCAGGAACCTGGGTTTAATGGCTCTGTTGCGGATGAGTGGTCTCCGGCAAAGACTCGAAGTACCGTTTCTCACACGGATGGACATTATATGTCTAAGAGAGTAAGTCTTTGTATTATCCTTAAATATCTTGTTCTAACTTATATGTTTTTATGCAGAAACGGTATCAGAGTCGAATGTCGGAGCACCACTCCACCCAATTTACCATGCGCTTGGAGGTTCGCGTTGTGGCTGGCGACGTTGGTTTTGGTCTTTTGGCCAGCTTGGAAGGCAAAATTCGGTAAGAATTAAAGATAAATGGAAGACATAATTTAGATATTGACTTTTATTTTTTTTCTTTAGTGCATTGTATGACATGGGTGCCTTTGTTCACGTGCAAAACGTTGCATACTTTGCCTACGCTGACCACATTTTGCGGTACACGTATCAAGTAATTACGTCCAATTGTGATAGTCTGCAACTGCATGATGTTTCTGGTCTGGCCTTGGCCGTTTTTTTCATGAACAGTCTGTTCCACCCTGGGAACGCTTCTTCCACGTGCTCCAAGAACTTTGTGAAAGATTACCGTTGTAGCCAGAACCGTCTGTGCTTCCTGCCAGGATCTTTTTCGTTTGATAACAATCGTATTAAATTTAACCATTCGTTTGACCTGACCAGAATGAGAAAGATGTTTCCTGGTAACAAAATTATACGCACTATGACCATAGATGGTGACCGCGTTCTGGACGACTTGGAAAGAATGGCTGCCGCGGAGGATGTGAATCCCGCCGAAATCAATTCTATGCATGAAATGGCACTTAACAACACGGTAAGCTACACGGCTTCTCTGGGCCCATTGACCTTCCCTCTTTCTTTGCGTTTTTCGAGCGTTCGTGCCAAAAAGTATGGTGTTCCGGCAACTTGGTTTGTCAAACCAAGTTGTCCCAATGTATGACGTGGGAAATGCGAATACGGTCCGCTACGCCGAAAAGACTCGTCAACTTTTTCATCAGCTATGGTCTTGGCCCGGAATCCGCTGTCCGCTTTTTGGAATTGTTCTTCGAGGAGTTTTTTTTTTTTTCTCTGGCTCCCGTGCTGTGTTCCTGGAGCTGTACTTAAATATTGATATCAGTTGGAGATCCCTTCGACATTTCCATTGTGTCCTCCTGGCGGCATCGGTGTATATTCTCGAATATGTGCCGATGTCGTGCCCTACCAAGATGTTCCGTCGTACATCGCCAACAACCATCGCATCGAGAAAAGTATCTTGGTTCTTAGAACCAAAGGACGTTTCGGTACTACGCTTGGTTTATCCTTCATTTTGATTACATGCTTCTTCTTTTTTTTAATAAAATATATATATTTTTTTTTTTGCTTTGTGCCTTTTGATTTTCCTCTTTTTTTTTTTTGATTTTATAATTATGGGGCGGGAATAAGTCGAGTTTAAAAAGCCTTGTTTTGCTCCAGTTGTAAAGCTTCTTCTTCTTCAAAAAAAAAAAAAAAAATGATGCAAGTGGGACTTTGTAAAGAGTGTCGCTTTTTGATTGTCATTATTCTTCTATACATCTAAAAATTTTACATTTATTCAAGCCATAGAATAGTTGCAACTCTTTTAGAAATCAAAAAAACGTCTGGTTTCCCCCCCCCCATCGAAAGTCGGTCATTTAAAAAATAAACTATAAATTAAACAATGAGTGGGGTATGCAACCTGTTGTTCTGTTCCCCACCCCCCCTTTTTTTAAAAAAAAAAAATTCAATGAATGTGTTGGTATATGATGATCTCGGTGCTTCTCCTAATTCCGTTAAACACACAGTCAACACATTAAAGGCCTTGTTAGGTCATGCCTATGACATTATACAAATCGATCGTACGGTACTTCAATCGGAACCTTGGGAGGTCCATTGTGCCATGCTCGTCATGCCGGGAGGAAGAGACATGCCTTATTGTCAAGCTCTTGATGGAGCACCCAATACCCGTATACGAAACTTTGTCGGAGGTGGGGGTATCTATTTAGGCATTTGTGCTGGTGCCTATTATGGCTCACAACACATCGAATTTGAAAAGGGTCGCGCATTCATGGAAATCATTCAGTCTCGTGAATTAGGCTTTTATCCGGGTCTCTCTCGAGGAACAACCTATCCTGGATTTATTTACAATAGTGAAAGTGGAGCTCAATCCGTCACTGTGGTGTTGGAAGGACCTGAAGATTTGCCACGAGAGATCAACATGTATTATAATGGGGGTGGGTATTTTGTGGAACCTGAGAAATATGAAAATGTCACGGTCCTGGGTCGATACAAGACACCCAGTGTACTTTGTAAAGAACCGAAAGGTCCTGCTGCTATCGTTCAATGTAAAGTGGGGAAAGGAAATGCGATTTTAATTGGAACACATCCAGAGTACGATATTTCATCACAAGATATGTTGCTCACGGATGACAATGTCAGTGTTACACTAAAAAGCATTGTTCATGATTTGATCTTATCAGAGAAAGACCGAAGATCTTTCCTGGCTTCTCTATTTGCTCGTATTGGGCTCCATGTACGGATGCATGAAGAACCGGTGGTACCCCATGTGACACCACTTTATTTAGCAGGCTTGACAAAGGAATGGGTACAAAAACCTGTTTCTCACTTGTTGCGAATTTCGGATCCCATCACACATTTACTTGAGGACAAACATGATATCTTTCATATGTCTACTATCGAAGATCCACCGAGTGAAAAAGTTAAATTGCTCAATGTATGTCGATTAAAAGAAGAAAAGCCTTCCTTGGTTGAAATCATTTATCCACGATCCATCGATGCAAAAGAACCCATCTACCCATCACTATCACATACACCTTGTTTCGATATGAAGGTCTATTTTCAACATTTGGTTCAAAAACGAACGCTTGAATGGGGAGGAGGTGCGTGGTTAAGATTTGGAAATGGTATTCTGTATGCTCAAGTCATGGAGAGTACCCAATCTTTGATGGACAAGTAAAGTATAAAAGACGTTCTCTTGATTCAATGTATTGATGTCTACCTTTCTTCTTCTTCTTCTTCTCACTTGCGCGCGCGCGTCATAGAAATTTTAAGTTCTCGCAAGCTTTACCGTCGGGTTTTATAACACTTGCAACCAACCAGATTGCAGGTAGAGGGAGAGGTAGAAATGGTTGGATATCTCAGTCAGGTGCACTTCAATTTAGTTTTATTATGAGACACCACATCAAGTTACGACATGCTTCTGTGGTATTTATTCAGTATATGATTGCATTGGCCGTTGTGGAAAGTATAAGAGAAAGGTCTGGTGGGTATGAAAATATTCCACTCAGGTTGAAATGGCCCAATGATATATATGTAGAAACAAAGGATGGACTCAAGAAAGTAGGAGGGTTACTTATCAATTCAACTTTTGTGGATGATGAATTTGTCCTGGTCATTGGTATATACATGTAGTCTATAGATGGAAAGCCTTCCTAGATGGTCTAATCGTGTTATTTTGACAATATTTAGGCTGCGGTATTAATTTGTCGAATCGTGAGCCCACTGTATCGATCAATGATGTGATTGAGACACATGGCTTGAGTAGACTCTCTGTAGAAGATGTTTTAGCAGGCATCCTTGTGAAATTTGAAATCTATTATACCGAATTTTGTGAAAAGGGAATGGGAGCTTGGTTTCTAAACAAATATTATGAACGTTGGTTACACAGGTAAAAAAAAATGAAGGAGACAGATAAAAATTCTGTGTAGTCAATCCAATCTTTTTAACACATTTTTTTTTTTTTTGGGTTAGTGATGCTGTGGTTACTTTGACAACGCATAATAATGAAAGTGTCAAGATTATCGGCATCACGTCAGATTATGGTATGCTTAAAGTAGAGAGTTTGGATCGACGGGGGAAAATCTACGGTCTTTTACCAGATGGAAATAGCTTTGACATGATGAATGGGCTTTTAGTGCAAAAGAAATAAAAATTCAAAAATGTCATTTAATTTGTACTTGTTTTTTTTTTTACTCTCTTTTCCTACTTTTTTCTCTTACATATCGACGACAGCATCTATATAACAGTTCCTCTGCCTCTTTTTTTTTTAAAACATAAAAAGTGTGTGAGAAATTTTATTCATCATATAAACAAAACGAAGATTATGTCAGATCATATAAACAAACCCAAGTTTACATCAGTATCAGCTCATTCATAATAAAATGGACGCGTATTACCTCTTATTCCAACAAGATGTTAGGCATGTATTCATAACCAGTGATATGTAAATAAATAAAAAAAAATTTAGTATCAACATCACCTCTCGTCTACGATGAAGCTATAGAATAAACCGCGTTCAAAAGCCAAATAATCCTTCCGCCCTCATTTTAGCCCAAAGAGATTTCATGCATCTAGGGTGGTACGAGGGCTGATCGCTAGTCAAAAAAAAAAAGGTTTAAATGATGCTGTTTTTTTTTTCTGACACTCCTCCCTTCCTTTACCATCTAATCAAGCAAGAACAAGATGAGATACGAAGAAAACTATAAAACCATTCCAGAAAGCAGAGAAGCTCACGCAGCCGAATTAAAAAATATATATGAAATCATCAAGATGCGACCTTGTTGGGGATATGAAGACCCAGACAACTATCATAAACGCTTTTTATTCCTCGTTTTATATCGAGCTGATAGACAAACCCTTGTAGCAAACAACCAAAGTAGCGGTGAAAACAGGATGGGTTTCAAAAAACCCACTGCTGTAAGTACAGTAAGAAGCTCCAAAGCAACACCCGTAAGAAGCCCAAAAGCAGTAGTATACACAAAAGCTGAAAAGCAAAAAACTGTCAAGTGTATGAAACGCTCTCCAAAGGAGGAAAGAGATGCCTGTGTATGTCCTAAAAAACGTATCATGGAGGAGGAGGAGGAAGAAGAACCTTCAAGTACATCTTACCGTAAATATAAAAGAAGTAACACATCTGGACAAAGTCCATCTTTTAAAAGGGCTAAACTTGATTCCGATGATGTCGCAATCAAGTATGCTGTAAGCAAGCTCCATGTTTAAACACATGGGAAAGTTAATATGAAAAAGGATGAACCACTAGCATCTCTTCTGTTATGAGTTTGATTCTTTTTCTATTATTATTACTATTATTAAAGAATGTACCTTCATTTGTATGAGTACACTTTTTTTTTAAAAAAAAAAAAAAAGAAAAAAAAATTGTTACTGTTTGTATAAACAATTATGTCAAAATGTTGAGATAAATATTTAAATCATCACGTAATAAGGAACTCTGTGCAAAAAAAAAAAAAAAAAAAGTCGCACATACAGCGTAGACTCTTTTTGCACCATCTCCCATATCAAGACCCATTTATAAGTCATTGAAAGATGATGTTGAGCTTGTGCTTTTTGAGACTTGGTAGCTGGTGTTATCTTACTTAGATAGTCTTATTTTTTACTGTGCTGCAGTAAAGCCGCACTACAGAAGGTAAAACGCTCTTCTTGGGAGAAGCGTACCGCGCAGCTAAAAAAGAGAGAGAGAGAGAATAGTTCTCAATTATGCCATGAATATAAATATGTGTAAAAAAAAAAAAAGAAGATTTACATTGAATTTTGCGCAGGTCAATCTCAAGACATTATATATAATGTACTTTTGTGCTCTGTGAAACTCTATCTAGTTCACCTTTTTGAACACACCAGATGATCGTTTTTAAATAAGGAGGGTGAAAATTAAACCAAGGGATAACATGACTTTTTACCTATCTTGAGGCCCATTTATTAAATTGTTTCAGGCTTTTATGGAACAAACCATTACAAGGAACTTTTTTACTCCCTTTTTTTTTTTCTGCAGATACCGCTGAAATAAAAAATAAAAATGGATGACTTTATATGTCATACCACAGAAAATGATTCTAAAAAAAATAAAAGATGATTCTCCTGTCAATAGAAGCATTGGGGGGTAGACTAACAGCCGAGTTGCTGTCTTAGGGGGGGGGGGGTTCTAGAAACACTACAAAAAAAAAAAAAGTATTTAGTTCTAAATTTTTTTTATCGTACGACACGCACATACAATTTCACACACACACAGGTCTTGTGAAAAGCGCAGTAAAAACATATTTATAAACTGTTTAGTTATTAATAAACTAAAATTAAGAGCTTTTTGATATATCATGTCTTTTTTATTATTTCGTAAAACCCAAAAAAAAAAAAAAAAAAAAAATTGATAATGCACAGCCTCATCCCATTCGACTTATTAATAGATGACACTTGTTTGTTTTTGTGTTTTTTTAATAAATGAGTAATTTTATCGGATGAGCACAGCATGTTATGCATGAAACAATGCATCCTATATAAAAAAAAAATACAGCCGCACGCCTTATTATACCGGTTTGATGATGATGGGTCGTAATTGTACATGCCATTTCTCTTTGGATGTGATACAGTCGAATTTAACAGTCAGCCATTGTCACACACACACGTACATTTACATTCATGCAAAAAGAAAAAGAGAAAGAGAGATACGCGTACACTTATTTATTTTTAAAGAGTGATATGTACAACTTCAACTGGAACAAGATCTGACTTTCGAGATCTTTTAGCTTTTGTTGGATGCCTACCAAAGAAACGTTTTGAAGAACCCAATTTTTTCAAGGTAGATTCATCTTCGTCACTACTTGAGGTATCTTCACTTTCAATGACGATAGCGTTATAATCCTCGTCCATGTAGGTTTGACTTTGATCATCGTCCAAGAGTTCAATGACAGAACGTTTCAACAATGAAGGAAACCAATGGTATTCGACATCGGATTCTGATTCTTCCCCTAAATCGTCGTCTTCCTCTTCTTCTGATTCCATGAGCGTAAAGAAATCAAATGGAGTTAAACGATCTTCGTCCAAGATCTGATAGCGACTGGTGGAAGGTAAAGTGTCAGTCGCTTCCCTTTCGGTGATTTCACGTACAACTAAGGAATCACTGTGGCTTCCGCCTCGGGTGGTGGTCGTCGTGGTGGTGGTGTAACCTCCAACCGTCGTAGATGTTTGTTCAAAAGAGGAATAATGATAGCTCATATCTATTTTAGTTGTGTTATTTTTTTACAAAGAGAGAGAGAGATGTATATATAAAAAAAAAGATTGTTTCTGAACCAGAGTTAGTGCATGGGGAAAAAAAAAAAGACTAGCAAAAAGTCCGGAACCAATATTTTTTTTTTATTTGACGTCATGCAAGAATTGACAATTCATTGTCATTGACTTGTGTGTGTAACCACAGAAAAAAAAAAGGGTGGATAGCAATTCGATTTGGAATGGTAAGTGAGTAGGGCGAAATGATTAAACGCCCAGTAGGAGAGGGGGGGAGTTTATACAATTTTTTTTTGTTTCCGTTGATCGAGGAGGCAAGTGCATAAGCAATTCAAAAAAAAAGGGGGGGGGGAGAGAGTATAATACACTCTATTAAAAAAAGGTGAATTATACACCCTAGTTCTGCATTTGTCTGAAATAGTCCAAGACAGTTCTTTTGTAATTATAGTCATCAAACTATCTAAGCCGAGCTTATTTCCACCCAACAACAACAAAAAGAGGTCATTCCCCAATTAAACTCCTGCGCCAAACTCTCTTTTTTTTTTTTGTAGGATTAGTATAAGAATTGGGAGTGTTGCATTTTTTCCTTAAATTTTTTTTTGCAGTCGCCTTTTTCCTAAACAGCATGTCGGAAACTATTCAAAAAAGATAAAAAAAAAAAAAAATCTCCTTGGTGATGATCCCAATAGATGCATTTCTCCCTTTTAAGTCCCACAAAGCACTACTGCAATGCTCATTTTACGGTTTGTTTGTAATTTGCAGAAGAGGGGGGGTTTAAAATAGTTTTTTTTTTTTTTTTGTTGTCACTTCTTAATCAAAATAAAAAAAAAGAGACTAGACTTTTAATAGAAGGTAGTTACACATAAAAGAGGGTTGCACGGATCACGGAATAAATTGGGGTTTTTTTTCTTATATTAGGAAACTCCGGGAAAATCCAGAGTAAGGATCGCCCAAACGGAAAGAGAGAGAAGGATACAATTGATATAAAAAAGAGAGAGTGTGAGTTTATTATTTTTTAATAGGGATAAATGAAAAAAGTAGGATCAGATTAGGAAAAGAAGAAATAGTATAATAATAACTGTGATGTTTGTATACATATGTAGGGACATATATATAATTAGGGTATGGGGGGGGGCTTTTTTTTGTTTTTTTTTTTTAAATAAAAGTGTATAGTAAATACAAAAATAAAAAAAAAAAAAATTAATTGATTCTACCAATGGGTAAAGTAAAGTAAGAAGATTCTTTGGTCAATAAACCTGACAGGGCATTATACCAAGCAATGAAAGCGGTAATGACACCCAAGGCACCACCGGCCACTTGACAAGGAATGGATTCGTTGAGCTTACCAGCAGTCAACATAATAAAGGTGATGAACAAGAAAAAGAAGAGTGAAATAAGACCGACATTGGAACGATGAGAAGCAATCAACATGATACCAGTGAAAATCGTCCAACCTAACAAGTAATAACCCAATGATTTTTCCAAAATGGCAGTGTCGCCTTTGTAACTACCAGTGATATTGGCACCAGGAATAAAGATCATACCAAAGGACAACCAGAAACCACCATAGGAAGAGAAGGCAGTAGCACCAAATGTGTTACCTGTCTTGAACTCCCACATACCAGCCAAGAGCTACATAATAATAAATATGAGTTTAGTATATATATATATTTAAAATGTCTTTTTTTGTCAGTAAAAAGGTACCTGAACAAGACCACCATAGAAAAAGGCAAGGCCAGTAACGACACCATGAGGACTGGTGGCAGGTAAACCGGCACCAGCATTATGAAGTGACAAGACAAAGGTGGTCAAAGCGAAACCACAAAGACCCAAGGGACCAGGGTTAGCAATGGTGGGAGCAGCTACAATAGGAGGAGGTGAGCTGTGAGTAACTTGGTACTTGGATTCAACATCTTGGTGTTCAGACATATTAGAAGTTATTAATTGGGAACTGATATAAAATAATAAAGATAATAAAAAAAGAAATGTGGGGAATGGAAATTATGAACTATTTATACTAAAATATTTTTTTTTTTGATGCGCGAGTGGAGAATCAATTATTTTGGTTGGTTACCCATAGGGAGAGAGCACAACTTTATATTTTTGTACAATGTGGGAATTTTTGAAAGAAATCCTCCCCCCTCTCCCCTTTGGAGAAGTAATGTTTCCTCCTAAATCTGTAAGTGACAACAAATCGGGTCATTTGATTGGATAACACTTTGGACGGAGGCACTACCATAAGTGGTTCCCCTCCCGACCTATTTGGGATATTTCAAGTCCATTCGAATATAGTATTATATTAAACAACCAGTCAGCTTCCGTGTGAATGGTTCTTGTTTTTATTATGATGGGAAAAAATGCTTATATAATAAACAATACAGAAAAAAAGGACAAAAAAAATTAGTGCTTCAGATCTAGATCCAATGTCAACAAAAGATAACCGCGGACGTATTCCCTTGTCTGGTTTAAAATTACTTAAAATCAAGCTTTTATTATTTCAATAGTTTTTGACAATAGTTTTTCAAAAAAAAAAAGAACGGGGTTTGTGTGACCTCAACAAGTTTTTTTAGGTCTCTGTGGGTAAATCCCCACACTTTTTTTTTTTTCGGTGTGTGTATGATTGTCCCATGGCAGATGGGGCGATAAAAAAAAAGTGTGTGTATGTGTAATTCAGGTCCGAGGTGTCACATTTTCCGATGAGTATTTCCGCTTCTTCGCCCTCCTTTTTTTTTTCTTTACGCGTATGTGAATGTTTGTGTGTGCGACTTCATTGCGGAGAAAGGCATAATTTGTTCCAGTGTTACACTCACTTTTTTTTTTTTCTTTTTTTCTTCCCCGCATTTTTTTTTTTTTTTTTTTTTTTTTTTTTTTTAATAAACATCAAAAAAAGAGAATGTACATTGTTTCCATTTATTTTTTATTGGTGGTGAAAAAAGGTCATCGTCTGTTTCTACCAGACAAGACCACCTTGGAATTCCATACAAGCTAAACCTTCTTTATAAATGTCATAATTCTGTAAGGCCCATTCACCTTCCTTATTCATATACACTTTTTCCCCACGTTCAATCTTACTCATATCGATATCACTATTATCATTCATGGCTTCCTTATTGGATTCCCAAATATTAGCGTGCTCCTGATGGCATGTAAATCCAGGTTTCACATATACCACTGGGATCTTTTTTGTCCATGTCGCTGTGCAAATAAATTCAATATCCATCCTATTTTTTAGAAAAAAAGGGTTTAGACACACACACACACACACATATATATCTTTTTTAAACTTACCATGCAACACCTCCTGCTTCTCTGTAACCTCTGGGTACTTTCCAAGTATCACGATGTGCCATGGTAAAATCACCAGCTTGATCAGCCACTTTTAAAATATTCATCGTGGTGGTTTTATCCTTGATATCAGGATCATTTCGACTAGTGACAGTAATGGGAGGAGGTAACTTGTAATTTCCCCAATCTTGGTCTCCAAGTTTACAGCTGTCATAAATCACTTCATCGCTAGGGAAAGCGTCTAATCTCACAATAGAAGGTGGGAAGTTTTCATGACTTTTTTTGAGGTAGAGAGTGTCAGTTTTTTTTTTTTTTTTTTGGATTCCTATCTAAAATAAATACTACTTTCTTACATGTTGTGGGGTGATTGGTGTTGTACATAGATGACACCCTTTTCAAATACTCGTGACATGACTGCATTATGGAAATTATGGGACCAGATATCATCTAATAAAAGGGGAGGAGGAAACAATATCATCAATGGTTAAAATTCCAGCTTTTACAAAGTTCATGGGCTTTTTTTTTTTTTTTTACCTTGATTTGTGCAGACAACAAATTCTCCACGAGCAAAACGAATACCTAAATTCTTACCCTCGAATTCATGAAGCGGTGATTTACCACGATTTTGGATGATCTGATGTAATGAAGGTGGTACAGTGATAATTCTATATTTCAAATACTTTGAACTTCTAAATCTCTACAATAAAAAAAGGGAGGGGGGTTGAATAAGAGTTTCTTTTTTAAAATTGCCCAACCACTTACAAATGCATCAATGACTCGACGACGATCCTCGGGTGGATTCCATTCAACAATGAGTAACTCAATCTTTTCTTTTGTCTTTTCTGCTAAAATATGAGCGGAATCGATAAAATTCTGCAAACGGTGTTGCTGGCCCCTTAAAAAAAAATATATATATATAAAAATAAGATATAAATATATAATGTGTGTGTGTGGGGCAAAATAGTCAAAAAAAAAAAGATCTTTACCCGGCATAATTATCCACTCGAGTCACAATAACAATTGAAAGATATTCGGTAGGTGTTTCTCCCGGGGAAAGACATGATTCCCAGTCGGATTTTGTCATCTCCATGGACTCTACCTTGGCTGTGTTCTCAATAACCGTAGCATCTTGCATGTCGTTTGTGTTCGATGAAGGATGACTACTGTTGGATAATTGAAATATAAAAAAAAGCGAAATAAATGCAAACACCAGTATAACTGGTAATATAACCTTCTTATTACTAGAGGCTAAAAACTTCATTTCAATTCACAATTATAAAAAGTGATGAAAGAAAAGAAAAAAATAATAATTATAAAAAAAAAAAGGGCACTAGCGTTCCCCTCGGCGATTGAATTATTGTATTTTTCTCCTCCCTTTTCTATCTGTTCCATGTATATAGTGAAAACACCATTAACATTGGCAGGTAGAACTATGCCAGTAAAAAGCGTCTTCTTTTTCTTATCCACCGGTGTGTACACAAGTCTATCTCGTGATATGGCCAAGTATTAAGGGAAAACCCACAGCCTATTTTACGCTTAAACCTCAGTGACGTCTCTCCCATTGGCTGATCTACACAGACTATGATAACATTTTTTTTTTTTTTGTGAGTCTATTTTTAGTTTAATGAAGCACAACTCATCTTTTTAGCAGTAAATATAATATATATTCTCTCTTTTCGTCCAGCACTAGTGAGAAAACGTGGAGTAGTTTCTTTATGTACTGCTGCCATGTTTCAAGTGCTTAGAAGGGACATTGTTTGGATATGTTTCGCTGTTGTTGTTTTTGTTGGGTGGAAAATATATATCAAAAGGAACCCTAATCATATCCAATCAGAAATAGTCTTTTCAATCGTCTTTCAGTTATTTCTATTCCCGTGTTAAATGAATACAACTGAAAAAAAAAAACCACAAAAAAAAAGACAATGCTTCTATATATGTATAAATTACGGCAAAAGAAAAATTGTATATGAATGGGTTATTAATTTGGTGATACATTCCACCTTGAACAACCCCAGATTGCTAATTGATAAACTGCAAAGCAAACAAATCTTGGTGTATGTAGATGGATTTTATATAAGTGTGAATGTTAATACTCCCACAGGTAAAATGTAACCGCACTGGGCCTTTTTTTTTTTTTTTTTGTCTGTGTGTGGAATTCACTATCAGCTTATTCCAGACATACGCTTCTCTTTTTTATGAGTGATATAACACATAACCCATCTTTCTGTATCATGACAGAATTTACCCGCATCACAATGTCTAATGATGCGGCACTTCTCTCTCTCTCTTACTAAGCATGACTCCGATTACAGAATGACGACTAAAAGCTAGCGGGGAGCACATGGTTTTGTCGTACATGTCACCATGACTTGTCTTTACTCAGACGCAAGTGGATAATATAGCTGCCAATCTAAATAAACTTTGGATGATTAGAAGCGTCAACTTTAAAAAATATTTTAACTGCATTAAATCTTCCATTGAAGGTGTGTACAAAAAGCACACTAAAAAAAATTGAAGGACATTTTTCGCGTGTAACAACAAGAGTTTTTTTTTTTTTTTTTTAGGAGGTAGGATTTAAAGCCCGTTCATTGTGGTATGTGTGTACGTGTAACCCCGGTAATGCCTCTCTTGTCATCTGAGAGCTTTTTTTTTAAGGTTTTGCTTAGATACGGTTAAAGAAAGAAAAAAGCAGTAGTAAAGTGTGGAAATGAAACCGAACAAAAAAAAAAGACTGTTATCATCCCGGGAGAAAGAAAAGGGGGGGGGGCAAAGAGTGTTTCTCGAATCATCCTTCAAGGAACTGCAGATCGACCGAACGCCCCCCTTAAAAAGTGTTTTCCAAAATGTGTGACTTGTAAAAAAGTGCTTCAGTTTGATCTTTGTTACTTTTTTGTGTGTGATACGTTCTATAATTAAAACTGCGTAGGATTACGTATGATAATTAGAAAAAGGGTCTCTCTCTCTCTCTCTCCCTCTCTTTTTTTTTAAGTTGTAAAGTAGTATGTCTGGTTATTTTAGTAAGTTGCTTTGCGCAAGTTGAAACCTTGGGGGTTATTGCTAAAAAATCAGTTTCTATTTAAATATAATGTTAAAAAGGTGAACTCGGCATTGACCATTCGAATAAAAAGAAGAAAACTTACGATGTTGATCTTGATGCGTTTATGAATCCAGCTTCTGGTTCCTTGTTTGGACAAGGGAGCGACACAAACAGTCATGTTCAACAGTTGATACAAACAGCCAAGTGAGTTAAAAGAGAGAAAAAAAAAAAAGATAGATAAATGATACTGATGAAGCCTTTTTAGCTTTTTTGGCCAATTCCGACAACAGATGCAGACGGGTGAGGATGTGGAGCAGGAACAGTTTCTGGATAATTTAGTGAGTCAATTACTGGAAGAATCTCAAAATAACGCCAAAGGACCACCACCTGCTTCTAAACGATTCATGGACAATTTACCCATTGTAAAAGGCGATACATTGGACAGGTAAAAAAAAAAAGTGTCTGTGGGGGAGGAGGAGCATGAATTTATACAGTAAAAATTGTTTTTCTCTCTCTCTCTCTATTTTAGTGAGGAAAGCTGTATTATTTGTAAAGATAATCTCAGGAGTAGTGAGAGTACTGTCACACGAATGCCATGGTATTTATTTATATAGACGTCCAACTCTATAAAACGTTTCATCCAACTAACATGTGTAAATAAATAACACACTTTTATTATTATTATTAGTGGACACTACTTTGACCGTGATTGCTTACTTCCTTGGTTAGAATTACACCATACATGTCCCATGTGTCGATTTGAAGTGGAGACAGAACATGCGGTAGAAGAAGAAGAGGAAGAAGAACAACGAGGATGGATGTACGGTTAAAATAATTTAGTTTAGTATATTGTTTGTTTACTTGATTACCAAAAGAAAGATATTAAATTCTATCCAATGAATTACTGCTCGTCAATGTAAATAGTCTAGCTATGTTATTCTTGTTGCTGTGATGAGTGATTTTTGGGTGTGTGTGTGTGTGTTGGGGGAGCGCATAAAGTATGTAATGTAATGCTATAAAAAAAAAAAAAAAAAAAAAAAAAAAGAAGAGGCAGTAAAATGTTCAAATATTTATACGCAAAAATATGGAAAGGGGGTTAGTTTTTTTGTAGCGGAATCCAATGCCGAAGGTAAAGAAAAGATTTTAATTTATCCCCCCCAAGACAAGTTCTATTACTGTATACAAACTGCACAATTGACGCGTGCGTGTTAATTTGTTCAAAAGCAGTGTATATTCGGGAATGCGGGATGTTCCGCTTCTCTGTTATTGGGGAGGAATGAAAAAATAAATATATACAATCAGACAAAAAAAAAAAGGTTTGTTTTACCAGTGTCATCAATTAACAAAGAAATAAAAGTAACAGCACAAAAAAAAAAAAGAATCATAAAAACAGGACTTACTTTTTTTATACAAATTGAAATACATTTAGTCACAATACACACACACATAAACACATAAGCACATCGTACATAAATAACGTAGTAATGAAGAAGATTCATATTGTAAATCAGACGGTGGTGCTACACTCTTTCATCTGATCTACCCTCCCCTTCTTTTTCTCAATACACCCCCCCCCCAAAAAAAGATTCATTTTCCCGCCAAAAACCAAAAAAAAAACATTAAAAATCAAGAGCGTCTTTATGGTCTTTTTTTTATAAAGCAAAACAAAAAAACAAAAAAAAAGTCGTATTTATATATCTATTTACACAGATGGATAGATGAAAAAAAAAAAAAAAAATAGCTGTATTTTTATTTGTTATTTTTTTATTTGTTATTATTACATATATATTTCCCTCTAATTTTCTTTTTTTTTTTCTCTCTCTCTCTCCCTCTCTTTTTCTTTTTTAAATCACCTTCTTTCTTGGTATTATATTATACATATTTTTTTCACCTTTTTACTACTCCCCTTGTAATAAAACTATCTCTTTCTCTCTCTTTCTTTTTTTTTTACATTTAAACTCTATTTATTTGTCGCACCAAAAAAAAACATATATATATATACAATGTTACCAGATGAAGACCAAGTATCAAGAATATTTGCTTGTCCCCAGTGTCCAAAAAGTAATATAATTCATATATCTCTTTTATTTTTCTCTTTAACCTTTTTTTTCTTTCTTTTTTTTTTTATTTTTTTTTTTATTTTTTTTTTCTCAGTATTTGCCACCCGTTCTAATTTGTAAGTTTTATCTTTTTCAATATAAAAAATAAAAAAAGAAATGTATCTAAATCATTTCGTTCGTGTAGGAAACGCCACATGGAAAATCCTAATATTCACAATATACCCTATGTCAGAAGTCGTGATCAAAAGCGATGGAAAGGTCATTCTAAAAAAGTGGTGTCTAAAGAAGAAACAACCGAAAGGTATAATTAATTAAAAAAAAATTAAAAAAAAAAGTTTATAATAATCGCATTGACGATCTGATAAATTTCAGTAACAATGATAGGATGAGAAAATGGCGCGCAGAAAATCGAGAAAAGAATAGACAAAATGATCTAAGATGTCGTGTTTATCGTTTAGCGCGTCAAAAGTATGGTGAAAATGACTCTAGTGAAAAGCAAGGGTTCGTGCGAGAAGAAATTGCCAGAAGACTAGGTCGTCGTATGATGATGGAAAGAAGAGAGGCCAATGGTTGGACACCACCCATGAGAATGCGCAATGGCATAAGAATGATGAGTCCAGTTCATTTTACCAGTCCTCCCTCAAGTCCTCTCTTATCATCACAAGCCTTACTCTCTCCTCTCAGTGATCTTGTTCAATTACCCTTCTATAGTGCTCCCCAACAAAAGATTGAATTACCTTCCATTGATAGCTTCACAAGAACAAATTCATGGTCCTCTTCACCACCAGATTTCTCTTCCTCATCAAATACATCTTCTCCCATCCTACCACATCTATCTCCTACTTTACAACGTCGTACCAGCAGTAGTAGCATAAGTAGTGTAAGCAGTATCACAACACAGCAAATAGGCAAAGAAAAGAGGCGATCTTCTTCTGTCACAACCTTATCCGTCAATACCACTCCCATTCCATCAGCATGCTCATCTTCATCTACCACGCCCATCACACCAAAACTAGAAGGGGAAGTCTCAGGGGGAAATGTAGAGGATAGCCCATTTTGTGTGTTACCATCCATGCATGCTTTTCTGTCTTATGCACCATCAGCAGGTGTCTCCCCTTCTCATCCTGCTGCTGCTTCTGCTGCTGCTGCTGCTGCCTCTGCTGCTGCTGCTTCTGTTCCAACTGCTGCTGCTGCTGCTGCTGCGTCTTCTTATGATGCTGATAGTAAACTACAACAACAAAAACAACAACAAAACTCTTCATGCTGCATACCTACGATTACTACAAAAGGCGGAATTAAATATGTCGACTCCAACAAAATACTAGATGAATTTGTCGGCGTTGTTCTAAATTACGTAGATAATGCAACAGTGGCTCAATAAATATTTGCCCTTTTTTATATATCTTCTTCTCCAACCCCTTTTTCCCTTTCCACTCTTGATGTTGAGTGGATATATAAAAAAAAAAAAAAAAAAAAATTGCATGATTTTTTTTATGCTTCGACTTTTGACGTTTTTCTTAAATAGTTGCACAGGCCATCTTTTTCTTTTTTTTTTTTTTTGGTTGCTCCATTTATTGTCACACGCATAATTTAGCGTGAAACAAAGAGAAGTTTAAATCTTGAGCCCTTCCGTTCCTAAACAACGTGTGTCACTCGAAATTAAAATCAAAGCCGTGTCAAAATAACATTTCAAAGTAAAAAGGCATGTTACACGCTTCTTTTTTTTTTTTACTGCTCATCGTATGACACTCGTGATATGCAAAATAAAGGAACCCGTGAAATATTAAAAAAAAAACATATTGTAAAACCGACAAGCTTATTTACATCTTGTCCATTTATACTCGTCATCCCCCCCCCTTTTCATCCGTTATACTCTCCCAAGCTAAAATATTTCGTTGCCCGCTCTTTTACGCGCGCGCACACACGCACAAACATACACACTACTTTTTTTTTTTTTTTTCTTCTCTCTTTTATCTTTTTTTTTTTTTTTTTTTTTTTCCTGACAATATTTTATACTTATTTTTTTTTTGACATTAAGGAGAATCAATGAAAATTACAAGAGCTCCTTCTAGAAAACTAGCTCCACTGGTAAACAAACAAACAAAAACAAAAAAAAAAAACTATGCAAAACTAGAAAGACATGACTAACCATTGAACCATGGCAGCCCTCGGAATTAGCAACCATGGTAGAGCATGTTGTGAATGATGAACAAGATCAAATAAAGATTTGGGCTAATCTTAAGGAATGGCATTTCCCCAGAAGTGACTTATTCCAATTCATTGGCGTACTCAATCGTTTCGACACCATACTCGAAACCACATGTCAATACTATGAATTATCAGAGAAACACATTCAAAAGGAACCCTTTCATGTCGAAACAAAGGAGACATTACTCGTCATTTTAAGTTTATCAAAACTATTATTTGAAAACTGTACAAACAGAAATCTCTACAATTCATACGAGGTAAATCTCTCTCCCCTCATGTGTGTAAAAAAAAAAAGAAAAAAAGAAAAAAATAGACTAATGTGTGTGTGTGTGTGTAGCATTTAAACAACCTATTGAATACAACCGACGTCGATATTTTGGAAGCCGTATTAAAACTCATGTTAAAACCAGCTCAACGCGTCAATAACCCCAAAGCAGTCCAGTTCAGCTTTTTAGCTCCTCAAGATAAAGTCACCGAATTAGCACGAGGTGGGTCCATTGCCGATCTTATATCCCCACATGGGAAAGAAGATAAAGTCACCATGTCATTTTATCGCACAGGCGATGTCGATGAGGGCTTACAAGTCGTCTCCATCACCGCAGATCAAACCACAACAGATAGTGACCTCTTTTGGAAAATCGTCAAGGAATATCGTATCCCTATCGAATACCATTTCGAGTTATTGAATAGAATTCGTATTGCGAATCATGCGAATGAACCCGCTGTCAGGCATCAGCTTTTAATCATTCGCTTCATATCCATCGTCATCATGGGTAATCATTTTTTTTTTTAAATGTTTACATGTACAAAAGAGGGGGAGGAAGGCTAAAAGTATCATAATCTATAGCTCATACCATGTCCGAAACCATTGCTCAAAATCGTGTCTTTTTGTATGAACCTCATTTGGTGCCTCAAATTGCCCAATTAATCAGTTATGATCATCATATTCCTATAGTAAGTTTTATTTTGGGAGTGGTTTTGGGTGGTGATAATTTTTAACATATGTACGAGTAGGATATTCAAACATATGCATTATACGCATTGGACGGTATTGCAAGACACCGAACCAAAGTGACAGAAGTTTTATCTGCATTCAATGCTTCTGCTAATCACGGTATATTACTTCATCTTTTGCGACAATTCAGTCAAGGAACCACAGGTATTATTTATTATCCCTCAAAGAGAACAAAAAAAAAAAAAAAAAAAAAAGGAAGGAAAGCCCCGTCTAAAAAAAAATCAAATTGTTTCTATCAGTTTATACAGTGGATTTCATTGATGCATTATTCAACCTACTCTCATTTTTGTTCCAAACACAAGCGGGTGGACAAATGCTCATGTCAGCAGGGATTATGTCTACATTGATTGGAATTATGGATGGGGATATAAAAAAGAGTGATATTCATATCAAGGTATTGATCAAGGTGGTAGGATTACTCGATACGATCATGAACAATGTGAACACATCCTTTTCTTCCTTCTGCAATGCCAATGGACTTAACTCGTTACTTAAAGTCATTGCATCGCAAGTGGATACCTGTATCGCACAACAGGGGGTAGACAATTACGATGCCTTAACCTTGGTGAAAAACACTTTACGATTTTTGATCCGTATGATGGAATCCAACGACACAGCGGATGGATTACGTAACCTGATCGAAAGTAGTATCCCTCATACCATCAAGAAAGTCATGGAACATCACACATTATTTGGACCCAGTGTGTTTTCCTTGGTGGTGAATGTGGCTACGACATTTATTCATAACGAACCGACTTCCTTGTCCGTATTACAGGAAATTAAGTTACCTCAGACTTTTTTGAAAACGTTTGTGGAATACGATCAACCCAATTGTGAGGTCTTGATGGCAGCGGTACATGCGTTTGGTGCGATCTGTTTGAATTCAGCAGGGTTGGATATGTTTGCAGAAGCAAGACCTTTACCTCATTTCTTCCAATTGATGACATCCCCTAGTTTTGTAACCAACCCGGCAGAAGTAGGTGGGGTCACGGTGTTGGGTACAACCATGGATGAATTGATCCGCCATCATCCAAAGTTAAAAGGAGAAGTATTTGTATGTGCTAACCAATTATTATTGCGTGTCATTGAAGTGGGTAACGCGGAGGAAGGGAAACCATTGGACAATAGTCATCAACTTGTATATGAAAGACAGGCCAAAGATCTTTCCAATGAAAGAGCCGAGTGTTTGTTATTAGGCCATGTAGATTTAGTGTCGAGGGTAAGAAAAATAAGATGTTGTGTGTGTGCACTTAAAGACGTGATGAAAAGTATGTATTGACAGGTAAAAGCGACTTTTTTCGTAGTTTTTAGAAGGGTTTTTGCGTAATGCGGATAATATCAAGGAGTTTGTGAATTATGGTGGACCTGAATTACTTTTAAGCTATTATGCATTGCCCATGCTTCCGTTTAATTTTTCGGTATCCAATGCGTTTGATTCACTTAGCTTTGTGTTTCGTGTGATTTCGGATGTGTCGCCTATGCCCTTTGCCAATTTGATTACGAAGAAAGTGTACGAGTCATCGAGGTTTATTTTTACAGATGAATTGGATCAAATGAAAAGCTCTGTGTATCCTTATATCAATGTGGATGGTAAAGAAAGAAAGAACGGAAAAGAAAATGGGTAGAAGAAAGCTAAAAAAAAAATGATTTTAGGTACGGATAAAGAATTTTTGGAAAAGGGAAACCAATTATTTAGAAAGTGTAGCATTTTGTTTGGCTATATTGGTTTACTTTCAACTGTATTTGCCAATGCTATTTTAACAAACAGCAAGAATGCCATCAAATTGGTAGAATGGGCTGTGAAAAGTAACGAGGAGTGGGGTAACCTCATCATGTTGCTTGGTGATATTCATCGGTAAAGTATTTTTTTTTTCTCTCCGTATATGTGCTGGAAAAATCCCTAATATCAAATGTGTTAGAACCATGGTGTGGCAGAATATTTTGTTGAGAGAATCTGTGCCCAAAGCATGGTATATTACCAGCAACCAAGCCAATATCGATGATAGTGTGGATTTGAAAGACCCTCGTGTGATTAATGTGAGAAGATTCAAGATACTCTTAAGTGAGATCCCACCTGCCTTAATGCCGGTGCTACAAGGTATTATTAAGGTCTCCGTGAACAGACGCCCTAGCGCAATTTCCTCCTCCTCATCCGAACTCAGTCTTTTCCAGCGCTCGGAATTAGTTGCAGAAAACATTGCAGAAGTCTTTCGCGATAATCTAGGATACATGCATGACGATTCCCCCATTTGTAAATACGACTATTACGCATCCATGTTCTCCATGATTTCCATGTTATTACTGGACGATCGATCACGCACGGCCTTGGAAACCCCGATTGCTGTCGCCTTTGAACGGATCGGCAATGTGGATTTATTAGCAGATACTTTACTCTCACAATTCTGGAAAGCTGCCGAAACTCAAATCGAGGGAAAAACCGACGAAGAAGAAAATAATAACAATAGTGAATTACAACGTATCAATACCTGTATCGAACTCTTGTTGGCCATTCTTCATCATTTAGGATCTTCTAAATTGTTTCATAATTCACCCCATACCAATATTTTGACAACGGCCGATTCTGACGATTATTTTGGTAACCGATCGCTCTTGAACCCTTTCCATTGGATGGCCAACATGCAATATAAACTCTCGGGTCTCTATCTTTACCTGGAAAGCCCTCATCTGCATAAATTCTCTAGACATGTTTTACATTCTTTGCTTCGATGTATCACACAAAATATGAAGGCGGAAGGAGAGAGACAGCGTGGGATGAAACCGCTGACCAACAAAGAAGATGATCCTACCTATCAGGCGAACCGAACTGCTTTGACAGAGATGGGCTTTGATGCTGATTTAGTGGATACCGCTTTGCGTCGATTTGATGGAAACGGTATCTGTGCATTGGATAATCTCTTTAGTCGTCGATTAGTGGAACACCCCGTGGAAGATGGACCACCTACTTTGGATATCACACCTGAACTTCAATGCTCCAACCCTTTAACAGAAGCGGAATTTGCAGCTGGTGTTCGAATTCTTGTCAATATGTGGTATGATCAAACATTGGCAACGGAGGCATTACGCGAGAATAACAACCTTGCTCAAGCGGCCTTGTCCTTGTCAAGATATGAACCTACAGCCATTCGTATGCCATCCGTCACTTCTGCACCTACCGAATCTGCCCATGTCGATCACGAAAATGACGATTCGAATGAAAATGACGATGATGAATATGAGGATATTGAAACCGATGACGAGGAAGAAGAAATAACAGAAGAAAGTTTAAAGGATGAAGAAGAACTTGATCAAGCAAGAGTAGATGCGTTCTGTAATATCAAGCCAACGTCGTCAAAAAAGGAAGCGATTGAAGTCTTGCATCGTCTTGACGCTGTGCGAGAAACCATGCGAAGCAAGATCCCGCAAATTCTTGCACGACTTGTGGATGAACGTAGTGATATTGATTTTGAAGTGCGTGATCTGATGGTTGTCTTATGCTGTGGCGATCCCAACAAGTTATCTCAAAACACCAAGCAAACAATTCGTTTGTTCTTTGGAGAGAATCATGGTCATGGAGAAACAACCGATAAACGTGCCATGTTTGAATCCTCCATTAACAAGATTCGTATCTTTGCTCTCATGTTGCGTGAACCCGCTATGCAGGATGTCATGTCTCTCTTAATCACTACCATGTCTGAATTCATGGACTGGTTTGATTTCTTGGATTTGATTGTGACAAACCCAGATATGCCTGATCCCAAATGGTTAACTACACTCTTTTTAATCTTGGAAGCTGGGTTGGCTCAAGCGGATGAACCCAAAGAGGAACCTCTGGTAGATATGGATACGCCCGAGATGAAAAAATCTATCGAGGACAAACCTTCTCCTGTTACAGTGACAGCTGCTAACCGAACGACCTTGATGAACTATTGTATCAATTTGCTCAAGACCGAAAGCCTTTCTCAAGATAATCTCATCTCTACATTGCGTATCCTTGTACGTCTTACAAAACACCATGATGCAGCAGCACAATTTGTGGCCCTCGGTGGACTTGAGCCCTTGTTTAAACGTCCCAGCAAAAGTTTTGAAGTGATCAAGATTCAACAAGCCTACATCATTATGATCTTACGTCACATTATTGAAGACAAGTCTGTTTTGATGAACTGTATGCGTGAATGGCTCTCTTTTTGGTTCACAGCACCTCCCTCGCGTTACTTGGATGTATCAACCTATATTCGAAATAATAACAGTATTGCGTTACGTGACCCTGAAACCTTTGTTGAAGTCAGTAGTCAGATCTGTCGCCTTACAAATTTCAAGTCTGGAAATTACAAGAATATTCGATATATTGGACTGGATGGAGTGAAGGAAGAACCCTTGACAAATGACCATGAATCATCGGTGGTGATCCACTTTTTGTTAAACCAGTTGGTCATGACCCAATCGGAAAAAGAAGAAAGCAACATCAAGATTGGATACACGGGATTTATATTACAATGTCTCTTGGAACTCATCTCGTCGTATCCGTTATGTAAGCATGATATTGTTGTATTTAATAATAACCAGTCTTTGGATGTGACCGATTCTGGTCTCTCAAATCATGCTCGTATCCGACAATCGATCTTATTTACACTTGTCAACAAATTATTGCCGTTCAATGCGATTAATCCAACCACGGATGGAGAACGTAAACGACAAGGTATTTCCATGTGTGTTGCGTCTTTATTGGTCGCGATGTGCTATGATACAACCCATGTGAGTCACACAAGAGCAGAAAATACGCCTGAAGAAGCATTGACAGAGATCCGTAAACACGTACTGGATGTGGTCTATCGATCGTTTAAGGACGCACTTCAATCTAGCAACACATCGACCACCAGTGCCAAGTACATTCGCTATTTTGCACTTGCCGAATTATGTCATCGTATCCTGAATGCACGACCTGCATCTATCAGCCCTGCAGCCGCAGCCGCTCAAAGTAACACGAAGGAAGATACTGTCTTGGTTGTGGCTAAATTGATGTTGGAAAAGAAGTTTGTTCCTGTGTTGATCTCTGTGATTAGCGATGTGGATGTGAATTACCCTCATGCCAAAATGATTTTGAACTCAATTTTACGACCTTTGGAACAATTGACGAAATTGGCGATTCGTATTGATCGATCCTCACCTGAAGGGGAAAAGAAGACGACGGATAAGAAGGATCATGAAGAGGACGAACATGATATTTATTTACCCATGGATACGGATGAAGATAATGATGCTGCTGAGGAAGAAGTCTCTGATTTATATAGAAATTCTTCCTTGGCCATGTATGATGGTACTGTCTTGGAGGAAGAGTCGAGTGATGAATCATCCGATGATGACATTGAGATGGCTAGGTAAGGATAGATGTGGATATGTTTATATTTTTTGATTTTAGTATACTTGTTTATTTTATACTTAAACCAAATTTCTTTTTTTTTTTAAAAATATATATATATATATATATATATATATAGTTCTGGTGAAGAATTGGATGGAGATGAGGATGATGAACAGCGTTCAAATTCCGATGGATTTGAAACTGTGGATGGCTCAGATAATGAAGAAGGTGGTGAAGATCAGGAAATGGATGAATTAATGAGAAATCACCGATTCCATCATTCAGACACAGAAGATGAAAATGGAGTAAAGACAAAAAAAAAAAAAAAAATGCAAACAAACACTAGAAAACAATAGTTAAATCTTTTTCTTTCTTTTTTATTCTTAGAACGATAGTAGCGACGATGGTTCAGATAGTGATAGTTCTAGTGAATCCGGTGTATCTTATGAATCCAGTTCTTACGAAACCGATAACGAATCCCTCAACTCTGATCGAAGTGACTCTGTACACTCAGATGATAGTAGAGAAATGGCATGGCATCTAGAAGATATCAATGACGAATCTGGTTACATGTCTCGTAACCCACATGAAGACGGGCATACCGGTCGTCATCACCATGGCTCCAGACAAATTATGCAGGCTGAAATCATGGTAAATGTTGCTATTTTTTTTTTAATATATCCATATAGACGTGCTTGCATTTTATTTTGGGGGGGACTGAACTAATTTTTTTTTTTTTACTTCAATATTTAGACTGATTCAGATGATGATGGTATGGACGTGGATCAATCGGATTTGGATGAAGACGGGGACTCGGATGATCTTGACCCAGAAGAATTGGAAGATGTGGAACGTAACTGTAAGTAACAAGATCATAGAAGGTTTTCAACATCTGTGTGTGTGTGTGTATGTGTGTGTCTGTGAAACCTAAACTCTATTAATTTTTTTTTCAGTGGAACTATTTGCTCGTGGAAGTCCATTAAGAGATGGTGTTCATATGATCAACCCTACTATCCGAGGCTCCCTAAATACAGCTACTGGTAGCAGTAGCGGTGTAGGAAGATCGTTTGATAGAGACAACATTATTTTGCATCCACTTTTAAGAAACGCTGCAAATCCAAATGCCACTGCATCTGCAGATGGTTCGTTCACCCCTGACACAGCCGTTTTATCAGGCACAAACAGTAATCATTTGCAAGCATATGAAGATATCATTGGTGGTAGTGCTGTTCGTATCCTTGAAACTCTTTTAAGCCAACAACATCAGAGAAACAACCCCTCTGTAACAACAGAAACGACACCTAACGCTACCACTGTTATCCCTGTTTCAACCACAGCATCCAATGTACCTGAGGCAGAAGATAGCGCTACCAGCCAAGAAAATAAAGATACATTAAACTTGCTTCAGGAATTCCAGTCTATGCAATCTGCTGATCGATGGATACAAGAGGTGCAAATGGTTTACATATCCTCAGTTGCATCTGCCAAGGCTGCAAAATTGACAAACACATTGATATCTCGATTGATCAAAATTGCAAAAGAGGAAGAGGAAAAGGGTATCACCCAAGGAGAGCCGGAGAATGAGTCTGGTCGAACTGACAATGTACCCATGGATATGGATGTAAGTGATAGTGACGACGGATCCAGTGGAGAAGATGGTCAAACGGGTATGAGAATTGAAGTAGAAGTCCACGGTGAAGAAGAAGAGGAGGAGGAGGGACATAGTGATGAAGAGGAACAAGAGCGTGTCATTGTCACTATTAACGGGGAAGAAGTGGATATCACAGGAACAGGTATAGATGCTGAGTTCTTGGAGGCACTTCCCGATGATCTTCGTGCTGAAGTACTCAGCCAACAAATGGCTGAGCGACGTGCATCGATCCAAAGCATCGAAGAAGATACGATCAGTCCTGAATTTTTAGCTGCTTTGCCCATTGATATCCGTAACGAAGTTATTCGACAAGAAACCATGGAACGTAATCGACGCGAAGCAAGACAGCAATCCACCGGTCCCAATGAAACGGAAAATGGGAATAGAAATTTACCTGTTGCAGTGAACGTGACCGAATTAAACGGTATTCAAATGCACCCTAATTTGGGTCTCGCTCAACGCAACAACTATGATTTCCAATCGACAGCATCTGGTCCTGCTGCCAGAGATAATGCTTCTACGTGGAGAATTGGAAGAAGCTCCGAGAACTCTCAATTTGGTATCACCACCAGTGTCAGTAACAATAATTCTAGAAAAGCCATGCTTCATCGTGACGCCATCCGAATTGTTGATCGAACCCAGTTAGCTACACTTGCTCGTCTATTGTTTGTGCCTCAATCCATTTCTAAGCCACTTCTGAATCGACTGTTACTCAACTTGTGTGAGAATAGTAAAACTCGTGGAGACCTTTTGTCCTTATTGATTTGTATCTTGCAAGATGGCAGCTCTGATTTGGCTTCCGTAGATCGTAGTTTCACGCAAATGTCCATGTTATCTGCCAGCAAATCACAAACGACAGCTAATGTATCTGAAGAAGCCAGTACCGAGAAGCCCGAGCAACCAACCGAACATGCCAAATCTGATGAAAACGCACCTAATTTGATAACACAACGATGTCTTGAAATTTTGTACTACGTTGTTACATGGAATGACCGCTCTTTAGCCTACTTCTTAACCGAAAATGAAAGTTTTGGACAATTAAAACGTCAACAATCCTTGAATCGTAAATCCAAGAACAAGGATAAAACTACAGCCAAATATCCCATCCTAATTCTAGTCGGTCTTTTGGATCGCCCCTCGTTTTTGAATAATACTGTACTGATGGGCCAACTTATGAACTTGCTAGCAACCATGTGTCGTCCTTTCCCCAGTCTTGTGAAGAAGTACAAGGAAAAGATGGAGAGTATGAAAACCAAAGAAGATGCAGATACTGAAGTAAACGAGAAGCAGCACCATCATGCTCCCCGACCTCCTTCGATTCCCGATCAATATCTTGAGAAAATCGTAGATGTACTTTCGATGGGTGAATGTTCGAGTTATACTTTCCAATATACCCTTAGTGTTCTTTCACATTTATCAACTTTGGACGGTGCGCTGGATACGATTATCGAAAGGTTGATTTTGACAGCAAACACATCTGGTCAGCAAATCATTATTGATCTACAGAAATTGCTTACGATCTTAGAAAAGTACAAGCCAGGTACAGAATTAGAAGGATCTGCTTTAGCTCAATTCTCAGCTGCCACTTCGCACCAGACAAAATTGTTGCGTGTCTTAAAAGCAATGGACTATTTGTATACTCGTAAGCGTAATGTGTCTACCAACGGCAACCAGCCCGAAGAGAATGAGAAATTAGTATTAGCAATCTACAATAAGTTAGACTTTTTGCCCTTGTGGACCATGCTTGGCTCCTGCTTAACCGTTATTCAAGAAAGAGAAGACTTAATCAATGTGGCTACAGTATTGCTTCCTTTGGTCGAATCATTTATGGCCGTTTCAAAATACTCTGCAAATAAGGGTTATACTGTTACCGTGACCAAGTCTGAGAAAAAGGCGCCTTCAACTGAAGACTTCTTCTTTGATTTTACAGAAGAACACAAAAAGATTTTGAATATCATGGTTCGTAATAACCCCTCTCTGATGAGCGGCTCTTTCTCCCTTTTGGTACACAATCCAAAGATTCTTGAATTCGATAACAAGCGCAGTTATTTTAATCAGCAGCTTCATAAACGTACTGAACCTCGTGAGCATCACCCTCCTCTTCAACTGAATGTCCGTCGTGCTCATGTATTTGAGGATACGTATAGACAACTCCAAGGTCGTACGGGTAAAGAGATCAAGTATGGTAAACTGAATGTTCAGTTCCATAACGAAGAAGGTGTAGATGCAGGCGGTGTCGCTCGTGAATGGTTTTCTGTTCTTGCCAGACAAATGTTTGACCCCAATTATGCCTTATTCATTACATCAGCTGCAGACAAATTAACATATCAACCTAATCGTCTTTCGGTTGTTAATCCTGATCATCTCAGTTATTTCAAATGCGTAGGTCGTATCATTGGTAAAGCTATTCATGATGGACGATTGTTAGATGCCTATTTTACCCGTTCATTTTACAAATTGATGCTGGGGCGTTCTGTTGATTACCGAGATGTCGAAGCTGTAGACCCTGCTTATTATAAGAGTTTGGTGTGGATGTTGGATAATGACATCACTGATATCATTGATCTGACATTCAGTGTTGAAAATGATGATTTCGGAACCAATGATATTATCGATTTGAAGCCCAATGGACGCAATATTCAAGTGACAGAAGCTAACAAGCATGAATATGTGACACTGATTACGGAACAAAAACTGGTCTTGGCTATTAAGGATCAGGTGAATGCGTTCCTGGAAGGATTCCATGATATTATTCCTGCACAGTTAATTCAGATCTTTAACGAACAGGAGTTGGAACTGCTGATTTCTGGGTTACCGGATATTGATATCGATGAATGGAAAGCCAACACTGTTTACGAAGGTTATACCCTCTCTTCACCTCAAATACAATGGTTCTGGCGTGCTGTTCGATCCTTTGATCAAGAAGAGAGAGCTAAATTACTTCAATTTGCTACAGGTACATCTAAGGTACCTTTAGAAGGATTCTCGGAGTTACAAGGCTCTAATGGTGTACAAAAGTTTCAAATACACAAGGAATTTGGTGATGTGAACCGTCTCCCTTCAGCCCACACATGGTAAGAAAGAAAAGAAAACGTTTTTTTTTTTTTAAATGTTTTTACTGATTTTGTTTGTTATGTATTAGTTTTAATCAAATTGATCTACCTCAATATTTGAGCTACGAGGATCTTCGATCGAATTTGTTCAAGGCTATTAGTGAATGTTCGACTGGTTTTGCATTCCAATAGATCTCTTTTTTACCTCTACTAAAAAAATAAAATAAAACATGACTAAAAAAAAAAAATTGAGTAAGACAAAGGTTTTAGTCCATAAAGGTTTCTAAAAGCGCTAAATATTTAGTTCTTAATACAGAAAGTTCAGTAATTCAATAATAAACAATCAGATAATAGGTTTGAAACAATAAACATGGTTTTATTGTGTAAATAATAACGTTGTAGGGTGTAGATAAAAAAAATAATAATAGAACAAAGAGAGGGGGTGAGTATGTGTGTACAAGGAAACGGGGCGGAGGGTAAATATAAAAAAGTGGTGTGGGGATGTGTGTGTGCAAAATATGTATATAAATATTAAAATTACAAGCTTGAGATACAATGGGGCTGCGAAAAATATATAAATAAAATTCAGCCTTTTTTTTTTTTTTTTTTTACGTGGGGTTATGCCTAGAATTGGGTTGCGATTTGAGACCGCTTTGACATTGTAACTGGTGATAATTTTGGGCTTTTCTCATCGGATGAAGAAGAGCAAGAGGCCGAAGATGACGAATTAGAGGTCCACGAGGAGTCATCGTTTTCATATGAATGCGAGGATAACATGACATCGCTCAAAGTATTACAAGTTGATTTTCGAGAAAGGTACCTAAGGGCCTTCTTGGTCACAGTGCGACATCCAATTAGATTCAAGTACGTTAAGCAGCGAGTGTGTATGGAAAGCATAAGTACTGTTTTATCATCTACACACGGCCAATAAGATAAGTTCAAGTGTTCCAATTTCTTCAAATTCAAGGCGATCAATTCGACAGTATGATTGGACACAAATTCAGTAACCTTTTGCTTTTCCATGAGAGAACGATAATGCTGGGCTGATGTATCTGTAAGAGCAAGCGGTACATTCAATCGATGTACCAAGTCGATCAACTCATTCAAAGGATTACTTTCATCCATTGTACTCGTTCTTTGAAGATAATTCTCCATGTCCTCATTAATATCGCTTACTTCGACATTGGAATCTTCTTGTAAATGAGCTCTGTTGTGAGTGCGTCTGTTGTTCTGAGATAATCTGTGACGCAATTCGCGAAGTGAACTCTTCTTTTTCATTGAGACGTTCAATCTTGAGATGTTGGGGCAATGCGTTACCAGATATTCCAAATCTGTATGTCGGATAGCTTTTGTGCATTTGATATCCAACCATTCAAGTCTGGGGCCGCATACACCAGCAATCGCGTGAATGGTTGATCCAGTCACATGGCTGCAATCACTCAAGTTAATACGTCGGATGGTATTCCCGGAAGCTGTCACGAGCCCAATTATTCCATTATCAGAAATCAGGTTGCAACCACCTAAATGTAATGTCTCTAGTTGATGACAGGCGCTTTTCAAGTACGATAATCCAATGTCGGTGATTTTTCGGCAATTTTGAAGAATGAGCACCTTAATTGAAGAATATCCGGCCAGGCACCGAAGTCCTTCGTCTGTAATTAATTGGCTATCAGACAAATTCAGGCTTGTCAGGTGTGGGCAAAATCGAACTATATGCCGAATTGTGTTATCGGTAACGTCGAAAGCCAGTCTTTGAAGATCAAGAGATTTTACAGCATGTCCATACCGTGACAAGTGCAAAGGAAAGTGAGACATCTGACGGTGAGTCACCTTTTTACTGATATTGAGAGCAAGTGAAGGTATGCATCTGAGGATTCGGTAGTTTGGTTGCAGCGATCTCCATAATATTGGTGTCAATAATTCATTCCAATGTTTTGTTACTGTAGAACAATGATATAGATCAGACTGATCCAGAGACTCAAAAATGATGATGAGTATTTCGTTTGGAATTTGCTTAAACGGGCTGGTGTGCTCTTTCACTGCTTGTCGACGTAATTGTGTATACTGATTTGCCTGTCTTGCTGGTCTTTTTGCTTTTGTACGACGTCTTTCCAGTATTAATTCTTCTGCTGTGATACCTTTGCTTTTGTTTGCAACAAAGATGACTGCATTGATAGTTGCGGTAATATGAATATAAATATGAATAAACAAGTCGATCCAGCCGAATAAAAACGAAACTATTTTATTCATCTTTTTTTTTTTTTAAAGAGAAGAAAAAAATGAATAAAGAAGAAGAAATGAAAAATGAAGATGAGGGGTAAAATAGTTGTATTTACGTTTCACTAAAAGTGAGTTTACCCCAAAAAAATAATGAATTTTTTCCCTCAATTTTCTTTGACATGCAGTTATTGTTACGGAACTATGTGTTCCGAGTGGTAACAATCAATGTCACACAATAATAATGATAGTATACACAAACACACTCAGAAAGATAATATTACTGGCACTGGTTGCAGCTATTGTATAAACTCGGATATATACAAAACAATGTTTTACATCATTGCAATAGTAATGGCACCAATAATGATGTAGTGGTAGTAGCGTATTTCTATATTTGTTATTTATACTTTTGTGTACATCACCTATAAAACAATCTCACAGTTTGAAACATCAAATTAGTTGTTTCGAAAATAATCTAGTATATTCATCATCCAATTATTCATCACCAAGAAAAAAAAATTCCTATATTTATTTATATATGTGCATATTCAGTCTGGCTGGTGGATACTCTCGGTTGCCAAAGAATGGAATTGTCGATTACACAAAGATATGATTGGCGGTTATAAAAAATGGTTGCCGGTCTTAATTGTCGAGACAAGATTTCTCTCTCAGACTTTTAAAATCTCTACAATGACAAATACTCTTTATTTCGATAACCTTTTTAATTGGAATGGTAAAAGATTTTATTATTCTATGCAAGGTATCCAACTGAAATTACAGACGCAAATATTGAACTTGAAACAATAACTATCCGCAAGAGTTATCTAGCTAATAAATCTGATGAAAAGAAAATTATAGTGAAAGAGGCTTAACAAAAAAATTTGGACGATCAGTCTGCCTAATCAGCAATGCGTAACACTTGTACAGACAAGCACAAAAGTAATGTTTTCGATAAAATAATTGAACATCCTGACAGAAATATGACTAAGTCTTCCAAAGGACTCTCAATCAACCCTTGCACTGCAGAAAGATGATGGAAAACGTACAATAAGACCGGAGGCATGCCCTATAAAATATCAAAGAAGTATAGTGCTTTAAACAGCACTTTTACTGCTAAATATAAGCACCATAGTAAGAATTAGATAGATGATTGCTCTCAGCTCTTTGTTGATGTCATTATATAAAATTTATTAAACAATTTTAGGTTTTTTTTTTTTAAAAGAAGTCGCAGAGTAGATAATTATCATTCGAGAAATATCATACGGATTACCATAAAAAAATTTTATTTGAAGCCATAATTGGAAAATTTGGATACAAGATACGAATGGTTTATGAACTGTAAGGATACATATCTGGACGATACAAAAATTACATGTTGATTAATGAAGCCAGGTTTCATGTACAGTATTTACACTATAAATTCAGACGAATTAGAATTAATTTCGGACAGATGCAAAAATAAATTCAGACCAATAAAAAAAAAGTTCAGACTATTGAGCTTTTTTTTCGGACGAATAGAAAATTATTGTTCAGATAATTTTACCTGCATGAAATTGCCAAAGCGATAACTTTGGCGGAAAATTACTGAGTTTGTTCGTTTTTACGAGAAAAGAGCGCAGGGCGCTCACCTACTTCCCTGAGATTGAATAGGATGTGCTTAAAGTTTAGAACAGCTGCTTGGTCTCTATTCCAAAATTTTCTGCCTTGAGTAACACATGCAGTATTTTGACATCTGATAATTTGTTAATATCAACATAACGAATATAATTGTAACTATACTACCTTAACAATCCATGACACTTCACGATTGGCATTGTATTTCTTCTAAATGGACGAGGATTAGAAATCATCTTGAATTGCTCCAAAACGTCACCACAATCTGGACAATGAGAGGAAGTTTTAAATTCGTCAATTAGATAAACAGTCAAACCATTTTTTTTTAGCATTTGAATAAGCCCTTTATTCCTTGTAGGTTCCTGGAACTTTGTGTTCGGGGCTGACCAATTTCCAAGTACCAAGACAGCATCAGGACCAAATTTTCTTTTCAAGTTTTGTACCAATTTTTGATCATTTTGTTCATAAAACATCTTTGATGAAAATTTCATTTTTCGAAACGGTAATAGCTGTAACTTCTCTAAGACTGTACTGAGAGTTTTTCTGTTAAGATCACTTTGGTTGGGTCGTCTATTAATCTCTAAACCAAGCGCAATAATTCTTCTTTTTTCATCATCATCAAATCTTTGTGAGATATGCTTTTGTGACAGCATCATTTCTAGATATACGGCATAAAACTGAGGATTGACAATCCTATCAATGGAAAAGTTCTGAGGTTGAGGGAAAAAACCGCAAATTCGTGATATAAATATATTGCCATAGTAAAGATTGCATTTATGATCAACTCGGAATGAAAACTCTGACTCTGGAAAATAGGAGATTTCTTTGGGCTTTAATGTCTCGTTTCCATAGTAGTCGGTTAACGTGTCATTAACGGATGATCTGGCTTTTATGTACTGAATGTAGTTTTCCAAATTTGTAGATTTGGATTCTGTTTTGGAGAGCGTTGTTTCGGCTTCTTGGACAACCAAAGGTTTGTTTTGATTCCGTAAATATCTGAAATGTCTTGAGCATTTTGAGCGATTATTTTTGGTAAAAATCAAAGTTTGCTTCTCTTTAACTGTACTAGTTTCTTTCATGCAATACAATAAATCACGTCTTCCAGGGTCGATCAGAACACACTTGTTTTCAGTACGTTTTAAATCAGCTTGATTTAGCCGTTCTATATACTTCTCTTGATCATCGACTACTCTCTTAACGCTGGTTGTAAAGAATTTTCTACTTGTATCTGTGTTTTGTTTAATAATTGATACACCGACACCATCTGTTTCAAGTGTTCCTTGAAACCTTAAAGTCTTATCAACACCTTGATTCTTGAACGCCTTCTTTTCAAAATTCACGACAGAACCCCAAATTTTAAATTTTTTTCCAGCTTGGAGAGGACTTTTATTCTTGAGAATATGAAAGTGAATTATTTTGGCATCCAAAGTCATGTAGCATGGAATGAAGGAAGTGCGCAACGGGAAGCAGATAAATGCTTTTCCTGTTCTGGCTTCAACTAATTTGGCAAGTTGAAAAAACGCATCAAAATGATTCTCAGGTTTTGCTGCAATATCATAGTATATGGAGTCCTTTTGGAAAGTGTAGTCTTTAGGATAGCAGGAAAAGATACTGTTTAATTCTTTTCTTGACTGGTCATCTAGAATACTGTCTGCAGGTATCTCTTTCCTTGCTACAGCACGACTGATCTGATTACAAGGTCCGTATATCTTGCTTCGGATAGCTGATTTTATTGCTTTTTCATCTGATCCATTTTCTTTCATTTCTTTCCGAAGATTATTTGCTCTTTCCTTCTTTTGTAATATAATATTAACAAATTGGCGCAGTCTATTTCCAAAATGAGCTTTAATATTGTTATGGTAAGCCGTTTGGATTTTGGTACACTCATACAATGCTATTTGCTGAGCATTTGGTAAGCTGGGAGGAGTATAATTAGCATCTTGAAAGTAAGCCTCTTTGTATTTTGCTATCAATTGCCTATTTTTTTTTGTTACAGGCTTTAATCTTGTGTTTCGAGTTTTTGAAAGTGTAAGACTTAAAAAAACTTCTACAAAAAAATCTTTTTCAACAAAGTCTTTTAAAGTAAAAGTTTCGCTTGCTGCCAATTCTTGCAAATAGATGTACTTTGTGAAGGCAAAGGTGTGTGTAATCAATGAATTAGTAGTGTTAACCAAATCATACAATGGCTGTAAATACAACGGCTTCCAAATGTTCTTCGCAGTTGTTTTAACTGTAATAACGCGCTTGCTTATTTTTTCAGAATCTCTCGCAGTGGCACTGGTACTTGATTCTGATGCTGTTATGAATACTTCAGGCGTAGGACTTCGCTTACTTGCAACAGGGCGTCGCTTACTTACTGAAGAACTTGACTCGGCAACAGTAAATTCGGATCCATACTTGAAACCACCACGACTTTGTAATGTATGTACTGCAGGCGGGGACTCATTAAAGTCGTCACTGCTATAATCTATCAAATTGTCGCTGACAACATTTCTAATAGTATCAGGAATACCAATGGTACTTGTAATATCAGGTTCATGTTCGGCTGCCTTGCCTTTCCCTTTAAACTTCTTTTGTGAATCAATATATGGGGTATTTTCCCGACCTATAAGAAAGGGTAATTAAACATCACGTAAGTTTTCTATCAAAATAAGACTTGGCAATGTAACATACTTCGTCTCTTCCGTCCCAAAATCGGTGGTTGAAAGTCATCGTCCGAGCTATCATTTTGAGTTTCTTTTTTATAATAGAATCAGTTTTTTGGTTGCATTTCCATCAAATATCATACATATACGTTACCTTTCATAGCTTAAACTGAATAAAAGAATGAAGAGAGAAAAAAAGATTAAAAAAAAAGTATCTATCACAATTTTTACACTTAAAATCCAGATGTTTTAGCTTACCTTTTTTGAAAAAAAAAAAAAAAAAAAAAAAAAAAAATCAGACTGATTGATTACATGTAGAAAACCCCTGCGGATTTATGCTATGAGCGTATTTTATGTTAACAGCAGAAAGGCGTTTAACTTAAATTTTTTTTGGCTTTGTGGCAGGTACTCTAATCTCAATATTCACAACGCCGATTACAGATGTTTTCAATTAAGATCGTTGAATTATAGCCCTGGAGGTTGGTGTTTCAACTACTATTGTGTTTCCTTTAGTCGATCTATCTGTTGGTGGTCTCATAATAATATCAACTACAAATTACAACTACTCAGTAGTCCACATCGGTCTAAGACTATTTTTCGAGCCATTGTTCTCTTGGATTTCTACGTCAATTTCCCCGATATCTCTGGAAGTGAATTTATCACGTATTGATGATTAACGTGCCTGCCATTAATCCAGTGAAGTCAGCATTACTGTCTTTTGGGGCTCTCTATCTCATTAATAAAATCCATTGCTTCAAATCCATCCTCTTGATAAACACCTTCTTGTTCATTTTCTTTAAATAGTGTTAAGCTCGAAGTAGTTTTAAGAATAGCAAAGAAATATAATTTTATTGTTTGCAATTACACTGTACATCATATGTCAAGCTCAATCATTTTTTCGGTGGTCATGACGAGGGCAAAGCATAATTTGACTATCATTGGAGATACTCAAACCTTGCTTAGTGAAGGATAAATCGAAAGTAGAGGTTATAAACCTTTGCTCATGTCGCCCTTTTCATCATTTCTTAATCCTATTGAGGAGTGCTGGTCCAAGATCAAGAAGCACATCAAAACAAATCCGCTTTCAACTTTGGACACTTTAACCCCAAGAATCAAGGCAGCCTGTGAGACTATTACCACGGAAGATTGTAATGGTTGGATACGACACTCTGGAACGTACTGGGATAAATGCCTCAACAAAGAATCAAAACTAGTTTAAACTTTTACTTGCCTGAATTTTTGTTATCATTTTTCTGAAAATAATTTCTCTTTGTCTAAATAATTTTTTACGTTTGTCTGAAAATATTTTTTTTAGTCTGATTTTTTTTTGAGCTTGTCTGAAAATAATTTTCATTTGTCTGAATTTAAAGTGATAATACTGTATATATGAGAAATGGTTGGGCTAGGCCACCAGTTCGAACTCGCGCTGTGGCTAAAACTGCAAAACTGGAGTGATCTTTCACTCGGTTATTAGAGCTATCCATAATTCTGTGATGCTTTATGTCGTTAGTTAAACTCCAATCCAAACCTGAATTAGACACTGTTGCTAAAAAGAGAAAGGGTGAGGGTAGAAAGAAATGGAGTGTATCTGGACTAACGACGATGAGGGACTAGGTATAATGACACACTTATTTTATCACTCTAAAAAACCAATACAATGTTAAAGGTCGATTCTTTGTTACTTGTAAATCGATCGACCTTTGAAGAAAAAACTTTTTATATTCTGAAATAAAAGAATATGCCATTATAAAGATTTCATTCTTTTGTGGCTGATAGTATCCACCAGCCAGACTGTATTGAGTTTTACGCATTCAATATCGGAATCAGCCACTTTCAAACTCCATCAATACACTTATTTTTTATCCGTAAGTTGAACTTTATACATTATGTCCATCCCAAACCATCTTTCTTCACAATTACTACAATTGAAAAACGATGAGGAAGTGCGAGTCATTCTAAAAGATCAAGACGAATGGTATGACACTCTTTGACTCGTTCGCTCTTTTATACTAACAAAAAGGAAAGTTTAGAGATCTACAAAGATACACAGCAAAAATTGGAGGCATTCAACAAATTCAGTAAAGCTCGTTATCAAGAAGTCTATAGGCATTTTGAACTTCATACAAAATTATTAAAAGAAGTCAAAGGAGATTTAGACGGAGTGTTTATTAAGCTGAGGAAAATCAAAAATCAACTGGCCATAAAATATCCAAACGAAATGGAAACAGCAATACAAAAATACCCACCTCCACAAGTTGAAGACGATTGATAGAAAAATAAATTTTAATTACTCTACCACTAGGTTTGTTACAGAAGAATGTTTGACTCTAATCCATTCCTTCAATCCAATAAGCTGGTCGACTTTATTCTTTGTGCCCTCTTCAAATGCGCTTCTAAAATCAGCCATTGATTGGGATGTGATGATTCCAGTAGTTTGGGACTTGAGTGAATGATCCCATTGTATAGAACTTTCTATCAGGTTAATAATTGAATCTATTCTTGCATTTAGTAGGTCTGGCGTTGTCAAATGCTCATTGATATCCTTGATAGTGTTCTGATACATCTTGAGCAAATACGGTGTGGATCGTACTTTATCCCACAAGTAAGAATTGACAGGCTGCCCTTCACTCATTTCCAAAGGTTTGCCTGTAAGAAAACGCATTTGATCTGCTTCAACTCCATTACCGAAAGTGTAATCAAAATCCACTGGTAAAATAAGATATCGATTATAAGCGGAATGATGATGAAGGATATAATTATTTCCCGCTACACAAGAAAATAATAGAATGTATTTGTCAATATTATTTTATAGTTCACATCCTATTCTTTTACCATATTGATGAGCATCCCAATTTCCCGTTAACCATTCAACAGCTAACTGACGGATGTAGCTTGTGATATCTATATGTTCATTCCAGACCTCAACAGCTCGATGATCGTTTGGTACATCATCTGGATCATATTCTCTGATAAATTTCGTAAAGTTGATCAAATCTTCCACAGCAGAAGGCGTTCCTTCGGGAGACTCCCGTTTAATCTCATACGTCTCACTCTCATAGGATGAAGGGTCTTCGCCAAGATAATTTAAATTTGCTGTTGTTGAACCTTCTGCGGCATCTGCTTTGATCACTGCGCCAATACGAGCCTGTTTGTCTCCCCCATAAATTGTTTCACGGATAAATCTTTTTTGCAAAAAAAAAAAAAAAAAAAAAGGTGTTCGTTAGTATTCTATTTTTCGTTCTTTTAGACATTCCTATTACGATGTAGATGCTGGATCATCAACTATAAGAAATAATCCAATGGGTTTATTGTTTATATACAGCCTAATATTTAAATAATGTTAAAAGTCTATACAGAATGTAAACTTGTTTTGTTTGTATACCTAGCATAGCCTCCTCTGGCAGCCACAACACCAGTTGATCTCAAAACATCATTGTATAGTTTCTCGCGAATCATAGTTGGGTCCGTAGATTCGGGTCTTAATTTCAACTGCCAACGTCTGTATAAACCGTCGGGATATGCCTTACTTGAAATTTTGACTTTGTACGGAACCTTTGACCACTGACGACTTGAATGTCCACTCACTTTGAATGTTACATTATGAAACTCCTGAATGGAATTGTAGCTAGATATATAAAAAATTATGTCAGTAAGAGTATAAATCGACAAAAAAAAAAGGGGGGGGGTTTACTTTATGTAGGTCATTGTTGCACGTAAATTGACTTTTTTATCCATTTTTTTTGCATGCATTTCCTCAATTTGTTCAGGAGGCGCATTGATATGAATTGTGGCAACTGTTCCATCCTCATACAAGTTACTGGCTGCAGGATCTTTCATACCACCTACGTGAACGGTCTCATCTTTATCAAAGGCGTATAATTGAGGGAGTTTATGCATGTCGTCAATTTTATGCCAGTGTTGTCCATACACATCATTAAATGTCTTTTCTTCTGTTAAATATTCAGATGGTCTTTGAAATTCTTCTGTATGAATGATGCTTTTATCGATAGCTTTGGCAACAGTATATTGATACGAGTTTTGACTTTTAGGAGCCGATCCGGTATACATCATGGGAACACTGTTACTTTGCTGAAGAGGGAAAAAGTTTCCATCTACCAGAACGCCCATAGCTTTATCTGGGGTCAGCATTTGCACACTAAGTACGTTGTAAGTAATTAAATCGTCGCCCAAAACTACATTGGTACAATATGTCAAAAGACACATCAAGTACAATAGCTTTAAGACCATTGTTATATGACCTGAACGCTGCAGAGATAATAATAATTATAAAAAGGATGAAAAAGATCATTTTAAAATTTTTATTAAATAGTAAAGTTATTAGATGTTGATATGCCGAAAAATGTATAAAGAGTACAATCTATGTGTATAGGAGAAATTGGTATTTAAACCACAAAGCTACATTAAAGAAATTTTTTATGAAGAATGTTTTAATCATCGTTACTGCTGCCCTTTTTGACATAGGTTTGGCAAGAAACTTGAGTAAGCTCATGTGTCTTGACATTGATGGCTGTAAGTGAGCCACCGTATACACAGCCGGTATCCAGACCAAACGTGGTTTGCTTTATGTTTAAGCCTCTGCTAGAATCGTGGCCGTAATAAATCATGGTATTGTCCATGTTTAACAATTTTTGATTGGCGTTCCAAACAGTAGCCCATTGCTCGCCAACTCCGCTATCAATACTGGTAACGTTGTTTTTGTCAATATCACGCATATTCATCACCATATATGGAATTTGGTTCTCTAAGGAGTGAATGTTGGGATCTAACCCACCATGAACAACAATAGTGTTATTCAAAAAGGGCATGTGAAGCATGACAGGACAACTTGCAAGGTAATCATAATCTGATTGAGTGAAATTACTACAATGTAAAATATTCAGTTACCAGATATTTTTAAACTGCTGCAATAACAACTTACAAGGAAACACCAGTATGATAATTTTTAAATTTCATTGGATCTGGTACACCACCTTCGGGCATAGTGGCATCTACTGGGTACATGGCGTTTCTTCCCTTTTCAATCTCAAATGTTTTTAAACGGACAACCTTATCATCGTGATTACCACGAACACATAAAACACCAAGCTCTTTTGCCCGTCTAATAACGCCAACACTATCGGGACCCTTGGAGGTTAGATCACCAGCCAGGATAATTTGATCTTTGGTAGGATCATAATTGAGCTTTGCGATGATATCGTTGAATTCTTTGACGCAGCCATGAACATCACCAATAACAAAGATTCTTTCTTTTTGCTGCAGCGATGTATCATTGTTTGTGACGATGGCTTGCATATTAGAGTAAGGCGAAATCACAAGCTGGTTGTTTCCGGTGCTGCTGGTCTGATTATTTTTTTTATGATTGGTGACAACAACAGCCACAACAACAACAACGACAATAACTACAACAGCGGCTACTGCCATGGCGATATAACGCCACATCCTTTGTTGCTTAGGTGTTCTATCGTTCCTGGGTATTGCCTCGACGTACTCAAAACTGCTTACATCATCTCTACTGAAATGAGCCATTATTGAAAATAATTAAGATTTTTAAAGTAAGAAGAAAAAAAAAGAAGCTCAAGAAAGGGGACGACCTGTTATTAAATACCTAAAAAGGACTGCCCTTTCAGCACTTCCCGAGGCATATAACCAATAGCGTACCTTTGTACAATAATTGTTATCCTGGGTACCCAATACACTCCCGTAGTCTATAAAACCTTATTGTTATCCTTACCGAGCTTTAAGAGGGTACACGCATATTAATGTGTCCTGGTTACTATTTTGGGCTCCTGTGATAGCAAAAAAAAACAGTAACATTACATTGCATCTTAAAGTACAGCTTTCATCGAAATTATTAACAAGGTATTTCCTTTGTAATTAATCACCCAAAAATAAGTACAAATCCCGGTCGCCCTTAAATTTTATATGGCTTTTTTTGTTCTGTTTTTATGTTTGCAATTTGAAAATCATAAATGTTTTAGACAAAAAAAACAAAAAAGCTGTGTTTCCGGATAATTAATATTCCGACCCAATTAGAGTTTTTGACGTGAGTATTGTTTTTTTCCAGGAAAATAAATAAATAAAGGGGAGGCAAAGTAACTATGATTTTGTTTGTTGATATCCGATCCGAGATTTAGAATGTAGTAATCTATGACGTAAAATTACAGATAAAACAAAAGCCGAAGTTGAACACCGAAGATAATATGCGATAAAGCTTTTATATATATATATGTTTGCATACATGTCATTAAGTGTCAATTGACAGAATGGCGATATGGTAATGCTGCTAAAAAGCGGCAATTATATGAATCCACGTATGCATTATGGTGCATAGGGGCTAAAATGAGAATAGACTGTCATGACAACGATTGTTATGAAAAATATGTATTATTTATTAATACACAAGATTATACTATTATCAAACTATAGTGTTATGGTATAATTTGGGGCTTTAAAATAAAAACTATATCGCACTGGTCTAATCTGCTTCGTTCTTGTTACTAATGTGCCGGTGTTTCCTACTATGATAAAATGATGATGTTTACATTTATACGTATATATATATATTTGTATGCTGAAAGAAAAGAAAAGCAAGGGGATGTACAATTGATGATTGTCTATGATATAGCATTACTGTTATTATTCTGAGCTACTAACGGGCTATTTTGAAATGCGGGAGATCCCACAAGTGTTGTAGACAGTAATGCTTCATTACTTCTAGTTAATCTAGTATGTGCTGGAGAAGCATGGTTGTCATTTGCTTCTATCGCTTGCGGTTGGGAAGTATTCTCGTCATTATTAGCACAAGCTGCGGGAGAACCTGAGCGATTTTTTAAATCTCTTATCTGCTCTTCATCATTATCACTTTGCTCAGAATGATTACTGCTCGGATGTAAAGAACTCTCTGCCGTTACATCCAACCGATTGGTATCATCATGCTCTCTTTCTTCATCCTCATTGACTTCTGGTACAGTATCGATAGGTGATAATACTTGTCCGGTGGATTGTTCCTGTTTTTGTTGTTCTTTCGCAATACTGATGGCTTCTAATACTTCATCGACTTCAACTGCTACACTAGCTTCCAAATCAAAATAGTTTCGACAGAGCGGACATGAAAAGCCTGGGTAATTCTGGAATACAATGGGGCGAAGGCATTTAAAATGGAAAATATGGGAACAAGGAGCGATAAATAAAGCTTGAAAAGGAGCAATGGCATAAAGACAGATACAGCATTCTTGAATATCCGCTCGATCCATCTCTGTAATGTGATGACGACTCATTAAATCCGATAACGGCACTTGCTTTGGAGAGTCAGGAGCAGCGATATCAGCTGAATGCTCGTGAACTTTTGTTGGTTCTCTATGAAGACCAAGATCTGTTGTTGGTACTGTTGGTGCAGTTGGTGAGGCAGTTGCGTCTGATGAAGGAGTGATGTTGTTGATAGGTGATCCAATTAAATGGTTACGTAATTGTTGAAATGCGGTTCTTGCGAATGGACTGTTGGGGTTTTGAATCTGACGATTAATTTCGACACGTATTCTAACTGCTCTATAGATTGATTCCACTCCACCCTGGTAGTCAACACCTAATTGGATCGTATCGCCGTCTTTTAATTCATACGGTTCACTAACATGATTTGGCGGGCTAAGTCTACAGCGATTTAAAAATGTACCGCTGGATGACCCAATATCACGAATAAAAATCTTGTATAAACATTAGGATCAAATGTTCAGTTGTTTATTGATTTATTTAATTTACCTTTCTCTGCTCGGTCCAAATTTCAGCATGATTACGACTTACGACTTTACTTTTAAATGACAATCTTTCGGATACAATGCTTCTATCTGAAAAACGACCAATGCGATAAACAAGTCCTGGTTGAAGTTCTCTATCAATTATATCAAATACAAAACTTCGATTTGACAGACCAACGTTGGGAACTAGTCTAATTCGAGGATGGGTGATGACGGCTTCATGATCACCATCACCACCATTTGGACGAGTGACGGATGCCTCGGTTGTGTTCACATCAAGTGGGGGTACAGTGGTTGTATCACCCGATGGTGCTATAATAGGCGAAGTAGGTGATGAATTGGATAGGCGCCGATGAGCACGTCGAAGACTAGCAAAACCTCGAGATATTAAAGGAGGTGCAGGATTACTTGAGGCAGATAAGCTTCTATTGCGAGGCATATTAACGGTATTTGTATTTGTTATATTAGATGATATGTTGGTTGTTACTACAGGATACATAAACATTAAAGCATCCAACAACTATCTTTTTAATTTTGGAAGAAAAAATAAATGAAAAAAAAATCAGAATGAACCGAAAACAGAATTTATAGTGACAAAACGAGCAGTCACTGTTTCACACGCCAATTATTGGCGAAATCCTTTGATTTAAGGACGCTAAACAATTAGTCCCGGACAGTCCATCTTGGGGAGATTACACGTTTTTCTTTTCGATTAGAAATAAAAGTTAATCTTTAAGTTCCATACACTCTGGGATACTTTGTCGTCCGTATCTCTAATTCTATCGGCAAAAGATTATAGGTCGCCTTGACAACGAGCCCTGACAAGAATGAATTTTTCAAAGTACGGTTATACAACTGACTTTACTTTCTGGTAAGAGTGTTCCCGACTTTCCTTATCTGGACCACACAAAACCTTTGTTATTGGAGACTGGAAAATCTCTTAAACTATTTACCCCCTTCTTTTCGCCTGTTGCCTAAAAATGCATGATAAAAACATGTTTGTATGTTTACATTTTCGATGGCAAAACTATTCCCGCTCCCTTTTCGACGGAATCACATCACCCCCATCCTCCTTTAAAAGCCTTCCTAAACGTTGTTTGCGTCTATTTACATCGGTTTCCCGTAACCGTTTATTTATCGGCATGGGATATATATGGTCTTCAATTTTAAAGGGGGTGGGGGAGAATTCCTTGAAATATGAGCTATCATGATCAATATAAATTGTTTTAAAAATAGAATTTTGACGTATTTTGGCGGAGTGAACACTTTGGCTGTTATTCTTTAACCGTGATATGTACAGCACAGATAGGTAATTGATAAATTAACAAAGTTTATTCACCACTGTTTTATGTTACTTTTTGTGCTTTTGCTTATATATTAATTAAATGAACGTAAGTGGGGCCGTACAATATGAACAAGTACTACACTTGTCAAATCTAAACTTGGGCAATTTATTGGATTTAATCGAAATGATGACATTTTGTAATTCAAATAAACTAATCCAAACATGGAAATATCTAACGAGTTGTAATGTTTACACCGAGTAATGATTTTTTATCCTAAAGAGTGTTATGATCCGCAATCCCATAAGCGGCTAGGGTTCTAATGCTACAGAAAGTAGAATTTCACTTTGATCCCTTTTAATTTCAAAGCAACTTGAATGCGCTAATAGTGAGGTCAGCAAGATGTAATTAGGAAATGTTAGAATATACCATATAGGGGAAGACGAGTTAGATTGTATAGCCACAACTTGAAACCAAACAAAAACATTATAATTGAATAGTTATTTTGCGCATCTAACTTTAAGACAAATATTTATGCAGTTGCAATGGCGTTAAGTGGCAAGTAAATACATAACTAGTGATCAATCAAAACTATTTTTCTCATTGAATTTAGGATAGAGAACAATGTATTACTATGGAATGTAGACGACGACTCAAACAAATGTCAACGAGATGTGTGAGATAGTTTCTTCATAATATCATAAAAAGAGAACTGGCTCACGCCAATTCATGGTGTAGAGACGACTCCGCCAGTAATGCAAAATTGGCCCGGCTCAGCCACCCAATTTTCACTGCTTTTATTCTTAATTTTTTTACTTTAGATCTCGATTTAATTCCATTGTTCCTTTTAACTGTTAAACTTAAATAGAAATGGTTGCAAAAAAGCCATTGGCAAAGAAGCCAGCATTTAGCCAGAAAAATGCATCAAAGTTCACTACTAAAAATAAAGAGGAAGAAGCACCCAAAAAGGAGCTTTCCAAATCCAAGTTGAAGAAGCAAGAATTTCAACGTAAAAAGTACAACAAGGATAAGAAGAAGCCTTCCAAAAACGAAGACGAAGAAGATTCCGATTTTGAAATTGTACCTACTGTTGGTAAAACCAGTGGCGACTTTAGCGACGATTCTGACGACGATTCCGATCTCGAATTAGACATGTTTGGCAAATTTAAGGCAAAGAAGCCTGCTGCCATCGCTGTTGCTGCAACTGCTGCCTCGGTTAAAAAACAAAAGCCTATTACAATGAACGATAGTGATGACGAGGGAGATGAAAAGTTTATTGCTTCTGAAACTCTTGCTGCTAACCGTAAAAATAAGAAATCTGGTGGTTTCCAATCTATGGGTAAAGCATCTAAATGTCAAAAAATATAAAACAAGGCACTCACATATGTTTTTATTATCATAGGTTTAAGTAACAACGTGTTTAAGGCTATTATTCATAAGGGTTTTAAAGTACCTACACCAGTTCAACGTAAGTGTATCCCTCTTATTTTGCAAGGTGATGATGTTGTCGGTATGGCTCGTACTGGTTCCGGTAAAACCGCTGCCTTTCTGATTCCTATGTTGGAAAAACTCAAGGCACATTCTGCTAAAACTGGTGCCCGTGGATTGATTTTATCACCTTCTCGTGAATTAGCCCTTCAAACACAAAAGGTTTGTAAGGAGTTGATGAAGTATACAGATCTTCGCAGTGGTTGTATTGTTGGTGGTGATAGTTTGGATGAACAGTTTGAGATGATTGCATCTAATCCTGATATTTTGATTGCTACTCCCGGTCGTTTGTTACATGTTTCCGTCGAAATGAATCTTGATCTTCGTACTATCGAATATGTAGTTTTTGATGAAGCTGATCGTTTGTTTGAAATGGGTTTTGCTGTTCAATTGCATGAAATTCTTTCTCGTCTTCCTCCTAGTCGTCAAACCTTGTTGTTCTCTGCTACTTTGCCTAAGATGCTTGTTGATTTTGCTAAGGCTGGTTTGCAAGAGCCCACCTTGATCCGTTTAGATGTGGATACCAAGATTTCTCGTGATCTCGAAATGGCGTTTTTCGCCGTCAAGGATAATGAAAAGGAAGGTGCTCTTTTGTACTTACTCAAGAATGTTATTAAGTTACCAAAGAAAACACAGAATGAGGATCAAACCGATGTTAGAAAGTACAAGAAGAAGAAGGAGAAGAAGGAACAATCCGGTACTGAAGCTGATAAACAAACTATCTTGTTTGCTGCTACCAAGCATCACGTCGAATATTTAGCTACACTTTTGGACATTGCTGGATACCAAGTTTCTTATGTTTATGGTTCTCTTGATCAAACCGCTCGTAATATTCAAATTAACAGATTCAGAAATGGTGTTACTAATATTATGGTTGTTACTGATGTTGCCGCTCGTGGTATTGATATTCCTATCTTGGAAAATGTTATCAACTACGATTTCTGTGGTTCTTCCAAGGTATTCGTTCATCGTGTTGGTCGTGCTGCTCGTGCCGGTCGTCGTGGTTGGGCTTATTCTTTCGTCACGTCTGAAGAATTACCTTACTTGGTCGATCTTCAACTTTTCTTGACCCGTCCTCTTGTTCTTGCCGGAGAGAAGGAAGAATACGATTATACTTCTGATTTAGTCATCGGTTCCATGCCTAAGGAAGCCTTGATTGATGATCAAGCTTGGGCAGCTGATAAAATTTCCAAGGATGCTAGTTTGGATGGTATCTACAGAACAGCCTTAAATGCTTACAAGTTGTATAACCGCACCAAGCCCCGTGCTGCTGCCGAAAGTTACGGCCGTGCCAAGGAAGTGATGAAAAAGAAGGCCTACAATAACCTTCATCCTCTTTTGATCAACGAGGAAAACCAAAGTGCTTCCGAACTTCAACGTGCTAGTTTGATTGAAGCTATCTCTGGATTTAGACCTGCCGAAACCATTTTTGAATTTGGTATTCGTGGTAGTCGTAAGCTCACTCCTGCTACTGTTATGATGCGTGGTCGTCGTGGTGTTGTCGATAAGATTATTACTGCTCATAAAACTAAGACTCAGGCCGAATCAGCTGTTTTAGATAAACCTTTGGATGTTCGTGATGAAAAGAAACTCGTCGAGAGTTTAGGTGGTGATGTCGAAGAGGAAGAATTAGCTCAAGCATTCAATATACCAGCCTCTAAGGAAGACAAAAAGAAGAGTTATCGTGACGAAGAGTTTTACATTTCTTATACTCAAAAGGATGCTAACACCGAACGTGGTTACTCTATGAACAATGAAGGTAGTTTCATGGAGCAAGCTAGTAAGGCTCAATTGGATCTTACTGGTGATGATAACGATGCTATCAAGAAGAGTCAAAACATGCTTCGTTGGGATTCCAAAAAGAGAAAGTTCATCAAGGGTAGTGGTATCGGTTCCGATAACAAGAAGTTGATTCGTACCGAAAGTGGTGCCTTGATCTCAGCTTCTTACAAGAGTGGTCGATATGATGAATGGGCCAAGAAGAAGCATATTACCCTTCCCCGTGCTGGTGAACGTGAATTGGATAATGCTGCTAACATGGCCCAAAAGCGTTTCCGTCATAACAAAGAAGAAGAGGCTAAGCGTGTGGATCCTCTTGCTTATGACTATGATAAGAAGATGAAGAAGAGAAAGATGAACGAGACAGAATCTATTGTGGACAAGGATGGTATGGGTAAGAAGCGTTTCGGTGACCGTGCCAACACCAAGAGTGAATTAAAGGATGCCAGTCAAATCCGTAAAGATCGTGTTGCTCTCGAAAAGAGAAAGGAGAAATCAAACCGTCCCTCATCTGGTCGTGGTGGCAGCTCTCGTGGCGGTAGCTCTCGTGGCCGTGGCGGAAGCTCTCGCGGTGGCGGTAGCTCTCGTGGTGGAAGCTCTCGTGGTGGAAGCTCTCGTGGTGGAAGCTCTCGTGGAGGAGGATCCAGTCGTGGTGGAAGAGGTGGCGGAAGAGGTCGTGGTCGATAAATCATTCCTTTGCGCACCCTTTCTGCTCGAAGTATAACAACCCCTGTAATATAAATTCACAATATACAATATAAACTAGAAAAACAATCAATAAACATCACAATAATACAACATGTGGTTATCACAAGGTACAATCAGTCGATGCTGCGCATTTTAGACTTGTGGCCGACTCTGTGCGCTTAAAATTTTGACTCATATGGAACTCCGGTTCCGGTGATTACTTCCCGTGAATTTAATTTGCATAAATAGCAAGGCCTCTTGTTTTCTTGAGAAGCATTATATTTTTTTAAACATGTCCCAAATTAAAGTAGATGTTCTTGTAAGCGGTGCAGGACCAGTAGGTCTATTCTTCGCTTACCAAATGGCTAAGCGCGGTCATTCCGTATTCTGTGTCGATCCCAAACTAGGCCCGACTGATCAAAGCAGAGCTTTACTCATTTCTGCTCGTACACTAGAAATCTTGGAAGCCAGAGGTCTCGTTGCCGAGATCCTATCGAAAGCTTATGTTACTAGTGGCATGAGAATGCATAGAAACGGTGTTTATGTAAAGTGAATTTATAACAAAGATAAAATTAAATTTGACAAGTTGCTACTGTTATATAGAAAGCGCAAATTGAAGCTGACGCCGATACACCCTTTTCGCACATAACTGTTCTAATGCAAGGTATTACCGAACGGATACTTGTCGACAGACTGAATGAAGATACGGGTTGTAGAGTAAATTGGAATACCGAACTTGTGTCTTATACCCAAAACAAAGACTCGGTTACCTCAATCGTTCGTAATGTTCAGACCAAAGAAGAACAACAAATCGAATCAACTTATATTATTGGAGCTGATGGTAGTCATTCTAGAGTTAGAAAAAGTAACCCAGATTGGACGTATGAGGGTGTGTCAGTCCAAACCAAATGCTTTGTGGCAGATTTAACCTTGAAGGGTGATAATATTGAGAAAATGACGGATAAATCAAACGTATTCATGAAAGGATCACGTAAATACTATTAGATGTTAATTAGGTTATATTATCTAACTCCTTTTTACAGATGCCTTGGGTGTCATACGTCTTCTGCCGCTCAAAGAGACTGACGATGACAGTCATCACTTTCGAATCTTTGGCAATTTAGAAGCTTATCAATGTAGTGAGCAAAATCAGAACGATCCTACACATGGATTAATTGATAAGAATCAAGAAGAGCCACCTACACTTGAATTTCTTCAGTCCTGGGTTGATGAAATTACCTGCCCACTCAAACTTGAAGCCAGTGATATTGTATGGTCATCCTATTTCAAGATCAATGAGAGAATAGCCAACGGATTTAGAAAAAATAGGGCGTTTCTTATAGGAGGTTTGTCATGTTCATTATAGCTATAACATGTGTCTAATGGAGTCTATAGATGCTGCTCATTGCCATTCGCCTGTAGGGGGTCAAGGAATGAATTTGGGTCTTCAAGATGGTAAATATAAACATGATTTAACGTCCTCATTTAATTGATGTTTTTTTAGCTGATAACCTTGCATGGAAGATGTCAGATGTATTGAGAAATTATGCATCTGATCCCGAAAAATTGCTTGATTCATACAGTAACGAGGTATTTATAACAGGCTTGATGATATCAAAGGCCATTTCTTAATTATTTTTTTATACAGAGAGAATTACAAGCTAAGAGAACTATCGAAACAACTAGCAATACAACAAAAACGGGCTTCTCTAACAGTGCACTGGTTGGAAGTGTTCGCTCACTGTTTTTAACTGCTGCGCTCATATTGCCCCAATTGAGACATTTTGCTTTTAATAATATGATGCAGGTAAAAAAAATAAAAATAAAAAAGACATATAATATGTAACTCATCAAGTTATCATACTTGTTAGATGTATGTTACAGTTAATCCTAACTCTGATATCCTGGGCACATCTGATAAAGGTCTTATTGAAGTAGGTCATTTTTTACCTGACACCGGTACCTTAAGAAAAAGTATCCTTCCTCAATCCAAAAGACCGCATAACGCCATTCAACGTAACAGTCTTCGTGAACTTTTGTTCCATAATGAAAGTTACACTGCTATCTTGGTTGCAACCTGTTTTCAAAGACAATTACCAAACAGCGATTTGATTGAAAAGTTTTGGACACGCACAAGAGCTTACCCAATCAAGCGCCTTGTTATCCAATCAGCCTGGCATTGTCATATTATGGGTAAATATCCTAAATATGTGTCAAAGGATGAGGAAGATACTGCAGAAGAATCATTTTATAGCGAAGAAAGAATGGACCCATCATTCTCTGTCACAAGTCGTGTTGGATTATATCCATTTTTAAATGCATACTTTGCAAGTGAAAACCCACCAAGCGTTTTACTTATTATTCGTCCTGACCTTTACGTTGCACATTCAAAGTTTATCAACAATGAAACTGAATTGAACGGCGCCCTAGAATTCCTTGGTTCAGCTTTTGCTTAAAGACCTTATTAAATAAATCGAGCACATAGTTATTTTTAAAACACATTGAATTATGGCTAGCTGTTGCATATTACTCAGGTTTCCACAATATATAGATCAACTTACATTTAAAATCTAAAAACAAAATAATCGCTGAGTAGCTGGGAAATTCGTTAAGATGCGCCTTATTGTCTGAACGTTTGTCTTATATCGTGAAAAAATGATATCTTATCAAACTTATTGATTAAGTATATAGTCAATATTTAACAAGAGGAATTAATCAGTGGATATGTTAGAAATTACCAAAACGGAAGAATTAGCTATTAAAAGTTCTAGAAATGTAAATGTATTCTCATTCATACCAGCGTGAGGTCTCCAAGGAGGTTGTTGCATTCACAACCACATTTCTGAACAGCTTCGGTAGGCAATTCATTGCTAAAAATCAAACTGTTCTTAAGAGATGTCCTGGTGCAGACGGGTGCCTGTTGATATATTACATGCGACAATAAATCATCAATAATTACAAGCTTTCTTGTTATACTAGAAATGTATTAAATGGGTCATTTTCACGAAGATAAAACCTAGCCATATGTCCAGCAATGTTACACAATCGACATATGGTGGCTTTTTACGATATCAATACATGTTCCCCAGAGTGCATGTGCTTGTTTCATGCGAGATTAGAAGACTCAATCTCCGTTGCTAAGCCACTTGATTATCTCAATTGTTTTGCCCTGTTTTTTCTAGTTCTTCCCTCTGCCTTATCGTTACGCCACAATGTCATTAACAAGCGTTGGAGAAGACTATCCTTTAAGCAAAGAATATTTGGAAATGTCTGAAAGAAGCTCCTCTCCTAAAAAAACAAAATTTTACGGTCTGATTATTCTTGACTTGAATGGCACACTGTGCTCACGTACAACAGTTAAATCCTTTTATACACGTCCACATGTAGACACTTTTTTTGACTACATCTTTAATAATTTTACGGTTATGGTTTGGAGTTCCGCACAAGAAAGTTCCGTTAAGAATATGTGTAAAATGTTTGAACCACACAAGCCAGCCATTGTTTGGCATCGAGGTCACCTTGGACTTTCTGCAGAAGATTTCTATAAGGATGTTGAAGCATTAAAGGATTTGAACAAAGTATGGGAGGCCTACCCTCAATTCAGTGCGAAAAACACAGTTGTACTAGACGACACACGAGAGAAATTAGCTGCACAACCTTATAATTTGGTTCTAATGAGAACGTTTGACCATAACACTCTTGGACCGGAAGGAGAGCGTGATCTACTTAAAGTCATACATTACTTGATGTTAGCCCAGGTCCACAGGAATTTCTGTAATTATATTCGATACTTACCCTTTGAACACACTTTGGATTGGTGTACAGTTCCAAACTTGATCGTCGATACACATCTCAATCACTTTGTAAACGGTAGAAATATCAATCCTGCTCCAGAAGACGTGATGAAGTTATTACGTGTTTTACCGAATCCATCTGATGTGTCTCGGGAGATAATGGAAAAAGAAGCGAAGGCCTTAGCCAGAATAAAAAGAAGGAAGATCAAGAAATTAGCCATGCAAACTCAACTTAAATCCAACGACAGCACAGCGACAAGAATTATCGAGCCAAGCAACACTGTACAGCCAATTAACACTGCACAGCCAATTAACACTGCACAGCCAATTAACACTGCACAGCCAATCAACATTGCACAGCCAATTGATACCACACAACTACTTGATCCAATGCCTATTATTCAGTCTATGAACAGTGTTCAAATAACTGATGATACACAGCAGGCAGATATAGAAGAAATAGAACCTTCGAATATAGTCAGTAACACTGTTGATTTGCTGCGTGGCGTGTTTCAAATGGCTACAGATACTATGAAAACTTGGAGAGCAAATGGAAATGAAGAGCCTGTCCAGAGCACCAGTTCACTTTCAGATGTCAGTATGATGGAAATCGATGAAGAAGCTACCAACGAAACCAGCGAAAGTGTTTCAACAACTGACAATACCGAGGCTATCCCAGAATTAATAATCCCAGAGGTGGAATCAAATTACATCAACGAATCAGACATGGAGGGTGTGGAGGATGTGGGTCTGATGGAAGAGATTTTACCTAACCCTTTCGAAGCTATATACATGCAAGCATTTCCGTCTGATACAATCAGGTCTAAGCACACTCCCATGAGAAAAGCAAAAAAAACTGATCCACCTGAGAAAAAAAAGCAATCCAAGGCCGCCAAAAAGTCCTCAAATGAAGATGCAAAACCACATGGTGATCCAATAGAATTATTGAAAACAAGACCTGTCAAATCAATTCTTAAATCATCAAAAAACTTCGTCCCCTACGTCAATAAGGAAACTCTTATCAATAATGAAACAGGATCTGGGACGCCGCCAGAGACACTTTCTAGTTTGGCTGAAGTACTGAGGTTAAGAAAAGTAAAAAGAAGGTTACGTCAAGCAAACGATGGGACTATTTAATAACAAAAATAAAAAATGAATTTTAACCCAATGAAGGTAAACGCAATTCTTCAAGTGGGATTGGAATAAAATTATTTATGTCAATATCAACAGATTGCAACTTTTCCATACAATGATTGGGCACTAGTTTATGTATCAGATCAGGTCTGATGGACAGCTCTGTTTCAAAAAATTAAAATGAGTTACATATTCAATTAAGTTTTTGTATTATTTACCTTCTCGAGTGAAATTAAATAATTCGGGCAAATCCCTACCAGTTGCCATCTTGGTTTCTGGGTTACGAAGTTCATCAAAAAATGGATGCACTAAAGCTTCACTTGCAGTCGGTCTTGCTTTGGGATCATATTGTAATATATGGGATAATAAATCAATAGCCTCTGGCGGTGTTCTTGATTTGAATACTTTAGATAGAGGGTGAGGTTTGATAGAGGGGAATTTATGGTCTGTGTAATTGGGATTCATAGTCAAGATCTGGTCTTTTGATGGTGTTCCAAGTACTTTGATGATCTCGACCAGCTGATCGATACCACTTTCACCTGGGAATAGTGGCTGTCCCAATAATAATTCTCCCATAACGCATCCAGCGGACCATATATCTATGCTTGAGGTATACAAGCTAGCACCAAAAATCAATTCAGGCGCTCTGTAATAGCGAGAACAGATGTAAGCAACATTCATACATCCTTCTACTAAAATCTTTGCACTTCCGAAATCACAAAGCTTTAAAACCCCAGATATAGGATGGACAAGTAAATTTTGTGGCTTGATATCGCGATGGCAGATACCTAAAGCATGCGAATAAGCTAGTGAACGAAACAGTTGGTACATGTAAAGTTTAACAATCAACATTGGCACTGCCTGCTTGATCTTGGTGTAATGTCTAGATACACGGTATACTGTTTCAGGTACATATTCCATAACCAAATTAAGATAAACATCATCTTTCTTGAATCGTTTTGGGAGCATAATAGTAAACAAAGTCAGCGAAGAATTGGGGGGAAAAAAAGAGAAAAAAAAAAAAAGAGGTACTTTTGATAAGTTTTGCTGATTGTTTATTACTATTTGTGTAAACTCACCTTCCCTCCATCACCTTGAGAGTAAAAATATGCCTTCAAACCACAAACATTGGGATGGCTCATCACTCTCATAATTTCCAACTCTCGATTCTATTTATAAAGTTAACCTGCAATATCAGAAACAAGACAAGTTTGATATAGTACCTTAAATCTTTTATCTTGTAACACTTTCTTGATTGCAGCATCTTCACCGTCATGTGAGAGTTTCACTTGGTAAACAACACCGAAAGAGCCATTACCAATCACTTTTTGATGAGAATATTGTAATTGAATGTCTTGCCCGCTCTCGCCATCTTTTGCAGGTACGCGTACTGTTCGAAGAGAATCGAATGCATCGCCTACTAGAATATAATATTATTAAAGACACTGAGTTGAATAGCTGGTGTAGTATTATATCATACCTGAAAACTTGAACTGATTTAAATTAGAAGTAGACATTTTAATATTGAAGAAAGCCCTTTTTGGCTGCTGAGCAAAAACAAACTTATTAAAACATATTCCACTCCCGGCGCTCAACTAATCTTGATCTGATTACATAAGCCCTTTTTTTCCAGATCAATACTTGATGTTTTCCAGCGGGTATCAGAGAAACATTTCTCACAGACTTTTGCAGAAAGCCTAAACTATGTTAAAATCTTTTAAAAATACAATTTAAAAACGGAAATGTCTAGTTGTTTACTACGTTTAAGTATCACAGAATACATACAACTAATGGCAATAGATATGTAGTAAATATTCTATGGAATATGCATTTACATAACATGCACGGTGTCTTTCAGTTTGAAATCACTGCAGTAAAAAAAAAATTATTAGTCTGGTTGCTTTTGCTACTAATGTGCAGAAATAGATGTAAATCTACAAAAATATAATGGTTACAATAGCCAAATGCAATTACGATATATAATACATTTTAGGTGGCCTATTAAAGCTATATTATATGTTGCCTATTTAGATATGTCGTATTTCTTCTTTGCAGTAAATCTCGATCACCAAATTGATTATCTTTAAGCGAGCATTGTTCCCGTATTCTTTAATTGAAGACGTTCGAACAAGGCTACTTTTACGACGTTTTTTAACTAACCTGGTTTATTAATTACTATCTGTTGTTATAACTAAATTTCTTTTTAAATTAAACAAACTATATGTATTCCTCTTGAAGAACTTGGTACTATTATTATTATTTCAGGTGCTCTGAAATTATGCTGTATTAGTATAATTCGTTTAATTTTATACGTTTGATTCAGCATAAATGCGCCGGTGAAAAACTAATACATAAACGATGATGGTTACCAATTTATCCGATTCTTATTGACGAAAGAGATTGTTTTAAGAATTAAAATGCTTTTTATTATTGCAGGTAGCCGTGATTTTTTTACACGCTCTAATTTTCGCTTCGTCATTTTAGTTTAGAACGGTATATTGTAATGTTTAAATAATATAATTATCACAGCACGATAGTTCGCTCTTTTTTCTCTGGGGACATCCTTTTAGCTACCATGATAACGATACGTTATTATTGCTAGGTTTAACCAGCGCTTCTTTGGGTTCAAAATGGCTGTATTATAACGCTTCATAAGGGACACTATCCGTAGTATCCGTAGTAGAGGGTGTAGAGGGTGAAACAATTTCTATCGGACAAGAGAACACAAAAGCCTTCAACTACAAGTTCTTTGTGTAGTGGTTTTCTTAAGCATTACGTGTGCTATGTACTTTTTGATGATGGCTTACTTTGTGATTTTTTAACTGGGACAATTGGGGCATGATAATTTTATTATTTCTGTTAAAACTTTCATATTTGCTTATTGATTTAAAAAAAATTGTCATATTAACGCTTAACTAACAAATATCTGGCTTAAACTACATAGTAGTCCTTTCTAGTTCACGAACTAGTTTTAGCCTTAAAAAAAGTTTAATTTACAGCATAATGCATCATGTTACAGAGTATTATTAGATAAACACGCATTACGTTTAATAAGTATTAATATATGTGAATATTCGAGAATGATCTGGTTGCAATTATATTTGTAATGCTGTAACAAAATTTCATTATCGATTGAAAATCAAGATGGTGTATTGCCTTGCCAAAACAGCTAATTCAAAAAGAAAAAAAAAATCAATTACTTGATTGGGTAAGGCCTTTTGTTGTATTTTTTTGCCCGCCTTTTCTCACCTGTTACACGACAAAATGACTAACCTTATTTAAAACCCCACATCTCTCCATAGCATAAGAATCAGGACCCTTTCTCTAACCCATTTATCCGAGGAAGAATGGACAGGGGGAAGGGTCCTAACTGACTTAAATTCAGATATCCGATGTTATCTGAATTAAAGTTTTTGTTGTAACCAGATTTTATCAGACAATAAATACATATAAGGCAGGAAGTGTTCAAAGCACAAAAACTAGCTTTTTATTTTTTTCAGCGATGTGGTATTAGTTTATTGTTTTTTTAAATATTATTGACATATATGTACAAAAGGGAAAGACGAATTAAATTAAAGAAGCATGCCGGCAATAGCAGCTGAAATCCAAGTACTAAAAGCACCACAGATCATGGCAGATACAGCTAATCGAGCAATGTCTCCACTTCTCTTTGGAGCCAATGTACTCAATACACCAATTTGCATACCAACACTACCCAAATTAGCAAACCCACAAAGGGCATAGGTAGTAATCATGTAGGAGCGATGTGTAATGACCTTACTAAAGGTGTCGGACAATTGTTGATATGCAAGAAATTCATTAGCCCAGATTTTGGTAGCTAGCAATCTACCGACAATCACAAGATCTGAGTTATCAATACCCATTAACCAAGCAACCTATTAATAAAAATAAATGTCAGCAAAAAAAAAAAAAATCGCCTGTTTAAATAGAAAACTTACGGGTACAAACAAATATCCAGTAATAAACTGAAGTGTTAACTCCTCGATATAAACAAAGTTGCCCAACCACGTCAAAAACGCATTGACAGCGTACAAAAGAGCAAGCAACGAAATCAAATTGGCAATCATTGAAAGAGCAATGCTGATACCCGTAGCAGCACCGAAACCGGCGGCGTGTAATGCATTAGCGGGCTTTTCATCACTAGGAGGGACACGAATCTCATGAGCAGTAACAGGAACATCTTCCTCAGGGACTCTCATTTTAGAAACCGCGATTGCGCAAGGAATCGACATGATACAGGATGTTAAGAGCGCTTGGCCATCCACACCCATCGCAATATAACCATAAAGCACTGATCCAGAAATAGTTGCAAATCCGGAACACAAGACTTGATGCATTTCGGAGTTAGTCAAATAGGGTAAGAAGGGTTTAATCAACAGGGCGTTTTCTCCTTGACCCAAGAAAGGTGAAGCTACTGCTACCACGGATTCAGCACCAGATACTTGTAAGAGCGCGACAAAGAACACTGCACATTTTTGGAGAAGCCACTGAAGTGCTCCATAGTAATACAAGATTTGCACTGTGGCAGCAAAGAACACAAGTGTAGGGAACACAGTAACAGCAAAGATTCCGGAATCGGCAACAACATCACCGAAGACAAATGCTGTACCATAATGTGCCTTAGAAAGATAGCCTTGTGCAAAAGTGGATGCCCAATTAAAAATGTCGTTTCCGACCGTGCTACGGAAGACGAAAAGTGCAAGTAAGAACTGGAATAAAATTCCACTAAAGATAGTATTCCAATTGACAGCCTTGCGGTTTACAGATGTGATATAGAGAGAAAACATGAAGACAAAAACACCGAATAAGGCAATTAAACGTTGAATTCTAGTGGAGTGATCATTCTCTGGCAAACTGAAAATAGTGCAGACAATAACAGTAAGCACGAGAAGACCATAACCAATTGAGCGAATGTGTTTGGGAAGACGCATAATAGGTGCACCAACAAAGCGGACGCAAGTCATCCAAGTGTCCGAGACATATTGAGAAGGTACATAATCAAAGAACCTGTAGCACATGAAAAAACCGTAGATCAAGCCCAAGATAAGGTTTTCTTGACTATAACCTCTAGGGACCTGAAGAGCAAAAGAGGCAGCTACAAACCCGGTAGCAATAAGGACTTCAGCCCCGCTAAACAGAGTCAAAAAGTTTAATAAAAACTCAAGAAAAAACAATGTTGCTATAACTTACTGGAACCAAGGAAGATGTCGTTTATAAAACAAGCCAAACTTGGAAGCCTTTTTGACATGCTCGGATTCATGACAATCAGAAAAGACTTCATCCTTTTCATTGAGAATAGAAGGAATATCGATGGCCGTAGTGGTACACTTTTCTTCGACAGGCTTCTTGACATCGGAATGAGAGTCGAGAGCATCGGTCAAGCTGGTATGAGTACGATGCATCAAGTTGTCTTCAGCAGAGAGACCACTAGGTTGATTGTTATGAATAGACATGATTTAAACCGGCAGGGGCTTTCAAATTAGAACTCTTGTTGTTTTATGTATGTAGTAAATAGAAGAAGAAAAGAGAGAAAAAAGAGTTGACCTTTACGTTCTAAGACCGTACTATATAGTCCTAAATCGATAATGAAAAAAAAACACATTGGAACTCCATAAAATACCTTTTTGACAGTTGTATTCGATTGGTTGAGATTTAGGGTTTTGAAAAAAATTTATACAAAAAAAAAAAAAAAGCTCTCCACTCAACGAAGGGTGGGAAGTTCTTATTTCAGAGTTTTGTGTATCCACACCCCCATAATTAAAAGATAGCGTGAGAAATAGAATCGTAATTCGAGTACGAAAAAAGTAATGACAATTGTCATGTTACAATTAAACAACAACAACAAAAGATTAAGTTGAGATCCAATATTAAATCACAGAAAAAAAATTGCTTTTTTTAATTTTACAAATTGTCCGTGGAATTCCTTGAATCAAGACCAAGTAACGTTGGTAGCGCACCCATTCTATTTTTTTTTTTTTTTTTTAATATTCATTGTCAACAAATTTCCAAATATTCTAATTTACCTGCTTAGAAACATTTGCAATCGAAGTCTCGAACATTCTTGATATAGCTGAAACTTGCTGGAGTCCTTATCTGTCCCGGCTTTCAATTTTCTTATAAACACATAGAATTCAATGACTGAAGCGATCCTGTCATGGCAATATTTGTCAATATACGACCATTCATCAAAGTACGATATCCGAAATCTCCAGCTTTCATTTTCATCCAGAACTCTTCCACATGCTTGACAACCAGGGGTATCTTGCGACGACGACGACGATGAGGATGAAGAAAATCGATCCCATAAACGGGTTTTCACTTTAATACTATCAGCTTTTGTCGGCGCTTGTATAAACCCTGGGGGACATGGCTCTACCAGACACGTTTTGACCAGTATGGCGTCCAAGATCTTTTTACTGCTTATTTTAGGATTAGGGCCAAACCGCAGGCAAGGTTCAATATCCGTCTTCAAGCATGATTTCATAAATGACGTGGTATATAATTTTGATAGACTAATGGACCTTATCGATTCTCTAAACTGTTCAAATTCAGTTATCATAGCATCATCTTGGACTTGTTGATTGTATTCTTGATTGATTTCAATTGGTTGTGATTGGTCCAATAATAAGGTGGACATGTCTAATTGTGCCCGTAACAAGTAATTTTCGTGTGTGGATATAAATGCAGAGAAAGATTGAGGGTTTAATTGCTGTGAGTTTGAGTCTTGATTGGTCATATCTTTACGAAGTTCCTTAAGTTCGGCTTGTACGCTAGTTAATTGAGATTCCACTCCCTTTAATTGATTATTGACTTCATCGTGCTTTAACTGAATCGCCAGCTTTTCCTTCTTTTCAACCAGCACCATGCTATTTGCCTCTTCAAACAGTTTCTGTGTCAAGTCATGGAGTTCTATTTCCACTAATTTTTTGGATTGTTCGATAGCAATAGTGTGAGCGATTTCATCCTTGTGTTTTAATTGGACAATTTCGATATCCCCATTTAGCGAGTCGATTTTATTGGTCATATTCTCTAATAATTCTTGACGTTTACCATGTTGTGCTTGCAAAATCTGAATATCCTTCACATAAAGGTTATATAAAGCTTGTTTTTGAGCCAGTTGATTGTTAAGAGCTAGTTCTTTTTCTTGGGACGAAATCTTGTCTTCATGTTGTTGTTGTATAAATGGAATGGCCTGATCACAAAGTCCACAATGTTCGGAATCGTTAGACACAAGCCAATATTGACAAGAGCAGTTTAGGTTTGTTGAATAGTTATGATCCAAGTCCTCGTTGATGATGCTGGTGTTGCTACTGCTACTGCTACTAATAGTACTGTTACTACTTAGACTACTCATGCTACGTTTTAATTCGTTATTTGGTTTTACTTTTAACATGGTTGCTTCAAGTTGTGTATATAAATTGTCGATATCTCTTTCTGTCATTTTTTTCTATTATTATTATTTTGGTTGTGTTTTATAAAAGAAGAAAAAGGTGTGTGTTTTTTTTTCTTTTTTTTTTGCACGTTATATTTTAATAATTAGAAGTCCACACACATATACAACAAGGCACCTCCTTAATGTGTGTTCTTTTTTAAATCCGCTCCCTGTTTTTAGATAAATATAAATCAATATAATATATAAATATCCAGTAGAAATATCGTAAAAGTAAACACATCCGTGTCAATATCTCTAAGCATAAAAAAACAAAGCCGATGATAAACAGGACCCTAAAAAAGATCGACATAAACGACCCAACTTGCATGATGTATTACTATAAACACCAACAGCAGCACCGCCAGAAGCAGCAGCAAGCTTAAAGCCGATCTAATGATATTCGGCTGCCCCTTTTATATATTATAGATCAAGCCCTGTTTGTTATCTCTTTTTCTCCTAGCGGGGGGTGATCTTTTTACGCTCGGCAAATAATCAAAGCGTCGTTAGACGAACGTGTTTGTGTTCACCTCGTGTATGCCAGAACTGACAGGCTTGGTGAAACAAATAGACAGTCCATGCGTATCACATATATCCTTTCTAGTTTGTCACTGGTAGTTTTTTCTAATTTTTAATGTACCTCAACTCTCAACTTACAATATGTTTAAAAGCACTGCTCATTTTTATTTATTTAACAATTTAGAGGTTGATTTGCTGAAAAAAAAAAAAGAAAAAAGAAAAAAGGACTAATTTGGCCGAGTGTTCGAAACAAATTGGCCCAGCAGTCCGAAAATAAATCATCTACTTTTAAGATAATGATTAAGCTAAATATTAAAATGGTTACAAAAGCTCTTTCAAGCATTAAGGGAACATCAATGAAGAATCGGATGAAATTATGTGTCTGTCTAATGGGGACATTCTCGTTGCTTTGAGTTATTTTGGAAGGAAAGCACATCTGCATCTGTCATTTACCTCTTCTGACCTAGTCCTTCAGCAGTTTTCAAAACATTTTGATAGAAATGACTAAGGAAGGAGAAAAACTGTTATATAAAACCCCTCTTTTAAGATGGTGAGACCAACAATGTCGGGAGAGTGGTTTGGGGTATTATCCGCTGTAATATAATTTATTTTTATGTCGTGGAGTTCATCTGCAATGCCTTTTTATACGAATGTAAGATTGTTCATAATGGCTAGCTGTAGCTCATTTTATTATTATCCCCAAATATTTTTCTCTGTTAATCCACACTCACTTTTCTTTCTTGGACATTGACTGACCCTCTCACGCCCACTCATACACCGCACCAAACCCTGAAATTGCACCGATTACCTTATAAAATACACCCCTTCAGGAGTTATTCTATAATTACTGCTTTACCACATCACAGATAACGTCTTGACAAGAAACACCATTTCCCAATCAATCATGTATGAGGTACGATAGTGTCCTAGCTATTTTTACCAGCAGAAGCGTCGTTTATACTCTCATTTTGCTGAGATGGAATGATGAAAGCTAAAATAAATATGTTTTATTACACCATCAATAAATTTTAGTCCGTTTTTTTGCTAGATAATCTTTACTTACAAACCAAAACCTTCTATGTAGGTTTGTCACTTTACAGCATGGCACTCACTTAAACTATACAACTACATGGAACATAATCCAATAGAATTCTTAAAAAAAGTAAATATATTTTCTTTGAGTACGACCCTTACACATGTTGTATGCGATAATTGGTATTTGTACTGCAGCATTTTTTTAGTTATATTTGCTCCCATCCCAGCAGATTTTTCTTTCATGATATAGATAGATAAGTGCACGTTTTTGTAGGATTGTTTAGATGATGTGATAGTATACTTACATAGCCATTAGAACAGTTCAACTGGTCAATTTTTTTTTTATTAAACAATAATATCATTTAAAACGTTGTTTTTTCTTCATGCCTATTTTTGTTTGTTCTTAATTAGCTCAATTATATTTCATCAGAGTGATCAGTGCGCTAAGTAACGGCAATTATTAGCGGCTGTTTGCAAGAGATTGGTTGCCTAGTTACAGCAGCAAATAAACTTGTTTAATTATACAAAAACACAAAATATAAAATCACATAGTGATAGTATGGAAGTCACTATAATAGCGCACGTAAAGGATAATCGTTTTCTAACAGACTTTATAAGGGAAGACATCTTGGCTTTGACTGAGGCCCAAAATCACTAATTTTAAGCCAGTCAATAACTCTTAATTAATTGCTGTTTGCTCAAGGATTTGAAAAAAAAAATATGCATATTAACGACAAGACATTATAAGGTATTACTAGCAAGTTTTAAAGGCATGAGAGCTAGAGCGTCTTATGTGGTACCCAAAGAGAGAGTCATTTTTTTTGCTTGTTAATAACAATAACGGCTGTCATCCGTGACTGATTTTTTCTTTAGCCAGTGCTAGGTCCACATCAGGGAGAACACCAGAAGAAAAAAAAAATTTATCTTGATTTTGAAATACAATATAAAATATGGATTCCGTACAAGAACAAGAAGCCAAAAAGCAAAAGCTTGAGCAAGTTGAGGATGTTGTCCAAGAGGAAGAAGTAGAGGAAGAGGAAACCGATGAATATACCGAAGAAGATTTAAAATTAGGTCATGAACTCATCGCAGCTGTCGTCGCAAACGATCTCGTAAAGTATTGATCACCGTAGGGCTGTCATGTTTACTTGATCTAAAAAGTTTTGAATGTAGGAAAAAGCAAAAGCTTTGTTAGATCAAGACGCCGATCTTTGCTTTAATGGTGACGATTTAGGTCGTACCCCTCTTCATCACGCAGCCGAACACGGTCATATGGATATCATCAATTGGCTCTTATCCGAAAAGCATCCTTACAATTTGACCGATAAGAATGAAGTGACTGCCGGTGAACTCGCATTGAACAACAACCATAAAGAAGTTTATGAACGTCTTGTGGATGAAGGTGTTCGTACCGAACTTTTGATCAGAGCCATCAAAAAGGCCTTTGGTGATGATGACGAGGATGTCAATGCGATTGCTAACGACGCCTATCTCAAGCAAAAGTTGCACTACGATGATAACAAATTAATGGATGAGAATGACGATGCTGTCATGATGGGTTGGGAAGGACCCTTGATGGTTGAACATGCTAAAGTGATGTGCCCCAAGGAAGGATTAAACGTGATCAATGTTGGATTTGGTTTAGGTTTGATTGATTCCGAGTTACAGAAATACAAGCCCAAGAACCATTATATCATTGAAGCACATCCTGATGTGTATGCTCATATGTTGGAATTGGGTTGGGATAAGAAGGAAGGCGTCAAAATCTTGTTTGGTCGCTGGCAAGAGATGGTACCTACATTGGATATCAAATTTGATGGTGTATTCTTTGATACGTATGGTGAATTTTATGATGACTTAAAGGCTTTCCACGAATGTGTGCCTGCTATGCTTCACCCAGAGGGTGTTTATACTTGGTTCAATGGTCTCGGTGCTACCAACCAATTCTTTCAAGATATCTATTGCACAGTTTCCGAAATTGATTTACGTGAGATTGGGTTAAGTACTGAATATGTTGAGATGCCTATTTCAACTTGGGCCGAACAAGGTGTTTGGGATGGCGTTCGACAAAAGTATTGGGTTTTAGATACATACAAGTTACCTATTTGTAAATTTTTAAAAGAGTAGATAAATAAAATAAAAAGACACTAGAATAATTCATCAAAAAATTGGGTTTAATTTATTATAAATGAAAAAAAAAAATTTAAGCAATGAGCTCAACAACACCACCGGCAGCCTTGATCTTCTTCTCAGCGAGAGCAGAGACGAAACGAGCACGGACAATGACGGGTTGAGAGATGGTACCCTTGGCAAGAACCTTACCGTAACCCTATTAAAAAAAAAATGTTAGTGTCTGACAAAAAGGACGACCCATGACATGAAAAAAGAATTTACCTTTTGGAGAGTATCGATAATGGGAACCTTCTCGGTGTTCTTGTATTGTTCACGAACACCTTCACCGGCAAGAGTCCAGATCTTGTCGAGATTGACAATAGGACGCCAGTTGACGTTGTTCTTCAAATGGAATTGACGCATACCGACCTTACCGAAGTAACCAGGATGGTACTTATCCATGTTGATACGATGATGATGTTGACCACCAGCAAGACCACGACCACCAGGATGCTTTCTGTGCTTACCGACACGACCGTGACCGGCGGAGACGTGTCCACGCTTCTTTCTGTTATGGTGAAGTCTGGTAGGCTAGAATCACATACAGGTTAGAAAACGAATACTTCTTTCTGTGGTTCATTGGAAGCAAAAAGAAGAATCAGGGATATATATGTGCTGCTGGCCATGTCCAATTTAAACTTCAATGTCGTTTTTTTTTTTTTTAGGAATGTAGTGTTGAGCAAAAAAAAAATGGTGTTGCTAATTCATCCATCCATATCATCCATCCATCCATATATATCTCTTCTTCAGCCTCGCTTCCAAAGTATAATTGCAATGGGTCACTCACCATTTCGTTAAAAAAGAGAAAGATTTACAGTGTGGGCTGGCACACTACTGATAGATGAGCAAAAAAAAAAAAAAAAAAATCGCATCAACTCCGACATTCGGCCTCGACGTCATCTTTTTCTTTTTTACTTTTTTTTTATATACATTTCAGTTGGCTTTTTTACGAGTGGTTTTTAATTAATAGAAGGAATCATGTCTACACCACCTAATAACACACAAGGATCGACTGATCCAGCACAACCACCCACAGGGGCTTCACCTTCGCCAGCAGACATTGACAAAATGGTCGCGTCATATCTTCAAAAGAAGGGATACAAAGCAACAGAAGCTATATTTGCACGCGAGTCAAAGGGTGACGCTGTATCCCTTGAGGATGTTGGCGAAGGTACAAACAAGAAGGAAAAGGATAAACCTGAGAATACAGACGAACCCCTGAAAAATAGTACGGCAGAATCAGCTGTAGAACCACCAGCAGCAACAGTCGAAACCGAGAAAAGAGCAACAGCCATCGGAGAGTCCACTTCAGGCGATCCCGATTCATATCATGTCAGTTATAAATGTCTGCGACAATGGATTGAGAATTCATTAGATTGGTACAAGGTTAGCTTACTTTAGATTGGACCGAGTCTTTCTTTCTTTCTATACGTACTCAATTTTTAATTTATATAGCCCGAGTTACGGTCAGTTTTGTTTCCTATATTTGTTCATTCATACCTTGATTTAGTCGGAAAGAATATACCTGAGAAAGGTAAACCGTTAGCAACGATATAACTCGAAACCTTGACTCTAAAAAGGTTTTTTTTTTTTTTTATGTATGTTACCATAGCAAAACAATTTATGGATGTTTATAGACTGGACCATGTTGAATTACACACACCCGACCTGAACACACTTCAAACCGTAACTGAACCTCAACATATTCGCGAAAACGAACTAGCACAAATGTATCGAAACAACAAGTATAATCTGCGTATGTCTAGTGTACCATTCGAATTAATTATCAACTATTTGCAAGACAACAAATTCATGTCGTTGCTGAGAATTGTGAATCAATATCTGAATATTCAAGGTATGACAGATACGCACAAAATTTCTATGATGAAGGGATATTAAATTCAGAGAAAATTTTATGTAGTGGTTCATGGAAAGTTATTAAAATCCGCAGGCGGATTGGAGATGGATGATGTTGGAATTACAGGACATCAAACACAACAAATCGAAGAGTTTAACAAACAAAGTGTGCAACTAGGCCTTATTCAACTGGATCAAGCATTTAAGGATGAGGTGGAACAGGCAATTAAAGATATGGAGTCGAGTAAAAAAGACGAGAATGAACAGACACCTGTAAACGATCAATCCCCTTTAATCGAAACCTTTAAAAAGGTTGTTCAGGAAAACACCTCAGATGGCCCTGCCTTTGGTGATATACCCCTTCCTCCATAGTAAGTTTGAAAGGTCGATTTATTTTATTTTTATTTTTTTACCCAATCATGTATAAAAAAATAGTAGGGGAACGGATATTACGGCAGAAATCGAATCCTTGAATAATCTGAACCATCGTATGCCATTAAATGATGGGTCTTTACCCAGCATATGTTGCTACACATTTCATAATACACATGACAGGTAAATACAAGTTTTTTTTTTTTTTTTTTTTTTTTTTTTTTAATTACTTTCTTGGATCGCGTGGCTAACTTTAAAATAGTCTCAACTGTGTCACCACTTCAAAGGATGCAACTCTTATTGCAGGTGGTTTTTCTGAATCCTTTATTAAAATTTGGAGTTTAAAGGGGGAGAAGTTGAAATCACTTCGAAACACAATTAACCCTGCTCATGTCAATGATTGTAAGTTTTTTTTTTTTTTTTAAAAAAAGGAAAGGTTGTCTTACTGATGGTGTTTATAGACAACGATTTAAATCGTCAGAGAGAAAGGCATGGATCAGAGTATAAGAGATTAGTGGGACATTCGGGACCTGTTTACGGTTTAAGTTTTAGTCACGATAACAAGTACTTGGTATCTTGCTCTGAAGACAAAACTGCAAGATTATGGAGTACACAGACATTTTCAAATTTAGTTGTATATAAGGGACATAACAGTCCTGTGTGGGATGTAGATTTTGGTCCTTTTGGTTTTTATTTCGCTACAGCCTCTCATGATCGTACTGCACGTATTTGGAGTTGTGATCATATCAATCCACTAAGAATCTTTGCCGGTCATTTATCTGATGTCGATGTAAGGGTTTTATACGGTTTATGACTGCTGTCACTATATATATTTAAACACCCCTTTTTTTTTTGTACAGACTGTCAAATTCCACCCTAATTCGAAATATCTGGTGACTGGCTCAAGTGATCGTACATCGCGTTTATGGGACGTACAAACCGGCGCATGTGTGCGTGTGTTTGCAGGTCACAATGGATCCATTAAAACGGTTGCAGTCTCTCCTAACGGCCGTATTATGGCATCTGCGGGTGAAGATAAATCGATCATGCTCTGGGATTTAGGGTCTGGTAAACGAATTAAAAAAATGACAGGTCATACAGGGTTTATCTATTCCCTTAGTTTTAGTGCGGATAATAACGTATTGGTGTCGGGCGGTGCGGATAGTACCGTGCGTGTATGGGATGTGAATACCGACCAAACCTCAGCCACAGCTACTTACATGGATGATATCAATGCACCAAAACGATTTAAAATAGACGAAGATAGAAAGCGTAAAAGTGTTCTTGAAAGGTAAAAATAGATCCATTTAGCTATCCTTCCTTGTATATTAATTTTGTTTACTTAGCCGTGAACAACTTGCTGTATTCCCCACTAAACAAACACCTATTTATGATATCCAATTTACAAACCGTAACTTGTGTCTTGTAGCAGGTGCATTTACTCCACAAAAAGCCATCGAACATTAAATAATAAAAAATGCATGCACTTGTTTTTAATATATATCAAAAGGGAGTTTTAGTTTAATTTTTAACATCTGTTTTTTTTTTTCTTTTTTTCTTATGCTTTCACATGGGAGGGGGAAGAAGATCAATTATAAACTGGATAGGTTCGGCATTATATGAATAAAACAGGTTTTTCTCAATGGCAAAAACTTGAAACTGATATAATGACGCTGTAACATTGAGAATGTTCATCGTCTTCTGTCTGTGTTACACCGTTAATACTCCGCGCCATAAGTCAAACTAAAATCGATGCATGAACGCGTTTTGAAAAAGAGTAATAATCATAATTTGTTTGTGACTAAGAAAACGTCAATTAGATACGGGTGTCACCATACCGACGTTTCGACCGTGAGATTTAATAAAGATGATTAAAAGTTTTTTGTTTTGTTTTAAGGATATATAACAATTACAGCTTTTTATTTCAAGTTAAAAAATATACAATATTTAATTAATGTGGAACATTCTTCAAGTTATTGTGCGTGTTGCTGTCCAACCGGAAATATATCTTTGCTTAAATCATCCCGGTCGTTATTAAAGTATCTATCTTCATGCTGAAATAAGAAACTATAAAGTGAATTACCAAACTTCAAAGACCGGTTGGTAGAGTTATTATTCAAATAAATGACTGGTTTAAAGTCTGGTGAAGCTTGATGATGTTGATGATGTTGATGATGCTTTTCTGTTTCACTCTTGTTCTTCTTATGAAGCAATCGCTTGAAATCACTACCTTCACTATCGCCTATTTTTAATGGCTCATGTTGCGGTGTTGCTTTGATTCCCTTGTTTAAAAGTTCCTGGAATAACCCGGATATAGAGCATTCACTTGCTGTGTCTAACATTTCTAATGTAGTGGGCGTCATCTTTGTTTGGAAATATCTTGAATAAAGAAGAAAAAAAATATTGTGAAATGCAATAAAAAAAAGCATTTAAATATGGGAAACTTTAAAGTCCGTACACAACACTCTCTCACTCTCTCACGCCACCTAGTCCTTTACCAAGTGACCAAGATTAATGCGCTTACTTATGGTCATATTTACCTTGTTTGTATCTTTTTTTTAGCTCTTTAAGTGAGATCTATGTACGTCATTGGTATGATTTATTATGGTTTGTTGTTGTTTGTCCGATGAATAATGTGACATGTGTATTAAGCTTTAAAGGACCACTCCATGCATTGAACATATCCGTGAATTAAACAAATACGTCATCCTATGCATGTAGTTTGTAATGGAGTCTATCACAAGAGCACTGTTTATATTTTCATCAGCTTCTTCTCCCCCTCTTCCCCTTCCCTTTTTTTTTTCTAACGGACGAATCACCATTCGTTTGGCTTACCCAGTTTGGATTTAGTTTTTTTTTTCAGAAGTGCTTAAAGGACATTAGCTGTAATAACCCTCCACTATTTAACCAGGGAGCGCATTCTATGTAGTGCGTTGTATGAAGTGACGAGTAAATATTGCTAATCGTCCATTTATAGCTCATATTTCTAAATATCAGAATTACATTGCAAAATAAACAAAATTTACCACTCGCACTACACAAAGCTTAATCCCAAAAATGGTAGAAATCTAAGGCCATTATCTTATCAGGGTGTTTCAATTATACCTCTTTGCACGCTACAAAGCATCAAATTCACTTGTCTGGTAAATTTATAACTAAACCATTAGCTTTATATCTACCGATAATGGAACTTTTAGATAGCATTAGAATAAGGTGCTTCCTTATTATCAAATTCACATGTAAAATTCACTCGTGTACGTTAAAGATATAGAAATTCCATACGATTTTTTTTTTCACACTGTTCCGCAGTCAACTAGCCGCAGTAAAATAAAATGCTTCTAAACCCAGCAGACTGAAAAAAGCTTTTCCTTATAAATAAAAAAAGAAAATTGCATTTGTTTTTCTCGTCATATCAAACGCAATGTCTAATTTACAGTCTGAACATATTCATCAAGCACAGCATACAAATCCTTTAAAGCCTCGTAACAATGTGTTTACTTGTCTTGCTTGTCAAGTTGCTTTCCCATCTACTGATCGCCAACGTGCTCATTATCGTACCGAGTAAGAAAAAAAAGCAATGTTTTCTTAATTTAGTCAATAGCGTACTCACATTTGAGTCTTTTAGTTGGCACAAGTATAACTTGAAGAGAAAGATTATGAATCTTCCTCCCTTTACGGCAGAGGTTTTTGCACAAAAGGTTTTAGGCAAGTAGGATCTAGCTGTATGATCTCAATATTGTATTAACTTTTTTATCTGTAGCTCAACAAGCCAAAGGAAAAGAAGAAGAGGAAAGACAAGGTCTTGTCTACGAGTGTACTATTTGCAGGTAAATACATATAGATTCATCCACACACACGCTTTTATTGTCATATACTGAAGTACCTTAATAGAAAAACGTATTATTCTGAAAACGCCTTCTCCAACCATCTTTTATCTAAAAAACACAAGGATCTGGAATTCAATGTGGGTCAGGAACCACTTCCTTCTCCCATCGTGAGCCACAAGAAAGAAATAACCTTGTTCTCAGATACGGAAGAAGATATAACGGATACAGAATCAGTCATCTCTGCCGTGGATCATTTACACTTGAACCAAGATCATTGTTTATTTTGTAACATTGTTCATTCCGATTTCGAATCGAATTTAAAACACATGACATTGGCTCACGGTTTCTTTTTACCGGATGTCGAGTATCTCGAGGATGCACCTGGACTTGTTCTTTACTTGGCTGAGAAGATCCAAGACTGCATTTGTCTTTATTGTAATGACCGTGGTAAGGAATATAAAACTCAAAATGCTGTTCGTAAACACATGGTAAGAAAACTGTGAGAAAAAAAAAAGCTTGCAACTGGATATTCTAAATATATCTTTTATAGTTGGATAAAGGACATTGTAAAATGGCATATGATGAATCAGAAAACCCAGAGGATTTATTACGATTTTACAATTTTGGAACCATGTCAGAACAAGATTTTGAAGCAGCTACAGTCGATACCGTGTCGAACGAGGAAGATGAGCTTGTCTTAGCTTCCGGTGAGAGATTAGGACATCGTCGCTTCATGAGATATTACAAACAAAAGGTGAGAAGACCATCACAGGAGGAGGAAGCTGATCCTTTATCCATCACACAAGGAGAAGAAACTGGTGAAGTGATCGAACCCCGTAACCGTAAAGAACGTCGTAGCAAATTAGCCATCACAAACGGAACTCAATTAAATGGTGATATGTTAAGAAGATTACCTGAAGTTGTGCAAGTACAACAACAACATTGGCAGAGACAATCTTCCAAGAAGAGTAACTTGATTGCAACAACCAGACTTCGTATTCAAAACCCCATTTAAATCATCCCTCATAAACCCTTTTTTTATTATTATTGTTTTCATGTCATCATTTCTAATAAATTCCCCATACTTTGCTTATGCGGTATGAATAATATTACACCAATAAATAAACGTTTTGATTGTCAAAGAGCGTTAGTAATTTTTTGTTATCAAGAAAAACGTGGAGTACATCTTGTTCCTTAAAAAACACTATGAATGCTTTTAAAAGCTTGCCTCCAGTCTTAGGAGGAATTTCTTTAGTTAAAGATAAAAATTGGAGATTAGCCGAGTGTATTTTACTAGCCTACAAGCCTACTCTGTTAGACGAATTGCACTAGTTTGTAATATAGTATGTGAGCAATGATAATGTATTACTTACATACGTGTGAATACCAATGCAAGTAGTAATAATTACGCCGGCTGTCACTTTTTGTAGTCTGAATAACTGTTTCAAAGACCATTGTTCAGGACTATTGGCAATTGTATAGATAAAGCAACCTGTTTGGTACGGCATAGTTACTTGGCCTACTGGTGGAACAGTTATTTAAAATACGCGGGTTTAAATTTAGAGACGCGACTTCCTTTTTTTTTTTTTGGTGTTTCTTTCTTTTTCAACATGGGAGATTTTGTATTGACAGACGAACTTTTAAAGATACAAGGGAATGCATCCGACTATTACATTCCAAACGAGATTGACATTGCCGGAAAAAGTGATCATGACTTGGCTAGATTCCTTAATGGTAAAAATAAAAGGGGATTTATGGAATGAATTCGACACATTAATAGTAGAATACTAGAAATTGCGGACAACATACAAGTATCCTCTGAAAACATTGCCGATCCTGTTGTTTTTGACAAGATTCGCAGTTTTTTAAAGTAAATTATAAACGTATTTTATACATTAGAAACAACTTTTTTTTTAATTGCGTACAAAAACTATGTAGATATTTCACAAGTGTTCAACCTCGTATTCTTTCACGTTTATTCGACATCATTTTATCAGGTAAAACCTATCAATCCGCCAGTGTATCATGGATGAATTAACCCCCCCCCCCCCTCCCTCAGCCTTTCGAGTAGAGATCAAATCAACAAAAGACGACTTGGATCAAAATGAGAAGGATACGTTCAACAACCATCGTAACTATTTGGAACTTTACAGTTATTCGGTCCATTGGTTTTTATTACTAGTGGAAGACAATACGACTACCTCCAAAATGGTTGTGCGAAGAGCAAAGAATTCTACCAACGATTTAAAGACGTTTGACTGGAGTACACAAAAGTTGAAAGTATTTGATTTAGCGAGTTGGTTATTGGATTTGAAACTGTCCAAGATCTGGACATTGACCCCGGATCGTGTCCATTTCGTCACATTATTTACAAAGCCTGCTTACCAACTGTTTGAAAATCCCGCTCATGCAAAATCTAGTCAAATCAAGGAACGTATCTTTCGAATCTTGAGTTTATGCATTAAAAACTACGATCATTTACATGGTAACAATTTTCTATATCGTATTATCCTTCGTTCATTAACTCACATTTTTTAAAAGTCGCACAAACAACCATCATGCAAAACCTTCAATATTGGGAACATTCTGCTGAACCCATGGCAGAACTCCTAATTTACATGGTCGAAAAAGAAAATTACAATCAATTAGCAGACGAAATTTTGCGAGAAATCAGTAACCGTGAATTTAAAGATACCACCACCAAAGAAGTCAAAGACTCACCCAACCCAAAGACATTTGCTACTTTCTTACAAAAACTTGCCGATTTATCACCAAAGACCATTCTTAAAAACTTGGGTGTATTGATTAATCAATTGGATAGTGATGTAAAGTACCATTGAAAGAACAACAAATTGAACATCAAAATCAGTATAATGAATGAGCTTCTCACCTTTCCTCTTTTTTTTTTTTTTTTTTTTTTTTTTTTCATAGTCCTACATGATGAGAACAGCCATTGTTGATATACTAGGCAATATGATTATCGAATTATCTCGCACAAGTCAAGATAATCCAAACCAAGTGGATCAAATCAATGATTTCTTTGATATTTTGGAACATCGTATGTTGGATCCTACAGCCTATGTGAGACAAAAAGTGCTTCAAGTCTATCTTCGTCTATTTGAGTAAAAAAAAAAAGAAAAAAAAATTACCATTGTCATTTATATACATCACCGTGAAATTAACCGTACTTTTTGCAAATAGACTGAAAGCTAAATTCCCAAAGAGAAGACAGGCAGCTACTGAACTGGCCATCCGACATTTGCAGGATAAAAGTAGTATTGTTCGAAAATACGCTATTCGTGTCTTGACAACCTTAATATCCACACATCCCTACATCATGTATGGTGGTGAACTCAATTTAGAGGAGTGGAATTCTAGATTATTGACTTTACGAACCGAAATTGAGGTAAATATATATATATATATATATACATGATAAATCTTTTGTACTCAATGTTGCTTTAGAATGTCGCTTTAGAGAAAGATCCCGAAACCTTTGTTCTGACGGAAAAACCAGTGACAGAGAATGAGGAAGAGCCAGTGACAGGGGATGAGGAAGAACCAGAACAAGACGAGGACACTGAAATGAAGGATGCATCGGCAATCGAAAACGAGATAACAGAAGAAGCAGACAAAGAGAATCAACCAGAGACGCAATCAGACAATCCATCAGAGAATCCTACAGAGCGTCCTACTACTACTACTACTACCCCCACCACTACCACAGTATCACCTGAAAAGTTACAACAGTTGGTATTGATGCGTACATTCCATGTAGATGCAGTAAAGTTTATCGAACAGATCCATATTGCCATTCCCATCATTACTCAGCTTTTATCATCCAAATCCAAAGCCGAAGTTTTAGAGTCGATGGACTTTTTAGTAATTGGATATAATTACAAAGTGAAGCTCTCGACTGTAAGCACAATTCTCCCACCTCCTTTTTTTTAAAAAAAAAGTGGCATTCCAAAACTAATTATATTGTACAGGATGGTATCAAAAAAATGCTTCATTTGATTTGGACCAAGGATACCAGTGACGAAGGTAAAGGTATTAAGATGAAACTTTTGTCGTGTTATGAAAACCTCTATTTGAGCATCGACAGCAAACGTTCCAAGAAGGACAACGTATCTCGTATTGCTAAAAACCTGATTGAATTGACGTACAATACCAACTTGGCAGAACTTACCTCTCTGGAACAGGTCTTGAGTACATTAATGAAAGAAAATAAGGTTGCCTATGACGTGATTGAGAAACTATGGTCTGTGTATGGATTTACAAAGGGTAGAATTCAAAAGTCACAAAGAAGAGGCGCCATTATTATTTTGGGCATGCTGGCCAAAGCTAAAACAAAAATCGTGTCCGAAAAGATTGATCTGATGTTAAAGATTGGGTTGGGTCCACTTGGTAAAGCGGATCAGAGTCTCTCTAGGTATACATGTATGGCCCTACAACGTTTAGAAGGTATCAAGACAAAAGAAAAGGGCCGTGGTGTACAAGAAGGTATCCGTTTCCCGATCCAACACCCTATCTTTTCAAGATTAAAGGATGTCATTGAGAATACAACCGCAAATACAGAATGGTTTTCTCTTGCTGAACAGGCCATCAATACGATTTACAAACTTTGTGAAAACCCTGAAATCTTGTGCGAAACCATTATTCGAGACAAGACGATCAAGGTCTTTGGTATGAAGGAAATCGTAGAGGCTACAAACAATGATTTGGATTCACCCAATGATGCTATGGCCCTGGACTACGACCTAAGTATGACACAACAAGCATTACCTTTCCCTCAACATGCAATCCATCAAAGCTCTAGTGAACTATCTCAGTTACTATTTTTAGTGGGACATATTGCACTAAAACAAATTGTTCACCTGGAAATCATTGAATCTGCTTGGAAGCGTAAGAAGGCTCAAAAGGAGACAGTAGAGAGTGGAAACAATGAGAAGACAGAGGTAGATGATGAATTAGAGCAAGTGGGTGGAACCGCTGAAGACGATATTGGTGAAGCGTTAATTCGAATTCGGGAAAGAGAAATTTTATTTGGCCCTAATTCGTTACTTGGAAGATTTGGTCCCTTATTATCTGAAGTATGTGCACGTAATAAGGTGTATACGGTAAGTTTCCCTTTCTTTCTTTTTTTTTTTTTTTGAGAGGGAAAATTTAGATGATGATTGCATAAATATTTACCATTCTATTTATAGGATCGTACATTACAAATCACTGCAACACTTGCATTAGCCAAGTTTATGTGTGTCAGCTCTGATTTCTGTGAAAAGAATCTTCAATTGTTATTTACAATTTTAGAGAAATCTAAAGATGCAACGATTCGTAGTAATATAGTGATTGCGTTGGGTGATATGGCAGTTTGTTTCAATACTTTGATTGACGACAATATTACGTTCTTGTACAATCGTTTATCAGATAGTGATACGATTGTGAAAAAGAACACGGTGATGGTATTGACGCATTTGATCCTGAACGGCATGGTAAAAGTGAAAGGACAAATCAGTGAAATGGCGAAATGTTTAGAAGATAGCGATCAACGTATTGTGGATCTTGCTAAATTATTCTTTACGGAATTAGCTAGTAAAGACAATGCGATCTACAACAATTTACCTGATATTATTAGTAATTTGACAAGTACGCAACCTGAAAGATTGGAAGAAGAGTCGTTTAAACGCATCATGAAATTTATCTTTTCATTTGATTTTACTGAAAAGGAAAAGCAAGCTGAGAATATTGTGGACAAGTTGTGTCAACGTTTTTTGACGGCACAGGATGAAAGAAATTGGCGTGATATTGCTTATTGTCTCTCTCTTTTACCTTTTAAAACAGAAAAAACATTTAAAAAGCTATTGGAGGGCTGGCCTTCTTATCAAGACAAAATTCATGAGGATGCAGTGCATAAAAGTTTCTTGGAAATCATTTCAAAGGTAAAAAAAAAAAAATATATGCTTTCATGCACCCAAAGAAAATATAATCTAACTCTTTTTTTTTTTTTTTTTTTTTTTTTAATTGTCAGGGTCGATTCCAGAAAACTCAAAAACCTGAATTAAAAGCACTTATTGACGAATTGGAACAAAAAGTAGAGAAACAAAGAGGCGGTCCTGAAGTTGTTGAAAAACCTGATAAAACAACAAAAAAAGGTATTTATATTATGCCTCAAAGGGGGTTAGAAAAGATCAGGGGAATATTGACAACTTTTTTTGTTGTTGTTGTTGTATAGCAACAAGAGTTGTGAAAACGGAACGAAGAAAGAGTAAGCAAAGCACTACTGCTACTGTTTTACCCACAAGAGAATTGCGAAAGAGAAAGAGAGTGATTCAGGAAGACGAGTCAGAAGAAGAGGAATTTGATATGGGGTCTGAAGTTGAAATGGAGGAAGCTGCTGATGATGATGATGACGAAGAAGAAGAAGAGGAAGAGGTACTTGCGCCTAGAAGAAGAAATAGATCTAGTCAAGAACAAAAGAAGAGCAAGGAGGAGGAGGAGGAGGAGGAGGAAGATGAGGAGGAGGAGGAAGACGATGACTAAAATGATAAAATAAAAACAGAAAGATAATTTGATGCAGTCTGAAGCTAAACAAAAAAAAAAAATCATAAAAAAAAAACATTCATACCCATTTGTTGCCTTACAGCTAAAACAATCTATCCCCTCACATGCTCTTAAAAGTTTCCGAGCCTTTTTCACTCTTTGTATATATTTCTGGTTCTGCGATTACTCTTTTCTCCTTTTTTAAATTTTTGTTCTCTCTTTTCTTCCTTCTTCTCATTCTTTTTTTTTTCCCTCTCTTTTTTTTCTTCCCAATCGTCATTGTTTGTTTAGAAAAAGTCTAATTGAATGTTACGTGACTCAAGATCAGATAGAGCAGTAAATAATAAGACTCATAAAAAAAATAATTAGTAAATTTTGCTTATTAAGAAAAAAAAAAAAAAAAAAATAGGTCAAACCGAGACTATGCAATATATTTGAAGACAGATATAGAAAGATTGAAATTCTAGGAAAAGGGAATTTTGGTGAAGTATTTTTAGCCGAACATGTTGCCACCCAAAGAAAGGTGATTTTTTTGATGTCAATTTTTTTGTTTTTTTTGTTTTTGTTTTAACAAACAAAATATACTGATAATAAATCCAAAAAAAAGGTGGCTGTTAAAGTAGTAGACACAAGATTATTTAAAAACGATGACCAAAGAAGACATGCAGAAAACGAAAAGGAAATTTGCAAACTATTTCAAAAAAGATACAAACATCCTCATATCGTAGACGTTACGGAAGTGAATGTTCATGACCAATCTATCTATTTTGTACTGGAATACGTGGAAGGTGGAGAATTATATCAGCAAATCAAAAGTAAGGGTCGAATTGGTGAACCACAAGCAAAAAAATGGTTTAAAGAGTTGGTTGAAGCCGTTGCATATATTCACAAGGTATCTTAATCGATTTTGTACCAAAAAAAAGATTCTTTATTTATGCTAACATGTCCCCCTAACAACAGCACAGTATTGTCCATCGTGACTTGAAGCCTGAAAATGGTAAGTCATTTTTAATCTTTTTTTTTACCAAAAATGATATTTGTATATATATATATATATTAAGCCCAACTTGTAATAGTCTTGGTGGATAAAATGGGTAAAATCAAATTATGTGATTTCGGATTCGGTAAAGTGTTTGATGCCACTAAATTACTTGATACATACTGTGGGAGTCCATTTTATGCTGCACCAGAAATGGTCACTGCCACGCCTTATCGTGGCCCTCCTGTTGACATGTGGAGCTGTGGTGTGATCTTATATGCGATGCTGACAGGTCAACTACCCTTTCATTGTGATACAATGCCAGAATTATTCAAAAAAATCAGCCTTGCTCATTACGTTGAGCCAAATACACTCTCTGATGAAGCGTTACATTTAATAAAAGCATTATTATGTAGAAATCCCAAACGACGCATCACGGCAGAAAATGCATTAAAGCATCCATGGTTACACAGCGATCCTCCCACGCATCATATTAAAAAGATGATCAAGATTCCTTCCACCAATACATTTAGAAAATCCGCTATTAAAAGCAATGCATTGAGTATATCCAGCACTTTACCCTCTCCTGTGATCTCTGTTGGAGATGAAGAATTGGCTTCTTACAATACTACATCAGAGCAACAAAAGACTTCCAATAACAAAGCAACTGCTGCTAGATTTATTTTACACGGTCTGAACAAGAAATCTCAAGTAGCTCCTACAAGAGAAAAGAACAAAGATTCAACAAAGAAAGGAAGTAGAGCACTTCTTGTTACTGCTGAGCGTATCAAGAGATTCTTTTCAAACACTTTCTTCCATAGAAGATTGACTACTACTTGAACATTCCCTATTTAATTTTTAATAATATTTCCCCCCCCCCCCCTCCACAACCCTTTTTTTCTTATTTACTTGATATATATATAATATAAAAATAAATTAACGCATTCGATTGCCCTTCTATCATTAAATTTGACAGGTCTGAATTTCGCGAAAAAAAAAAAATCTCTCCGTTGTTAACTAAAAGGTGATATTTCTTGACAACCAAAAAAAAAAAAAAAAAAAAAAAACTTCCGATTCACGTATTGCCCCCACCACATAGGTTTTATCTGTAACAATGACTATGCATGTAAACTCTCTTTATTTTTCTTACAAGAACATATTAAGGAATGATTCTTTCCATTTTTTTTTTTTTTTATCTTTTATTATTCTCGGGACTTATGAAAAAAGCTACAGTTTTTCGATAGTTGGAATATAAAACAAATCTGGGTTTCGGGCAAATATAATTCAACGACCTTTTTTTTGCCCTAGAAAATTAAATCAACAGAAAAAAAAAAAAGGTTCCTTTCAGGGTTTTTTTCTTTTTCTCCACTCTCCCTTTTTTTTTTTTTACTATTTTCTTTTACTTTTTCCTTGGGAAGGGGGTACAATACATATTCACAGACACTTTTTAAAAAAGCCCTTGATTATCCATCATTTTCCCTTTTTATTTGATGCACAGCATGAATAATAATATGAGCACAGTTGATTTGCAAAATCATAACCATCTCTATGACCGTAACCATATGCATCATAGCACTTTAATGATGATGTCAATGAAGTCCGAAGAAGATGATATGGACTTTCACGACAACAAGTCCGAAACTTCTTCTCGAAGTGGAGGAGGAGGAGGCAAATCCAAGGTCTTTCAATGTACAGGCTACGGTGAATGTAGCATGGTATTCACCAGATCTGAACATTTAGCACGTCATATGAGGTAAGAGAAGCTCACTATTGTAAATAATTCTAGGCTAATTATTTCCCTTTTGTTAAAAAAAAAAAAAAAAGAAAACACACTGGAGAGGTGAGAAAATAACATTAAATAAAAAAATTAACAAAAAGAGAGACTAAAAAACTTTAAATCCAGAAACCATTCAAATGCGTTGTCCCCGGTTGTGAACGAATGTTTAGTAGATTTGACAATATGATGCAACATACGCAAACCCATAACAAGTCTCGAGGAGGCAATGGCAACGGCAACGGCAACGGTGGAAATGGAGGTTCTCGACGACCCAAGGCAAAGACAAAACGAGGAGGTGGTAAAAAATCATCTTGTTCTCGTCGTGCTAGCTCTTCTGATGACTATGATGAATACGCCTTGCCTTCACCTCCTCCCTCTCGTCGCTCATCGGCCCTCAATATGATGACAGAAGAGCACCAAATTATATTACCTAATCCTAAATACGTAGAACTCGATGAGGAAGACATGACAGATGAAGAACATCAAGAGGCCAATAAAATCATATCATTTCATTCTCATGAAAAAAGCGCTCGTTATCCAGACTCGCCTGCTTCTTCTTCAGACTCTTCTTCTTATGATCATTATTTTTTCACTCAACCCATTCGTCGTAGAAGGTCTGCACCACGTATTCACTATCAACCTTATCCGTATAATGAACTCCATCACCAAGAAGAAATAATCCCGGTTTTACCTCGCCGTAATTCTGCTTTATCTCAATTAGCCACCTATCTTGTAAATAACCCAGACCAATCTCCTGAGAGCTATCTCCTTCAACAACAACAGCAACAACAGGGTTCTTCTCCGCCAACGTTGGCAATGACACGTCGACTGTCTATGCAAGACTTATCAAACCCGATTGAAGCTCTCGATCATGTAAACCATCCCATTCAGGAAGAAGAAGGCATTGACTTGACAGAAGATGAATATCAAGCCATTCAAGGCTTTGGTCAATTTTATCGTTCGGCCATTACTTGTAACAAGTAATCTTATAAAAAAAAAAAAAAACTTTTTTATTCTGTATATATTTCATTACCAAAAAAAAAAAAAAAAAAAAAATAAAAAAAAAAAAAATCTCCCTCCCACAAAACAGTTCAGGAACTTGTGTGAGGGGAAGTAATCACAGCCAATCATGTTAAAAATTCATGCGGAAAAATATAAAGCTATTACTCGAGAGGGGGTACAACCACCCCATCACATTCTCGGAATCCAAAAAAAAATTATCAAACTGACTAAATGTCCACTTGGTTTTTTTGAAACAAACAATGCAGATCTATGTAAAAAAAATCAAGATTTTCAAGACGGCTAGAGTGTAGTAAAATTAGGAAATTTTTATTACGTGGTTTTTTTGTAGATGCACAGGCAAGATTTAAGTCACTTTTTGTGAAGGAGAAAACTTTTATTTCATCTATTGATATTAATCCACTTGAACTATCGATGCTAATACACAAAGGTGAGAGGGGAGGTGCGCTAAATCTGCGAAAAATAGAGTGGGGATCATTTATTTACATAACAAATAAACAGGTTTTTTTTAAGTAAAACGATTAAAGTTCTTTTCTTGTATCATTAAAGGTTTAATCCTCATGGCCAAATCTACCCGTTACATTTGCTGATGTATGTAAAACAGTATTTTAATCCATACTTTGATACGTTATTAAAAGTATATAGCTTCTTTAATTTCAATTGCTTTGACTAAAGCAGTACACTGTCTTAAGTAGAGGTGTTTTACGACAAGTGTAGATTTTTTCAAAGGTTTCAATTGATATGGTTTAATCAGACATTAGAATAAATAAGCTTTTCATACTTAGCAGGTTTTACTATAAAACATATTAAAGTCTAGTAGATTGTGTACAAAATGCACCGATACAGTCGGTATCGGTCCAAAACATCATTGTCAAACTCTCATTGTAGCAAAAGTAGGCTTAAAGAGGATATTTTTGCAGAAAAAAAGGTAGAAAAAAACAATAGGATCAATTAGAATTCTTGTCAGAGTTTATTGATGTTTAAGTTAACTAAAGATTTTAAGAAGAGGAAAAATAAAGAGTATTTATAATAAATGGAATGGACGAGGCTGAGGATACTACTCTTAACAATATGAGTATACTATCAATAACAATATCTATATTGGACAATTAGTGCTACGCATAGCCAATAGAGAAATAATAACAATAACATGTCTTAAGTTTGGACATTGGTGTTACGATACCGTGACACTTTAAAATAGTGACCGGCTTTAGCGAATTCCTTTTTTATGCCTGATCATGATTTAGCTATCATTTATCAGTGATGATGAGATATGAATTTATTATATGTATAATCTATATGTGTGATTTAGCACACTCATTATTATCTTGAAGGAAAAATATTTAATTAATTAATGCCATCCAGTCTGCCATAACGCGGTGAATACAATGACTGCATGAACCTGCGAAAAGAAGAATGTCTGACTTGCCTTGTTTCCAATGAGATTCCATTTAAAAATGTATCAGGAGTATCCTTTATTTCTTTATCAGTTCATTTGCTCTAAACCTCCTCCTCCCATAAACCATGCTTCCTTCTCTTACAGTCTCTATATCTGTAGTATTACTGTGGTCTCACTTGTCTAGAAGTAGATAGATAAAAAGTATATGGATCAATGTCTTGGCAGATTGATATGCAAAACCAAGTTTCTAGCTACGCGGGAGTACAACTTAAATCCATGGCAACTAGCTTATTAGGATTTTCATTCCACAATTAATTTTGACAATCGCACTCGGGTCGACAAGAAATACCGTTAAGTAGTAAACTTACGTTTTATTGGCCAGCTTATTACACGAAAAAAAAAAAAAAAAGATCCTGTCAATAAAGAATTTTTATTGTATACGATTTTTGGGATTTTCATTAAATCAAACAATAGAACAGGGAGATCGGGTTGTACACGTATTCGTTTATGCAAAAAGTAATGGTTTAAAGTTTGTATCATAGCGCAACTATATTTTTAGCTTGATACAAACAGGAACTATATTTTTACGCATATATGGTGTGCTAAATCACACATATAGATTATACATTATAATAAAACCATATCTCATCATCACTGATAAATGATAGCTAAATCATGATCAGGCATAAAAAAAGGAATTCGCTAAAGCCGGTCACTATTTTAAAGTGTCACGGTATCGTAACACCAATGTCCAAACTTAAGACAGACATCGCTTCAAAAAAATCATTCCTCCCGTGTACTGACTATACGTAAATTAAAATGCGTCGATAGATATTGATTGATTTATTGACCTTAGTCTGTTCTTCTGCTAAGTTTCGCTTACAATCTATAACTTTCTCGGTTTGCTACCTTACAGCATGGTGCTCACTTAAGCTACATAAATACATAAAACATAATCCAATACCAGATATTTGAGCAAAATTGATAAGCCAAAATATGTAAGTTGTCATGTAAATTTTGATAAATCTAGCCCTGGATGGTGTCGGCATGAACCGATTGACCAGTACAAAGTACTAGTCCTGATAAATTTTTTGAAGATCTCTATAATTTGATAAGCAGCAGTCCAACAGTTCTACATATAAATTTGTCTTTAAGGGTTGTCACGAGCTATTCAAATCAACGCCCTATCACAAAATACAGTGTATACTGATGTGGTGTCCTACCTTCTTATGTAAACTTGATTTTATGTATGGCAGTATCGAGATCTGATTACTCTAAAAATACTTTTCGCGCGTTACAGTTGGAGCCAAAGTAGTCATTGCACGACATGGTAATGTTCCAGAACAATATACCAACAGGAAAAAAGGGCAAGGCACGGATTCCCCTCCCCTCTGTTTTTTTTTTTTTTTTTTTGTTCTGTTACATGAGACGTCTCATTAGCAGCAGTACTGCCTCCTTGTTTACGTGAATGTCTTTTCCTGTCTAAAGAAAAACTAGCTCTTACAAATGACGCATATTTACCAGTGAATCAAAGTTACCTATATTTCTCCATGTCTCAAACATTTCGTGGCATAATTGAAGTATGCACGTTACTCATGACTCTCAAACCGTTTTCTTTGCCACTCTTTCCAGTCGAACTTTTTAATGGGCACCATAAGTAAAAACGTTATATACTATATAAAACCTGGAACAGTGAGCTTACACTATGACACAGTCAAGGCATGTGGAGTGAACAAGATTTTCAAACTACTCTTCATTTTAAGAACATTCAATTATAATAGAGAGCAAAGGGAGTCTTTTTATTTTAATTTGAGTTACTTAATGGTTCTACCTAATGCAAAAAAGGCCCTTTACTTTTGAGAATAAGAAGCCTTATTCAGAAAAGTAAAGGGCCAAAAAAACAAAAAAAAAGCCCCCCACCGAAGCAGGAGGCAAAAAAAAAAAAAAAAAAAAAAAAAAAAAAAAAAAAAAAAAAAAAAAAAAGTATACAATAGATGGCAATAGATGGCAATAGATACAAACAAAAAACGATGCTTACTCCCTAACACCTCTGAGAAGTACGAATCACTCAATCCTGGGACTGACGGCACTAATGAGAGCTATTAAACAGCAAACATCAGTGTGAAAACAAACCTTAAAGAGAAGAAAAATCAATGGATGGGGGTTCCCTTTTTATACCATTTTGAAATCAAAAAAATTTATGGGCCATGTGATAGATATGACTATCAAATATGACTATCGATATGACTATCGATATGACTGCCTCTGGGTAAGTGAATGTGTTTACGCCACAAGGAGATCGCTTTAAAAGCAAAAAAAGTTACACAAAACTACTCTTTTTCCTGTAAAAATCACTATTTTTCATGCCACAGAAATTCATGCCTTCTTTGAAGTCTTCACGTTACTCCACCGTCTTTTTTTTATGTTACGCCAAGTCACAGAAAAGAGCGTTTAGACCTACCAGAAAGCACTTCAGTGTAGTTATTTTTATTGACCTCTATTACTGTTCATAACCAAGAATGTCTTTTGTCATTCTGTCTAATAAAAGAAAGTTTGTCACTGTTGTCTTTCACCTCACACGTATGCAAGTTATTATATAATGGGTGGAGGTAACTACTTGGACTTTAAGGTATAGTCAATGCTCACCATTAGTCATTATTTTCTTTAGTTTTCGTGCAAGGCTTCTGAAACTTATGCAGATGTTACAGTCCCCGCTTCCGACATTTCAAGTTCCTTCAGGCAACGTTTTTTTGATGAAAGACCGTAGTCCCTTTTTTTATTATTATTATCAGATAGAAAAAGTCTTTATAAGAGCTTGCAGTGAAATCCATAACCCCACATTCATACTCAAATACCAGTAATGACTGTAATTACTGTGCCCCCATCGTATTACAGTAAAACATGATGTCCTTTTCCGTCAGTTGAGTACAGAAACCTTGACGGTGTTTGCAAAGAAGAAAAAAAAAAGGGTCGTGTGTAAAGATCATTTGCATTTACATCTTCATAAGTTTGATGCATTCTTACTTTCCCTTTGCCCAAACCAGACATGCTATTCAGGTGAAGGATCGGCAGTTAAAGTGGCTTAGAGTAAAGTCTACATTCTCCTAAAATAAACAGCGTGCGTGTATTTCTTCTTTGACCTCACCATGTCATGTGCTTCTTGAGCAATTAGAGAATAGATCTACGAATGCTTACTTGTACAGAAAAATTTATTTTAAACGCTGGCTTTAGAGGGGAAGGTAACAACACGATACTTTCTTGAAATCTTAAAATGAGATTCAAAGGAATTGCAAGTGGGAGCCTTTGCCGTACTATTAAAATAAATTCTCACTGTGTGTGTGTGGGGGGGGGGGAGGGGTAATTTCTATGCTGAAGGCTGCATTTGAGTTTTGAGCTCCAAAGTAGACACTCATAGGTCATCCGTTCAATCTAAATTTTCACCAGTATGCGAGCTGAAAGTTCGGTGCGGTCTCCGACGATCAATTATTTTTCTTTTGCTATGTGCTTAGGCCTTTTTATTTTCTTAGATTAGAACGGCAGGTAAAGGATAAGTACGCTTCTTGAGGGTGTTGGTATCAGGTAATAAATGTTGATTTCATTAATAGAGGCTCTATTGTCCGTGTTCATGCATGTGGGTTGTTTGTGTGTATTGTCCACATCATCATATTTTGGGGGCTGATGATGGTGGTGTAGACATCAAAGTCTTTTGGAAATTAAGAAACACACATTCTATTTATTTCAACAACATTTGATGAATACTTGTATGATATTATAAATAAATTTAGAAAGTGAGATGTAATCAACGAGGATAACCACAATGTATTGTTTAAACTGGTTGAAGATGGATGCTCGAAAATGTCACAAAAATGCGTTTGGAACGATTTAAACTACCCTTTTCTACTTATAGTGTGGTAAGGATTAGTAGAGACTTAATTATCCCCCTGATCCAAATTTCTAAAAAATGGATGAGGGTCATTAGGTATTTCTCAAAAAAAAATCAATTTAAGCCCTGAGTCTCAACATTTGGTGGATATTTGCCCATCGGAGCTCATCCATTTTTCAAAAATTGGCTTAAAAAAAAAAAAGGTAATCCTTCTTCAGTCGGTTTTTGCGAGAGGCTCTCTCTCTCTCAAGTCTTAAAGTGAGGATCCCCCCCCCCCTCGTTCATGTTAACATACACGCTGTCTGAAAATAATTTACTGTTGAAGCTTGCAATGATGAAAAAAGCAGAGCACTACATGTTTTTTAGCGCCCTTCCAGTATTTGTATGAAAAAAAAAAAAAAAGGGGGAGGGGATATGTAAATTTCGAAACATTAAAAAAGTAGTTTTAAGCTGTGAAAGCTTACTTCAATTTTTATTAATATCCAGGTAAACTGAACCTACTATAACCTTTTATACATCCAATGAAAAAGTTATCATAAAGCCTTGTGTAATTCTACTAATAGCTCTACCACTTATATAGGATGTGCCTTAAGACAATCAGTAACGTGACTGTTGGCGTTACCAGATGGTAACCGATTCCCGGGAGAAAAGAGGGCATTCTCTTTCTGTTAGTAAAATTGTTTCTGATAGGCTAATATGGGTTAATGATGAACGGTTTCACTCCAAGAAAGTATGCTTTATTTTATTTTTTTTTCGTTTCGTTTGTAGAGCGAATGATTTATGACAGCCCTTTAGAAAAAAAAAAAAAGAGTTTCTCGATTTAAAAAAAAAAAAAAAAGGCAAGTAAGTGTACTTTTTTAATTTACACACACACACACATCCCCTATGATGTGAGTAATCTTTAAATAGACAATGTTGTAAAAAAAAAAAAAAATCTATTCTTGAAGAAAAAATAAAAGGAATGAAGCTAGTAGACATTAAGAAAATTAATTTAGCCAACAGGTTATGCTATGCGGATGTGTAAAAAAGCAGGAAACTCCCTAATTCCACAATAAAAAAAAAAGGGTTCTTGGGGGCTTCGGACAACTGGTGATGACAATTTTGGCTTTATTAAGACAAAACGAAAGCGGACAACTTTCACCCTCCTTATTAGGTTCTTGCATAAAATCGAAACTTGCTGTTTATTTATAAATAACGTGAAACAATGACGTGAAATGCATTGTTCAGGAAAAAATGGTGATACGAGAAAATATCCTTTGACACCTGAATAAACAAACCCCATACACACACACACACAGAAATATATATAGAAAACTTAGTTTTTTTTTTTGGGGGGGTGGGAAATACAAAAAAAACAGCGATCAACCTCTTTTATTTTAAAAATAAAATGAATCAAAATTTACTTGGGGGAATTTCTCTCGTTGCAAAAATCGATTTAGATTATATGTATATAACGGTGATTGAATTTAGTTCTCATCCTCAACAACCTCAGTGTTAAGACCTAAGTTGAATAAAAAAAATTGTGTTAGAATGAATCGAAGAGAAGTTGTCAATAATAAAATCTTACCCTTGAAGTCAACACAGGGGACGAAGGTGACATAAGAGTAGAGCTTCTCCTTGGCATCCTCATCATCATTACGTCTACGAGAGATACGGACACGGATACGATGGTTGGTATGCTTAACACCACGAGACCAGACGGCCTTGTTAAGAGAAGGATCAAGACGGACATCCTTGGTACCCATGGCAAGGGTAGCGAAAGCCTTGACGGACTTGATGGCATGAGGAGCACGCTTTCTCAAAGAGCGACCAAAGACATGCTTGTGCATGTGGATGGTGTACTCACGAGTAACGACATCAGCGAGGGTGGAACGCTTTTGGGTGGTCTTTTGATCCTTGGCCATTCTAACAATCTATCGTTAATTTTTTTATTTTCTAATATTCATCATCCATCCTTCGATTTGTTGTTTACTGATTTGTATTCTAATCTAAATGGATGGATGATGCTTGCACTTTTTTTTTTTTTTTTTTTTTTCTAATGTGGGTATACTTACTTGTGAGTGATTTAAAAAGAGGGAGATTCTTTCAGTTGCCAATGCTGGATTTGAGTATATACCCACTTTCCTTACAGTGATAGAGTTGAGCAGGTTGTCGGGAACCCAAAAAATGGTCACAGCTCCGGGCCGAACCTGTTTTTTTTTTTTCTTGCCCATTCTTTAAGTTGTGTGTGCTTACAAGATTTGTTCAGCAGTTTTGAATAGACAACAAGTGTGATAGCATTCTATCATGAACGAAGCACTTTTTTATTTATTTTGTATGTATATGTGTGCGTGTGTTTGTGTGTATACAAGTGAGACATTTAAGTGTCAATTGGTGTAGGAGAAGAAATAGGAGGAGGAGGTATTGCAAATGCATTTCACCGTAACTGGTATGATTGGTTATGAACGCTTACCGTGGCGTAAATGGACTCTAAATCAAATCACTGAAATATTCTCTCTCATCTTTATGGAAAAAAAAAAAGTACTCCTATTCCAAAAAAAAAAAAAAAAAAAAAAAAAAAAAACGTCTAAACTATAAATGTTTCCCAGATGAAAAAGGGGAAAGAACTAACAAAAGATTACACGAGGGCTCTCTATGTAGCAACCCCCCCTTAGATTTGTGTATCTAAGTTACTCAAAAAAAAAACATTTCTTTGTTCTTGCAAATGACGGAAGAAGAAAAAAAATTGGATGATGATAAGACTACTGCTAAAGAACAATTTTTTAAGTGACATTTAGGGAACTCCCCATAGTTGGATTTTTTTTTTTTTTTTTTTTTTTTATAAAATGTACATTTTTATTATTTTTTTTTTTTTTTTAATTTTATGCAACTGTCAAAATTAGGAAAATCAAGTCATTTATGCATAGGATGCACACACATACAATTAGTAGAATAATGAAAATATGTAGTGGGTAACCCAAAAAAAAAAAACCGAAAAAAAAAAGAAAAAAAAAACCAGACGTGTGTGAGCGAGAGAGACGGGATAGAAAGAGATGATGAAAATTAAAAAAAACAGAAGGGCTGTCATAGTACATTTTAAAATCGACCATTTTAATACGACTATCTATTGAGTAATAGTAATAGATTACCACCATGTTATAGTAAATTCCTCATTCTTGGTGTATGCCTGATTTTGGATAAATTACAAAAAATTAAAGGAGAGTCTTTTATTGATTTTTACTTACATGTATACATATTACTGCTCCTTTGTAAGCAATGAATATAGATATATAAAAATAAAGAATAAAAGCAAAAAAGAAAAAAAGAAAAAAATAGGTAGTCTAGGCCGATCATTGGTAAATAATAGAGTGTGTTGCAGATCCACACATAACTGTATAAAATCGCATTTCTTTTTTTATTGATAGACTTTCTTTTTTTTTTTTCTTCTTCTCTCTCTCTCTCTTTTTATTTGGATGAACTAAAAAAGTACAATGGAATCTACTAGTATTTTATCAACATCAACCAAGTTACCTAGCATTTTAATGATGAATTCTTATTATGATCAAGTTGTTGTATCTCCCCCATTAACACCTGCTGTTTCACCTTCTACTATGCTAATGGATTCAAGCAATACAGACAATTTGTACAACAACAATAATTATGCTTATTCAACCTATACGGGCAGTATGAACTCCCCAAACAGCAGTCACCATCATGATCAACATCATCATCACCAACAACAACAACAACAACAACAATCGACCCCATCGACGACTGCACACAAGCATATTTGTCATTTTAACTTTTGTGGTTGGAGTTTTAAACGCTATGAGCACTTGAAGAGACACATGTTGGTTCATACGGGTGAAAGACCTCACACCTGTCGCTATCCTGGTTGCGGTAAAAGCTTTAGTCGATCTGACAATTTTCATGCTCATTATCGTACCCATACCAAAAAGAAATCCTGTGCGACCAAGAGAAAAAATGCTGCAGTCACTACCGTATCCGCGGCTGTCACTCAGCGTATCACTCCACAGGAACAGGCCAATCAGCAACAATCACAAGGAAGACCTCATAATTTCTTGACTTCAATTGCTACGACAGCTGCTGTCGTTGCTGTGTCACAACAACAATTACAGCAGAATCAACAAGTTTTCTATAACAGTCATTTATATGATGGAAGATCGACCGAGGTAACACAACAATCAAAAATTGCACTTTTTTTATTTTAATTAACATTTTTTTTTTTTTTTTTTTTACAAGATGAATAATTACTATAGAAACTCATTTCAGCATAGCAACACTTCGCCCGTCCTAAATTTTAATCTACTAAGTCCTACTTCTACACCCTCCACACCACCCAGTAATCTATCATTATTAAACCATGAACCTACCTTTTTTTCCAATAACTATGCCTCTCCTTACATGTCATCATACCCCATATACCAACCCACTATGCCCAATTTATCAAAACCAAAGTTTAAAAAGACTTCTACTACGACCGCATCCGCATCTGCATCCGCATCGTCGACAACAACAACAGCAACCGCAACAACAACATCATCTACAGCAAAGTCGCATGCATGTCCAGTATCGCAATGTCTACGAAGATTCAAGAGGCTAGAGCATCTGAAACGTCATATGCGTATTCATACGTTAGAGAGACCATTTCGTTGTTCATATCCAGGTTGCCAAAAGAACTTTTCCCGATCGGATAACTTATCTCAGCATATCAAGACGCATCAAAAACACGGAGCGAAAAGAAACTAGTTTTTTTTTTTTTATCTGTCCCCATCATTTTCATTGTTAGCTAAAAAAAAAAAAGCCCCCCAACTTGGTTCTTGTTGGGGGTGCTTCTTAAATAAAAAAAAAAAAAAAGCGGCATAAGCACCTAAACCAGTTTTTAAACCTCGGCGGCAAGCCTTTTATGGGAAATACCACTTTTAAATAAACTAGTCACACTTGGAACTTTAAAAAAACCCACCCCAACACCCCCCCTTTATCTTTTTGACATTTTTTTTTTTTTATATATTTTTATATCTTTTTCTTTAATTCTTATTATTAATAATAAATCATGTCTGCTAAACCCATTAGAGAATATGATGGTAAGCTTTTATTAGCCTACCATCTTTTACGTGCACCTATTGTCGGTCAAGAAGATAGCGCTTCACTCTTTTCCCCTGCTGCTACCAAGTTGGCTCATATTAATGTGGATACTTCTCTTTTGGAGAACCGTGCTGCTTTTGATGCCGCTTTAAAGCAACAACTTGATAACCTTGAAATCACGCATCCTTGGTTACTCACTGACAAGTTGGTTGCTAAACCTGATCAATTGATCAAGCGTAGAGGAAAGTATGGTCTCTTGACTCTCAATAAGGATTGGGCTGATGCTCGTAAGTGGATTGAAGAGCGTGCAGGAAAAGAAATCAAGGTAAAAAAAAAAAAAAAGATATATAAAAAAAAATAAAAAAAATAGATGAGATTACCATATTTGGTGCAGAAAAACTGATTTTTTTTTTTTTTTTTGTAAAAGATTGAAAGAACGACTGGTGTTATCAAGACTTTCCTTGTTGAACCTTTTGCTCCTCACCCTGACAACACTGAATACTATATCTGTATTAACTCTGTTCGTGAAGGTGATTATATTCTTTTCACTCATGAAGGTGGTATTGAAGTAGGTGATGTGGATGCCAAGGCCTTAAAGATGTTGATTCCCGTCACAGGTGAATTCCCTTCTTCTCAATCCATCAAGGAGACTCTCTTAAAGGACGTACCCGAGTTCAAGCGTGATGTTCTTGTAGACTTTATTCGTCGTCTCTATGCTGTTTATGTGGATCTCCATTTCACCTACCTTGAAATCAACCCTTTGGTCGTCACAGACCCCGTAGAGGGTCAAACCCCTCAAGTCATGTATCTTGATTTAGCAGCCAAGATTGATCAAACCGCTGAATTCGAGGCTGGACCTAAATGGGCTATTGCTAGAGCCCCTCAAAATATTGGTCTCGTTCCTTCCTCTTCTGATGCTCAAAATGTGGATGGAGGACCCCCTATGGATTTCCCCGCTCCTTTCGGTCGCGAATTAACACGTGAAGAAGCTTATATTCAGGAATTAGACGGAAAGACCGGTGCTTCACTCAAGTTAACTGTCTTGAACAAGGATGGTCGTATCTGGACCATGGTTGCTGGTGGTGGTGCCTCTGTTGTTTACTCTGATGCTATTGCTGCTTTGGGTCATGCTGATCAACTTGCCAACTATGGTGAATACTCTGGTGCCCCTACCGAGACTCAAACCTATGAATATGCAAAGACCATCTTGGATTTAATGACCCGTGGTGACGTCAACCCTCAAGGTAAGCTCTTATTCATCGGTGGTGGTATTGCCAATTTCACCAATGTGGCTACTACTTTCAAGGGTATCATTCGTGCCTTGACCGAGTTTAAGCAAGCTTTGATCAATCACAAGGTTAAAATCTTTATCCGTCGTGGTGGTCCCAATTACCAAGAAGGTCTTCGTGCCATGCGTCAATTAGGTGAAACCCTCGGTGTTCAAATTCACGTGTTTGGTCCCGAAACTCATATCACCGAAATTGTCCCCTTGGCTCTCGAGGGTAAGTCAACTACCCTTCAAACTTCTACTACTACTTCTTCCGGTAATTTGTTCCAAGATCAAATCTTTGGCTCGGATACTCCCTCCGGTGCAAACACCCCTAAACTTGTGATTGCTGAGGACAACGAAACCCCTAGTAACCCTAATGAACGTATGACTTATTTCGAGAGCGGTCAAGAAGAGTCTGCCGAATGGTATCGTCCTTTCACCTCCAAGACTCGTGCCTTTGTCTATGGTATGCAACCTCGTGCTGTACAAGGTATGCTTGATTTTGATTTCATGTGTAAGCGTACCACTCCCTCTGTCGCTGCTATGGTTTATCCCTTTGGTGGATCTCACGTTCAAAAGTTTTATTGGGGTACCAAGGAAACTTTAATCCCCGTTTTCACTTCATTAAAGGAAGCCGTTGAAAAGTTCCCTGAAGTGGATGTCATTGTGAACTTTGCCTCTTGTCGTTCCGTCTTTGACTCGACTCGTGAAATCTTTACTTATTCACATCAAATCAAGACCGTGGCTATCATTGCTGAAGGTGTCCCCGAACGTCGTGCACGTCAATTATTACATGAAGCTGAAGCACGTCACGTCCTTGTCATTGGTCCTGCTACCGTTGGTGGTATTAAGCCTGGATGTTTCAAGATTGGTAATACAGGTGGTATGATGGATAACATTGTTTCCTCCAAGTTGTATCGTGCTGGTTCTGTAGGTTATGTCTCCAAATCTGGTGGTATGTCCAACGAATTAAACAACATTGTCTCTCGTGCTACCGATGGTGTCTATGAAGGTGTGGCGATTGGTGGTGATCGTTACCCCGGTTCTACTTTTATTGATCATTTATTACGTTATGAAGAAGACCCTAACTGTAAGATGCTTGTGCTTTTAGGTGAAGTCGGTGGTATTGAGGAATACCGTGTGATTGAAGCCGTCCAAACCGGTGTCATCAAAAAGCCCATTGTTGCTTGGTGTATCGGTACTTGTGCCAAGATGTTCACTACCGATGTTCAATTCGGTCATGCTGGCTCCATGGCTAACTCTGATTTAGAAACCGCTGATGCCAAGAACAAGGCAATGCGTGCTGCTGGTATTGTTGTCCCAGAGACCTTTGAACAAATGCCCTTGGCTTTGGCTGAGACCTACAACAAGCTTGTCAAGGAAGGTGTGATCCATCCTAGAGCTGAACCCGAGATCCCCAAGATCCCCATCGATTACTCTTGGGCTCAAGAACTTGGTTTGGTTCGTAAGCCTGCTAGTTTTGTCTCTACCATTGTCGATGACAGAGGTCAAGAGTTATTGTATGCTGGTATGAGAATTACTGACGTCTTTAAAGATGATGTCGGTATCGGTGGTGTTCTTTCTCTTTTATGGTTCAAGCGTAGACTCCCCGATTATGCTTGTAAGTTCATTGAGATGGTCTTGATGTTGACTGCTGATCATGGACCTGCTGTCTCTGGTGCCATGAACACGATCATCACGACCCGTGCTGGTAAGGATTTAATCTCCTCTCTTGTCTCTGGTCTTTTAACCATTGGTGAAAGATTTGGTGGTGCTTTGGATGGTGCTGCTGGTAACTTTACCAAGGCTTATGACAGTGGATTAACCCCTCGTGAGTTTGTTACTTCGATGCGTAAGGCTAATAAATTGATTCCGGGTATTGGTCACAAGATCAAGTCGCGTACCAACCCTGATATGCGTGTCGAATTAGTCAAGGAATACGTCAAGAAGAATTTCCCTCAAACCCCCATTCTTGATTACGCTCTCAAGGTAGAAGAGATTACGACCAGCAAGAAGGATAACTTGATTTTAAATGTGGATGGTTGTATTGCTGTTTCCTTTGTGGATCTTTTACGTGGATCGGGTGCATTTACAGAAGATGAGGCAGAGGAATATATGCGTATTGGTACCTTGAATGGTCTCTTTGTGCTTGGTCGTTCTCTTGGTTTCATTGGTCATCATTTGGATCAAAAGAGATTGAAACAAGGACTTTATAGACATCCTTGGGATGATATCTCTTATCTTTTACCTTCTTTAGATCCTGAAACTTTAGATCCTCGTCGTGTTAATGCTCGTGTCAATGTTCAACCCAAACAATAAGTTCCTTTCCCCCCCCATAACAACAACAACAACAAAAAAATTGTAAAAATTACCACCACCCACACCCCACTACATTATTCATTATCTTTTTTCTTTAAAAAAATAAAATATTCTTAATCAGAAAAAACAATGACGAAACTTTTAAAAAATAAGGAGAAAGTTGTTTAATTATCATCATCTCTTAAAATTTTATAAACAGCGCAACTAAAATAAAGCAAAAAAAAAAAAAAAAAAAAAAAAGACAGAAAGAGAAAGAGAGAGACAAGAGAAAATCGATTTATTTCTGTGTTTCCCCTCTCTCTTTTTTTTTTTCTTTCTCTTTCTTTTTTTTTTTTTTTACATACATAACGATGGACGAAAATTACGGAGGCGGATTTGATTTGATTTCAGCAGATATCGAAAAGAGTTATATTCGACAAAATTTACCCATTCGACGTCAAAGTCTCATTGTTTACCATGACCAACTTCATGCGTCTAATGAACCCAAACAACATTCAAGTATGCTTGTAGCCACGGACACCGTTGCTGCTTCCGTCGACACAGAGAAACCATTGAGTATCAAACTCGCCAACAACTTTGTCGAACCCCTTCCCGCCCCTTCGCCCGAGAAAGCAGCAACAACAACAACAACAGCAACAGCAGCAACAGCAGCAGCACCACCACCACCAACGACAAAAATCATTGGAATCTTGAGCCCAAGCAGGTCAGAATCGACTCGCAAAGAATTGTGGAATGATATGCAACCACTCTCTAAACTCAAGAGTGTATTTTCTCGACTCCACCCAAATGAAACATTGACAACATCTAAACGAAGTCATTGTAACCACGATGTAAAGAAAAAGAAAAAAAAGTCAACAGGGAAAAATCATCATGCAGGCATCATTTATACTGCATTATTATCACATGTATCCAAAGATTTCTTGAAAAAGATACAATTGTCAACGATTGGAGAATATCATGACGTCTTTGATGGAACCACAGCTGTGGTAAGTGATAGGAGAAAAGAGATATATTTTGTATGTCACACACAATGATAACTAAATTTTTTTTTTTTTTATATATATATACAAGAATTGCATTCTGGATATTCTAAATACAAATGACAGAAATTTGGCCTTGTTGGTGGGTAGAGCCTTGGAAAATCAAGATTTGTTTCACCACGTGGACTATAAATACAAATTACGAGATTCAGATACAGAATTATATCAATTTCAATTTATTCATCATGACGATACCATCTTTCTCGAGACAATGTCAGGTAACAAATTATCTTCCAAAAAGAGCAGTAATAAACGCAATGGTAAAAAAAAACACCGCCCACCCAAAAAAAAAAAAATTAATTGTTTTTTAATTTAATTAAAACGCACTAGTGCCATCGGCTTGTAAAACATTACCCATAAATGGTATCTTTTCTGTTTTAACAGATTGTTATTCACCAACATGCACAAGAAAAAGTCCGTGCTATAGTATCAGCTGTCCCCGGATGAAGGAAAAAAAAAGTCTTCAACGTCCGCTTAGTCTTTACTTTGGCGCTGAACAAGAGGTAATCTATCCCTTATAAGTCTTCCCCCCCATCCTCTTCTTACTACTAATGATCCCCTTCCTAAAAAAAAAAAAAAAAAAAAAGCGTTCCTTATGGAGACATTCAGTACCTTTAAATGTTGTCCTGGGTGCTAACAATCTAGAGCAAAAACGTCAAGAATGCATCTATGAGCTTATCTATACCGAAGAAGATTTCACAAAAGACATGCATTATGTGCAAGACGTAAATATCCAATTTTAAAATAATACGCACACCAGATTCTAAAAATCAAGTTATATATATATATATATATATATAGTTTTGGATAGAACCTATTCGATGGGGAGATATCATCCCGATTGAAAGAAGAAATGATTTTATAACAGATGTATTTTGGAACATCAAGGATATTGAAAGAGTGAGTTCTGCACTCTCCAAGGACCTCACAAGCAGACAAGATAAACATACGATTATACCAAGGATCGGTGATATTCTCTTGAATCACGTCAAGGATTTTCAACCGTTTGTGATTTACGGTGCTCATCAAATCATTGGCAAACACGAGTACGAATTAGAAAAGAAACGAAACGTCAAACTACAACAGTTTGCAGAAAAGTTGGAGAGACAACCTGAATCGCGTCGGTTGGAATTAAATGGTTATTTGACAAAGCCCACGTTAAGATTAGGCCGGTATAACCTGTTACTGAATACCATTCATCAACTCACCCCAGCCAATCATCAGGATTATCAGGATCTACCAAAAGTCATTCGGACCATTACCGAGTTTATGATCCTGTTGAATAAAAAGGTTGGGTTGTCGGATAATGCGTTTCATCTAGAGCAAATAGCTTCAAAGATACTACCCACTAAAGGACTTGCGGTAAAAAAAAAAAAAAAAAGCGTTGCTATGCTTCATATAAAACATGGATTCTTAACAACACCCTTCTATTTCCCCCAATAGAATTTGGACCTGTTGGATCCAAAGCGACAACTGATTATGCGTGGAAAGATGAAGCGCTTTAATGATCAAACTTGGGATATTCAAGTATTTCTATTTGATCATTATCTCGTCATTTGTAAAATAAAATACCAAGATGGGTTAGAGTACTATAAAGTATATGGAAAGGTAAATCTGTGAGCATGAAAGGGGGAGGAGTGACTTTTTATTTATATTAAAAAAAATTACCTTTTTATTATAGCCCATTCCATTCGAAGCACTCCATGTATCTATACCAAACTCAGGTTAGTGTGTTTCCTATATATAAAAATGTCATCTCTTTTTTTTTTAAACTTTTTTTTAACATATATATGACAGACATGATTCCCTCCCCTGTATCTGCCAAATCCAACATTTACAACAAAATTACCTCTCCACCCGTAACAGGTTTCCCTATTGTCTTTCATCATCTGGACGAATCCATCACTTTATTCACTGAAAATGAATCCACAAGAAAGTTATGGTTAGATAAAATAAATGAGTTGGGATAATTAAAAACTTTTTTTTTTTTTATTATTATTATTATTTGTGGGTAATTAAAAAAAAAAAGGGTGGGGGGTATATGCAAAAATGGGATGAGTGTGTTTATATGATGTTTAAGAGACTTTCGAATGAGAATCAATCCTTTCGAAAATTCTTTTTTTTTTTTAAAAAAAAATGAGAGTTGCTTATTTATGAGGAATGATTTGTGTGGGGACAATGATCTTCATGAGAGAATTGGGTAATATCAACACCACATTTTGGACAGAAACTGTAACAACTGTGACTTTGTGCACCTGTGAATGAACTGGTATGATAATAAGCGTCTGTTGCGCTATCCATGCTTTTATCGTTTTGTGCACGATTGTATTGATGTGTAAGCTTAATATTGGCACTTTCCATTTTTTGTTATTGTTGTAATGATGATAATTTACAGTTTTTCTTTTTGTTTTTTTTTAAAAAAAAATTGTCTTATTTATACATGTATGAAAAAAGAGATCGGCTGATTAAAAAGCCCCTTCTTTTTGTTGTTGTTGTTGTTGTTGTGGGGGAGGAGGAGGGGCCAACAGAAGGGAAATAGGGAAACCCTTTCTTTAATAACTTTTTTTTTTTTACACGTTTCAGTTCAAATGAAAACATAATCTCTCTCTCCCCTCCCTCCTTTTGTGGGTAATAAATAATCATGCGATTCACATCAATCGGCTGTTGTCCTACTCCCTGCAAGAAAAAAAAGAGGTGTAGTAGAATACGTAGACATGTTACACGCATAAATCTTTCTCTTTTCTGATTAAACAGCAGCACAATGAAACGTCCCGTATCATGACACATATTGTGATACATGCAAGGAGTACATCTTTCTTCCCTGCACAAAGGTCTGTATTTGTCAATTTCCCAAAAAAAAAAAAAAAAAAAAAAAAAAACTGAACAAAACACGGTTCATGCGTATACTCAAACTTCAATCTCCCCCCTCTCCCCTCCCCCCATTTTCTCCTGTTGAATGCGCTATAATGTAGTCCGACAGTACCAACTTATAGATAAAAATATTCCGGGTTTTTTAGGGGATGTAAAAGCCGTCTTTGGGTGTATTTATAAAAAACGAGGAGTCTATATAAACATAAATATATATATTTATATATATAAAGAAAGGGTTTATTTAAACAGAAGCTTGAACAGCGGGTTCAACGAAATCCTTGGAGGCCTTAGCACCGGTATCATCACCAGCAGCGTTAGCACCACCGTGAAGGGCAAGAAGAGCAGAGACATCAAACTTGGGAGCCTTGAGGATCTTGACCTTACGAGTGTAGGTGTTTTGGAGAGGGTAGATACCTTGACAGGCCTTTTCGATACGGACAGCGATAGCATCTTGAGCAGATTGAGAGGCAGAAGAGGTAACCTTGGCAACGAGTTCCTTAAGATCACAGGCAACAGCTTCTTCAGTCATGATCTCGAACATCTTCTTACGGATTTGACGGATTTGACCGGCTTGAGCGTAAGTAGTCTTCTTGATTTGGTTACGACGACGAGAAGTGAAGGAGACGGCAAAGAGACGGACAAGATAACCATCGGTTGTCTTGACATCAACAAAGGCCTCAATTAAAGATTGCCACTTCTTGACCATAGAACGGAGCTTGTCGGTGGTCATATCCATACGGTAGAAGTTGGTGAGACAGTTCTTACCTTGGATTTCGTCTACCTTCAATTGGATCTTACGGAAAGAACGAGATTCATCCTTGGATAAATCACCAAGAGACATCTCAACAACACGACCGAGGAGAGAATCGTTGGCGTTACGGAGACCTTGGGTACGGTTGACAAGTGTCTTACCGACTTGACGGACATCAAACATGGAAGGGGCCTTGATATCATACCAATCCTTACGGGTGAAAGGGTCGACACTATTTTTTTTTTTTTTTTTTTTTTTTTTTTTTTTTAGGAAATTGTTTAATTACGTGTAAAAATATATAAAAATAAAACCAATTGGGTCTGTGTATAAATTGATATAAGGTAATAAAAGAGAGAGATAGAAAATTCAGTTGCGCGTAAAATTACATTGGGTTGTACGTCATTCGAAAGTAAACTACATCCAATTCATCTGTTATAGATCCTGTGCGTCTTTTTCGTCAAAAGCATTTCAATCCAAGCTAAATTCACGTCGTTATTTCGATGAGGGTGTTTTCATTGTTTAAAATATGTCGTTCAAGTGCGCGGTGTAATTGCTTTTTTTTTTTTTTACGAATAAAATAAAAAAAAATCTCTCTCTTTATTTTCCAAAATAATCAATAGGTACTTTAAAAAAAAAAAAAAAGAGCAACTTACACCTTCTTCTTCAAACCCTTCTTTCCTTTACTAAGACGCCTGTTAAAGTAAAAACAAGAATGAGTATACGAATTGACATGCCGTCGCATGAAGAAAAAAACTTACTTGTTCTTGCCAACAGCTGTAATAGTCAACAAGTAGGATAATTCATGGTGTGGGGAGTTAGATGGATGGATGGATGGATGGTAAATGATTTACTTTACCCATGATTGCACTTGTAGGATTAAAAAGAAAGTTTTCTAGATTTCCTCCCCCCTCTTTTGGGCTAGTGAATACTACTGTGGCACCCACCTCGGGGATTTTCTTCCTGCGGTACACGGGGTTTAAACAAATTAACCTAATTTTAAAAAAAGGTGTTTTTAATCAATGACCTCTCTCTCTCTCTTTCTCCTCGTATCATACATAATTCATTTACATATTAACTTTTAGGAGAAGACTTGGTGTAGTAAAGGGGAGATAATATTTGATTAAAAAATAAAAAATGACTATCAAGATCTTGCCTCATGGCATTTGTATACCGTGTGCGGTGCCCTGAAGATGAAGTTATTTCGTCACTTTTATAATGGAGACTCACAAGCACTGAGAATTCACTGTATCTCTCTGTTCATAAGTTGTACTTTTGTCACAATGACTACCCAGATAAAATATAGTCATCCTCCCATTGAGAGAGAGAGAAATACGTATCTGGGATGATTTTATGTAGTAACAGTAAATAGACTGAAAAGAAGTAATCATTTCAGGAAAATCCATGTCTATTTTATAAACAGAATTGATTACAATTAACTGTTTAAAACAATTTAAAACATGTCTTTCACTTGAATGGTGGTTGATATATGACCGTTTCTTAGCTCGCAAACTGATTTTGATCCGTCAAGGCTTGTAACACTACTTGAGTTCACTTTTCAACATCCTTTTAAAGCATACACTCATCCTTTAATTCCCCAGTTTTTCAAATGGACACAATAAAAAAAGGCGTGTCTCTACGCTAAAAGTGAATTGGTAAGCTCTATTTTAATACAGGTGAAAGAGAGGAGTATTTACCTTGAACAACTTAATCACGTTGACTCTTTTTGTTAAATGAAGTGTGTGTGTGCTTTTTTCAGCACTGGGTACGTCCTTATACAAGCCAAGAGCCATTGTCCTCCTGGTAGGTGTACTTATTCTCTGTCGTTTGTGGTTGTTTCTTGATAAATGGAATAAGCCCTCATCACATATACGTACACATTCTAATCGATATTCCCAACGACTATAGTCAAGGGCAACAACCCTCGGACCACAAACAAGACATAGTCATCACATTGTAACTCTGTTACTGTTCTTTTTGCTTTCTGAGAAGGTGTGACAACCCGTCGAAATCTTCTGTTCATTGGACGCGTTCTTTTGCCTAGTGAGACGCATGTCCTTTTGACTGTTGTTTAAGAGTTGCTTTTGGAGGAGGAATGTAGTGTTTGCGACGAGGTTTTTCTACCTGACACCGCACTCTTGTTGTTGTTACGTGAGTGTGTTGTTCATTTGATGGAGCTCTTTCTAAAAAGTAGGTCAACAATTTGAAATGGGTATATTAAATACTTTGGAGGTTTGGACTGCTTAGTCAATTAGACTGTTTTTTCTTTCTAGGATTCTTTCTACTAAAAGGAATGAATGGCACTTTATCGACTTTTTTATAGACGTTGCGACGTTTTATACCAGTCATAATGCTTAAGACCGCTTGACTGAATCACTTTAAAATCCCGCATACAAAAAAAAGAAACCCCACAAGAAATATTAATTTTTTAAATTCAGCTTTATTTATGCAAAAAAAAAAAAAAAAAAAAAAGAAAAAAAAGTTTAAAATATAAAATTAAAGGGGGCATTGGTCTAATGAGTCTACCCTTCCAGTGCTAAAACTCTGTAGAGAATCCGCCACTAATTGATCACTGGTAATCTACTCGTCTCGTGCGTACCTGTTGCTGATCTACTAGTTCGTATCTGTTGCTGATCGTATCTATTGCTGGCCAATGATCAACCAATGAAGAACCCTCTCGCTTGTTTCAAACACGCCCGGAGGCAGGAAAGAGATTAGAACCGCCGCCACCCAAAAAGACCCCACCGCAGATTTGCTGGCAAGACAAAACTACGGCACTTTTGCTGGCTAGACAGAAGCTGGATAAAGAAAAAAAAATCGAGAGTTGGCAGAAAATGTGCCCTTTATATACCTTTTTTTCCATCACACAAAATCGATTTTTTTTTTGTTTTGTGACCGGTTTTGCTGCGCAGTGCCTTCAAAAATTTCAAAAGTCACGGACAAATAAAGCAAACATGCGCAGTAAATAAAGGGAAGAAAGGGTAAACAAAAGTGAAAAAGAACATTAAAGGCCTTATGTCGACATTGACATTTAGGAAACACTAAAAGAATAAAAAGACCACCTCCGACACTTGTACAACTCAGCAACATTATGTATAATGTCAGCCATTGTTACATTTCTTGCACTAATTGAGACTTTATTTTCTAAAGGGTTTTTTTGGGAGGAATTTTTGTTCTGCTGCTGGCACTTCTGCTAATAATATTGGTTGATTATAAAGTTGTAATAAGCAGCTACGTTGCAGAAAGCAAAACATGGTTTTATGAATTTTTACTCCCAGAAGAGCGGGACTTACAAATTATGTGCATAACCTAAATCCTTTACTGCGTTGCACATTGCCTTAATTTTTAAAATTTGTGTGAATAAGGTTCTTGATGAACTGTTTCTATGATCAATGTATAATCAACTGATCAATAGAAGAACAGTCAAAGAAATAAATAGTTACCTGGACATCCTCCTCCGCCCCCGCTCATCTACTCTATTTTAGACACTGAAAAATTGACAAGCGTCTTAAATTAAATTCTGTATTGGAAAAAATAACGTGGATCTGTATCACATCCGAGCGGCCATTTGATAATATACACAAATGATGGAGACTGAAAAATAGTCCTCGTGGGAGTTTTCTCGTGTTACTTGAACAAAAAGTCATTTTTTTAACAGGAGAAATGCAACAAGGAATGAAATTACAACCGTCAAATAATGCTTGACAACAGTACTTTATAAAAAAAGAAAAGAGAGGGAATTCAAAAAAAGTTAATGGAGAGTCGTATGCAATTTAACATTACTATAAAACGAAATTTTGTAGGCTTTTGAAAGAGAAAAAAATGCATGAAAAAAGGGGAAAGTGTACACCCCCCGGAGTGTCAAAAATAAATAAATAGCGAGATAGTTTTTGAGCATATATATATATAAAAAAGGGGCACACTTCTTTTTACTTTTTAGTAGATCTTATTTTTCGACATGGCTTTAAGAGTACCTAAAAGCACACTTCCTCAGCTCTTCAAGGACGGTTACAAGGTAAACAAACAAGTCGGGTTCAAGATTAGACGATCTCACCAAAATTGTAGTTTCAATCGGGCGTCGAAGAAGCTGTTTTACAAAACATTGAAGCCACGCATGAATTTGCTGAAGTTGTGCGTACATCCATGGGACCTCATGGTAAGCTAAACTTTTTTGTGGTGGTGTCAATAAAAAAATTAAAACATACAATCTAGGTCGTAACAAGATGATCATTAACCATCTCGAAAAATTGTTTGTGACCAACGATGCCGCCACGATTATTCGAGAACTCGATGTAGTGCATCCCGCTGCCAAATTGTTGGTCATGGCGTCTCAGCAACAAGAAAGTGAAATGGGGGATAACACAAATTTCGTGGTGGTTTTTGCTGGTGCACTTTTACAAAAGGCTGAATATCTTGTTAAAATGGGTCTTCATCCTTCCGAGATTAGTTTAGGATATCAATTAGCAAGAGACCGTGCATTACAAATACTACCTGGTAAAAACTTATGAGTGGCTATTAACACTTTTAAAATGGAAGGGTGACTAAATCATCAAATTTTTTTTTTCTAGAATTGGAAATCGATCAAATTCAATCGCTGACAGATAAACAAGAATTATTAAAGATCATCAAGGCTCCCATCTCTTCTAAACAATACGGTTATGAAGACCTCTTGTCCCAATTAGTGGTAGAAGCTGCTCTCAACATCATGCCTAAAAACCCTAAAGATTTCAACGTGGATAATATTCGTGTCGTCAAAGTCATGGGTTCCAGTATCCATGACTCCCGCGTAGTCAAAGGTATGGTCTTTGGTCGTGAACCCGAAGGATCTATCCGTGAAACCAAAAAGGCAAAGATCGCTGTCTTCACCTGTCCATTGGACATCACACAAACCGAGACGAAAGGTACCGTCTTGATCCATCATGCCAGTGAAATGTTGAATTTCAGTAAAGATGAAGAAAAACAAGTGGAAAAGGTCTTTGCGGATTTGGCTGAGGCTGGGGTCACGGTTGTAGTGACGGGTAATGGCATTGGTGATTTGGCTTTGCATTATTTAAACAGATATAATATCATGGCGGTCAAGGTACTTTCGAAATTTGATTTACGTCGTCTGTGTCGTGTCATTGGGGCCACTGCTTTGGCACGTCTAGGTACACCGATGGCAGAAGAGATGGGAGCGTGTGATATCGTAGAGACAGTAGAGATTGGCTCTGATTTAGTGACAGTGTTTCGTCAAGAAGAAAAAGATGTCAGTACACGCACAACAACCATTGTCATTCGCGGAGCTACCCAAAATCATATGGATGATATTGAACGTGCTATTGATGATGGTGTTAGTGTAATTAAGGCCGCTACACGTGATAATCGACTTTTAGCGGGTGCAGGTGCCGTGGAGATGGAATTAAACAAGCGTCTTCAAGAGGTAGCAGCAAAAACTCCGGGATTAAACCAACATGCCATCAAGAAATTTGCTGAAGCGTTAGAGATTGTGCCTCGTACACTTTGTGAAAACGCAGGTATGGAAGCCACAGCAGTTCTATCCCGATTATATGCGGCACATTATCAAGAGGATAAAAAAGGTGCGTGTATTGGTGTGGATATTGAAAGTGGAATGGATGGCACCTTGAATGCCGTAGAGGCTGGGATTTTTGACTCACTAGCAACAAAAGCATGTGCCATGAAGTTGGCTGCAGATACAGCTATTACTATTTTAAGCGTTGATCAGATTATCATGTCTAAACCTGCAGGCGGACCCAAACCTCCCAAGAAAGAAGCACATTGGGATGAGGATTAACAACAACAACAAAAAGTTAACTCCCTTCCATTTCTTATGTACTTTATATATATATATATATATTATGAAATATAATTAAACCTCTAAACTATTTTAATTGATTTGTATATGTATTTAGTTAAGAAGACTTTAAATTATAAGCTTGAGACACTCTGCGTGAGTGTTTACCAGATCCATCATCGGATAGAATAGGTGTACTGGAAGCGGCTTTAAGAGAATATACCAATTGAATCATTTGATCTTCCTCTCTATCCAATTGCATACCATGTTGTGTAGCATAACTTTGATCCGCTCTTAAAATGGACCGAATTTGATTTTGACACTTGTCAAAGACTTGTGCGTTATGACGTAAATTCACATTATCTGTCACAAGACGGTATTTTTCAATTTCGTGACAAAGAGAAGCGATATCTGCTAATTTCAATAAAATGTTTTCACTTTCGTCAATACCAGCCGACTAAGAAAAAAAAAGTTTCTTTAAACATCAGTCATCTTCCATGTGTATCTTATTCAAAATTCCCTCCTCCCCTTCACTTACAGCTTCATTTTCTTCAATAATTCGCGTGGAAACCATGACAAGGTCTTCGTTGGTGGTAACACCTAATTCAAGTAACAAAATCTGAGCATCGGGTGAAAGTTTGGTCTTGGGATGAACAGCGTCAATAAATCCAATCGCTAAAAAGTTGTCTACAGCGTTCTGACTGGCTTCGGTTGATAGAACTTCACGGTACACAGTACGTCGACCTGTGATCAAATGAGCGGCAATCCATTGAGATAACACGGGTACGATTTTACGTGGCATGTAAGGTAAATCACGAAGCGCAGAAAGTGAACAGGAAGTGATCCAATAAGCGTCCAATGTGGGGTATACAAACGAAGCAAGTAAACATACACGTGTATATTCTACCTCATTGTTTTCAAATGTCACGACTTTGGTATACAATCCTTCTTGATTTGTCACGAGCAAATTCTTTTTAACGAACCATTGTAAAAGCGTATTGAATTTCTATCAAAAATAAGAAAGGGTAAGATACCTTTGTTTAAACGCCAGCATCCACAAAAAGAAAAATGGGGGGAAGGGGAGGGCTTACCTCTTCTCTGCTCCAAGGGTAGATAAACTCATGTTTAAATAACCTCACCAAAAAAGTAAAATGGGCATAAAGTTCCTTATGTGTCATTTGTTTCACAGTTCCCGAAAGATAGACAACGGCGAATAAAGCTTCAGGTAAAAAGATCTCCATCAACTGACTGGCCATATAAGAAAGATCCATGACATTATCCGCATGTTCCACCACTCTGACAATCGTTTGATCTGTAACACGTTTTCCATCCATGGTGAGATTATTACGGGCATCTAAAAGATTGAAAGCGTACGATACAATGGTATTGACATCTTCATCCGGTTGCCAATCGATACTGATACGTCTGTCCAAAATTTCCTCTCGAAGCCAAGTAACATGTTTGTTGATCTTACCTAGAGTGATACCACCCGTGACACGTCCAAACAACAAGGTGGCAGCCACTAATGTAACAGGACTGACAACCGCTGCATCATGTTGTCCACGTTGAATTTTACGAGCTACGAAATCTGCAATTGTATCTTCATCCTTAACGGCAATCGTACTTGATCAAAAAAGTTAGTTTTTTTTTTTTTTTTTTTTTTTTTTTTTTTTTTTTTTTTTTTTTTTTGCTTTCTTTCTTTCATTCTATATATAGTAAAAAATACCTTAATCGCTTATTCGTATTGATAGGCAAACTAGCTTCCTTCACAGAATCACGTACACCAATCACATGACCAAATCCAACAAACGCACGTCCGTATTTACCTTTCTCAATCAACCCATTTTCTTTGGTAGCCGCTCGATCCGCCACCGTAGCACTAGGACGTAAAAACGTGGATGTCACAGTCAAACTACGTGGTTTTTGATCCAACACTTGATCGATTAATGTCCGTAATTCAGGGATCTTTTCATACGTGATATTGACAGGTACAAACACAGTATCTTTTTTCTCCGTGAAAGATGAATGAAAGGATAGGCTCGGAGTAGGAGAGAGGTTGGGTGAAGAGGCAGAGGAAGAGCTGGGCGATTGGTTTTTACCAAGGGTACCGTCAATCACCATATTAATCATGCCGTCATGGTATGCCGTTTGAAGCCGACCGGTACGAGAACGTGCACGTTCAATGACCATGGATAAAGCCCCGTGTTCTTTCAAAAGGACTTCCGTGTATGCTGCGGCAACAGCGGTATTCAATGGAGAACGGGATGTGAGATCACGACGCACAAAATAGGCACCTGAAATACGAAGTATATCAGAAATAGGGCCTAGTAATGCCAATGCTAATATATATATGGAAAAAAAGGTTAGGTTAGAAGAAAAATAAACATTTGTAGAGGGACGGGTTACACAAACCTTCATCACAGACAATAGCAGGCACGGGTAATTTATAACGTAAACAAATATACCAGACCAAAAGTTGATCCATGATTGTTTTAGAAACGGGAACATAGACGACATTTTTTCCTTGTATTTGTTCTTTCAATCGAGCGATATCAAATTCATTCACACGGAGACTACTAAAGAGGCGTTGAAATAAGACATTCAAGAAGGCACCAGCTGACCAAATATAAGGTAATTGAGTTCGTTCTTTCATGCGTTGAAGGATTTTAAGGGATTCACCTACTACTGTTTTTTGAGGCACGCCTGATGTTTCAATTATCTAAGTCAAAGTCATCAGTATTTTCCTTTTTACAACATTCCCAACCACAGGTCATTCTTACCTGCTTAATACTCTGTCCGACTCGAACATCATTCAAGACTTCAATACGAACATGTTCATCATGCGACTCTGAACGATGCACCCAGTGTCCCAAATGAGTCATATTCTTTGTATCCTTTAAAATATCCGAATCATCATGACACCAATCATCCAAACTCGCATCAAAATCATTCACCCATTCCTCCAATTTCTTTTTATCTTTTAATTCCTGTCCAGGTTTTTCCAAAGATAAGATCAGTTCCTGTAACATACGATCGGTTCTCTTTTGGATATCCGAAGCACTAAAGATGACGGATTCAATTTGTTTGTCAATGATCGAATGAGCCGCTGCACCCGGTTGCAAATAAAGTGCACATGCCCATCCTGTGGGTAAAGTAATGTTACGTAAACCAGCCGGTGGTGAAGCTGTGATATAGGCATGGACACCATACGCGAAATTCACCATATAAGTTTCCCAATCCAAATGTTGATAATGGGTCAAGGAAAACTGGGTATCGTTCACCATGTCCGTTTCCATTTGCTGTACATTCTGATGATCAAATATCCAACGATGACGTAAAAATGTTTGCATCGATTCAACCACACGCGACGCTAATTCGATGGTACGGTTGGTGGAATTGGCATCGGAGGAAGCATTGGTTCGCGTATTGCCGCCGTTACTGACACTACTTATGGCACTGGTAACAGAGGATAAGGACTGAGGTAAATGATATTTCATAAAGAATTTGGCCTTGAATAAAGATCGATTAGCTACAAAATATTCCTGAACGGACGGTAAATTGAGTTTGGTATTTCGGTGCCAATAAGTTCGAACCGCATTGTAGGCTTGATGCCAAGTGGTTTTATTAAATCCGCTGGCCGAGACTTGATAGATGTAAGGGAAATATTGAATGTTGGGAACAATCACACTATCACAATCATCACCGTCAGCCAAAACTTCATTGTAAGGTAATAGGAAACGATAACCCGGTAATGTCATGAAAGCGGCACTACCTAGAATGGCACGGACAAGATAATCCACAGGTACAATATCTGCTAATAATTCACCCATGTCGGGTTGTAACACTTGAATTCCCTTTCCCATCAAAAAGACGGCGCCATTTGCGCCTGTGACACCATCCACCTACAATTAAAAAAAAAAAACTATAAATATACTTCATCTTTGTGCATATACATGTGTGTATATGATTTTTTTTTATTTACCCAGCCAGGAAGAGGTTCATAGGCACCAGCACCAACTTGTGTGGCTCGAACAATAGCCACAGGCCATTGTGCTTTCCCACCTTGCGCTTCCTCAATACGATTGAGATCGACTCTTTTCATGATCAAGTGTTCAGTGAGTGATTTGGTGAATGTGTAAGTATTTGGGTAATGAGCCAAGATACGTTGAGTCATTTTGGGAATATCTTGAAGTTCAAGGTCGACGATTTCCGTCAAGAGTTCTTCAGGATCGCCCACTTGCATTGGATAGACTCTTTCTTGGATATGACCGTCTGGAATATTTGGATCTGTATATGCTAATGACATGTGAACGAAAGCCTCTGATGGGATAGATTTGAAGAAAGAAAAAAAAGGAATTAGAAATGTGTAAGTATGTCCATTGTTTGTTTTGTGTTGTACCCATATGTTTACATTCATCTGCCAAATCCATCATGCGAAGTGTGCCTAGTGTATTTGTCTACAGGAAATGTCAGTGATATGTACAAAAAAAAAACTTGTTTTTTTCTTCTTCTTCTTCATACCTCTAAAGCGAGATCTAATCTTTCATTGTAATTCAATGTGGCAGCACAATGTATCACGACATGAACATTCTCGATAATTTTTTCACGGTCTTGTTCGGACATGGACAAGTCGGGTGAGATAATGTCACCTGCGATAGGAATAATTTTTGTCTTGACAATCGCATCAAATGTTGACTTCCCCATCATGCGTCTCAAGATTAAAAATGCCTTTTCTTTAAAGTGTGAGACAACATATATATATATATATAAAAAGAAGTGTACAAATTACTCTAATTTTTTTACCTTGTTGTTAAATATTTCGTTACGAAGTCTTTCTTCAGGTCTGCCAATTTTACTTCGTTTGATACTACCACTTCGCACCAGAATATAAATAAGGCCAATATCTTGACGTAAAGCTTGAATGAGTTTCCAAAGAATGGCTTTGCCGATAAAGCCTGTAGCGCCTGTCATCAAGATGTTTTTTTTTCGGTAGAAATCAAGGACGGGACCTTGAAAATCGGCGGCGTCTACAGGTATAGGCTTTGTATCATCATTGAGAGATTCGGGTGTGACGGTGGAATAAGAAGAGGATTCATCATCGGGTAAAGTTGTTTCAGATTCATCGGCTGTGCTATAACTGACGGGAAGTGGGGTGAAAGGCTCGTTTAATAATGGCACGTCTTCAACTGTAGTCGTCGTATCGTCCTCAGTAACAATCACTATTTGAGGTGGGGATAGTGGTGTCGATAATTCGGTCACCGTGTCTTCAGTCTGACCGTCCTGTTGTAAAATAGGTGAAGCGGGTGAGACGGTGACTGAAGGAGAATGCGATTCAGTTTCTTGTTCTGACATTAGGCTTAAATGACTACAAGATGGGTTAGTTTTCCTTATACACAATTCAGATTTTCATTCAATAATTTACTAGTGTACTGTTTATTGTGGGTTGGTGTGTGCCTTAATCAAATCAAACAAATAAAAAAAAAAGAATGGGAATAAAAAAAGGGAAAAAAAAAAGTTACGAAAAGGCTACTAAAATTAACTATTTGAAATTATCTAAGCCCAGCTGTAAATTAAGAATCCCAAAAAGGAAATTTGGGATTTGTGATGTCACAAACAGGCGTTTTTCAACAGGTTGTGTTCACTGCACGCACAGATCTCCTATTTTTTTTTAAAAAAAAGCTTACGGTTACCAAGGAAACCAATTTTTTTAACATGGAATTAAAAATTATACGAAGTATGCATGTTTGGGGATTATCTAAGCTGACCATGAGTGGTGCAGTGTTTCATGAGCGACAATGAGTTTGATCAGTTTACTATCACCAGCCTCCTCAATGTGCAGTTGTGTTCGTGATGGTCTATGATGAGTTCACCTGTAGGTATCCCATAGACCCCAAGTCATTCCAACTGGGATGTACCCCGCATAACAAAAGTGGTGTTGGATACTCAGACCCTAAGGAATGTATGTATGTGTGCGTGTGTGTATGTGTGGGGCATTAAGGGATCTACATTGAATGTGTGACTTCACAATGAAATAATTCATTTCTTTTTACAAATAAAAAAAAAAAATATATTTTGTGTGTACACAAAAAAAAAAAAAAAAAAAAAAAACGTAGTTTCGTAACAAATACTCCTAATGACAGATGCAAAAGAAACCAATGTAAACATGAGAACAAAATAGATGTCTGCTTTTAAACAGAGAATTGGCACATTTATTATTTTTTTCCAGATAGAGAAGAAACTCATCTTTTTTTTTTTTAAATTTTTTTTTTTTTTTGCTTACTCATGTAGGTCACAACACAGAACTCAGAGCCACCTGCTGAGCCACCTCAGGTCACTCGACAGAAATACGAGGAAGCTAAGCATGAGTTACAAGCTTTACTAGCACGAAAGAAGCAAGTGGATACGAATCTGGTAAGAGAAGGCAGATTAGAGATGTGTGTTCTCCTGTGGTGCTAATGGGATAGAGTAGATTAACCTTGAAAACGCCATCTATGCGTTTGAAGGATCTTATTTAGAAGACACACAACAGAATGGCAATATTATTCGTGGGTTTGATGGTTACCTCACCAACCGACCCGACCGAAGAAAACCCAAATTCACCGAACTGGATCGACTCTTCAGCTTATCCTCGTCCACGTATCAAAAAGTAAAGAAATAAGTCCTCCCCTCCCCCCTTTTTTTATATTTTTTTTTTGTTGCTGTTAGAAACATGACCCATTTTTTTTTTTTTTTTTTTTTTTTTTGTAATTCTATATACATTTTATATATTGTTTATTTTTTTTTTCCTTATCTAGGCTTTAGCGCAAAAGGAAGAGAAGGACCAAGATTCGAGTCAGGATGATCGATCCAGTGCTTCTTTATCGATGGCTAGGCGAGAAAAGAAACGAAAATTGAAGGGTCATGAGAGTAATGGCTTCAGAAAGAAGAAGAGCTCTGCGGGCAGAGAAATCATGAGTGAGGATGAGCTGGATATATGATAACACTTTATTAGACTCACACAAACACGCACACGCACACGCACACACATACACACACACACACATTATCGAGGCTCACTTTACCTGAACATTTCAATAAATCTCTTTAAAGAGAACCCTATGTTTGATATGGCCATGTAAATAAATACTCGTCTTGACCTCCATTAGAACTCTCCCTTCAAATTGTTGCTATTATCCATACCGGTATTTGTTTTTAAAATAAAAGGTTACATGCAAAGCAATACTATACAGTTACGATAGGGTGAGTTTCGATTAGCAGTGGGGGTGAAAAGCATTCCTAATTAAAGGTATCACTCCCGTAAGCAGGTTGATCATTGTTGAAAATCCGCTGCTATTCTCAATACAAATGCGCAGTAAACCTTTTGCTTGATTTTCCATCCAAATATGCCAGCGGAGCAATCTAATTGGCCTAAAAAGTGCTTGCGTCAGCGGTGTCTGAACCTGGGTATAAAGTTTCCCCAGATTTTTTCATTTTTCTTTTTCTCTCTTCAGTAGTGATTTTATGGGTAGTATGTACTGATTAAATTGAATAGGAATTACAATGCCTCACTTCGGTAAGGTTATTGTACATTCTTTAACTACGAACTTACCAGTAACGCAACCTCTTTGTTTTTATTTATAAAAAGAAAGTCTTTGTGGAATGAGGGGAATGAGGGAAGATGGACGACGTATACTGTGAAGGTTCCCGAAGCCCCTTAGTAGTTTAAGTCAACGACTTTTTTCTTTCCTTGTGTTGAGTAACGGGTACTGGTCCTTCACTTGCTTTAACCGTGAAAGGAGGGGGTTCGTTTGGCTGCCTGTTATGAACGATTCTGCCCGTAGGATTATCTACAGACAAGAACGCGGTTTTGTCAACAATAATAAAGAGCGCAAACAAGAAAGCACAAGTTCTTGTTCATAAGTCCTCATTATTAATGTTGTTTTTACTGCTATATAAAGGTGCGTGCAAACACCTCATATTTTTTTTTGGGACCAGACGTGCTTTCACCTTCTCGTGGTTGTTTGTCCTGTTAATCATTGTAGCTTTTTACTAAAAAGTCGCTTTGAGAACTAAGAGAAGCACACTTTTCGTTTTTAAAATAAATAAATAAAGCTGTTTAAATAATGTATAAAGTAATAGTGACCTTTATGTTTACAAGTTGTAATAGAATGCTTGTTTCATTCTTGAAGTTTTTTTGTCATTTGATTGTGAAGCTTTTTTTTTTGTGATTCTGCCTTGATTCCTTGTTTTAAATAAGCTGTTTATTTCCTTGGACAGTGGTATTAATCAGTTTCGAGAGCATCGCATATTAGCTCAAGGGACAAACACTGGTCAACAACCTAAACAAAATACTTGATCCTGCCTTCATAGCCCGCTACACAGAGACTAACTTCCCCGCAGTTGCACTGAAACGGACTAACGAGTCTCCGCAATAAATCCCACTGTGTCCTTTTCTTTTTTTGCTAATCTTTTACGTTTGTCTTAATGTAAATATGAATGACATGACTTCATTGGCTCCAGACTTTTTTGAGAGATAGCCTTTGCCTTTGAATATGATGTGATTATGCACACCTATCATGTTGCTTAACCTGATAAACCTGGCGGTATCTTTGTTTAGAGTCAACAGCTTGTAAGGATGTAGGAGAGTTTTGTAAACTTTTTTTCTCTCTAAATGTTATGCACATTGAGGATACAAACTCTAAAAGGCTTCCACTCATTTTGACGGCGACATTTACTAGCATGGTTTCGAGTTGTTGGGGTTGAACATATGGTTGCTATAGCTCAGTCGAATTGCATGGAGTAAATGATTCTGGGTAAATAAGCAGTTTGGGGCTGATGTACCTGATTTTAAAGCTGTAAAAAGGCTGTGTTTCATTTCTTTTTTTTATTTGTGTGGGGAAAAGAGTGTGAGCTTAAAAATCTCTCTCTTTTTTTCTTTTTCATCATGATTCCCACAGCGGTTGCGAGATCTCCTGAACTCGTTCAGAAAGTGTTAAAGGTAGTGTGAACTGTGTGTGTATGTTGAAAAGCAATCTAATATTTGTGGGTAGAGTTTTCTCTCTGCTGGTGGTTATGACTCACTCGTGCTCCCAGGGGTAATTATATAATAAGCAAGAGTAGCTTTGGTTACTTAAAATAAATCAAGCTTAAAGTAGTTCACAGTAGCGAAGGGAAAGTCTCTGCCGAGTTCCAGGTCGAGAAGACACATCTGGTTTGTTTTCGGCATAATTATTTTCATGTAAAATGTTGACCTGTATTTACTCTAGAACCGACTTGACTCCGTTCATGGTGGATTATTAGCTACAGTGGTAACCATGGCATTTTTTTTTTTTTTTGGATGAGGTCACTAAAAGATTATAATTGGAGAGTAGGTAGATATTGGAGGTTCCTTAGCAATTGCGTCCAAGGGACTGTTTGCTACAGGCGTAAGCACAGATATTAATATCAGTTATATTTCGGGTGTGAAGCAAGGTGAAAAGATTCAAGTGGAAGCCCGTGTTGATAAATTAGGAAAGACATTGGCTTTTACCACGGTTGAACTATTTTCCCAAGGTCGACTTGGTAAGCTTTACATATTTTTTAAAAAAAAAAAAAAAAAAAAAAAAAAAAAAAAAAAAAAAAAAAAGAAGACACTAAAAAAGATGTAGTTGCGCTGGGTCGTCATAACAAGTTTGTAGCACAAGCATACAAACATCCCGAAAACCTGATTAAATAGTTTTTTTCAACAAAAAAAAAAAAAAAAAAAAAAGAAACGCGTTGCCGCGTTTTATTTAAAGTCCGACGTTTTTATAATACCAAACGCGTGTTTTTTTAGAATGTGAAAAAAAAAAAAAATTAAAAAAAGGGGTGGGTGCATTATTCCATATCCCCCGTCTCCTTTCACTCCGCCTTTCAACTCTTTTTTTTTTTTTTTTTTTTTTTTCTTAACCAATGCCGTATCCAATTTTACCAGCTGTTAGTGAGAATAGTGACGAGTATACTGATGTATCTAAAGTGAGTACAAAATAATGCGTGCGGTTATTTTGTTTATTGACTGTTTATTTTTTTTAAAAAAAAGCATGTAAAATCGCTCCAGGCGAGACTGGGATTAGCCCGATTCAAGATGACACAGGGCTGGGAAACGTCAACGTTGATGGATGTGGAACAAATGTGGAAAGAAAAGCAGCAAAAGATGATGAAATCGTTTCCTACACCACGATTTACGCAGCGAGATATTATTGATAAAAGAGTATACATACCTTCACCAGGCGCTCGTCATGCCAAAGCTAAAAAGACCAAATTAGTGAGAACCTATTCAAACCCGATACAACAGCAACAACAATCTAAACCTGCACTTCATCTTCATCCACAAAAAGAGCATTATCACCCGATGGACTCGTCGTCATCTTCTTCTGAGGGAGAACAGGCTGTAAGAAGACGATCTATCACGCTTCATTCACCACCCCACGTAAGGAATTCATTGGATTATCTATCTTATGCTATTGCCATGACAGAAAATGAACCGGTTATCATGTCTTCACAACCGTTACCAGATGTGACCGAGATTGAACCCAACTTAATTGATAGCTTAAAAGTATCCACATCTACTACTCCACCGAAATTAAGTCCTCCTCCATCACCTGTCACTTTAGCTGCAAAAGCAATCATGATGTTTGTCAATCACCCTACACAACCAGCTCATAATTCTCATTGAAAGAAAAAGCCTATATCCCCCCACCCCTACCGCATTCATGTGATAAAAAAATAGCTCTTTTTTTTCTCTTTTGTACATTTATTTCATTTGCTGTATCCTATATTTTTTTTTTCTTAATAAAAAAATTGAAAAAAAAAATAGTGGATACAAAACACGTATCTTTTTTTTTTTTTTTTTTTTTTTTTTTTTAAAAAAAACAAGATATATCCCGTGTTTTAGATTTTTTAACGCGTTTTAGCAAAAAAAAAAAAAAAAAAAAAAAAAAAAAAAAAAAAAAAATTAGAAAAAAAAAAAGGTGCTAAAACCATGTTTGAAAGCCCGACATTCAGCTCAATTTGGTAACTTGGTTAACAACAAATTAAAGCGTAAAGAACAACTCCAGCTTGTAACAATTTCCCCCATTATCTCACCTTAAACCAACATGACTCGACACTTTTAAGGGACATTTCTTATTTTAGATATGTTCCCAAATATAATTACTTAAATGTTCCATATTATTTCAAAAATAAAAAAAGTGTTTGAGAGTTGACGCACTGTACAGTTTTCTTTTAAAACGCTCCTTCTGGGAAAGGACCATACTGTGCAATATCATCCTTCTTTTCTCCATTGATTTCATAAGATATACGTAAACGAAGCTTGACCGCAGACTATACACGCAAAAAAAAAAAAAAAAAAAAAAAAAAAAAAATGAGCAAAAACAAAATAAATAACAAAAATAAAAAGTCATTTTACCTGGCTTGGATTATTAATTCGCATCATTTGCTTCTCGGTTGTGTTGGGTTGAATGAGATTACTACTAGCAGCATTCATTTGTAAACGTTGACTCTTTGGCACAGCCGCTTGAAACTGCAAATCACGAATAACACCTTGCGATCCGTTATTTGAAAACAAGACCTGGATATTAATGATATCCGGATTACTTCGATCTCGGGAAGGTAAGAGTCGAACGGTTAATCCATTCTTTGTGTACGCTTCATAACCCGCAGCAGCGGATGGTGCCGTTTTACTAGGTGAAGCAGAGCTGGGTAAAGAGTTGCCTAAAGAGGCAAGTGAATCTAAACCGTAATTTGAAGTAGTATTGGAAGGCGTTTTGGGTGAAGGGGCGGGGTCTTCACCTAAAAGATCCATGAGATTCTGGCTTGTGTTTTGTTGAGTAGGTGCAGGACTAGAGGCTGTCATAGCAGGGGATGCATTTCCTCCTCCTCCGCCACCGCCGCCAAATAAGTCTGCTAAAAGATCCACATTGGAAGCTTTGGGTGGTTGGGGAGAAGTGGCGGCCATTGGACTTTGCATCATATTATCTGATGAATCCCCTCCACCTCCACCTCCACCACTTGTACCCACACCCATCAGATCCAAAAGTAAATCCTGATCACTGGGACCAGATCGGCTAGCGCCACTAGAAGAAGCACGGCGTGTATCTGGACTATCGGATGAACCTGTATTTTGAATAATGGTGCGTGCTTCGGGAATAGGCATGCGCTCCAGCACGGCAGGACGAATAGCATCATACGAGAAAAGGTTGGTGTATTCCACAGCACGTTGTTGAATTTCCACTTCCATGCTAACGGTATAATGCAACAGTAATTCCTTGATCTTGTTTTGAGCGCTACCCTCGGACAGACGAGAGGAGAGTTTCATAAGAGCTGTCATGACATATTCACGCGTCACTTGGTTGGCATAAGGACCCATCAAGATGGATTCTAATAAGCCTACCACCGAGTAGTCTGTCACTTCTATCACCACACCTTCCTCCTCTTCAAAGTTACCACTGCTGACCAATACATCACCATATTCACCAATGACCCAAACACTTGCTAAAACCAACCCTTCCTATTTTATCCTTGTTAGTCTTTCCTAATATATTGTATCTAAACACTCTGCGTACCTGGGAAATGTCTTGCTTCAAGGCGGCATATAACTTTTGAACGGTATATTGATGTAAATCTGAAGTCTGAGCGACGAGACGAATAAAACCAGCCAAGACTTCTTCACGGATAAAACTACCTGCTAATTTCAACATGCGTAACATGGTATCGATATGCCATCTTTGATTAGGGGCAAAACGCTCAGCGGCCAAGGAGATTTTGGTGGTCATGCCTTGTTTGAATTCAGAATCAGCGACTTCTAAAAAGGCGAGTAATTCACGAGTGAGAACACGCACATTGCCTTCATTGATCAAGGCAAAACTTAATTCCAGAGCACGGCGACGGATAGAAATATCGCCATCACGAAGACAGTCGAGAATGATGTTGCGATGTCTTTGTACAGCTTGTGTTTCGATACCTACTGTCTTATTCAATGTTTCCAATGCTACATATCTATTTAAACGAAGAAGAAAGATTAAACTATGAAATATAAATATATACTAGTTTATATATACCTGATATTGTTGTCACGATTGCTCAAGAACTTGCCGAGAATGTTAACAGCAAGTACACGCAAACCCGCTTCACTTTGAATGTCCATAATGGTCAAGACGGTTTCGTACAAGATGGAATTACCGACATTTTTGGTGCTTTCGGTATTTGTGGCAACTTGAGCAAGAATGTCGTTCATGGATTCGGAAGCTTCACGATCATTTTTGGCCAGGATGCGCAAAAGACGAAGGATTTTGACCTGAAGGAAAGGATCGGTGACACCCGTCACATCATGCTCAGGGGAAAATCCTGCACTGGCGAGATTTTTAAGATGTCTTACTAAAAGAGGCACAGCCTATTGTACTCGTTGTCAATTTCCATAGTTCATCCTCTTGCCGTCTTTTCAATTCTTTCTTATGGTACATACCTTGCGGAAGATGACAACATTTTCAGGGTTTTGTTCACACATTTCTGTAACTAATGTAATACCGGTGATGAGAACACCATGACTACGATCATTTAATAAAGATTTGGATCTTGAAATGAAATTTTCATGTAATTCAGGTACCCGAAGAATCACTCTCAAGGCACATAATGCAGCCTGAAACATAAATATTTAGGATCATCCCACCATGTTGCTTTTGTTTGAGAGTATTTCAAGTATTTTACCTTCTTACGGATATAGGTGTTGGAACTTCCCATGAGTTTTTCGACTTCAGAACATAAATCACGGGCCATTTCTGAAGAAGAAATGTTACCCATAGTACAAAGAGCCAAACCAACAATAAACATGTTGCTGTGATTCAAATCGCTAAAGATGAGAAGAGGGTTTTGGGTGAGTAAAGGCATATGCTTATTCACTATGGATCTCTACTTTTTCAAACTGTTGGTGACGAGGGTCAAGACTTCGGTTTTTTCGTCAATCAAGAGCATGATACCTAAATAACCTAAACGCTTGTCTGCATATTTGGGAGAGGCGACTAATTTTAAGCATTCCATTTGACCGAAATGGGCGGGATAACCGAGCATATGAATGTAAAGTAACTTGGCGACGTTGGTATGACGCGTGTCTGGATTTTCATTTTTGAAGGCGGTTCGAATGTTTGCACTTTCTTTTTGAATGACGGCTCTCTCTTCTGCTGCTGTTTTACAAGCTCTTACCGCTTTAATGAGATCTATAAAGGTATTCATTTGGCAGCTTTAGTTTCTATTCGAAGCACGGTATAGCGCATTGAATCCATCTGCTTATTTTTTGTTACCTTTCAACCGAAAGAGGGGAAGTTTCGCAAGAATCTCTTGCGAAATTTTATTAATATTTTTCATCATCTTGCAAAGGTTGTTCTTTTTTCAGCAATTCTAGTGGGGTTTTTTTTAAGGCTGGAAAAAAAAAAGAAGAAGAAAAACGGACCCAATTAGTTATGTTTAGCAAGAAGGAAGGATTTAGATGAAGCTAAAAAAGAACAAGAAAAAAAAGAAGTGTTAATAATCCCAGAGACGTCACGGAATATATTAAAATAATAATTTTGCATTGTGCAACAAGCAATCTTTTTTCTTGACAAAATGCAGGGCTTGAATCGTCTCTATTGTACCTGCCGAAAGGACTTAGGCGTAGATCCTTGTGATCTCTCTCTTCTTACCCGAGGCGACTTTTAAATCAATTCATTGCTGTGGGAAGCGTCAGATAGGATATCGAAATTAAAAGGTGAGCTATATTGTAGTAAGTGATTATGCATAGCTTTTCAGTGAGCGGTCCAAATAGATAGGCTTCTACATCTGTTAGTGCGTTGCTGTTGAACACATTCCATGTGTATTTCCATTACTATCAGTAACCGAGCCCAAATCAGCTTGGTGAAAAGAGTAATGAGATCAATCACTGACAACTGCATTCATATAGAATTTGGGCAAGATTAGCAGTTTTATAAAAAAGGGGGTAGCATCTCATTTATTATCTTCAGTGGAAAGGAATTGAGATTGAAAGACATAAAGCTTATAATAATGTATTAAATGCCTGCATAAACAATGGAAATCCATTCTTGTGTGACCCGTATTCCCCAACCTTGGCATTGATAATAAACTATTATTTGAAGCTTAATAATTAACATGTCTAAGAAATAGCTTTTGTTATCTTGTGTTGTGTATGACATGTCACATGAAAAGTTTCTTTTTATGTCATTTCTAATATGTTTTTAGCTTTTTTTACCTGATGACTACAAGATACAAGTGTCTTAACAAGGATGTTAAGCACACATTTGATGGGTGTAACCCAGCTTTGATCCAACAATTTCCACTTCATTTAGAAGCTGAATTTCGAGCTGTCCTTAGTCATCGATCTGGCCTTTCTGAAATGCTTTGCATACTGATGAAACCACTCTTTCAACATGGGATCGAACCTCATCGTATGTCTAAAGTCCTTCGCGTGATGCACACTGAGAAATATGACGAATTGCAGCTTCAATACTACACAGCCCTCAATCATGATGCCGAAAGTCCTTCCGTATTATCTATGCTCCAGTCAAGACAATATCCTGAGTTTTCTCAATTCAAAGACAAGATGCAATATAATGGCTATGTTCCTTCTGCTAATTACATTAGCTATGTATACAGCTCCTTGATAGCGAAGGTTCGTCCTTTCATGAATCAACTTATGTCGTTTGTAGACGGCACTGTTTTAAAAGGGGATCATTCTTTCAAGATCATTGATCACTTGGCAAAAATCAATGGGGTTTCAACGTTTTCTTGCCTCTACACTCTTTTAAATGAACATGAAGAGATCCGTTTACAAGTCTTGGCACAAAGCAAAAAAATGGATCATCTAGCACCTCAATTTCTCCCAATGATGGATACTTACAAAAAGCTTAATATGAAAGAGCCTGAGCTTTTTTATACAGATAATGTCATTGGAGATCAAGGATTCTTAAAACAGGTGATACCGTCCTTAACCAAAGACGTTGTACCTATTCCCAAATGTACAAATGGACAGCAGCAACAACAACAAAACCCTTTTCTTTCACTTTCCTATTATTACCCTGCCAGAAACTTCAAAGATCAGAGTTGTAAGATCTGAAGTAGAGATCAATGAGGCTTGTATCGAAATATTTGGAAAGACTGAGGAGTATAGTAATGAAATTTTTGTTGGTTTTGATTGTGAACGGATGATGCTCACAAGTGGAGTATCCTTAATGCAGATGTGCTACCAAAATGAAATTGTTTTGTTCCGTGTACATGACTTTGATACGAACACGTTTCCTCGTGAGCTATCTAAGGTTCTTAGCTGTTCCAAGATTGTGAAGTTAGGGAGAAATATCAAGGCAGACTGTACAAGAATGAAGCGTGTCTTTGGTGTTGTGATATCAAACCTCGTAGATCTTGGGCCATTTTGCTACAACCGCGACTTAGTTAATAACTCCCGTCCCCGACTTGATGTTCTTTGTGGAAGGATTTTATCTTTGCAACTACCTAAGATATCTATCATTCGTTGTGGTGACTGAGAAAGAGATGATTTGACAAGTGAGCAAATAAGCTATGCAGCATTAGATGCTTGGGTCGCTTTAAAGATTTTTGAAAAGGCTAACGAAGGACTAGCTGTACACGAAAAGGTTACGAAAAAGTCACGAAAGGGTACTTTTGAATTATGAGCAAACAAAAGAGATATATGTAAATATCCTTATTTGTAATTGATGTGGAGCTATAATCTCTCAATCCTCAATCTACTTTTATTCGTAATAAGGTTCATCTTCCTTCTTTAAATTATCACAGGTACTTCATAAAAAAATGTGATAACTGTAACTTGTCGTCGAAACCCCTTAATGTTAAATATGACGTCTTTAACAACATTTGATTTGGTATATTATTATTTTTCAAGTTATAAAAAAGCCTCGTAAAAATAAATAAGTGAGTAAATGATACCTAATTTATTACATTTAATTTATTGTACTATTGTCCTTAGCTGCAGTCACTGCAGTGGCCAGTAGTTGTATATCTTTCTAACAAAATTTAAGATCTTTTAGTTACAAGAGCTATATTTTGACTGTAGCCCTTTAGTTTTTATCCTTTTGCTTCATTGTGGTCACAAAACAATCAATTAAGAATAATAAAATTAGCTCTTATCAAGTCAAAATAGTTACGCTTTGGCTATCAGCTGCGATGTTGATCTTCATCACATGTTTGTTCATCTTTATTTTTTAATAATAAATAAAGAGGTGGGCTCGAAGCTTTATGGTTAAGCTAATACTGTTTTATTTTTTGACTAATTAACTTTTGGTTTCCAAGCAGATGCCTTCAAAGAAAAAAAGAAAAAAAGTGCCTGATTAACTGGGTTTTAAACACAGGCCAATAAGATTCAGAGTTCGGGACACTATTTTTTTGGAGTGGGAGGAGGTACAAAAAGGTATTTGAAAATAGCACTTCTGGTTTTTTTATACTTCTCCCTTTTCTTCTTTTTTTAGTTGCACAAATAATATTTTCCATATTATTGCAAGATTTCCAAAGTGACAGATCATCTTGTTTCAATTCCTTTGGGTAGCTACAGACAAAGACAAAACTCTACCGCTGTTAAATCTCAAGACACGATGACATCCATTAAAACGAAAAAGAATCTGTTTCTGAAATGTGCAGTAGCAGCCACATTATGCATTCTGTTTTTGTGGTTATTATACTCACCTAGTACTGTATATCAACAGCAGCCTTCCAGCGTAAAGAAAGGTTAGTCTTTTTTTTTTTGGCTTTTGGGCTTAAAAAAAATCTAATTTTAGTAACAATAATATATTAGATGTATCTTCTCTAGACCAAATTGGAGTTAACCAAACATGTTCAGCCACAAAGGATGGTCAACCCGCAACCGAATATGCCGTGATGATTGATGCTGGTTCATCAGGTTCTCGTGTCCATGTATATCGATTTAAAGTATGTAACGATCCAGTCTTGGAAGATGAAGTCTTTCATATGTTGAGTCCTGGATTATCTTCCTTCAAAGAAGATGCTGAAGGTGCAGCGCAATCTCTTAGTAAATTGATGGAAATTGCTGTACAAAGTGTACCCAAGGAATCTCAAGGTTGTACCCCCATTGCTGTGAAAGCAACAGCTGGTCTTCGTATGCTCCCTGGACAACAAAGTAAGAACATTCTTGCCGCCGTGCGTAAATATTTAGAAACATATCCATTCCCGATTGCGGATGTGGAAATTATGGAAGGCAAAGATGAAGGTATGTGTTGTAATGTATGCAAACACACAGGCAATGTAATTAAGTAAACAATCACAAATTAGGTGTTTATGCTTGGATCACAGTCAACTATTTATTGGGTAAATTAAAAAAGAGTCAACGTGGTCAATCCGCTGCAGTATTTGATTTGGGTGGCGCATCTACACAGATTGTGTTTGAACCTAGCTTCCATATTCCAACCGAATCTATGACTGAAGGCGACCATCAATACAATTTGGATTATCAAAACAGCACTTATGAGTTATATCAACATTCTTATCTCGGTTATGGCTTAAATGAGGCTCGTAAAAGAATCAAAAATGAAATGATTACGACCTGGAAAGATGAGGCCTCTAAGACTGGTCAAGTATATCATCCTTGTTTACCTCTTAATCATCAAGAGGATTTCGAGTCAAGCAATGGTACTGTTATCAAGTTGATTGGTACTGGTGCAGGTCATGCTGAATGCCGTGGTATCATTGAAAAGGTCTTCAACAAGGACAAAGTATGTGAACTGGCTCCTTGTGCTTTTGATGGTGTCTATCAACCACCTTTGGTTGACACTTTCAAAGGAAATGACTTGTTTGTATTTTCCTATTTTTACGATTTAACTAAACCCTTGGGTATGCCATCTGAGTTCTCCGTACGTGAATTGGGTGAATTGACTGAAAAGGTGTGTAAAGGTGAAACAACCCCTTTCCAACATGTTCCTAATGCCATCAAGACGCTTGAGGACAATCCTGACTTCTGCCTTGATTTGACTTACACATATAACCTGTTACGATTTGGCTACGATATTCCATCTGATCGTTTGGTGCGTACTGCTCAAAAGATTAAGGGGGCTGAAACTGGCTGGTGTTTAGGTGCTTCTATTGCCATGTTGGATGAAGCTAAATTATGTTTAACCGCTTAAAAAAAATAACATACGCATACACATATACAAACACACACACGCACACACGCAGGCACACACGCAGGCACACACAACACACACACACACACACACACACACACACACACACACACACACACACACACACACACACACACACACACACACATTACTCTCCTAGATTTATTTATTTTCTTCATTCCTCCCTAATTCTACTAATCAAACGGGGAAATATTAAAAATCATTCTTGTTAATTATAATATAAGGGTATGCTTTCTTGTTTATTTATATTGACAATTGTTGTTTATCATCAGCCATGATTTGTTCCTGACGCTGATGGTCCGAGTAAATTTGGTACTCGAATAAGATTGGCAAAAACTTCCAGAGAGAAAACTCTGGCCAGTAACAGTCAACAAATTGTATCTGGCATCGATCATTTGCCTGCCATAATAGAAAATCACTGAGCCTTATTTCACCCGAAGTTCTCACTAATATGTCCAAAGGTGGACAACCAGATGTGAACAAATGATCCTTAATTGTTTGATCTGTAATTTGACTATTTCCAGAATATTAAAACAAAAAACAAAAAACGCGGTATACGTGTATTCACTTACTCTACTGTGATCTTTCCTTGTTTTACCAAATCAATGGTGTCCTTTATCGCTGTTGTCATTTCGTCCCTGGAGGTATATGGGCAGCATATGTTGAATATACGTCTACAAGCAATTGTTAGAACAATGACTTAATTAAGAGGGGTCAATACTTACTTGTTTTGGTGTTTTGTGCGCTCTGTTACTTTATTAGCGATTTCTCTCACATCTGCAGGTAAATAATCCAAATTGCCTAGAAACCGAACACCAATCTGATATTTTTCTACCAGTGTGCTTAAATTATGGCGTGAGTCTTCCGTTATTATTGCTCTGTGTTAAATTATATTTGTTACTTTTTCTCGCAAAATCCTTCGAATGCCTCACAGAATAACTTCATCAGGTAATCAACTTCATCCTTTGATCGGTTGAAGTTTTCTATACTAAAGGCAAATACAGTGACAGCTTCAATGCCCATTTGCATGCACAAATCTAACACTTTTTCAAGCTGCTTAAAACCTTCGTAATGACCAAACTTTGTAGAAGAGGCACCTGCCTTCTTTGCAAACCGTCTATTTCCGTCGAGAATAAATCCAACATGACGAGGTATTTTCCCTTTGCAGAGCACTGATAACACGAATTGTTCAGCGAAATTTTTACAAGAATCGATAAAAGACATGTGATAAAGACAAAAGAATAAAAAAATAAAAGCTCGGGAAGAGCAATAATAAATACTCAGTCAACCAATCATGGTTTGACAGATCTGTGTTTTTTTTTTGTTTTTTTTTTGTTTAATTATTACATGATGCGATGCTCAACCTGAGCAATATTTGATGAAGAGAATTTGCACCTATAAAAGAACGAGTTTAATGCTAAAACCCGGATTAAAAAAATTCTAAAAAGGTTTTACTGTACCTCCAGTTTTTATGATTGGGTTCCAAATCCACTGGTACAACATCTGGATTTTCAATCTTTATAGAAAACATGGCTTCTGTGGGAGGTCCGTTATTTAGTGTAAATGTTGGTTTTATTGCCAATTGTTGAGATTGACATTTCTGGTGCATATGTGGTGAGTTGAACATTCTATCGTTAAATACGACATGATGGGAAGATCGTTCCGAATCAGAAAATATTTGTCCTAGCATTTCTACCGTTTTTTGTTCATCCAGAATATCATTCTCCGCCAGAAAATCATTTAAACAAGCCGTTAAATCATCCGGTAATCCGTTATAGTTGATTTTACTCGCTGCTAATACAGATGTAATACGTTGAATCATTGCCTTGGATGCCTTTTGGGCATGGTCTTTGTTGATCACACTTTTACAGAATACGGTGGATGCTTGATAGACACAACTAATGAATTGCTGACAAACGCACCAATCAAATCTTTCGGTAATAACTTCAGACATGATCACGATACGGTTAGCAGCATCTGTGCAAATTTGATAGGACCGATGTGTTCGATATGGTAAAGTTTCGAGTGGTGAAGGCGGTGATAAATCATCTAGATCTAGAGTCGAACTAAAATTATTGGTATTGGGAGATAAAAATGTCTTGTGAAGTTGAATCCATTGTGTTTGGTATTGTATCATTAATAATAATCCAGACTGTTCGCGTAACATGGCTGCATCCAAAACAGCATGATGATCGTGTTCCTTCTTATGAATATCTGCAAATAATCGGATAGGTTTAGGGTCTACGCGATACATGACTGGCAGACGGTCGAACCAAGTCGCCAGTGCAATTTCCAATTCCTGAATCTTTTTGATCCAACGCAAAGGCAATATACCAGAATGATGATGTTGTAAGTTTTGTCGTTGGTAGTCTTGGGTCATGGATTGTATACGTTTTCCAATTTTAGCAAGCTCCAACAAATAGACATAGAATGATTCTTTGGCAATAGTTTTATCATCATAATTTGCTTCTTGGTGTTCCACCAGTTCCTTATTCAGCTGTAAAAGATCATAAAAGTTTATATCAGATACAGTGTCATCTAATAAGGGCGGCTCTCCAGAATAAGTAGATATAGCGATATCATTGTAATAAAGTCCCAAATATAATTTTAAATATTTTTTTCTTTGTAGTCGATTGAAGGTCATGAGAGTTGACATTTGGTGAATGTTGAGTTGAATACTCATGCGATAAGCAAGGCTAATGTACATGCGTGATTGAGAATGCCGTTTATGTAATACACAAAACATGGATAGGTTGAGTAAAGTTTCAATGGTTGTGGCATCAGGCGAGTCAAAGTAGTCCATCATGGCTTCCCTTGCACGACCGAAATAGTGATAAGCAATATCGTGGGCATGTTCAGAAGCATTTTTGTTGTGGCGAATGATGTGTAAGAATATAATGGCAAGACCCGAATCAATACAAACTTGATTTCGTTCAGGGTCACCAGATCTATTCCAAAAAGTTGGCCAGTCAGCTGAGAACTTTGGATGAAGACAATCCCAGTAAGTTTGACAAATATATGATAAAACTGATGGAGATACATCTTCTGTTAGTTTACTCAAGTTGAGATCTGGGTTCTTAAATTTATCTGAGCAGGTGTTTGGTCGTCTATACATTGCATTATTCCAGTATTCAATCGATGGATCTACAACCACAATTGAAGAGAATGAAGAGGATGAAGATGCGTATTCAGATTCATCACAGTCCTCGTTCGTCAAACTAGGAACAAATATATTGGTTGGTTGTTCTGTTGACTCTGTAATGATTTGTATTTTTTGCACTGCTTCAATTAGTTGTTCCACTGATTTGATATTTGTCTCTAATCTCATTGAATTTCCCGGTTGAAACGAAAGTGTCCACTGCATTGATGATAGGTCTTGGTGCTCTTGGGTATCTAACCTTTCAATTTCACCAGACGTTGTATAGTTTGGTAAAGATTGTATAAACGATTGCCGGTTGTCTATTAACGGCGGTCCCTTTTTTTTATCGAAATGTCGTGAGACTTTATCTAACTCTTTTGTCATTCTCGATAATACGGGCGAGGTCTTTTCTATCCATGATTCAATTTCATAGAATGTAATCTGTAAAGCATCCATATCATCCTGTTGTATCTTTTTAGCCTTTGCCTCTGCTTTTGCTTCGGCAGAGTTAGTCAGTTTCTTAGACTTGCTTCGTTTGTGTCTAGTGGTTCGTCTTTCATTGGTATCAAATAAATACATGCTGTAAACAATAATAGCTTAAATTGAAGTATGAAGAGAGAAAAAAAAGGAGAAAAAAGAGAAAGAAACACAAACTGCTCCGCCGAAATCCTATTCTTTTTTTTTTTTTGGATGACGCTTTTTTAATTATAATTCCCCGCTCAGTCTCTGTCTTTTTTCCTTTCTTTTCTAAATGCCATTTTTCATGTGGGTTGTGATCATATCCCCGCTTCCCTTTTATGATCTTTGTTACCGTATTTAGATACACGTCTGACTATTTAACCTTATTACTCATCCCTCCATCAAAAAAATAAAAAATATGTTTCAATTTTCGTGCAGATTGTTGCACTGCTTTAAAATGCTACAAATCGAATCTTTGTAATTTGTTCTAATATTCAGGTGACACGAACATTACATATTTCATTAACTTTGTCCTCCCACACACTTTCTCTGAAAAATCAGTTCTTCTTATTCCTTATATTATAGATACTATGGTTATTTGACATGGCACATAAATCTATCATGTGAACAAGGAATAACCATAGAGATCACTTTTTTTTTTACCTTTTATTTTTAATTTTTCAGTGATATCATAAATAATCTTAATGGTTGCAAAGATCATAAATAGTTAAGCATGGTGCTTATCCTGCAAACCCATTTTATTTGGTTGGGAACCAGAATATAGATCGGTGAATCTTTTACGAGCAAAATATCAAATGGTATGACAAAAAATCAGTAACACGGAATACATTTCTGAATTTGCTGACTCCATTCTCAATCTTCGCTTTCCAAGACTTTTGTCGCCATCAAAATTCGTTCAAGGCCAATTATTGAAGATTAAAAAAAAAAGACAGGAAATTATAAGTCATGAGAAGAAATAGAGCTAGTAAAGATTTGAAGATCTTCACCTTTAAGCAGGTTGGATGCAAAACAATGACCGATGTTCAACCCGGCAGGTATATAGCAACAGGCATGACTTTAGGGCTTAATCTTAATCAAGTGTGTTTCTATACGACCGCTGCATAATAAGTTCGTAACAGATACATGCGCTTGTACAACAATAAAAAGTACCATTTTAAAAATTTCACTTCTTGGCTTTATTGATTGTTCCACGTATTGATTTTAATTAGAAGATAAGTGCGATTGAGCCGTAGTTTACAGTTGACAGTAAAAAAAAAAACGTGGTTTAGCTTGAGTTTTATATTGAAATTTTTAAAATGGTACTCTTTAATTATTGTACATCTGGAACCTATAATGCAGCATTTGTGTAGAAATGTCGTTATTTCAAATTAAACCTTAAAGTTGTATTTGGTGTTATGTTCTAGCCGTGTTGAACATTGACCTTATTTTTTTTTTTTTTTTTTTGTATCCAGCCTACGTAAAGGTGAAGATCTTCAAATCTTTACTAGCTTTATTTCTTCTCACGGGCCGCACTTCCCTGTCAGTTTTTATTTTGCTATTAACATTGAACGAATTTTGTGGTTGATGAAAGCGAACTTTGAAGAATGCAGATACTGCAATCAATAAAAAAAACATTGAAACTTTTATAAAAGGAATACTGGATCGGAAACCATTACGAATTTAGTTCATTGGAAAGTCAAAATTCAGAATAATGAAGCTAATGCAATATTATAATCATTGGAAAGAAGGTAACACGGCCATAAAAATCCCATTTTCTTTAACCTTTCTCTCCCAATCTTGAAAGTTACACCAATTGTATCATTACCAAAAACAATAAAGCACCAAGAAAGGAAAAAACAGTAAAACGCTATTGTTGATGAACTTCATTTTTTTTTTTTTTTGTCATTTAGATATTTTAGATACTCATCTTGGGATTCTTAATTAAGCCTGCAATTGTAGTATACTTCCGTAAGTAAAGATTCACAATCAATATGAAGGCGGATTTAAATAAGTAAAAAGTTTTTACGAGATTAAGTAACTTCTAAAGAGCTAATTTATTACAAAGGATTTTGTTTTTGTTTTTACAGTTGGTAGAAGATAAAAAAGAGAAAAAAAAAAAAAAGCTTACCCAGCCTATTTCAAATTTTTGGCATACTTGAACAATATCATCTGCCCAGCTTCTGAATCAATTTCGGCCATGGCCTTTTCGAATATCGTATCCATTGTCGCATCCAACTTATCCCTAATTACACTTGTCTCGGGATATAAAAACTTACTTATGGCGGTCAATAGTAATAAATTGATCCATGCAAAAGAAATTTTACGCAATTTTTTGGATTGCTCATTGTGAGATTGAGGTGTATTGGGCGCTGAGTAATCTAAACCTAAAGAGCTGAAAAAACGTTGTTTGATTGTATCTACAATAACGATTATTTGATTGTCATCGATAGGTGATTTTTGAGCTTCTGTTAGGAGTTTCATC